GTTTTCTTGCTCGTGGGGTAACTTAGAAACCACTGATTCCAGATAATCTTTGTTCTTCGGCGACATCTTTGTGAGAACATCAATGGCTTCTTTATCATTCCCTTGCATGTGAAGCCACCGAGGTGATTCGAGTGCGAAGAGGTAGAGGAAGATACAGTAAAATATCGCTGGAACAGATGTGTATAGATAGAGATATCTCCATGAAGAATCTTGAGCAAGGTAAGCGATTCCAGACAACGACATAAACCCTAAAACAAATAGGGTAAATGGAATCATCGTAGCTCTCGGTCTCCATCTGGTGGAGACTCGCTCACTGATGAGAACCAACGCGTATGACCAGGTCTGTGATCGCGAAAATCCGATGAAAAACTTTAGGAATGTATAAATCCATATATTGGTTGAGAAGATAACAGAGATTGAAGTGATTGACATTGCAAAGGTTGAGAACACAACTAATTTCTTGCGACCCAAGGAATCGTCTGGGATCAAAGCTAGAAAAAACCCTCCAACAATGGCACCGATGTAGAAAGCGGAACTAGGCATACCTCTGAGTAAAGAGCTCGAGCACTCGAGGCCGAATTCTGAAATGACGGATTTGCCCTTGGAGCCACCGTCCCATTCCCAAGCTGATCTTGGAAGATTGCAGATGTCGGAAGCTGAAGGATCACAGATCGTGTGGTTAAGACAGTGCCACGTGGGATAAGCATCTGTGTACACGGTGATGAATATCTGCTGAGCATCGAAGAGCAAAGCGAGTCCAACGAGGGATATCTGGAAAAATTGCCAGAATCCGAAATCTGATAGACTCTGTTCGACGATCTTGTCGAAAGTCAATGCTGTTTTGTCGTTGACTCCAGAATCATTGGCGAGATGAGACAACAATGGTTCTGATGGATCATCCATTATTGTTTAGTTTCGAGCTTTGTGTTTGTTTTTGTTTTTGTGTTTTTGAAGAGCTTGAGTATTGGTATACTCTCATTAATTCATTCTTATCAACTATATATAAATCTGAAATCTGAATCTGTGTTTTCACTAAAAGCAAATCTCAACTTGTATAAATTAATTCATACCGTGTTTAATATGTGTTATAATAATATTTCAAACGTGCTTCATGTGAAGCTTGGGTCGTCGAAGTCAAAGTATGCCAATGCCAGTATGGATTCAATTCATTATTGTTTTACTGTTTCTTTTGTATCGACGTTCATACTTATAAGTCGTGGATTTGATTTATCATTTATCTAATTTTAAAAACGTAGCTTTACTGGTTGAGCCACGATCGGATCAGTTCACATGCCATGGACTAAATCATCACGTCGAGAATCCGCGTTAGTATAGAGAGTACTGGTTTGATTGGTGGCAGTTTAGATTAGACGGCTTTGGAAGTTATCAATCAATTCGGTGGACCAAAACTTTTTTAGTTGGATTGGTTCATCACAAATTAGTGGAATGGTTTAAAACTTTAAATCGGATGTAGTTGGACCAAGTTGTAATCCTAACCTCTAATCCGATACTAGCCAAGATTACTCAACTTTTTTTTTTTATCAATCAATGGAATGATTAAACAGTGGAAAATGGTGGGTATAGAGTGATTAGAAACGAAAAATATAGATTACCAACCAACCCAAAAATAAGACAGTTGGGCAAAACAATCCTTAATACAAGACTAAAGTTTAGTTTTAATGTAACTAACCTTTAATTTAAAATCTATTATATTCAATTGTCATTAGAACTAGATACAATTTTCTTTCATGTTTTGCATAGAATTATGTAAATTATTTTTATATTATAATAAAATCTTTGGTATCTATTTTTAACCTATTTCAACTAATTATTTGAAAAGAAAAAAAAATGAAAATCCATTATTTTGAATTAAATATTGCAGAAATAAGAATGACTGAAAGAAAACAGAAAGTAAATGATTGGGTCACATGGACCTATATATAATGTACGACTGTTCAACCGATTTGTATAATTTGTGTGTTTGATGGGCTTCTTTCTGTGTACTAATATGAGTCGGACTCGTTAGTCTCATAATAAATGCCGATTGAAGGACACAATTTTTGGGACCAGCTTGACCAAACCATGTAATCTACGAAAACTGTATAGTTTGTACCAGAGTTGTTACTGTGTCATTCAAAATCCAATCAAATGAATGTTGTTGACAAAAGCTATTACATAAGATAAGCTCAAAAATATGGCATGGCTTCACATTTTATTCGTCAATCTAATTTTGGCTATATGGTTTGGTCTCGTATGACCGATGGAAACACCGATAAAAAACCAGATAAATCTCACAATTCGGTGAAAATGGGTATTTACTATTTATTTATGTAGATATTCGAAAAAGTCAAACACAAAGAAAAACGCATTATTTTTGAAAACTAAAGAATAAAGAAATATCGAATTCAACGAAATTAGTTTTTTTCTCCTTGTCAATTCTTTCTAATGAGCTCCTCTGGGACGTCCTCAATTGCATTAGGCGGTGGATCCGCTGAGGCTTCTGCGGGCAAAAGCACCTCAAAGCGTCCAAAATGTACATGATCTCTAATCTATTCCCAAATTTTTGATACATTTTGTCATTGGTCAATCTTTCAATGCTTTTCTCTTGAGAGGAAGTTATGTGCGTATTGAAAATAAATGTTAAGAACTCAGATTCTTTTGTTTGAGATGTTGCTAGTCTCTCGATCATCATATTCGATGATTCATTTATCAATGCAAATGACTATAATTAATATACATTGTATACAGATATATCATATAGGGAAAAAATCAGATTAGTGATATTAATCTAGTACACACAAACAAATGGGTGCTTGTATTTTCTTATTTGTTTGGTATCGTTTATTAATCCATTCCCCACTTTGTGTGACACCTTTTTGATTTCTTTCTTCGTAAGATAAGTTTCCTTGAATCTGTATACTAAGAAACCTAATCTGTTGGCTGAATTTGCTTCATTAGATTCAAGATTTACCCAACAGGAGCTTCCAGCATGCAAACCCATTCTCACTCCAAAATGGGTAAAGCTTCAATAACTCATAAAAATGTAAACATTCTTAGGGGTACAATTTCCAATGTCTTTCATAGTTAAACTCTTTTTTGGTTTTCTTGTTTTGCAGGTGATTCTGACTTTTCTTGTCTCAGGGGTTGTCTTTATTCCTCTTGGAGTGATTTGCCTATTTGCTTCTCAGGGTGTATGTTTTAGTCTTTTCTCACTTTCCTCAGCTCCAATTATTTCTTTTTGTGATTATGATTTGATTTTTTTATTACATACATGATCAGGTCATCGAAATTGTTGATCGATATGACACAGACTGCATTCAATTAGCCTCTAGGGACAACAAAGTCAGATACATACAGGGCTTAGAAGATAAGAGGTGTAACAGAACAATAACGGTAGATATATATTATCTAATTAGTTCTTTATATATTCTTCTTCTTTAAGTAACTTTCTTTCACAATCTTTTTTATAAATTTTTATTATGATAGGTGACAAAAACTATGAAGAATCCGGTCTATGTATATTATCAGCTTGAGAACTATTACCAAAACCATCGACGGTAACATATCACTATTAGCATTCATTCTTGTGTTTGCGACTTTCCATGGACTCTAGCAGAAGCTCTTTGAGCATGTGCTATTGGTGCATTCGAACAAGATTCAATATATATATATTTTTTACACATCACGTACATGTTTAGTAAAGACATTGCACAAGGCTTAATTTCAAATAGTTTGAGAAAATAATACTTTGTTTGATGATTTTGCAAATTGAAGGTATGTGAAAAGTCGACAAGATGGACAATTGAGAAGTCCGAAAGATGAGCACGATGTGAAATCATGTGCGCCCGAGGACACTATAGATGGTGAACCCATTGTTCCTTGTGGTCTTGTTGCTTGGAGTTTGTTCAATGATACTTATGACTTCACTAGAAACAATCAAAAACTCCCTGTGAATAAGAAAGGCATCTCATGGAAGAGTGATAGAGAATCAAAGTTTGGTAAAAATGTCTTCCCGAAAAATTTCCAGAAAGGAACTCCCATCGGCGGTAAAAGTCTTGATCCAGATATTCCAGTAAGTCTTTTTGATGTGTTAAGAATCTCACATCTTAAGTAAAAAAATTCTAAAGTGATATATAAAAACTGTTAAAAATGTACGTTTCTGACAGTTGAGTGCACAAGAAGATCTAATCGTCTGGATGCGAACTGCGGCTCTACCAACATTTAGAAAGCTGTACGGTAAAATAGATACTGATCTTCAAGCTGGAGATACGATAAAGGTCTTGTTACAGAACAATTACAACACTTATAGCTTCAATGGAAAGAAGAAGCTTGTGCTATCTACCACTAGCTGGCTCGGTGGAAGGAATGATTTCCTTGGGATTGCGTATTTGACTGTTGGTAGCATATGCTTGTTCTTGGCTGTTTCCTTCTCCGTCTTGTATCTAGCAAAACCAAGGTACATATGTAACATTCTCTGATTTTTGAGACTGTTTTCATAAAAACGTCATAGAGAGTCTATATAGCACAAATGACAAAACCGTAAATGTTATGTTTTATTTATGTTCAGGCAATTGGGAGATCCATCGTACTTGTCATGGAACAGAAGTGCTGGAGGTGGACGATGATAAGAGTTGTTTTAAGCTCTTGTTTGTTGTTTCTGGGATCTGTCACTTCTCCTTCTATTGGTAAATAAATTCCCTATGAGAATAGATGTTTACCGTTTATGAGAAAAATTATGTATAGACTAACCCATAAGACTAATCACATCATATAAATTTTTCAATTTTTTGTTTGATAGAGACAAGTCTTTAGTTTGCAAAATGACTATGGGCCTATGGCTCAAAGTTTGTTGGGAACTAACTAAATTAAACGCTGCGACCACGGTGTAATGGTTGGTATCACTGGGTCAGGAACCGATATGTATTGTCAGAATCATGCATAATGGACATGAGTGGTTGAAACTTTCATGTGGTGGCAAGCCATTTAATACTATTTTGATCCAGCAAAATTCATGTTTATTGTGTTTAATACAAAACTGAAACCATGAACAAAAGTTAAATATAACACAATTCCATAACCCCAAATGGTTGGTTATGGTTGAAATAGGGCAGTGATTCAGTGAAATAGCATTACGAAACACGATTCAACTATTACAGGATTACAGAACCTTATTGTTGACACTAGTATAGTGCACGGTTACATAAGAAAGTAAACTCGGGAAAGCTAAAACGATTTCTTTTCGTAAGACACCAGTCCATGGATTCCACCTTCTATCTGTGCTGCACCGGTACGAGCCTATACACAATATCAACACCATAAACGTAAATACTAACATCAAAACAGCAGAAATCGCAAATTAAGATAGTTTTCCAAGGACTAGATTTAACGACATACCTCGAGTCTAAGGATATTATCTCTCAATAGCTTGTGAGCAGACTGCAAAGAAGAAGCACCAAGATCTTGGAAACCTTGCTTCACGGCATGCATTGTGTAAGGTATAAACTTTAACACTGAGCCTTTATCCGCAACCGCTCCAACCACTCCTTGTGCAATCTTGAGTTTCGCGGTATCTCCCAAGTATCTCTGGTCACTTCCTTTGGTCATTGCTTCTAATGAACCCATACCTCTGTATTTCTTCACTCTCCTACCGTTCTATAATTAACACAAAACAGACCAAACAAAGCAAGATATTGAGGAAAAAATTAAGGAAGGTTGTTAATCAATATCCAAAGTCGGAAGGTGTGTGCAATTACTCGATATTCATAAGCTCCAGGAGCTTCGGTGCTTCCAGCCAAGAAGCTTCCCATCATCACAGTTGATGCTCCAAGAACTAGAGCCTTCACAATGTGACCTGAGTTTGAGATGCCACCATCTGCGATAATAGGTACACCGTGCTGAGCAGCTAGTGTCGAGACTTTGTACACGGCAGTAGCCTAAGAGAGAACCAATCACAAAAAAAAGAACCCGACTTCGTAAGGTGCAATTCATAGAATCAACTTAGCACTCTATTTCAAATATAAAAGCTTTTTCATTTACCTGTCCTCGTCCAACGGCACAAACCTCTTGTGTTGTGCATATGGATCCAGATCCCATACCAACTCTCAACCCATCAACTCCTGCTTTGATCAAGTTCTCTGCCTGGTACATAGTCACCACATTCCCACCTACCACATCCAACTCCGGATACGTATTCTTCACATACTTGATCATCTCAAGCTGGTAAATTGAGTTCCCTTGCGAACTATCCAGCACCACAACGTTAGCTCCAGCTTTCACTAAATGCTCTAACCTCTCCTTGTCTGAATCCCTGGTCCCTATAGCCGCACCCACCATCCATTTCTTGTCTGCACCAACAGTTCCTGACCCTAACTTGGGATATCCTTTAACCCTCTCCACATCGTCTTTTGTTACGACGTTCACAGTCTCACCATCCTTCTCCAGAACCACAAATCCTTTCTGTTTATCTTCCAAAACCGCCTCAATCTTGTCAAGATCAATATCCCACGGCACATAGTGATCTTTGCTCTCACAACTCCTCATGTAATCATATATCTTCATCTCCTTTTGGTCATCTTTCATACTCGACCACTCCGATTTTGAGACATAACCCAACAATTTCGGTGTCAATGTTCCTAATTAATCAAACAACAACAAAAAGTTGTATTTTGTCAAATGGAAACTATTGAAACTATTTCACAATTACTACCACTATTTTGATTCATTCTGAAAATGAAAGTATCTAACTTTCAGCTAAAAGGTCTGAAATCGATTATGAAATTATACCTGTCTGCGAGACAAACACGAAGGACGAAGGACCAAAATCATCAACCGAACCAATCTGATGCTCTGGGCATTTGAAAACAGCATCAGACGCAATCGGAACTTGAAGCGATTTGGCGTGACGGATGACGGAAGCTTGAGTCTCGATGTCACAGTTATAGTGCACGATTCCGATTCCTCCAAGCGCAGCCATTGCAGCAGCCATGTGGGACTCAGAAACAGTGTCCATCGGCGAAGCGACGCATGGGATCGAGAGTGGGACGCGCTTGCTGAGGCGCGTGGATAAAGAGACGGCGTCCGTGGAAAAGTCGATGTAGTGAGGTAGAAATATCACATCGTCGTAGGTGTATGAGTATCCATGTGAGAATAGCTTTTCAGCTGAAAATCCATCTTCGAATCCTGACATCTTCAATCCAACAATGGCGTGGATGCCGATAGAGAGAAATGAATAGTGAGTGTGAGCTAGGGTTTAGTGGAGGAGTTGGTGAAGAAGGTTTAGGAGCGAAAGATGACAAACGAAAATGTTGGTGAAAAGATAAAACCGTAACCGAAGAAATTAAACCGAATCAAATCGAAGTTTGTTTTCTAAACCGATTGGTTTTGTTATTTACAAGTTAAAGAACCGAAATCGAATCAAAACCGGATGGCTGATTTATCCACGCAAGGGATTGTATTGTTCGCGTATCCGAACATCACTTAATTCTTGTTTCTTCGTGAATTTTTAGATTCTGATTTTGGATTTCTGTTAAAAGTTGAGGTTTTGTTTTCTGATCTTGAGCTCTACTTATAAAAAATGGCGAATTTAGCGTCACTACTGTACGACCAGCTCAAGGTTGAGTTTTTTTTCACAATGCTCATTTTTTTTTTTTTTTCTTACTGTGAATTGAGTTGTCTTATCAAACGCACAATGACTCTTTGCAGGTTGCGGAACCGTTTTTCTTGTTGGCTGGTCCAAATGTGATCGAATCCGAAGAACATGTTCTTCGAATGGCTAAAAGCATCAAAGATATTTCTACGAAGTATGTGTAACCATCACCATTAAAGCTCTTTTCTTGTTCTGACATCTTGTGGTGGAACTAATAAAAGATTAAAAAGGGGGAATTATGTTTAAAACTGTATTCCACTTATAGCAATCGGGTCATAGTGGAGACCTTGATCCTCTCATTCATTGAGCAATGTGGTTACTTACTTATTGTTAAGCATGTTCTTGTTGATTGTGAATGTTGTAGGCTTGGATTGCCTCTGGTTTTCAAGTCAAGTTTCGATAAAGCTAACAGAACTTCATCAAAGTCCTTCCGAGGTCCTGGCATGCCTGAAGGTCTCAAGGTAATTTTTGATAAATCATTCCCTCTTCTTTGAGTTGCAAGCATGGATGATTCTCTATCTGGTGCTGTTAGAACTCTGCATTTGAAAACCTTCAGGAGTATTAATGTCAAAGCGATTTATATTTATTAATTCGTACGTCTTTTAGAACCTTCACTGTGAGCTGAGCTGATACCAGAAATTGCATTTAGCTCCTGGCTACAATGCAACCATTTACATTTACGGAAACTAGTATTGATGTGGCTTCATTTTTTTTGTATGTAATTTCTGCACAAGTATACTACAGCTAGTAACTCTTCTGTTTCTCTCAACAGATTCTGGAGAAGGTGAAAGTAGCATATGATCTACCAATCGTAACTGACGTTCATGAATCGAGCCAGGTATATTGAGTTTTAGTCACATCAGAGAATCAAGATTCGAAAAATCTTTGTTCCTTTCTGATGCTTCGTTTGTTTTTATTAGTGTGAAGCGGTCGGCAAGGTTGCAGATGTAATTCAGATACCAGCGTTTTTATGTCGCCAGGCAATATTCTAACCTATGCTTTCTTAGCTATCAAATTTTCATCTACTGTTTGAATTTATCATTTATGTACAGAGTTCATGGTTTTAATTATTGCCTATATCTCCAGACAGATCTTCTGGTTGCGGCAGCCCAAACTGGGAAAATTATCAACATAAAGAAAGGACAATTTTGTGGTCACTCTGTGAGTTATCTTATTCATCTGGAGAAACTTTCTGTTTCCTGGTATATTGTAGTGACTGATTTCATGTATATCCATTCTAAGGTCATGAGAAACTCGGCTGAGAAGGTTAGACTCGCAGGGAATCCAAATGTGATGGTTTGTGAAAGAGGAACCATGTTTGGATACAGTAAGTTAAATGTTCTTTGTGTCAATAGAATTGGCAGCGTGAATGAACATGTAGATATTCACCACTTTTATGCAAATAGGGACTAAAATAGACTAAAGACACTGGATACCTTCTTTATAACTCCTGAGTGTCCTTACATTTTGATTTTTGTTCCTTAGATGATTTAATAGTAGATCCACGAAATTTGGAATGGATGAGGGAAGCTGATTGTCCCGTTGTAAGTTAATCTTGCTTCTTGTTCTTTTCTTGTTGAGGGAGTTAATATCTTGGTTTTGGCTTTATACTTTGATGTTTTGACACTCTTAAAATACAATTTAAATTCCTGGCTTCAGGTTGCTGATATAACTCATTCATTACAACAACCTGCAGGCAAGAAGGTATGATCATTAGAACGATGCTCTGAGTAATTTAAGAAGTGCTTGGTGTTTTAAAGCTAAATCAGAATTGGTCTAAACTCAAACATACCTTGTTTATATAGTTAGATGGTGGGGGTGTTGCTAGTGGAGGCCTTCGCGAATTAATACCATGCGTTGCAAGAACAGCCGTAGCTGTTGGAGTCGACGGAATTTTCATGGAGGTATCAATATTTTTTTCCTACTTGATCGCAATTTTGTTGTCATCTTTTTGAATCTTTGTTCCGATTTGGTTATGAAACTTGGTTCATTTTCCGGTGAATTAGGTGCATGATGATCCTTTGAATGCACCAGTCGATGGCCCAACACAATGGGTGAGTTTTACCTTTTTCAGACCATGTACATTTGCATTCTTGATCATCGTTTTTTTCTTCCTGTTTAGCCTCTGCGTCATCTAGAAGAACTGCTAGAAGAGCTCATTGCAATCGCGGTAAGCCCTTTACATTATCCCATAAAATTTCAATCTGTTTCCATTTGTTGTAACAATGGCCCTTATGACATCTTTGCAGAGTGTCACAAAGGGGAAACAGCAGTTCCAAATCGATCTCACGCCTTATCGTGATTAGAATCAAAGTGTGTATTAGCCAGGTGAGTGACCGATAAATCAAGATAGAAATGATGAACTCTCCTTGTTTTCTCATCATTTGCAGATTATTTTTCTGCATTTTGCAGGTCTCGTCACTTTGGGTGCGCAACTACAACTTGGTAATATTTCAATCTTGTCGGAGCAATAAGCATTATTTGTTTGTAGGAAGTTGGCAAAATACATCTCTCCACAGCGACTAATATATTTTCAAAGGAGCTTGATGTTGCCTAATATCAGTTGTCTAAGTTTGTTTTATTTTAGAAGAAATAAACAACAATTGGAAGTTAATTTACTTATTTACTTTTTATGTCAATAGAAAATACATTTTCTATACCTGAACTTATATAAGTCTTTTCTTTGAACTTTTTACATAATGCATGGTTTCTTTCTCTGGAGTGATTTTACTTGAAATATATGTGTTGTTGCACTTGCACAATGCAATTATATGAAACTAGACAAACAAAATGCAAATAATAATGTTTTTTTTTTTTCCTTTTCTCCGAATAAAAAATTTATGGGTCTGATATTGACCTATGTTGGGCTTGGGTTAAACAAGCCCAAACAAAAATAGAAAAAAGTATAAACTGAAGGGCCATAATCGTAAATTCCATAAGCTCAATTTCAAATACTTGAGAAGCGGCGTCGCTCAGTGTCTGGGAATTTGCAACGGTAGAACTCTCTTCTCTTGCAATTGAGTTTCTGGGAAGAACAAAGCAGAAGATCTGGAGATTTCAGGATAATGGCGTTCGCAAAGGTAAAGAATTTTCCGTGAAGATCCTAATTTCATCAAGATTTTGTTCAAAAACGAGTTAGGGTTACTACGTTCATCGCAGATGAATTTGAGATTCGAGGGCTTGTTGTTTTAAACGAGATTAGGATTAGGGATCTTGAATTTATTCGCAGATAGAAGAGATTATGGTATTTACCTATTTCTGCTTCTTTTATCACAAGATTAGATTCTTGTGATTTCACTGGCTTATACTACTCTCAGATTTGATTAATTTGATCAACATAATCTTAAAAAATCACAGGTGATAAAGCTTTAGTTCTTATTTCACTTACTATTGATTTTTTCTTGTAGGCACCACGACTAAGTAGAGATGATATTCTTGGAAATCGAGGTAAGGGAGACTATATTATCCTCTGTTACTTGGTGAATCTTATTCAGTCTTAAGCAAAAATAATTCAAATTCTATAAAATGTTTACATCTGAAACAGTGGGCACTAGGAGTTTCAAAATCTTCTCTGATAATCAGAAAACTGATCCAGCCGGTACAGTGTAAGTGGATCTCTTGCATTCATCTTTCAGTACTATTGCATTTGTTAATCTGAATTAAACTGTTGCTATTTCTGCAGAGTTACTTCACAGAAGACTCGTATTCCTTTGAGGTTTGTGGTGTTGTTTTTTACAATTTTTCTGTTTCTTACATCTATTAAAGGATGAATTTACTGGTGCATATTTGGCTTGATCATGAAGAAGTAGACTTTACGAATCTGTAAGAAATTAATTTTCTGTTTTTACATTTTTTTAGGAGAAAGTCTGTTACAATTAGCAATGGAGCAGCTTCTAACACAAACAATATGAAGGTTTATCCTTTTCCCTCTTTCTGAGTTCATACAAGTGTTGGATGTTATGCACTTATTCACATGTTAATGCTTTTTTGTTTTTGACTGGAAAGAAGGAAAATTCGAGAATCACAGGAAAGGGCAAAATCAGCAATCAAAATTCTGGTAAGCTTATAGTGGAGAGTGTCTTCATTACATTTTCGGGACGTAGTTTTGAAAGTTAACTCAAAGTTTTGTCTCCTTTTCAGAGGAATATACTAAAGTCACAAGAAAAGCTTTGGCTGATTTAAGTAATCTTGGTGGGAACACTCTAAGGATTCCAACGCTTTGTGGCAGCAGTACCATGTAAATTGCTTAAGTCTTAAGGGTTTTTGTGATCTCTCTTGGAAACAAATGATAAACTGCCCATGGTTTTCACTTCTTAATCAAACTGATTTTATGTTTAGAAAACATATTTCTTAGTTAGTTTTTATTGTACTGATTTGGTTTCTGTTCTAAAACTATTCTATTGAACATGCAACCATGCAGGAAATGGAAAGGTGTAAAATGTGCAAATTCTCAAAGGTATGTAGTAGTCGTTAGCTGCTGCTATAGACATCACATACATACAATAGCGTTGCATCTATACTTAGGATTAGTAGTTCATCTCAGTCGATGAGCTTTTACAGAACGAATCAAAGTTCCATGATTTTTGACAATGAGTAGTTGATGATGCTGGGCTAATTTGACCTTTCCATGTGTAGGATTTCAGTTGGTTCAACCAGAGTTAATAATATTTCAGTGAAAAAGTCAACCAAGGTATAGCAACCGTATTGGCAAACTATATCATGTTGTATACTTAAAAATTTCTATGACTAGATGCAGTTTTGAGATTAACCAGAATATCACAATTTATCTGTTTGCATGTGAGTTACAGAAAATATCACAAACGTTGTGTGTGTCTTAAAGCATGGGATTTAATTAGTTAAACAACTCGATGGCCATTTCCTTCTTCTTTCTTGCAAGCCTTGACCATTGTTTTATTTTTCTTCTGATATAGGAGCTTGAGAGTAAAAGAACAACCGAACTTGGAAACAATAACCCTTGCAAGACAGGTGAGTTCCTAAATGTTATGTTTGTTTTCATGTCTATGGCTTTAGTTGATCTTTACCATTTATCTAAACTACGGATGTTTTAAATCATATTTTAGGTAAGAAATTCATCAAAAACAACACCCTGAGCCTTGGATCAACGGCTGGTGGAACAAGGTACCTTTATGCTAATCTCATGCATAATAGATTGATTATCAGCTTCCAGACCAGTTTGAAGAATTTTCCAAAAAAAAACAAAAATAGATATCTTGTTTATGCCCTACATTACCTATCAATATGTCAAAGCTCTCACCACGTAACCTACATTATTAATCCTACCAGACGTTTTCTTTAGTATCTGCTGAGAATGATTTTACATCATTTATTGATTAACTTCCTTGTTGATTTGTTCTTGCAGAAATTCCTTACCAACTTTTAAGAGAACAAGCCTCACAGATAAGAGCTTAAAAAAGGTTGTTATCAATCTAATTTGAGATGGTATTGTCTTCTAGTTAGCTGGTTGTACAACAACTCGTGAGGCTAATCATTTAGGATAGTTTACTTAATTGTGTATTTCTCGACTCACTGTTTTTTATTCTGATTTTTACTATTTTGACGCAGTTCAATGTCTCAAGCTTAAATTCGAGACAATTGGGTCAGGGTCTAGGTAACATGGATTTCTTTTCTAAACTTCTGATGGAAATATGTATGTTTAAAATTGTAATTTGATTGGTTCAGTATCTAATATGAGTGTGGTTGCATTGTTTCAGCCAGTAAAGTCAGCAACAAAGCTGTCCCACAGCTGAGGAGTGCCGGAACCTATACTTGGAAAACTCGGACAAGTGTAGGCTCTATACCATCGTAAGTAAATATGCTTAATTCTGATATCATTATTAAAGAAATGAAGTTGTTTCTCTCTTGCATATCACACATGTCTTCTTCCAACTATCAAATTGTCTACATTCACAGAATCCTTGTTTGCATTTTCATTATCAATGTACGACTCTTTTACATCTTCGAGAACCAGATTACTTTTTTCTTTTATCGTTTGTGGGCAGCAACTTGAGATATAAGTTGCTAAGTTATATTCTTTGCATGTTCAGGGACCGCAACAGACAGAGTACGAATAACGTCCGTATCGTAAGGAAATCTATCAAGGTATATACCTTTAGTTTCATATCTTTGTATGCAAGTGGTTCATTTCCATTAAAGCCACACTATATGAAGTCTCTCAAAAATGTTTTGGCCTTGGCTATTATCATCATTGAACTGCTAAATCAGTCTTCTTTGAATTTATTATCTTGCTCTTGATCATTTCATCTGGCAATAGTTACAGTGACATTGAGGTTTTTTGTTTATTAAATATGTGATAAGCTTTCTCTCTTATTCAAGATCCAGACAACTGTAAAGACGTCGCTACAAAACCGTAGTTCTCTTAAGAAGCCCCCAGTGGGTAGAAGTAAATCAAGATCTATTTCTTTAATCCCTTCTTCTGAAATAGTTGCCTCTACGCTGTCACTTCCGAAAAAGGTTGAAACAAAATGTCTCGAAGAAGACACTCAAGGAGAGAGTTCATCTAGTAGAAACAAAGACCCAACAACAAAAGTGTTGGATGTTACAGCGAAGCCAAAATCAAAACGTAGAAAGTCTTTCACATCTCTACTAGTGGATGGATCAAAGGTTCGTAATTTTATGAGTTGATGTGTTTCTTGTGACTTCTTTTTCTCCAATATTACTAATATGGTAATTTACTTGCAGTTCGATGAGAAAAATGGTGAAACCACAGAGGCAGAGAAACTTCCAAACATTGATGATGAATCCAATCAGTTGGAAGTTGCAGAATATGTGGATGACATATATCAGTTCTATTGGACTGCAGAGGTAATCCACTTATTATTCCACATACATAAAACTTCACATTCCCTTATATTCGGTTTTTCTTTTTCCTTGTAGTTTTGAATATTGAACTTTAGCTTTCTAGTAGCTTAACATGAAATATTGTTGCAGGCATTAAATCCAGCTTTGGGACACTACTTGTCAGCTCATGCAGAAGTCAGTCCAGTTACGCGTGGAATTTTGATCAACTGGCTTATCGAAGTGAGTGCAGTATATTTTTTGTTTCCGTTTCAGCTTTGATATTTTCCCTACCCAAAGTTTTGCTTCTTCATGTGGAAACCTATATCTCGGTTTTACTTATTTGTTTGCAGGTTCATTTCAAATTTGATCTAATGCATGAGACTCTCTACTTGACAATGGACTTATTAGACCGTTACCTCTCCCAAGTTCCAGTACATAAAAATGAGATGCAATTGATTGGTCTTACTGCACTCTTATTGGCATCTAAATATGAGGACTATTGGCATCCTAGGGTAAGAGACATTTATCCTGAAAATTAATACCTCTCCTTAGCTCTATATAGCGTCACCCTTCAACTTTTAGAATCTATTTTCTTTATCCATGTGCAGATCAAAGACTTGATTAGCATATCCGCAGAATCATATACCAGAGAACAGATCTTGGGAATGGTACATAATGAACTCTGTTTATAGTCTCTTTTTAACAATCTCTGGTCGTTTGCATAATTCCCCTTGTATATCTTCTTTTTTCTTTTCAGGAGAGGATTATGCTTAAACAGTTAAAGTTCCGTTTGAATGCACCCACCCCTTACGTTTTCATGTTGAGGTTCCTAAAAGCTGCTCAATCAAATAAGAAGGTACGCGAAAAACTTGCACACAAATGCTTTATAGCCTATAAAATTAATATGTTTGAATAGGTAGACATTGAATACTATTATCAATTTTTTTCAGCTTGAACAACTGGCCTTCTATCTTATCGAGTTGTGCTTGGTCGAGTACGAAGCTTTGAAGTATAAGCCATCATTGCTATGTGCATCAGCCATTTATGTTGCCCGGTGCACTTTGCATATGACTCCAGTTTGGACCTCGCTCCTAAACAACCATACACACTACAGTGTCTCCCAGATGAAGTAACTAACAATCTCATTAATAACTCCTCCTTGTAGATCACTTAGACTAATCTTACACAATTTTCTTATCACAGGGATTGTTCTGACATGATCTTAAGGTTTCACAAAGCTGCTAAAACAGGAAAACTGAGAGTCACTTATGAGAAGTACATGAATCCAGATCACAGTAACGTCGCAGTCTTGAAACCCTTGGATAAACTCCCTCTCTAAGTTGAACTCTTCAAAAGTCATGGAATGCCTCACCAGTCTAAAGGTGTATATCTATACATATGTTCATGTAGCTGGAAACTTGTTTTCTGTTCGCTTTCTCTATTTAACGGATCTTGTTCATTCTTACTTGGAAATTGCAGGGAGATACAGCATCTACATGGACTGTAGCCGGATATTAAGAAAACTCAGGCTAATGGTGATTCTTGATTAGGTGTATTGTTTTGTTTCTGTGTGTTTAACCACCGAGTAATATTACTGTTTCACATAATCATAAAGACAAAACTCCATTGTATTGATAACGTTGTATAAAGCTTTGGAACAACATAACAGTTCTAGGTTTCCCAAGAATTAAGTCAACCAGATCTACTCATATATATAAAACCATCAATGTAAAACTATATACACCTGAGAAGTGTGACCTTGAGTATGTGTATAACAACTCTACTTCCACTATGAGCATGTGAGTAAACTGTCTGTCACAAAGATATCCTCTGTCTCCAATGTCCCTCTCACCGCTTGATAAAACCTAATCCATGAAGATGAATAAGAGTCCACAGGACCGAAAAAGAACGTTGGATTGGGACTACTTGCAGGAGAAGCAGTCACCAAATCCAAAACCGAAGCTGCGGGTTTGAGCTGTTGAGGGAAATTGAAGGCCAAGTTATCGACTTTATGCTCATAGATTTTGCCATTACGGTCGAGTTTATACCGAGAAGTGCCTTGAAACTCTCCTTTAGCTTCCCATGGAACTCTAGGCACACCCTTGAGATTCCACCTGATAAGTATCATGTTCTCTGATGGTTGCCATACCCTGAAGATCTCAAGTGAGATATCTCTGAACAATATCTTCCCATGAAATCTAAGTGCCCAGAAGATCAATTTGTAGTTGTCAATCCCAGAGAATGTGTTCATCGGATCCACAAATGTTATATCATCCCTGTCAAACAAACAAAGATTCTAAATTTCTCCGAGAAACATTCACAAACAGAGAGATCAAAGGAAGCTCCTTTTTTATACCCAAATGACAAAATTTCTGAAGATAGCATCCAAAGAATCTTGCTTTCATCCAATTATCAAATACCCAGACGAATAAATTTACCTGTAGATGTCGTAATTAAGATCTCTAGTGAAGAGCAAAGGCAAATCTTCACGAAGCGTACGGACAGCGACACCAAGATTGATATAGAATTCATCTCTGTCGTGGTTATTATGCTTATCTTGCGAACTGTGTCTTGTCTGAACCTGCGTGTCTTTAAGAGGAGGAGACTGGATGCTCAAAAGAGAGTGTGTCGATAGATTATCTTCCACGAATTCGTAGCTAACAGAAGACGACGACGACGATAGAGATTGACTGAAAATGGGTTTAAGGTTTGGATATTTTCCGGTTTGAAGATGGATTGACGGAGATGATAGATTAGGAAGAATAAAAGCCATGGCTGCTGGGTTTGAGAGCTCGTCTTTGTTTCTTCTTTACATTTTCATGGCGACGATTCTGAGCCAGAGAAATTGTCTTGTGGAGAAAGAGCAATGAAGCACGGAACTTTGTCGGAAGATAGATAAACCAACTTTTAGTTTTGAGTGGTTTTAATTTAAAACTCATTATTTTATTATGATTTTATCTTTATTTTGAGTTTAGTGTTTAAAACAGGTGTGAAACGCTATTAATGTCGTCAATTAGCTTCAAACGACACACAATGCGCATTCCATAAACAGAGACGGCACAACGTTCAACGACATTCATTCGATTTCCATCTATATAGATAAAACGACACGAAGATTACATAAACTATAAGAACTATAATTATACACTACATGATTACTTAAAAATCTAGTTACACTTGTGTTCAGGACGATGAGTGAACTCAAAGTCTATGTGGACAAAAGCTCGTTCCACTTCAGCGAGCTGCTCGAGCTTCTCCTGAAGAGTCTCTCCGATGTTATGAGCCTCTTGTAGTCTCATGTCCTCTGGCAAAACAATGTCTACTTCCACAAAGTAGTGTGACCCAAAAGTGTAAGCCCTTACTGTGTCAATATGCTTGATTTGTTCGTGATGGTTCCATATCAAGAATGTCAGTTTCGCCAAGAAATCTGGCGGCGCAGAGCGTCCTATCAGCGAATGGACGTTCTCTAGTACCGTTCTTGCCCATGTTGCTATGGTGTACAAAGCAATCTGCAACCATAAAACAAGAAAGAAAACGTGATTGTAATCCCACTAGACAAGACATTTCTTGATCATTTTAGATTCCTAAGTCACCGAGTTTAATGCGTAGTTGAAGGAATTGAGTTACTTACAAGTATAGCACCGGAGGGATCAATCCACCAGTAGAATTTGACGGCCAAGACAGCTGTTGCTAAGCCGATTGAATTAGTGACAACGTCAAAGAGGTGATCCTGAGCATAGGCCCTAACTATTTCGTTCTGAAATCCTCTGCAATAAAGCATTAGAAGAAACTTCACAATGGTGACAGAGACCATGATCCCAATCATCCATTTCTCCTCTGTGCTATTCATATGAATACCACTCTGTAACAAAAACAGAATAAGTTAAATACATCAAATAACCGATGAAAGCAGAGTTACTTGAAAATATGTAATTTACCTTGGCAACTAGTTGCCTTCCTGACTCTAGCAAAACTTGCAGTCCAAGAGTTGCCATCACGGAAGCAAACACAATGATGCCCTGTAAATGTACATTATCAGTTCTATTTTCTTGTGAGACAAGTAAGTTCGTTGAAGAAACTGGTCAGAGAGGAATCAGAACAAAACAAAGGGGTTAATAGATAAACACAGAAGCATACCACAGGTTGCATCCGGCGCTTTCCAATAGGATAGTGAAACTGGTTTGGTTTTCTCATGGCATTAGCTGTAAACCAGAGAATAAAACCAGACAAGAGATCCAAGAGAGAGTCCAAAGTTGAAGCAATCACAGCCATGGATCTACTCTCCATAGAGGCATAAACTTTTGCCACAAAGAGCACCAAATTTGTTGCGTTCGAGATGTGAACTGCAAGTCTTTCACTCTTTGCAAGCTTCTTCATTTCTTCCTGTTGAAACCAAAAAAGCTTGAGGATTCATCTCATATATACCATAAGAAAAAAACTAAAGAAAAATAGTAGAGGCCAGACCTCAGTTGGAACACCAGATGCAAAACCATTTTCGTGGATAGTCTCCATCTCATTGAAACCCTCCAGGAGCCTCTCTTGCTTCTTGTAGTATTCAGAGACTCTACGTTCCTTTCCTGCATTAAGACAACAGAGAAGAGGGTTCAAAGTTAAAACCCATTGTCAAGATTTAACTATTTGATAGTCGACCTTGATGGGTTTAACAGTTTCTCAATCACTCTAAAACGCCTTATAACCTCTGTAGAGATTAATCTGATTCAGCATCTACATAACTGTAAAACAAAGAATATGGGTATATACAAACTCCAAAAGAGAAGCTTAAGATTCCATCAAAAGCTTAATAACTTTGAATCAACAAAAAGAAAAAGTTTTATACTCCCTTGAATCAAATCAATAGAAAGGGTTTTTAAACAGAGAGAATCATTCACTCTAATTACTTTTCCCACAAGACTGAATTTCTAAATTTAATTTCCCAACAAATTTCAACAACTACACATTTGTATAATCACCTTCTGTTTTCTGTTTTCATACACGCGATCAAAGTTCATATCCACACTTTACGTACACGTCTCTATGCACACTTTACGGATTGAGAGCAGATCACAAAAACAGAATAAAAAAAAACGGAAGCATGATAGAAGGAATCTTACTTGGAGTACGAAAATAGCGAGAAAAGCGAGTACGTCCGTCGTGACGGCCACCGGTGGAAGAAGGGAGTTGAAAAGCGTCGAGGTTGAGACGCCAAGACGATTCAAGCGGCGGCGCATCGTCGTCGCTAGGTAAAAGCTCGACATTGTATTCGTCTTTCGTACGGATTATATGCTCCGTCGTCATTATCCGATCGCTCTGCCTTTGAATTCCAAAAAAGAAAAAGTGTTTCTATGGAAGTTGTGAGAAAGAGAAAGAAAATATAGGAACCCAGTCACACACAAACTCTTGGAAACAAAAGATGTCAAATACAAATATTAGTAATTTAGAATAATTCCCTTTCTACAATGAGAAAAACAAATCTTCTTAACATTTGTTAACAAAAACGCCGGAAAGTTATAAACCCCACTTAGTCAATATTATAATCATATACTTTAATTAGAAAATTTAGTTGTGTTGAATTGGTATAATACCATGTATGATATTTTTCTTTTTAAATTTATTAGGGAACATGGTATTACTATCCCTTATTCAAGATAGTAATGTTCAAAACCCTTGTATTCTCTTCGTCTCTGATTGTCTCTATCACTTTTCTAATTACAAAATGAATTCGAAATCAACTAAGCTTAAAAAACGAGAACCACTTCACAGGTCCATCGATCTTTGATGTTAAAGCTAGAGAGAAGTGACCTATACGTTATTTATGGATGTGTAGAAAAATAAAAATCAACAAAAACTATAAGAATAGTACTAACAAAAACTGAAATAGTACGTCTTCTTAGGGTTTTTGTTGATTTCAGTTTTTTACACGTCCATAAATAATATATCAGCCACTTTTCTCTAACTTTGATATCAGAGATCGGTGGATCTGTGAAGTACATAGTTGGTTCCGGTTTCTTAGGTTTAGTTGATTTCAAAATCAATTTTTGATGAAAGAAGTGATAGAGACAATCAGACACGAAGGAAACACACAGTTTTTAGGTGAAAATGTTTTAGGGTTTTTGATTTTGTAAAAATTAATGAGTTTAGAAAATTATTTATAACTAGAATGAGACCCGTTGGAAAGGAAAGAGAATATTTTTTCCGAAATTTGTGGGAGATATGTATTTCCTTTTTTCAATTTTATGAATAAATTTAAAATATTAGTATTACTTTGATCTCGCTTTGTTTTTTTTTCTTTTCTTTACTTGGAGAGGAGTGTTTCTGCTTTCAATTATCCAATAAATTGGAATTCACCAAAACAAAAATATATCCAATAAATTCACGATGAGTCGAGTTTTCTATGAGTAAATTTTTTTTTCAAAAAATTGATTTCTTATTTTCCATTTTCAAGTCTCCGAGTTTCCTTGCATGAAAACCAATTGAAGTCGAATTTCTATTTTCTGCTTTCAAATATACTTTTTCGAAAATGGTTTGATATTAATATATTATTTAATTTATTTTAGATTTGAGTGGACCAAGTCCAACACAAATTCAATAAACCTTTAAAAAAAATTGAAAAAAAGAAGAAAGGAAAGTAGATTTGCAAGATTTTTTTGTTAAAGAAGTAGATTTGCAAGATACTAACTAAGCCAACTTAAATTTTGATATGGCTGCCCCAAATTTCGGAAGTGATTTTATTATATTAGGAGTTAAATGTCGACTCTTAATCCCATGCACGAGGACTATAGATTTAAGAAAGAATACTCCAATAGAAAAGATATGCGAAAATCAAGAGTAATGGCTGACATTTTAATTAAGTTTTTGAACATTACTTTTACATTTGTCTTCTGTTTTAAAAATGTCCTCATAATCGAAAAAAAAACATTTAAATAGGTATTCATATGTTGTTGAGTTGACGAAGTAGGTGGGCATTACTCACTAGTGATGCAAAAAGGCGTGGTCTAAAATCACAAGGAGTATGTATACCAATTCTTTTACATTACTCTTTCCTTCATCTAAAAAGGTTTTCTATATGGCCACGTTATATCAAGATATGTTTTAAATTATTAACATTTTGGATTATGATAAGGAATGATTAAATAATACGTCCACATTTGTTTAGATCAAAGTGGTTTCCCACGATTGCAAAATGCTTTTGTCCCCTTGCGCCTTTTGTTAACTCACACTTTTCCTCTTTATACCAGCATTTTCTCTGAGTGGTTTTTTTATGTTGCATCGTGTTATTAACAAATTCCTATAAATCTTTAAAGTTTTTTTTTCTTTTCTGATATAAATTGCTATCAGATAATTTTGCCTAAAAGTGGATGTCACGTCACTATTTCATCATATATTACGCTGTGCAAAGTTAACCAGTAAACTCGCTTACACCGTCACTCATGGTCATGGCCTCATGGATGGTTCACAGTCACAATTTCGAATAACTCATAACGTAGAGATGAGTTATTGAAGCTGACCAAAAACCATATATAACCGGAAAATACCAATCTTTTTACTTAGCTATCAATACAATAAAAACACTAGGTTTCTCTCCTGATCTGACACATCAGCTTTTTCAGCTTTCCTGGGTGTGACACATCATTAAAAACGAACTCCAATCAAAACATTTTAAATAATACAGCTCAGCTTTGCTTTCCAGTAATAATCTTTTATTCTGCCACCTCATTTTTCTGTTAAAGCCTATTTCAATATCTTGGGCTTATTGTTTGAAAAGAAGTGGTCAAATGGACTTATTAATTATCCAGATTGCAATAAAATGTTGGGCTTATTATTTTCCTCTTAAAATCGACAATCGGAAGAAAAAAAAAAGAGGGTGACGGAAAAAAAAAAGGGGAAGACGAAGAAGATGAAGAGAAGCCAAAGCTTGAAGCAAAGGTTGCTTCTTTTGACACTTTCTTCAACACCTATCTTGATTGATGAGATTAGTGTCGACGACATGATCTTTGGAATCCGCCTTCACGAGTTTAATCTTCTCTGCTACTTATGAACTGTCACCGATGACGCATTCGTTGAGATTAACGAGACCGGTAAGTAACGTATCACCTGAATTAGTGTTCATGACTTCAGATTTACTGATATTAGGACTGATTCATAGAAAATTAACATCTTAGGGTAGTTTTGCTATTGAGCTGAAGCTAAGTTTCACCAATTAAAAAAAAAAAAAGTTTCACCAATTTAGGGTTCATGACTTCAAATTTAAAGAAGAGAGTAAACTTGATAAATTGGCTCTTGAGTTTCTGAAGAAGCAAGCTAATAAAAAGTGAAACAAGGTGTTGTAAATGGAGCTACGCAGAAGTATATATCAACAAGTATAATGAAGAATCTCATAAGTGTATTATGTCGGTGGATTTGGCTTTGAAAGAGTCTTTAAAAAATGGGAAGCGAAAAGGGTAGATGGGTGCAGACTCTGAAAAGAAGAAGCGACTCAAGAGATGGTATGCAATCTCTTTTATCTTTCCATGATTTAGAGAATTTGATATCTACTTCTTAAGTTGATTGATTATTAAAGTTGTTCTTTTTTTCTGAAATTGGGAATGCTAATGGTGGGTATTTAGGTTCAGTAGTCCCATATCTGATATCTGGTGATGTAATTTTGTTGCTTGGGTTCTTACTTCTTACATATCTTTGTTTTGTTTATTGATTATGTGTTTATTTTTTCACGAAAGGGAAGAGAGCTGTTGAAGATAGTGATAGTGATGATAGCAGCGATGATGATGATAAGAAATTTGTTGTTATAAATAATAATGGCCAAGTTGTTTGAGATAAGGATACTAATGAAAGGTCAGGCTCTGTTGTGGATGGATCCCACGATGGTGATTCTTCTGGTAGATGTGGTTAAGGGAGAGATCATTGATGTTCAAGGGATTAATGAAGAGAAGATGGATGATTTACCTGTTGATGTTGCTGATGCAATGGATCAACCTAAAAAGGTGGAGAAATCAAGTGGAGACGCAGGGAAGAAATCTGGTCGACGTAGCTTGTGAAACGTTAATTACATCTGCAGCTATTAAGAATCAAGGCAATGATTTTGTCGTAAAGAAAGGAAGAACTGCGAAAGAAACGGTGTTTGTTGATGCAGTGTGTTGCAAATCTGCTGAACCGCTTAACTTTGATAACTTCAATTCAGCAACAGATATGGAGGTACGTATAAAGAATTTTTATACGCAAGATAAAAACCAAATTGGCGGTGTGTCATATAATATAGTTCATGTGTTTCATCAATTACACTACTAAACCTATATATATGGAATCCATCTGTGGTTTGGTTTCAGGTTTTGGGGATGGAGAGATTGAAGACAGAGCTTCAGTCACGCTGTCTGAAATACGAGGGGACATTGCGAGAGCTAGCTGCGAGGCTATTTTTACTTAAATCAACACCACTTGATAAGCTCCTAAAGAAATTGACGGCCAAGAAATGAAGAACAACATCCAACTCCAAAAAGATTACACCCTTTTGAAGTTATTTTGCTTGTAGTACAATAATAATACAACCCACAATGTGTAATATAAGCTGTATTTTTCACAAATCCACAAGGATAAAAAAAATAAAAAAGTATCCCGCGACGTAGCGCGGGTTTCGATCCTAGTTTTTTTTTAAAAGGAACATCTTTCTCTCAACAAGGGATCGAAGTAACGAACAATATTTCTTAGTACAACAAAAAATTTCTTCCTGTTATTATTAGATATCGTATGGTTTTACATAAAACTTGGAGCCAAAACCGGAAGGTTCATCATTCGAAGTTTCGAACCCACCAACGTAACAAAAACTACCTAATGAATCAAACAAGGAGAAAGTCATTGGCTTCTGCAAGAAAGCGCCATGGTTTAGCGGCTGGCTGCAACTAACGCCATGTGCTCTATCAGGTCAAGGACTCGGTTACTGTAACATTACAAGATACACACATATTTTAGTCTTTGGATATTGTCAAATGGCAATGTGATGGTAAAGAACTGAGAGAGACTAACTGTTACCTGTAACCCCATTCGTTGTCATACCAGGAGACAAGTTTCATGAAGGACTTGCTTAATCCAATCCCAGCATTAGCATCAAAGATACTTGACCTGGATTTTTTTGACAATGACCACAACATTTGAGAACCAAAACTAGATTTTAAATGATCCTCTACAAGATTTAATTGTGACATACCTTGAATCTCCAAGAAAATCATTAGAGACGACATCTTCTTCTGTATATCCAAGAATGCCCCTAAGTGGTCCTTCTGATGCAAACCTGTTAGAGATTTTAAATCAAAATCATGAGAGGTTATTACAAGTTCCATGTTTTATTCATGTATAGAGAATGGTACGGTTTTGAGAGTAATACTTTATGGCTGCCTTAACGTCTTCATAAGATGCATCCTTCTCAAGTCGACAAGTTAAATCCACAACAGAAACATTTGGTGTTGGGACACGGAAGGCCATTCCCGTTAGTTTTCCGTTGAGTTCCGGAAGGACCTTACCAACAGCCTATTAAGACAAGTAAAAAAGGCATGGCTTAAAATATGATTCCAGATGTAACATTCATTCAAAAAAAATATGATCCCAGATGCGATGTTTTGTATATAACTATATGATTTTGCGTACCTTTGCAGCACCGGTTGAGCTAGGAATGATGTTTTGACTAGCGCCTCGGCCTCCTCTCCAGTCTTTCATTGATGGGCCGTCCACAGTTTTCTGAGTAGCTGAATATTCAAAAGAAAAGATAATAAAACACAGAATTTAGTCTCGCCAGTTCAGTGATTTACAGTGACCTATAACAAGAGGGCACAGGAATCAAAGACCTGTGGTCGCGTGGACTGTTGTCATCAAGCCTTCAAGAATACCAAATTCCTCATGCACCACCTGCGAGATACAAGTGCTTAAGGGCCATAGAGAATTTTATTTGACCTTAATGAAGCTCTTCATAACGAGCTATATACAGGACAAAAATGCAATGTTAAAAACCTTGGCAAGAGGCGCAAGACAATTGGTGGTACAGCTTGCATTGGAGACTATATCCATGTTTGGTAGGTATGTCTTCTCATTTACTCCAACAACAAACATAGGCGCGTCCGCTGAAGGTGCAGAAATGATGACTTTCTTGGCGCCACCCTGAACAGACAATGAAAGGTCAAGAAAACGATAGACAATTTTAACAGATGATTGTTTGAATTAATAATACAAGGCCTGGTATTAAATGTTAGCATCAACGAAACTAGTAGATCAACAGGTGTGTTCAGATGAAAGTGCAAACCTTCAAATGTGATGAAGCTTGTCCGACGGTGGTGAATACCCCTGAAGACTCAACTACATACTCAGCTCCAAGATCAGCCCACGGGATTTCAGCTGGGTCTCTGAGGAAGAACCAATAAGATGTCAGACTCTAAAAGGATAAACTTTTTACCCTATCAATAGGAAAATTATGGAAATTGATTCATAATTTGACCATCCTAGACAGATACACATGAGTCGTCAATCTGAGGCAATACCTCTTGCTGACAACTTTGACCTGTTTTCCATTGATCTCCAAAGTAGAATCATCAATTACATTGATGGTTCCATTGAAATTTCCATGAGTAGAATCATACTTGAACATGTAAGCCTGCATAAGAGGGGAGAGAAGATTTTCTTTAAGTGTGATATATTATCCCATGCCTCTTAATATGATTACTATTACGGGTTCAAGCACGCGGAACAGTTACTATGAGTAAGGGAAACTATATGGGAAGAGAGCATAAGTAACAGTTATAGGAAATTCCTGGCTATAAATCGATATAAAAAAAGGAAGATCGAAACGGAGTTGTAAGTTGCATCTACTGCAGGATTAGAAAGTAATCATCCTTACCATGTACTTGGCGTCTATGAATGGATCGTTGACTGCTACAACCTCAATATCATCCCTAAAGGTAGCGATGCGGAGGACCAACCTTCCAATTCGACCAAAACCTGTCCCGCACATATAAAATACAACCATCGATAAGAAATGAAAAGGTAGAAACTAGAAGCATGTCAGAAGGAATGAAGGCATAGAGACTATATTATGATGTTGAATTTCACAATGAATCCAACAATGGATAAAAAAACATACCGTTTATCCCAACCTTTGTCTTTCCACTGCTCCTTGACCCTGTACGAGTCAATCAAATCGAACTAAGAATGCAGCAACAAACACAGGTAAGAATATCAATAAAAATTTTCTTCTTACTTACTATGAACAGTAGGAGGTGCTTCCGTAGCTGTGGCCTTGATGGGTTGAACGCTCTTCGCATTGCATTTTCTGTACATTTGAACATAAAACATCGTTAGGAACCAAAGAAAGCAACGTAAGAAATTTACATGTACTGCAGAGTTTGTCACAGAACTGTAAAGATGAAGATGACCCAGTTGAAACTGCAGCACCAGAAAATCTAGACGAGGCCAGGTTGTGACTGAATCCAAGACTTGACGTGACCTGATCATTGAGACAAAAGATATAATAAACCCACTGAAACTTTAATGCTTCCTATCATCGATTCAGCTTCCCAATCAAATAATAACTCAGGGCAAACGACTAGGAATTCAATATTTCAACGACATGTGAGGACGCAAGTAGAGAAGATAGCGATACAATAGAAAACACCGAGTTGACTTTACAATGAGAAATTGAAACCAGAACCAAAAACAAGACATCACCTCCTTACTACCTACAAAAACTCCAGGCGACACGGACATACAAAAGCGAAGCAGATCAAAATTCAAAGCTAAACCCAAGAGAAAGAAAACGAAAACGTTTAATACCTGAGAATGATCGTACGATGACGATGGATAAAGCTCGACACGAGGAGCTGCGGCGGAAGTGGCGGCAGATCTGAGGAGAGAAGAGAAGGCCATTGCTAAGGTTACCAGAAACAGAGAGATCTCGCCGCCAAAAACCTAAACCTCTTCCGCTGAATGGCTTTTGAGTGTAGCTCTAGAGCCAAGAAAATGTTCTGTTGAGTAAACAATTGAAAGAAATGCAAATTGCAATTGCACACTTCTGTTAGTCTATTTTTGAAGAATATTCTCATGTAAAATATGCTTACGACTATAGACGATGACTGTGTTCCGATGCATCGCAGCCTATCGTAACTACTTTTACGATGAGATCTAACGGTTGATAATTCTCGGGGGAAAACTACAACGCCGCGTGTACTGGATCAGCGTCAAGGCCCATGATTTGGTGGGCCTTCGGTCATATTTGAACAACGTTGACGTATCTTTTGTCGTTTATTGAGTTTCGTAAAGTTTTGCCACGTCAAAATAAAATGGGCCTGATTTAGTTTGACAGGTGGCAAGTCCAGCTGGCTCTCCCTCTAAAAATGGCTACTGTACTGTTAAAACGACGACGAGGCTGAGCCAGCTCCGATTTGCCACGTGGCATTTTCTTCGCTGTTCCTGCAGTTGGCTCGTCTCACAGTCCCCTCTGTGTGATTAATTTGCTTTTCTGGCTCTCCCGTCAAAAATGGCGAACCGTCGGTTTCTCTGTATCTCTAGAAGATTAATTTGAATCTTCATCTTCTTCTTCTCTCTGGATTCGCCGAGAAACCTTGTTTCTCTGCTTCTCTCGTCGACATTCTCGTCCTTCACGCTTCGGCAAGGTCTCTCATACACACGAAATTTCTCTTTGTTTTAGTTTGCTAGCATGCGTTTGTTGAGCAATAATGTTGACATGCTACTACCGAGTTTTCCGATTGATTTTCTGAATGAGTTCTCCGGGATCGGTTGATTCATCTTCGTATTTGATGTGTAGAATTCGATTTTCTTCTTTAACTTTGGCAAACATGTTACTTATGGATGTTGTTAACGATGTGTCTTCTGTTTCCTCTTGCTTTTCTCTTGTTTCTTCCATCAGATTGCTCTCTTTTCGTTAGCTAGTCGTGCTTGTGAAATCTCTAATTGCTTCTGTGTAAATTCTCTCTCTTTTTTTTCATTGTGAAGATGCCAATGGAAAGGTCGTATAGCAATGCAAGAATGGCCAACAGTTTCACATTCTGGAATGATTGTGTTGATCCAGAGGATTTAGAAGAAATGTGGATGGATCCTGCGGTCAGTGCTGAATGGATTGATGTTGGAGAGACTAAAGGCCAGAAGGTTCACCTTTCAAGGGATCCTGATGGTCAGCCTTATCTTACTCAGACCGAGATGAGGGTAATCACATTCTAAAAGTTGGTTGTATGTTTGACAGAAATTGCGGATGGTTTTCGTTTGATTTCAAACATTCCAATAGTAGATTGATGTGGATTTCGTGAATTCTAGTTAGACCTTTCTTCCTGCCTACTTATTGATCAACCCCTTACCTTTTCAGGCTGTTGCTGATATTACTGTCCGGAGGCATTTTGATTCGATCTTGGATTCGGTATGCTTCATTTTATCATTGAGAGTTTCATATTCGATTGTTGGTCTGTAATAATGACTCAAGAGCAGATTTTCAAAGTGGGCAGTTCTTTAGAAAACTAGTACTTTTGAGTTTGTTTTAGCTACTCTTTAGGTTATTGAAATCATCTATGCCCTTTCTGATCTTGAAGTTTTGCATCTCCCTATTCTTCTGCAGGAAATGATATGCGCAATTGCTGAGCTTGAAAGTGACCGCAAGCCTCTCATTATGCGGTACAACAAAAAGACCAAAGAAACAGGCCTAGGAATTTTACAAGTTTTCGAAAAGACAGCAGCGTGGTTGGCAGGGTACAAAACGATTTCTAGTTTCTCCTTTCCAGGAAGATCTTAGATTTATAAAATCTCATGTTCTGGTTTTGGTCAAACTTTATTGCAGGGGCCAAGGCTATCAGGCATATAATGTGGATGACAATCCTGATCTTCTTCACAAGCCCTTTATAAATGTATATTTTGGGGCAGCTTACCTGAAATGGTTAACAGACTATCAGAATAAGTATGATATATTGTCCCTAAGCTGACATTGCTAGCTTTACAATTTCAATGACAACAAGTCTAAATTCCTCCTGGAATAACTTAAATATATTTAACTTTCCATGTGCAGCCAGAGAAGTGAAGAGTTTGTTGTCAGAGCATATAATGGTGGGACAAAAAAGGCGACTCACAAATCGACATTGCCATATTGGAAACGATACCTTGCAGTGAAAGAAAGTCTCCCTTCAAGGTTGTTGTTTCTGTTTTCTGATTGCTCTTTGTACCTAGTTTCTGTTGTCATATTTTATGCATGGTTGCAAGATAAAGGTTTTTTGTTGCCGTATGGTTTCATATTGTTATTTTTGTTCATAGTTATAATAAGTTAGTTGCACCAATAAGCTGGGAGAAGCGAAGCTAAAACTCTTTGGTAATTGTTGTTGCAGAAAACATGTCGATGCTGGCCCTTCAAGCTTTCATCCTACGAATCCCGCTTCACCAGGCTCAAGTAATCTCTCACTCTTTTTGTATCGTTCTGTATCAAATAACAATGTTTCTACGTTTATACACATGCACTTATGTCAAACATATTAAGATCTCTAGAAATATTAGGATCATGGTGCAGTGTGCCAATGCTTTAGCTGTATGCTCATATTTGGAGAACCTCTATCATTCTCTTTTAAGTTTTGATATAAAATATATACCCTCTGGTTGAACAGACACCAATTTCACGTACTGGGACTCTCGAGCTTCCCCTGAAGATATGGAAGATATGTGGAATCATTCTGAAGTATGTAAAGAGTGGACAAAATCTAAAGAAGAAAGGGGAAAGGTTCGTTTTTCACAAGATGGTGAAAAGAGGCCTTACCTTTCTCGAGGGGAACTTAAGGTACTGTCTGTCTTTTAATTTAGCAGTTTGACAGATAATTCCTGGAGAACAATAACCAACATTGTTCTCACCATGTTGCCTTCAAAGTAATGCTATGTTTTCTATTTCAGGCTGTTGCAGAAATAATTGTTTCAAAGTACTTCAGCACAAAAGGAATTAGAGTTGTAAGTGTGCATATCTGTTAATTATCACTTGCTGAGGAAACTTATATTGGGCATCTTTTTGGGTATATTCATATGCTATTCTGATAGATATGTTCCATCTCACTGATGCAGCCTCTTGTTTGTGCGATTGCTGATACTGTGTGCATGCGGTTTGTGAACGGTACCAAGAAACATGCAGGAATACTCGGAGTGGACTACTCAACCGCTTCCTGGTTATACTCGTAAGTTTGTGATCAAACTTCGTTTCTCTATTCTATAGTTTGCATTATAAAGTCTTAACCAAATATCAAATCCAAATGGGGCTGTTTTTCTGAATAAAGGGAGCTAGGATACCGAGCATACAGAGTTGATTCAGCAGACGATCTGACCAAACCATTTGTCTCTATGTACTTTGGTGTAGCCTATTTGGTTTGGTTATCAGAATATGAAGGAAGGTACGCTTCTAACTCCAACTCCAGCTCTCTACTTATAAATCCTGATTTTGCAAACATATCTTAGTCAAAACATATCTGATTCAAACAATGTGATACGCAGTCAGAGAAGTAATCAATTCATTGTCCAAGCTTATATCAACGGTCCTGACCACGTCGATCTTGAGGCATCATGTCCACTCTGGCTCAAGTTCGAGCAAGCTCTGAGTTACTATGAAGAGTCCAAGAGGTATCATTGTGCATAACCGCAACTATTGCATTTTACTTTATGATAGAAAACAAATCTGACTTATGATTGGTTTTGATGGCTCTTTTCCTCATCAGGGATTCAGGAAGCTGCATTATCCTATGAGACAACGTTTATTAATACACATGATGAAGTTTAAAGAATTTAGCTTTGGTTTCGTGTGTTTGTATCACAAGATTTCCTTTCTGCGGTTTCTGTTTTTGTCTTTAAATTTCCATGTCCTTTTTTTGTTTGTACGATGAATGATTAACTGTGTAGAAAATTTAACAAATGACGACATACTGGTTCTTTCAAAAAAGTAAAAACAATCTTCAAATAGGCAAAACATGGTACAAACAAAATAAGCTCAATAAACCGCGAAATTAAATGGGATAGAAAAAGCTTAAATCTTCGGTTCGTTTAATTTTCCGGCGATTCCGGTTTTTTATTTAGGTTTGGCTAAACCGGATTTGAACTCCCCTAGTTTACGCGTGGTACAGTATATTATACATCTCCACAACAATCTAAGAACGGCGGCTAACGAACGTATTTTCCGGCGATAACTCCGAATCAATTTCTTCACTTTCCTTTCCTTCTGATTCAAAGAGAATGGAGGAACCTACGTCGGAGGATGAAGGGGGAATCACAATCATGGCTAAATCCCGCAAAAATCCTAAAACCGTAGTACAAATTAAGTCTCAGAAACTTGATTCCGACCAGAATGCTCCTCAATTTGAGAAATTCACAAATCCCAACCCTAGTTCCGACACCACATCCGTCGCAAATTTCGAAGGGCTCGGATTAGCTGAGTGGGCAGTGGAAACGTGTAAAGAGCTTGGGATGCGTAAACCCACTCCAGTTCAAACTCACTGCGTGCCCAAGATATTGGCCGGACGAGACGTTTTAGGGCTTGCTCAGACTGGTAGTGGTAAAACGGCGGCATTTGCTCTACCTATACTTCACCGCCTCGCTGAAGATCCTTATGGAGTCTTCGCGCTTGTAGTGACGCCGACTAGAGAGCTAGCGTTCCAGCTCGCTGAGCAGTTTAAAGCTTTGGGTTCGTGTTTGAATTTGCGTTGCTCTGTAATTGTGGGAGGAATGGATATGTTGACGCAAACGAGGAGCTTGGTTTCACGACCTCATATCGTTATTACTACTCCCGGCAGAATTAAGGTTTTGCTTGAAAACAATCCTGATGTTCCTCCAGTTTTCTCTAGAACCAAGGTAAAGAAGAACATTCTCAAATTCTGAGCTATCAAAGTAGCTCCTTTTAAACTGATTCTTAGCTTTACTTTGTCTTTGTTTGATTAGTTCTTAGTACTGGACGAGGCGGATAGAGTTCTTGATGTTGGTTTTCAAGACGAGTTGCGCACAATCTTTCAGTGTCTGCCAAAGAGTCGACAAACATTGTTGTTCTCTGCTACGATGACTAGTAACTTACAGACATTGCTCGAACATTCTTCAAACAAAGCTTATTTCTATGAAGCCTATGAAGGGTTAAAGACTGTTGACACTCTTACGCAGCAGTTCATTTTCGAAGACAAAGATGCAAAAGAACTATATCTTGTGCATATCCTGTCGCAAATGGAAGACAAGGGCATTCGATCAGCCATGATTTTTGTCTCCACTTGCAGGTCTCTCATATTCATAGCTTTAGAAAAAAAACTAGTATATCATCGGGTGATTCCATTTGCAGTTACTGATTAGACATTGTTTCGTGTTTTAGAACATGTCAAAGGTTAAGTCTTATGCTTGACGAGCTTGAAGTGGAAAATGTAGCTATGCATTCTCTGAATTCTCAGTCTCTGCGACTATCTGCACTAAGTAAATTCAAGTCTGGGAAAATACCGATATTGCTTGCGACTGATGTTGCCAGCCGTGGATTGGACATTCCTACTGTCGACCTTGTCATCAATTATGACATTCCGAGGTACCTTTTGCTGAAATTTTCCTTTTTCTTTAATTCACTGTGCTTTTCATGTTTAACTGATATTCTAATTCTACATTTGGCTCAAATCAGAAATCCGAGGGATTATGTTCATCGTGTTGGACGTACAGCTAGAGCTGGTAGAGGAGGACTGGCTGTAAGCATTATCACTGAGGTAAAGTAGTAAATCACAGAACCACATGAAACAGTGACCCTTAAGTTTTGTTGTTCATGGTTGGGCTTACAACCAAACCCTTACATATCCTTTTGCAGACCGATGTGAAACTTATCCATAAAATAGAAGAGGAAGTTGGAAAAAAGATGGAACCGTACAACAAAAAAATAATCACTGACAGTTTAGAAGTCACAAAGGTAAGATTCGCTGTGTAATATATCTAAGTTCTCGACTTTTATCTTTGGCTCAGTCTGATCAAATACTGAGTCATACAAGCTGCTTCGCAATGGTGTCTAAGTTCCAGTTCATCTGGGTATATAGGAAGAGTAAGATCAGTTATTGGCTGCTGACTGATATCCTGTCATGTTTTACTGATCCAAACTTCTAAAACTGAATCTGCAGGTCTCAAAAGCCAAAAGGGTGGCAATGATGAGGATGCTAGATAATGGATTCGAAGACAAGGTTAAAGACCGAAGGAAATTGAATCGTAAAACACTTGCGGATAAAGGGTTGCTTAAGAAACGGAGCAAAAGGCAGAAATCAACAGAAAATTGATGACTAAAATCATCTTCAAGTTTTGTTCTCTTAGCTGCATTTTGAGCGGCAAATCTCTAAGAATCTATGTTACCAATGTTCTTACTTTGTTCACTTTTAGCAAATCCCTTATATTTCTTGCATTTCGATTGTTCACATTTGGTAAGAAACGTTCTTAGTTCTTAACTTCTTACATATCTATCATATTTGATATTTCCTTCTCGACACTTGCGAGAAAAAACAAATTTATTATTTATTTTGTTTTCGTTTTGGTCAAAAAAAAAAGGGAAAGGAGAAAAGGGTCAACAAATATCTCCCTCCTGACCCAAAAACACTTGGAAAGAGTAAAGAGAAACCTATAAAATCTCGACTCTGTTTCACTTTGAAGCCTTGTGGGCTGGTGGTTTGGATTGGTTCGAAGTAGCTGCAGTTGACATAACACGTAACCGACCAGCTATCTCCGTGAAGGATGGCCGTGCTGTTGGGTTAGGCGCCCAACACTCCTCCATTAATATTCGCCAGTCCGAGTCACAGTAGCTCGGTATGGTCGGCCTCAGTGTGTTGTTCACTATCCCACCTGTGTTTAACCCATAAATTTATCAGCAAGATAAGACCTAGTCGTGTCCAATCCGATTTTACCAATTCCAGGCCAAAAACCCGACCATAAGCTGACTCTAACCTTCATATTTTCTGAAAATACTTTGAAGTAAAACTCAAACCCAACCAAAACCAGAATCGAATCAATCCGAGCTGAATGGTATTCAGTTATATTTCATACACCAAAAAATCCGAACTAAAAACAGGATTGGGCAGGAAAAAACAAAGCTTGTGGGTTGGTTAAACACACACCTATTATAGCCCCGTAGTGCATATTAGCATATGGTTCCTCCCCGGTTAGAATCTCCCACAAGACTATACCGAAAGAGAAGACGTCGACCTGCAGGAAAAACAGCAATAACTCGATTTGGTTTTGTTCCCATTCTTTATATTCAGTTATTCACTATGAAATATCTAATTTTACCTTCTCTGAAACTTTGCTGCTGCTACCATTGAGAAGCTCTGGTGCCATCCATGGTAGGGTTCCGCGTACACCACCAGATACCAATGTATTTCGTTTAATTTTTGACAAACCGAAATCACCAACCTAGAGGAAGAACAAACGAGTGAAGAGTATGAATGAATTTTGTTCAAAGACATCATATGAATTGAATTTTTACCTTGCAGATTGGGCGAGAAGGATCTTTGAGGTTCACAAGTAAATTGTCACATTTCAAATCGAAGTGAACAATGTTTTTGGCGTGCAAATATTCCATTCCAAAGGCAGCATCCATGGCAATGATTAGTCTCTTGCGACGATCCAGGTGTCTGACAATATAAAAGTGAAAAAGCAAATAATCTTTAACCGTTCATCAGATAGGAAAACACAGAAACGTTATAAGAGAGATTTGTACCTATCTTTCCTAAGTAGAACATGTCTCAGAGAACCATCAACCATGTACTCTGTTACAGTAGCCAATGTTGCGCCAGGGCCATCTTTTACAACACCATAAAATGCAACCACATTTGGATGATGAAGCTTTGAAAGAATTTCAGCTTCTCCCCAGAATTCACCAGTCTAGAGAACAGAAAAGGTATTCATAAGCGTCCCATGATGAAATCTAGAAGTGTTATCACTAGGTAATCCTTTTAACATATGCCCAAAGGAAATTTTTCCAAAAGAAAATGCAGAAACACTCACTAATCTTTCTTGCTCAGATGATCGGCCAGCAAAGCAACTCTTCTTTATCCTTTTGATGGCAACATCTGATCCTCTCCATTTCCCATGATACACTGTACCGAATGTGCCAGAACCAAGCTCCTTTAGCTCCTCGAGATCGTCATTCATAATGATCTAGAAACATTTAAGAATAGAAGGATCACAGGCAGAGACTAGAAGCAGAAATTTATTTTATAATGACAAACAGGGGTTATACTATGTTTGGTTCTTTTAACAATCGGAAACTTACGATCCTTTTTCTAATGCAGAATAAGTAAAACTTCTATCAGGTGTAAGAATTTATTGTCCATCATACCTGCAAGCCACTCGTGTCGTAATCTGCCAGAGACGGGCCAACTGGGGGAAGTCCAGCGTTCCTTGTTTCTGTCTTTTCATCCTATCAAGTTCATCCTCATTAGTATACTCATGGTTTTGGAATCATAAAATCAAATCTACCAGAAACTTATACCTCATGTTCACAGTCTGAGGTCCTTAAGTTCTCAACCATAGCACCAAATTCCTCACTCTCTGTGACATTCATCTGAGGATCCACACGGTTTTCTGTCAACGGAGCAACCTGATGCAATCTGGCGATTTCTCCACCATCTTCCATGTCAGATGGAAAGCCAGGGGTTCGGTCAATATAAGCAACATCCCTTTCGCTAAACTGCTCCTCGGCCAGATTCCGAAAATAAGACCAATTTTTAGGATCATGATTCTCTACATTCAAGCTAACACCAGCTCCATCATGCTGATATGGATTGCCACCTGGCGGCATATCATCAGAGAGTGCCTTTGCGAATATTTCAGAAAGGAAGTCCTGAGGGAACCGGTCATTGATATCAATAAGAACACCTGAAGAAGTTTGCTTTTCAGGGATATCGAGACTCATTTCTGTGTCTACATGGCTCAAGTTACGAGCTTCAGGCTCAATACCTCCACCATTGACCGTTATTTTGTCCACGGTTTCATTTGATGCCCCTACTTTTCCAGAGATGTTTTCCACATCATTAACAATATGGGAATCTTCATGTGATTTACCCGCTGCTTCTTTTGCTGGTTCTTGCTGTCCAGTGCTAGCTTGTGAATGAGACATTAAGAACTGAGAACCAAGTGAGTCATCAGACTTTGACAAGCGGTTTAGCATTTCCAACTGTTCACGAGGAATCCTCTCCGAACGATATACCCTCCGGGTAGGCTGTAAAGGTTCTGGATAATCAAGATCAATTAGATTCGATTCAGAGTCGGTATGAACAAGACCACAGGTACCACTTGATGATGAAAGCTGATCATCTTCACCGGATAGAGGAACCTGCTCAGTAATAACAGCATCACGGTAGGTAGAAGGCTTCACAGGATTGTTCTGCCGTGTGTCTCTTCTTGGGGGCAACATATGTGCAGCATCCTGGCTGGGTACAGTTGTTGCAACTGATGCCTCCCGATTCTTAACCTCAGTATCATCCGCTTGAGGAAGATTCTGGTGATTATTTGCCAGAATTTGACGATTTTCAGGCTCAACATAATCACGAACTTTCGTCTCAGGTTTTATGTTTGGCTCCTCTACCTGAACTGGTGCGTTTTGCTGTGTGATGCCAGGGTGAGGGTATGGCTGCCCTTGGAAAGGCATGGGAATAGAGTAATTAGAAGAATTGGGATCATGATGCTGCATTGGAAATTGCTCTCTTTCTCCATAATATTGTGGGTATATTCCATACGAGCCGGATGAGATCGATTGTGGATACTGAAGAGTGGAATTTGGTAGAATAGATTGAGGATAGTGGATAGACGAACTTGGTGGGTTGGACTGGGCATACTGAAGAGTAGCATTTGGGGGAACAGCTTGCTGAAACTGAAATGCAGCATTATGTGGAATAGATTGAGGATACTGAGCAAAGGAGGTTGGTGGAGCAGACTCAGAATACTGTATAGAGGATTGTTGGTAATCTACCCCTGTTAACTGCGAAGGGCCAACACCATTGATTCCCTCGGTGTTCCTGACATCCAGCTCAGCTAAATTGTTTGCAGAAGAGCTGTCCAATCCATTAAGGGTTGAGTTGCTTCTTGATCCAAGGTCCATGTCATTAACAGCTACAACATACTGGAACTCAGAGTCAACATCATTTTTGTTAACCCCCAGAAGAGCACCATCCAAATCACTCACAGAGAACAGAAACATTCTAAGCTTTTGCGAACCCCCACGGTTTTCCATTTCATTATACTCCTCCATCATATTCAGTAGATCTTCGTCACATGATACAGACACCAAGGCGTCAAGATCTTCACCAGGAAGTTGATACTTGACAACATGAGTCCGATAGTAGATTTCAAGAACTTTTTGCCTGAGCTCCTGCCAAGATATGTCCTTTCTTATGGAAATAATGTGTGTTTCACCTCCAACATATCTAAGCTTTGAATCACCTGGACGTGGAAGTATTTTCCCACCAAAGCTACAAAGGACTTTAACCTTTGTTGTTAAACTACCTGAGGCTGAAGAAGATGCATATCCATGAAAATTTCCTAAACTTCTATCTTGACATAATGAAGCTTCTGGTGCTGAATGGATATGCCCAAGTTTATTTCCAAACTCGTGACCCGTGGGGTTTGTTCTCTCATACTGCCTCATGCCATTTCCAACCATGCTCATCCTCGAAACATCTGAACCAAATTCAGACCCTGCGTGCCCGTTATAACCTGTGGGATAATTCATATCTCCAGCTGAAATGGGATTTGCAGACCTTTGAGAAATCACCCTATCGCGTAGAAACTCCAGAGAAAATTCCTCCCCTGTTTGTATGGAGTAATGAAGCCCCGGCTTAACATCTGCAGGATGAGGTCGGAGATTGGCATTCGTGATACCCGTTTGATCAGGCGTAAATCCTTGAGGGACAGAGTCATTGACATATCCAGGTTCCATGGCATGTTGCTGGAACGGATGTGGTGGTCTGTTTCTATCCATCACAACAACAAGAACAACAACAGTCTTTCAAATTATTCTGATTGACAAGACCTGTAACAAGAATCTGACATACTGAACTATTAAGAATCACTGCCAAATTGCTTCAGAGATTTTAGGCGACGCCACTAGAAACTTCCCCTCCCAAATATATAAGCTGCAATGAAAAGAATTGAGAGAAATAAATAAGTTTTAGCAGAAGTTGAATCCTCCAGAAACTATCGAGTCTTTCATACTATCAATTAAACAGAGTAGCTACTCATCAAAGTTCTTCCATTTGCAATTGTAGATTGAATAATCCGACCAGAAAAGTCCAAAAACATGCTTTTTCTTCCAAAAATGGAAACTTTTCTACATCAACCTTACATAAATTAATCCAAAACCTCAATACAAGTAATTTAAGAAAAAAGGAAAACAAAACCCTAGCTCGATTTGAAAGATTTAGACATACCACATCGCTAAAATTAGCTTCAGAAAATGTCAAAGAATCAAAAACTGATAGAACAATACCACAAAGAAAAAATGTAGAGCTAGACCGGTAAGAAGATTCAAGAAGGATTGTGAGAGCTAGCAACAATCAAAAACATCTTCTTCTCTTTGTTCAAATCTCAGAATATGCATCAAAACCCTAACTTTTTTTTTATTATTTTTGTTGGTTTTCTCTCACTTTCTCTAGGTTTCCTCGTTGCTTACTCAAAAAATGGTAAATCCGTTTAAAGAAATGATAAAAATGACCAAATTGTCAAGAGTTTCTTTTTTTTTGTATTGTAATGGAAAGAAAATACAAAATGGTTCGTGTCCGTGTGACTCGGTGCTTTAAAACCAGAAGAAACGAGAACCGTACATCTATCGATGATGAGAGAAATAGACGGCTGAGATGAAAGAAGAATAAGATTTGGGTGGGGAGGAGTAAGTGAGAAGCATGGAATCAACAAGTCTATCTCCCGTAGCTTATGTTATACGGTTTGCATTAAATGGGACTCTCAATATCATCAGATCCTATATCAATGAATTAGAAGAAGAACGTGCGCATACTTTCATTCTCATTTTCCTTATAAAGTTTCTCTCTTTTTATTTCCTTACGTAATGTCTTTTTTTTTTTCCCCACAAGAATCGTCATTTTCTGAATTCCATTTCAATATGCATTGAATTCAGTTTCGAATTTTGTTTTTTATTATAAATATAAAATTTTAGTTTGGTTTGATATAGATAAGGATTTTTCTTTGGTTCGATATAAATTTTGTAGACCTTCTTAAATAACTCTCAAGTTTTAGGCCCATTGAGCCTAAGCATAAAAGTCCATAGACTTATTAACTCTCAAGTTTTAGGCCCACTGACAATAGGTTGTCGTTACATCGCCCTACCATGATGAGAGATGTTTTTTTATTGAACTGGATAGGACGCAATCCAAGAAAAAAGGCATTCAAAGCCGAACTCAGGATGATGAAGAGCATGGACACATTCGGATTCCAATGCCCGAATCTATGTCACTCATTTACTCTTCTCCGGACATTAGTCATTGAAAACAGCTCATTGTCACTGGAATCAGAACCACTCATGCTTCACAAGACACTGTGACAGGAAAACCAATACTATTCACCTTTCAAGATAGTATTTCAACAAAGAATGATATGCAATCTATCTTGAAGGTCTTATTATATGTGTGAATCACCGTCAAAAAAAAAAATGTATTCCATTACTTCATCTAATAATCACCTATCTGCAATTTATAAGACTATGTAGCAAATCAAGGAAATATACGAGACTAAAAAGATGCAAACTATTTGTATTACTCTAAATTTATCTTTCACGTGTTTGGTCTATAGTCTATACACATGATACACCTCAGTGTAGGTCAAATGGACACATAACAAAAGATAAGTTCACTAACCCTCAAATACACTGAGATAACATGAATCTCTTATTATGTACAAGTTTAATTCCAAATATGGGTGACAGACAGTAATGGCCTAACCACCAGTAATCATCTCATAGCATGCCATACTGAACTCATTTCACATAAAAGTGGAAGTCTTTTACCCGGAAGATAAATGCATTATAGGTTGACTTCTTCGGTAACTACTTCCTTTCTAAACAACTGTTATCACCCACACGGTTTCCAGTTAGCTCTAAGTGTCCAGTTGTCTGTGCAGTGAGTATTATAGCAGAAGCTTCCACTTTGACAATGAGACCAAGGTCTTTCCAGAGAAGGAACACACTCAGACATTCCATGAATATAAGTCAGCTACAGCAGAAGGACATTGTTGAAAGAGTGTTAAAACCCTTACTGGAAAATACGCAACCATAATCAACCACAAACCAACACAATGATAAGTTTAAGGCTATAATTAGAGTTTCCATGCCAGCATAAGCCTTGCGAGACTTCTGTAAAAGAGATGATCAAATAACAAGGAGAAGTTACTTGTTTGTAAAAAGACAAAAGCAGATATCAATGATAACCAAGTGCTTTCCATGGCTCCTTTTAACTACTTTTTCTTCTCATGATGCAACAATCAAAGAATCGACTGTAACAATTTTATATATCCAGAAAGATTCTATCACCTTGGTTAAGGCGGAGAAGATTCTTCCAAGGATACACAACCAATGATGGACCCACCGGCTGGAATGCACATCGGTTTAGTCTCTCTCCAATTCAGAGGCCTATCCAAAGGGTTACATACCCTCACAACGGGCAATCTCACAATGTCAAATCTCCCTGCCCCTGATTCTTCCCATTTAAGGACCTTACCTCCTATAACATAGAGCTCATCCCTTAGAGCTGCAAACCCATAACCAAAGGCCTCTAACTCTCTCGGATGATTAGGAAGAACAACAGAAGGAACTGAACCAACATTGTACCATTCCCCTTCATCTGTATCCCTAGTCTTGATCAAGCTTTCTCCCCAATCTACAATAGTGTACACTCGATCATTTTTCATCACCTGAACAGCAAACTGCATAGCTCTAGAGAAAGGCCAGACATCCTCCACAGTGGACCAGGTCATGTCTATTGGATTAAAAACTTCAGATGAATTTTGCTCTGCAAATCCCACCTGGTCACTCAGAACATGAAAGCAGCCTCTGTACGATAACCCCGAGCAGTCCATCTGTGGTCTAGGCATTGCTGGTAATTCCTCCCATCTGCAATACTGCTATGTCAGACTCAAATTTAATAGCTTTTCAAGTTAAACATAAGAAAACTTAAAAAACTATATCTTTCCCACATGGAAAAAAAAACAAAAATAGTATATAATGGGGGTTCTTTATGCCAATTATATCCTACACCAGATATTACACAAGAATATAGACCACATTATTGGAGGGAAAAAATACCTATCAGCCACAGGATCATAAACCTCAGCAGATGGAATTCCCCTGGAATGGGTTAAATTGCGACCTCCAGCAACATAAACCTTGCCAGAGACAGCAGTACAAGCAAAGTGAGTCCGTGGTGTTCGCATACTAGCAACCATTTTCCATTCTTTCTTAAACGGATCAAACCGCATGACATCTTTAGTGACAACAGGCTTCTGATGAGGAAACGATGACACAGAAGGCGCATAACAACCCCCAATCACAAGAAGACAATTGGAAACACAAACACACGCAAAACCAGAATGATGCCAACCATCTTGAACAGCCCTAGTTCTAGGCAATGGATGCCATCGATCAGCTTGAGGATCATAAGCAACCCATTGATTCTTAGAACGTTCTGTCAACACAAACAACCAGCTCCCTGACCATCCATTTCTAGCTTTATAAGACGAGTAATCAACGCTACGAACTAAATCTCTCCAGCCTCTGGAAACACACTCGAGCACTCCATGATAGCCATGAGAAAGCTTCGCTAAGCATCTCAAAGCCAAATCATCAGGCAAACCTGGGATTATAGACTGCTCTATTGATTCCCTGAAAAACAAGTTTCAGCCACTAACGATCAGACATCTCAAACTCGATAAATTTTATAGAAAAAACATGATTTTGAACCAAGGAGAGATAAAGGTAAAGGATTTAGATTCAACTTTGTGCAGGAAATAAGAATAAGAGAGCTAACACTTACATGAATCGAAGTCGAGAGATTGTAAATGTATATTGCGATCTCCTTCTCAAGCTTGCTTTAGAACACCAAAATTACCCTTCAAAATTTATCAATTTCCCGGAAACAGAAACACCATTAACGATAATCGAAACGGAAACTGCAATCAGAACGATCTAGTTATGATGGAAGCAAGCACACGCACTCGGAGATTCTGGCAAGGAAGAAGGAGACAGAAGAACACAAGCATGGGGATGGATAGATCCATTTTAATGGGTCGAAAATTTAAAGATTCCTTATTGATCCTTTATTTATACATGCTTTCTGTTTCTTAACCCCTACTTTCTTAAATTACTATTTAACCCCTAACTTTCTACGATCACAAGTTAAACAGCGTCGTTTTATTTGAATTATTTCAGCTTCATCTATATCTCTTCTTTCTTTCGACGGTGCGTGACAGGTCGACTCATTCTCCTCCGATTCACGGTGATTCCGGCGAATACAGAGTCAACATTCAATAAGCCGATCTGTTACATGTTCAAATTGAAGGTTTAATCAAAGGTCCAAGGTAAGCAATTCGATTCTTTTAACCATGTTATTTTCGTCAATCCCAGTGCATTGATTTGGGATTATATCTGTTGCTGAACCGCTCCGATCTTCCCTTATAATGAACTTATCGATCCTGGAACTTTCATATTTTGAGCTTTTGTGTCTGATTTTGGAAAATTATATCCAAAGGCCGCGTTTTTGTCTCAATTTGTGGATCTTTGTTGTTGTATCTTGCATATACATCCTTTTGATTAAGTTAGAAAATTTCTGAAAGTGATGTATAGTTTTTAATTGTATAGGAATCAGGTCAATGGCGTCTTCGTCGGATTCATGGATGAGAGAATACAACGATGCTTTAAAACTCTCGGAGGAGATTAATGGAATGATATCAGAAAGAAGTTCATCGGCTGTCACAGGGCCTGATGCTCAGCGTCGTGCTTCAGCTATACGGAGGAAGATCACCATTTTCGGAACCCGATTAGACAGTCTGCAGTCTCTTCTTGCTCAAATTCATGGAAAACCTATGTAAGCCATTTACTAGTCTAAATCCTAATTGCTTAAAACTGTAAATTAGACTCTTTTAAGTGTAGTGTTGATCTGATCTTGTCAATCTGAATTATTACTTACTGACACAGTTCAGAGAAAGAGATGAATCGGCGCAAGGATATGGTAGGGAATTTGAGATCAAAAGCAAACCAAATGGCGAATGCTTTAAACATGTCAAACTTTGCCAATAGAGACAGCTTGCTCGGGCCAGAAATAAAGCCGGATGATTCCATGAGCAGAGTTACTGGCATGGATAACCAGGGAATTGTTGGTTATCAACGACAAGTTATGAGAGGTAACATCTCTTATCCTAGTAAACATAATACAGATGTTGTTGATTTCTGTACTAGTTTTTCTATTGAATATGTTATTTTTCTGTGAGTAGAACAGGACGAAGGACTTGAGCAATTGGAGGGAACAGTCATGAGCACAAAACACATTGCTCTGGCTGTTAGTGAAGAGCTTAGCTTGCAGACAAGGCTTATTGTATGTCACTAGCTTTTCATTGTTTTGCCTTGATTTGAATTTTCTGATCGTAACACATTTGGATTTTCCTGTATGCAGGATGACTTAGATTACCATGTGGATGTCACTGACTCTCGCTTACGGGTAATATATGCTTCAACTCTTAAATGTTTCAACAAATTACTTTGGTGAATCCCAAGCTTTAGTTGGTCCATACTTCATCAGGAGTAACACTGATCTAATGGTGATATGTTTTGGGTTTGCTCAACCAAGAACCACATTATGCTAAGCTAATGGCTAATTAAAGACATTGATCTGTTCTGTATGTTGTTTCTCTAACAGAGAGTGCAGAAGAGCCTTGCTGTCATGAACAAGAATATGAGAAGTGGTTGCTCTTGCATGTCAATGCTCTTGTCAGTGCTGGGTATTGTCGGTCTTGCTGTTGTAATATGGATGTTGGTTAAGTATCTGTAATACCAACGTCAGAAAACTTATAAGTTTCTCTGTAGGTCACTGTCACTGGCCTCTACTCTCTATGTGAATGGTTGCAATGTATTTTCCTCATTCCACATTTGTGGTTGAGCTTTTCATTTCTCTTCTGTGTCAAGACCCTTAAGAAGTAATAATATATAATGTGTGCAGTTTTCACAGTGTGCTGTCTTCATAAAGATTTAAGAAGTGGTAGGGAGTAAAATGCAGAGACAAAAAAAAAAGGGTATATGTAAGATCTTCATCAAAGAAACTTGTCTGAGTTCAAAATTGTGGGAAATTTATAAAACACCGATATTCATGTCATCCATTATCACTGGAAACAAAGTTCCCAAAATACTTATTTGGTCCTTCATTTTATGTGTGTACTGTTTCTTAATCTCTAAATGACTTGTCAACGCCTAACTTTCTACGATCATATAAGTAAACGGCCTCGTATTTAAAAGATGTCTTCTTTCGACGGAGACTGCCAGTCTGGTTGCGTGGCTACAAAGTCAGCACTCAGCAAGTTGATCTCTTTCTCCATGAAAATGATGGCTTAATCAAAGGTCCTTCGTGAGCAATTGGATTCTCTTTTTGGAGATATATATGTTGTTGAATTGCTCCGATCATCCCTTAATACATGTGTACCAATATCGAGTTTGTTGCTTCTTGTAAGCTAGTTGGATTTTGGTTGCTGTTGCTGCATCTTGTATATACATTCCTTGGTCAAGTTAAAAGTTCTCTGTATTTGATTTAACTTTTTTGATTACGTAGGAATCAGGTCAATGGCTTCTTCGTTGGATTCATGGATGGGAGAACACAACGAGGCTTTAAAACTCTCAGAGGAGATTGATGAAATGATATTAGAAAGAAGTTCAATGGCCGGAACAGAATCTTATGCTCTACCTCATGCTTCATCTATGCGAAGAAAGATCACCATTTTGGCAACCCGAGTTGAGACTCTGCAGTATCTTGTTGCTAAAAGTCCTGGAAAACCTATGTAAACTTGATATGTTTTAAGTTCAATGTTCAATATGTGAATGTATCTTTTTCTTTTTCTTTTTTGTCAATCTGAAGAATTACTTACTGACACAGTTCAGCAAAAGAGATGAGCCGGCGCAAGGGTATGGTTGAGGATCTGAGATCAAAAGCAAATCAGATGGCGTCTGCTTTGGACATGTTAAAATTTTCCAATATTGACAGCTTGTTGAGGCCAGAAAAGCAAGATGATATCATGAGCAGAGTTATTGGCATGGATAACCAAGGAATTGTTGGATTACAACGACAAGTTATGAAAGGCAAGCTGCTGGTATCCTATATTGAATTCTGTATTGGTTTCTCTATTTAGTATGTTCTTTTTTTTTCTGCGAGTAGAACAAGACGAAGAACTTGAGAAGTTGGAGGCAACAGTCATGAGTGTAAAACACATTTCTCTAGCTCTCAATGAGGAGCTTGGCTTGCAGAAAAAGCTTATCGTATGTCATCGGCTTTTCATTGGTTTTTACTGCCTTGATTTGGGTTTCCTTGTCTTACCAAATCTGGTATTTTCCTTTAATACAGGATGGCTTAGACCACAATGTGGATGTTAGTGCCTCTGGCGTTAAGGTAATATATACTTTAGCTCTTAAATATTTCAAACAAATTACTTTTGGTGAGTCATTAGCTTAAGTTAGTCCAATGCATGAAATGAATGGTGATCAGTCTTGGGTTTGCTCCACCAAGAATCACTTTATACTAAGCTAATGACTAACGGTAGGCATGCCTAAAATAACACAAATTTAAGACTTACATGGTCTTTATCTGCTCTGTTTGTTGCTTCTTATTACAGAAAGTGCAGAAGAGGGTCGATACTGGTGTTTGCATGTCACTGCTCTTGTCAGTGCTTGAGGTCATCGGTCTTGCTGATCTAATATTTTCTAATCCCAGTGACAAGGTTCAAGAACCAAGGAAAGTTTAGGTTGAGTTACATATTGGTTTTGTTATCTATATGGCACATGAATGATCATCAGAAGGAGGAACTCCACAAGGATGATCTTTTTTATGTTCTGATATTTTGTGTGATCCTTTGAAGTTTGAACTCTTTTGCGCTTGTCTAACTCCTCATGTTGTACTCCTCATTCCTCTGATTCCCCTTCTGTTGCAAGAACCCTTAAGAAGTAATATATAATGTCTGCAGTTTTCGCAGTTTGCTGTCTTCATAAAGATTTAAGAAATGTTAGCACTTACACCGCAGAGACAAAAACGTTTATAAGTTCTTACACAAGAAACTTGTCTGACTTCGCTCGCTTCATGAAACAATGAACATTTTGTGACATTTGTTAACACCGATTTGCATGTCATCAATGGAAAGAAAACCAATCATGAAATGAAAATCAGTGATTGTTTGTTTGATCATTTTTGAGTTTTGTTTACTCACAACCATTTTCTCCAGCTACTTGATCTTAGCTCGCCGGAGAAGAACCTAGGAATGCTCAAGAGACTGTTGACTCTAGTCAATCCTTCCAACGCCGACCACTCTTCATCATCCTTAACCGATATACACTCGGCAAGTGTTGTCTTCTTGGACTCAATCCTGCAACTCTCAAGCGTCTTTTCTTCTTTTATCTCCCAAACCGGTACAATCTCATTTGAAGCCTCTTCCTTCTTGTCAGAATCTTTGCTTAATGTGATAGTGACACTCTCTGTAGACTCTTTATGTGAATGATTAACCGTTTCTGAAACTTCCACGGATGCTGCTGCTGAAGTGTCTTCAAGAAAGAGACATACTACAGCACAATCGTCGTTCTTGGAAGTAGGATACTTGAGCCTCCATGCTCGAACCGCTGTGTCGACTACAGCACGAGCTGCAGTGTTTCGATTAGGAGCTGAAGCCACAATATCAACAGCTTCTTTGTTCGACAAAACATCCCATACCTAGTAGCATAACAGACACTTTAGCTTCAAAGATTTCGACAATAAGCCGTGAGAAGAATAAGAAGAGTAATGTACCCCGTCTGTGGCTAGAATAATAAACTGATCTCTTTCAGTGAGGCGATGGTAGTTGATATCCGGAACAGAGATTAGCCCGTAATCTTTAAGACAGAAGTCCCCAAAAGCTCGAGCCATTGCTAAACCAGGTGAATCGCTGTTCGGTAACCACACTCGCGCAACCTCAGGCTCGTCTTGTAAGGCAAACACTCTACCTTTACATTTATGGATTCTTGCTGATTCACCTAAAGCAAGTACGTAGAGAAGAAAATCAGATTGTGTTTCCAAGATGATCAACAATGACTACATAAAGAAGAGATTATATACTTGGCAAATCGGGTTTTAAGTCTGTGGTCAATTGTACAGCGATCAAAGCATTGTCTTGATCTCTTGTGGCAAGAACGGCTCTCGAGTCACCTATATTTCCCACCACCAAATCCTTACCCTATAAAGGAATGTATACCAAACAATCAGAACAGTCAATGTACAGATGGGAGAGTAAATAACCGGTGACGGGACTTTCACCTGTTTGATCACAGTGACAGAAGTTGTTCCGCTGCAGAAACAATTGATGGTTGGATGCATTTTTAAATCTTTATCCATCTGTTGACAAGTCTTGAGCAAAGCCCGCTTCAACGGGAGATACATCTCTGGAAATAGCTTTCCCTCCTTCTCGTTTGGCTGTAACTCAAACCACTGCTCTTCATCTACACAAGTAGCAGACTCAAGGCCATTCTTGGAGCCGCTTTGTTCCTTCCTTAAGGTCGTTTTCAATTGAGTTGATAATGTGAAAGGTAACATATCTCGGACTCTCTGTGAAACCATATGACCAAATGGACCATGTCCATCAAATACACCACATAACACTGTATCGCTTCTTGAACAAAAATTCTGAAAATAAGTTGAACAGAAGAAGAAGATATAAAAAGCTAAAATAAAATAATAATCACAAGAAGAACATAAATAGCAACAAGAAGAACGACACAGAGAATCAATTGGTTTATTTCAATCAATGAACCATAACAAAAAGGCTTCTAACATCAAGCAATCCCACATTTCATCACAGTGAACTAAAACCCTAATGAAAAGTGAAACACGAACCTCCCAGACAAGCATGGCGTCTTGGTTAGTTCCTTTTTTGCCTTGTTGTGTGTAAAGACAAGCAATTTCACTAGAACCATTGCCAACAAGCCGACCCACGACTTGTTGAATCTCATTGATTTCGCCGCCGCCATTAAAATCTCTAGGCCTCCGCAGCCTCCCGGAGCTCTGTCTCTCCACAGTAGTAGTGGCGGTGCTTGTTGCTCCGGTTACCTTCCTGGTGGTCTTATCAATTCTCGAATGACACAGACCCATTTGAAACTCCCCAATCTTTCAAAAAAGTTAAAAGCCTTTTTCCTTAAAATCGAATGACACAGAGGCCTGTTTTTTTTTTTTTTGGTCTGGGGTTTGGTCGGCAATAAATTCCCGTTTAAAGACTCACAGCTTCCATGACAACATCAGTAGGACAAAGAATGAAATTGAGATAAGGAAAAACAGAACAAATCTTTACAAAACATTAGAGACAATCAAAATCTCGTAAACTGTTTAAAATTCTCTGTTTGAAGAGAGAGACGCCAAACATGAACACAGACAAGACCACAAAGTGTTTACTAACTCCACTTCCGTAAGACTGACTATTCAAAAAAAAAGAAGTAAAAAGTGTATTTTTTTTAGTCAAAAAGACAGAGGTTGGAAAGAGGTCGTCGCTTGGTTCTGCACGTGAGATACTGAGATCAATTTTTCTCCCTTTCAAAATGTTTTCTATTTAAATTTTCAAAATCAAAATTTTCTGAAACATACTATTAGCAAGGAAATATTTGGTTATTTAGTTATTTACCACCCACTCCAACTGAGAAACCAATTAGAATTGTTCACGCAATCGACATAGAACCTGAAACGTGTCTTTTGTCATAAAAATGTGAAAAGGATTGAAACATTGTTGGCACTAAATCACTATCTCCCAAGTCCAAACTCTTCTTAAGATGCATCCAGTGTATCATTATTACATACCTTGTTTGTTCTGTATAAATAGTAACCATAGGTACATAGCATTAGCATATACACTAGATTCTCCTCCAATCAAATTCAAAACCTAATGTCTAAGAGAAGTAAAAATATAGAGTGTGATGAATTAATTTACAAAGTATCTCACCCAACTATGCCTATTATGTTAATATTTTGGTGATAAATTTTCCAAACTCCATCAAAACTTTACTCTTTTTGGGCTTCTCAAATCAAGTTGGTTGAACTGTAAAGCCTTCTCAAATTTGGACAAGGGAGCTAATAATAAGAGAAGATGTAGTGGATTGTATTTTGACAAAAGAATCCCGGTTAACGACCTTAACCAATACAAGAAATAATAACAACGATTGGTTATTGACCTAAGCTTTGAGCCACCGCCTTAACCAAAGAAAGCTGTTAAAGATCGGTACGGTTAATTCATTACTTATCTTACTCATACAAAGTTTCGGGTGAAGGAAATCGTAACCCTAGCGAATTCAATTCAGTTCTCATTTCATAGAATCGAGAGAGATCAATTACCTTTATCAAATCGAAGATGCCGAAGAAGATGGGTTTGAACAGCAAGGCGGAGGTCGCCAAATCCAGGAAGAACGCGGCGGAGGCTGAGCAGAAGGATCGTCAGACTCGGGAGAAGGAAGAACAATACTGGCGCGAGGCCGAGGGTCCCAAATCCAAGGCGGCCAAGAAGCGGGAGGAGGAAGCGGAGAAGAAGGCCGAGACCGCCGCTAAGAAAGCGGAGGCGAAGCGTCTGGCTGAGCAGGAGGAGAAAGAGTTGGAGAAGGCTTTGAAAAAGCCGGACAAGAAGGCGAATCGCGTCACTGTGCCTGTCCCTAAGGTCACAGAAGCTGAGCTTATAAGAAGGCGCGAGGAGGAGCAGGTGGCTCTGGCTAAGAAAGCAGAAGACTCTAAGAAGAAACAGACTCGCATGGCAGGGGAAGATGAGTATGAAAAGATGGTTCTGGTGACCAATACCAATCGCGATGATTCTCTCATCGAGGCACATACCGTTGACGAGGCGCTTGCACGGATTACTGTGTCAGATAACCTGCCCGTTGATCGACACCCGGAGAAGAGGCTCAAGGCTTCTTTTAAGGTTATCTCGTGTGCCCTTTGCTTTAATGCTTCTTAATTCATAGCAAATGTGTTTGATGTTCAGATTTCGTAACATTCGATTGGGAAGAGTATAGTGTATAACAGAGAGGAAGGATGATGTATCATTTTCCTGAGCTGAGCTATAGAAGAAATTAGTAGTTACTCCTTGTAGTTATATATCATGAGAGTCTCTGTTGTTGAAATGATAATTGTTTGATAGATCGATCATGATATGCGAAGCCAAATTCTGGTGGATCTATTTGCTGAGTTGTTGCTATGATTGTGATTAGGCCTATGAAGAAGCGGAACTTCCAAGGCTCAAGGAGGAGAAACCAGGTCTTACTCACACTCAGTACAAGGACTTGATATGGAAGATGTGGAAGAAATCACCAGATAATCCTCTTAACCAGGTAAATGATAATCCATCTCGCGCTTAGTCAATGGTGATAGGCCTTAAGATTGGCTTGTTCAACTGTTCAAGTGCATATGTAGTTGGTGTTTGTACCAAATAAGTTAGCAGTTAAAACACTTAAGGGATCTAGAAGTAGTAGGCAGAGGTGTTGATTAATAGGGATGGTTTATTGTTAAAACAATCGGAAGCTGAAATATGTGTTGAACAGGCTGCTGCTGCTGCTGCTAATGAGTGAAATGCAACTTGGAGTCAGAACAAGGGAAGGTATGATGAAGAGGGAGATGCATGGCAGAGAGTATGATGCAAATCTTTTGTTTCCCTGAGAATATGTTTGAGTGACGGACACTGTGTAACATATTTTGGGCATAATTATGCTCACCAACATTGCTTATTGTTTCTTGTGCTTTGTGTATAAACACTATGATATAGCAGACAAGATCGTTTTAATAAGGATATACCTGTGAGCTGTAATAAATTAATAATCACATTCACACAACATGTGAGTATGACCACAGTTTAATTAAACCCGTATCAGTAGTTTGGTTTCCTGGCTGTTCAAGACAAACATCTTAAAACTACAACAACTAAGGAAGGACAAAGCAGTGTTGAAAACGCAGATTATTCTTTAAGATAAATATGGAGATTTAAGTATGAGATATATAATCATTCGATATTCTGAGCAGAGTAACATTTCAGATAAAAGAGGTGGGAGGAACAAAAAAAATATCGTGTTCTGATCTGGTTAAAAGGCTGATTTTTTTGGTCGGAACTCAGTCTTCAAAATCTGCTGAGTGCTCTAGCAGATAGTTTGCAGCCATTTCCTCGTTACGGTCACAGGCAAGGAAGGCTTCTATGACTAGTGCTCTATCAAACCCCATTGCCTCAAGCTGATCAAATAGGTTTAACGCAAGTGTTAGAAGGGATGAGAAATGGCATTACAGGTTCATATAATGGTGATGAGGAATGTGTGTGTGTAGGTACCCGTTGAATCGCTTCTTGCTCTTCAGGGGTAACGTTGACTGCGTGGGGCATTTCTTGCTCGGGTTGGTCGAAAATATCCATATCCCTGAGAGTTTCAAACCATTTATAAGAGCCATTGAGTCATGGGATCACATATAGACATAATTGGTTTGATCAATCACGGATTTAGCCATTCAACCAGTGGCCAAACCAAGAAAAAGTTTTGCATACTACTCAGTACTCACCCGTCAGATCCTTCATAGGGCTCGTTTAGTAACTGAAGAAATTCTGCTTGGTTCTCTTGAATTAGCCTCAGAAGTTGAGGGTTCTGTTTTCCGAGCTCTTGAAGCATAGGCTGTAACAGAAGAAGCAATGAAATCGTGAGATATTCAGAAGCAAAATAAATACGTCAGACTAATTATTGAGCCAAAAAAAGAAGGATAAAAGACTCACTCACCTGCAGAATCTGGGGGTTGGAATTGACCATGGAGCGTAATTGTTGGAACTAAAACAAATGGAAATGTAACAAGATAAGTGTATGAGGAAGCTGCATTGAATGGTTAAAGCAATATCACATAGGATTAGGCTAGAATACACCTCCCTGAAGGTGATGAAACAGGCTTCTAATAAAACTAGTAACCAAGTTTCAAATCCTTAATCATTCTACTCGACCTATCTGAAAAGATAGAATGAAAACCTGATCATTGCCTCTGAGGAATTCAAGCGTTCCAAGATCTCCACCACCAGCATCAGAAACTGCTTCCTGAAAAGAAAAAACGAATGCATGCAATGAGAATTCAACTTCAATTAACTCTTTTCGATGATCAAAGTACCAAGTTCTTACCTGGGGAAACAAATCCAAAGGAGATGAATTAGGTCCTCCAGAGGCAGGAGGAGCGGTAAGTTCTGCACCAGATCCTACTCCAGATAAATTAGTTGCTGGAATGGCTACTGTTTCAGGAATTCCCTGAAAATTAAAATGGAGATATCAGCCGTTACATTCCCTTAAACAAATATTCACAGAACACTGTTAAAGAGAAGGGGCATACAGAATATAGATAATCCACTGCTCTCTCAGGATTGTTATACGCTGCACGAAGTGCACGAGTAACTGTTTCTTTGTCCCAGCTACCTCCCCCCATTTCCATTATTTGTTGTACCATCTGCTCAACACTACTGCCACTAACTAAAGTTGAAGCAGCTTGACCATAGGTGTCACTTTGTGCCCTACAATGGTGTGGAGATCATAGAGTATCCATAGAATCCTCAAAATATAAATTCAAGTAACTTAAGTTACTGAAGATTTTTTTTTTCGAATAAAGCCTCTTATTTCAAGAATAAAACTTACGCCGGCTGTTCCTGAACGGGAGTAGAATTTGAAGATGGCACAGCTATAGACGGAGCTGCAAGCTGATCGATTGATAGATACTTGTGTTAAATGAACCAAGGAAACAAAATGTTGACTGCATAAGAAAAGAGATCTAAGAATATTACCGTGGTTGAAGATATGGTAGATGTCGTGGTGGAAGTAGGCTGTGAGATAGAAAGAAAGTTCTCAATGAGTGATACTCAACTGACCAAGTGATGTGCACAACCATGAGAAAATAAGAAATAAGCTTACCTGAGTGGAAGAGGGACCAGCTGAACTTGCAGTTTTGCTCTATCCATTGCAAAAAAGGCAAAGATGTTGTCAGCACAAGCACATAGGTTCTCTTGTAGCGTTTCTTAATTTGTTATTTATTCACCTATCATCTAAGCTTCCCACTAGAATCATCTCAAGTATTGCTTATAACAAAAACAAAGTTTTATCAATTTGAGTTTCTGCTATTGCGATCATTAGCCATAGAAAACACAGCCACTATAATAAACAGGATATATAAATCCAGTCTGCTTAGAGTGCCTCACACTAAGTATCTAGGATCATAAAAGAAATCAGAAACCGGATCATACACAACTAGATAAGAAGTTAAAATAGGTACCTTGCTAAGCATGACGACAAGAAAACCCTCTTCGGTAACCTTGTTCTCCACCAAAGTAGTTTCATCTTTCAAAACTTTGCCATTGTGAATCAGCAACTGCTGTCCACAAGGATAGTTGTCTTTGCTTTGTGAATCTTCAATATTCTTCTTCACCGCCATTATCTTCAAAAAAAATGTAGAAAAATTCCAGCATATAACCATGTAAGAACTCATACACAAACACTCACTCAACCAATACATTTCATCGAAAAACTTAAAATTCTGAATCTAGCATTTTTAGAAAGCTATTCATCAAGTAATATGTATCCCAGATTGGTATTGCAGCATCTCTCACCTTTCGAAGATATCTAAATCTACTGATTCCCTTATAGAAAATTACACGTAGATTTGAACCAAGGAAGCGGAAAAGGAGGACTAACCGTGTCGGTGGGCTGAACTCTAATTTCAAAATGGCTACCCTTGAGAGTCTTAACGGTGAGCTTCATGCCGACGATTTTAGACTTGAAGATATTACCGGCGGCGTCGGCGAAGTCCGGCGAGGGAGCGAAAAATAGAGTGACCTAAAAAAAGAGCTTTTAGATTTTCAATCACTGTAGGAACAATGCCGACTTTTTGGCAAACAGTCGCTATCAACATAGCGTTTCGGATTTTAAAACGCGGCAATAGCAACCCCACGTGCATCGCACGTGACACACTCCCTTGACCCTTCCTTTCTGAAATTTAACCGGATAAACACAATCAACTCCCAATCACAATACTAAAATTCCCGGTTTACGACCTTACCAATACAAGAATCATAACAATGATCGGTTCGTTTAACAATTGATAATTTTATCAGAATTCATACCACCGTTTTGACCAAACAAAAGACAAACGCGAATCGTGCAAAACACAGTTAATGGAGATGTAAGAAAAAGATAAATAAAAATGAACGGTTCAGATGAAAGTAGGGAAGGAACAAAACTTTTCGTCCTTGTCACTCTCGCTCGAAAAGATAGTTTGCAGCCAATTCCTCGTTATGGTCACACGCAAAGTAGGCTTCTACGACTAAATCTCTAGCAAACCCCAGTGCCTCAAGCTGATCAAAGAAGGGATGAGACAAGTTGTTATTACAATGGTGATGAGGAATTACAACTACTTTCTAGTTAGACAAATTCTCCCAGTGTGATTCGGAGTTCATTGGAGAAGATTTCTCTTCACTGAAATGATTATTAAAAACTATGACAGCATCTGTGCAATTTTTTTTTTTTTGTAGTTTTAGTTATGTTTACTGCAAATTGACCTTTCTCAAATGTATGTATTTTCTGCAGGAGTTCGAGACCGATGTAAATTACGAGAAAGGAATTATTTATATTTTTATGTTACAGATGTGCCAACAAAGGCCATGCGTCATTAAGCAAACGAGACTCTATTATAGTCGAAAGATAGAATAATTTTTTTTTTACAAATCCATTTTTCATGAAAAGTTTTTCAGGATCTCCAGCAGATGCATTAGCTCAGAACTCACGGTCGGGGAAGAGTATCGGAGCAACAAGGGACCAGATGAAGAGACCAGCAGTGGCCCAGCTGGTCACAACACGGACCCACACTGAAGGCCAACCGACATCGACAAGCTTACCACTTTCACCAACTGAAGTTGACCAGCCGGTTAAGAGCATTGCAGAGTACATGCTCGCGAGGGAGAAGATGATGTGGAAGAATGCGTATGAGTATGACACTGGTTTTTTATTCTCTTTCTCTTCCTTCTCTTCTGCTTTCCCGTCTATCGGAAGCAGCGGCTTCTCTGAAAAATTTCAATGAAAGCAAATACGCTACGATTCTTAGAAGCAACTCTCAAGCACTCACACAACAAGGTTCAATATAGGGATTTGAAATACATGTTTCAGTTCAGTTTTGATTCGAGGGAAGCAAAATATAGGAGAAGGGGTTTTTGCCAAAAACATACCTGCCCGAGGAGAATCAGGAGGTGAGAGAAGAGTAGTGGAAGAACCAGCACGAACAGCTGAATAAACGACAGAGAGTACAGTTGTGAGTAATCCAATGGTCATTGTGCCTGTTGAAACAGCTTTGGAGTGTTTGTGGAGACCATTGCACTCAAAATCTCGGGGCTCACTTGCAAGTCCACTGTAACAGAGGTACATGCAGTAGAGAGATATAACGGATGCTGGTAAAATGCTTCCACCGACCTGCAAAAGAAAAAAGGTTAGTTTGACTTCAATGAGTCTGAAGTTGAGAATCAGCCAAGATCTCAGATCAGAGTAATAAAGGGTTTCAGTCAAAACTTACAGCAGGATGCAAAACTACAACAGCAAAGACGAATACAAATATCAAAGTCATGATAATGAAGAAGGTGTTCAGTCCACAATCATGTCCAGATGGAGTAAACCAGTGGAAGAGAAGCCCAGAGAAGACGAATGTTGCCAAGTAACATACAAGAGACACAACGAGTAACGCAGCATACCTATATATAAAGTAAAGTACTTAGATTAGCAGTGGGATTATGAAGTCACATATGATTTGATTGCAAATATTACTAACCAGAACTGCTCATCATAACCAACCCATGTGTCATTCCACCCATGAACGAAATCCAAAAGAAGCACAACTTGAACAAGAAGAAAAAATCCAGCACCAAACTTTGACATCGACTCTGCAAGATGTCAAATTGATTCTCATTAGTTCAATGCTAATTGATACACTAATCACTTTGCAATAATAAATGAGACTTACCATAGAAACTGATGATTTCATTTGGAAGGAAGAACATTAAGATGACCAAAATGCACCAACAGATTATCTTCATCATCCAACCACCATGGTGTATACCATCACGAGGGTCTTTCTGATTTTTCACACCGATCATCATAACCGATAGAATGGAGAAAAATAAGAAATTCCCTAAGCTGACACGCAACACAGCATCAGTCTCAAACCATTCACGATCAGGTGTCTTGTGAAAATGGTTAATCCCTGCAGAATATCAGTAATTAGTTCCATAAGCTAATAAGAATCTCACAAGAAGGATAAAAACAATACAAACAAAAAAAAAACTTACAAGGGAGCTTCTCCATGAGAGGAGCAGCAACTTCACGGAGAATCCATGAAACGATTAAGGAAAGTGCAAAGAGACCACAGTAAGCAATTCTAGCAGAACGTCTGCTGATCCCAGAAACCACAGTACGGCAAGCATCGCATGCACAAGCAGCACAACACGATGCGAGACAAGAAGCTGCAAACATCTTCTTTATCCTCCAATATCAAATATTCAGCTGCAAAAACACAAACACATATCATCAAAACAAAAACCTAATTTCGGATTGAGACGGTAACAAAAGCAGCTTTTTTACGACCGAATCGAAAATTAACCAATTTTGGTCAGAAATAAACAGAATTCTTTGGAATCAATCATATGAAATTGGAATTGGTTTATATAAGCTGGAATTTCCCCCAAATTCGAGATGAAATCATAGCTCCCGATCTAAATCTATACCCGAGAAACTAGCTTTAGTGATCGGATTTTAGCTCTGGAACAGAAAGAAAGAAACCAAAATCGCTTTGAGAAGGAGAGAATCAAAATACCTTGGCGATCGATCAAAACCCTTGAGCAATCCTCTCCTTGAAAAGTAGAACAACTCGTTTTGTTTCTTTATTATCTCGCTCCTGATTTCGGACTTTTGACCAACTAACAATGGAACTGGTAAACCAATCAATACAACATATAGTGCACCCATCGTTTTAGGCCCACTAATGGCCCAATTTCCCAATATTTTTAATGGCCCAGTTGCGTAAAAAAAACAACGAACATTTGTGGTTGTCTAAAAAAGTTTTGAACATCTGAAGTTCTCAACCAACCTTCGTTAATAACTCGCTTGAAAACGTGAAACCAAAATATTGAACACCTCATACAATACAAGGTAACAAAAACATTATCATATGAATTTACAAAATTTTACATTTTATTTGCGGTATGACATCTATAATATTTATTTGATATGGATCGTGATTAGTAGAACATCATCCCATATTTGTTCGTTGATGATGGCTTATACGTGTTTGTTTGTAAATAAATGCCCTCTGGAAGCTGCAAGAGTCAGATCATAGTCCTAGCCTCCTAGCCTCCTAGCCTCCTAAATGTCATCATCTAGAACATACATACATGCACATCCATCATCTTCAAAACATAACAACGCAAACGCATCATCATTTTTTTTTTCCTCTTTTTTTTTTTTTTTTTTTAACTTTTTGTATATAAAATCCCTAAATTCCCGTTTTATGAAACGGACTTAATAAAGCCGCGTACGGCGTATCCGGCAAATCGGCCCAGCTCAACCTACGGAGGAGATCTCTCTCTCTCTCTCTCAGCGTATCGCAACAACGCTGGTGGAGATTTCGGGGTTGTCGACGGAGCTGGAATCTAGCTTTTTCTTCTCCAGATCTCTTACCGATTCTCACCGGTTCGTTTTCTAATCATCTTTCACCTGCTTCGGATCTCTGTGTTTCCCTCCATTATCGGCATTAGAATTTTCCATTCGTCGAATCTCTCTTAATCCAATGTGCATCGATGACGATTTGTTATTGTCTACTGTGATTGATTGAAAATGACGTTATTGTTGGCAATTTGTTGCTTTAATTTTCATATTTTGCATAAGATCCAAGCTCGTTTTGTAATTGTAATGCCAATTATAAAGACTAATTGTAATTGATATGTGTCTCTCGTTTGCTTCTCCGATTCTTGTTTCTCATTTGACATTTATGATGTCGAATTTTTTTTGGTAGATGTAGAAATGGTTTATGATGGAAAAAGATCCCAAAATTTACATTCAATCTGATTGTGATCTCTTTGGTTTTTGTGCATTTGTGTAAACGACTGTGTGTCAATTTGCAGGTTGGTATTATAAAGCCATGGTTCTTGATGGGCTTGTATCTTCACCATTAAGGAGACAACAGTGTCTAAAGAAGCAATGGGATGAGTTGGGTAGCTGGTCGACTCTTATTCAGAGGCATCAATATCTTTTAACAGCATTGGCTCTTTTGGCATTCCTCTGTACTGTTTATCTTTACTTTGCGGTTACTTTAGGCGCCAGCCACTCGTCTTGCTATGGCTTGACCGGGAAAGACAAGGCAATGTGTCAATTACAACATGTTCAAGCGATCTCCAAAGGGAAACTTAAATTCTTCTAGAGTGTTATCGGTGAAAGCTGAAACCCCATTTATTGTTCTTGTATTAAAACATTCTTTTTCTTCTTGATTCTATAATGCAATTTGTGTGTACTTACTACATGGTGAAAAAACCCAGAGATTCATAATCGAAACATATAACCTTTATTTCATCAGATGAGAGTATACATGTGCAGTGTTTTGAGTCGGATCATCACCGTCGGTTGTATGTCAAACCCCTTTAGGTGCTCTTATAATATAGCTCATGCATTTATGTATCTTTGGGAATGCTTACCAGCGGAATGATGATAGCAGCGGGATATAACTTCTAACCTACAGGTCCAAACTCTAAAACTGAAACCATAATGCTAGAAGTAAAAAAATTTCTGGTATATCGTTGACTCCTACTCCTAACAAGTTTGTTTTTTCAGTCATCAAATAATACATTCAAGTCACACCAAAAATCCACACTTCATTTCAAATGTACATATAAACTTTGAAATTCAAATATACTTTGTGGCTGCAGATGTGATCTTATAGATTTTCTTGTCACAATGTGCGTCTAATTTTGGGAATACGTTGAACATAAAGGCTGGAACAGTCTTGTATACGCCTCCGCAATCATCCCCTGTTGATCTCCATGGCTTGGTCCTCTTCATCATCATTTTCAAAATGGGCCTCTAAATCTTCAGGTGATGAACGGATCCTCTCCAGCTCAAATGAAGCCTCTCTCATGTTTGGTCTTTTACTTCCTTTCCGGCTAAGACACTTTCGAGCTAGTTTTGCCACTGCCATCAGTTGGTCAAGCTTGCTTTCATCTTTGATCCGAATATCAATGATGTCAATCACTCTGTTTTCTTTCATGGCCTCGAGGAAATGAGTTGCCAACCCCCTTCCTTCCTCAGAACGGATAAGGGACAGCGGTTTTTCTCCAGTGATGAGCTCTACCAGGACAACCCCGAAACTATAAACATCGCTCTTGTCAGTATATTGGCTTGATAGGAAGTACTCTGGATCCATGTACCCAAAAGTTCCTGCAACCATTGTTGTCAGGTGAGTTTGATCAATGGTTACCGATCTTGAAGTTCCGAAATCCGAAACCTTAGCTCCGTATTTTTCATCCAATAGGATATTGGTAGTCTTGATATCTCTGTGGTATATTGGAAATGATGCAGCTGAGTGCATGTATGAAAGAGCTCCCGCGATCTCTATGGCTATGCGAAGACGCACTTCCCAAGTCATCACATAATCTTCGGATTCATCATGAAGGCGCTTGAACATATCTCCATTGGGAATATATTCGTAAACCAAGATTGGAACCTCTGTTTCCAGGCAACATCCCAAGAGTTTCACAATATTCCTATGGTTAATCTGTGAAAGAAGGATGATCTCATTGATGAACGTTTCAAGCTTATCTTCATCGACAACTTTGGATTTTTTAACTGCAATGATCTTTCCATCCACCATCATCCCCTTATATACAGTTCCTTGACCTCCTTTCCCAAGCACCCTCTTCACGCTAAAGTTATCGGTGGCTTTTTTCAACTCTTCCGAGCTAAATATCCTCGACATGTCTACATTACCATCATCTGTAGTAGTTAGTTGTTGTTTTAACAACAAGCCTCCATTACGTTTGAAGAACTTCCTGCTACTGATGATCCTCCTTCGCTTTTTTATAACTATGACCAACCCAAGCGTACCAACAACTAAGAACAATAGTCCCAACAAACCTAAAAGAACCCCTGCAACAACGAAGGAAAACATAAATAAAACTGCTTCCTGCTCTACCTTAAAGGATGGTAGATGCAAGGTGCCATTGGAACTCACCTTGTAGCACGAGGGATTTGGCCGGCTTGATTATCTTGGGCTTGGGATCGCATCTATAGCCTCCACGCACGTTCACACAAGTGCCTTCTCCACATATATTGGGTCGTTTGCAATCATCATCGTCTGCATATATATCAATTATCAGTATTAATGATCTGATTTAGTCTCAACAAAAAGAAGAAGAAACAAACACTTACCTATGCAACCCCCTCGAAGATATGGATTCCCTGTGAAGCCAAGGGAGCAATAGCAGTTCCTATAACTAATTTCGGAAAAGTAACCATAGTCGCAAAGACAATTATCATCGGATGAGTAAGATCCGGAATAGGTCATATTTATGCAACCGAAGGGGTTCCTAAAGCGAGAATCCGAAGTAGCAAAGTACCAACCTAGCTCTACCACCACGTAGCCACCAGCATGGAACTGTTCTGGTACAGTAACATTTGACAGTGAATACCTCTTGCTAGACAAGAAGGCAACCTTGCATCCTTCTCCTCCTGAGCTCTCTACATTGACACCTACTGCTTGAGGACGCTCCACCGGTATCCTCGCCTGGCAACATTTGTAACCGTCACATAACGAGTTTGTTACTTCTTGACTACTCTTGCTATCTTCGCAACTCGATTCACAACCCAAGATCTCTGATTCAATATCCGTCATCAACGCCTTTGTACCGCAACCAACCGCGACGAGACGGTTCTCGTCGGTGATGAAATATGGGCTGCCCTTGCCCGTGACATTCAAATCCGGCAGCGACTTTTGGGGTACTTGACTAGTATTACTAGAACAACCCAACGAAGTCACAGGACCTTTGATGAGAACTACTCCGTATGGTCCATAACCATCTGGAAGAGAGATGTTCACCACTTCCCTGTTGATTCTCGACAGGAATGGAACAGTTGTGCCGGACGACCCGGAAGTGGTGGTGTTGCAGACAACCTCGTACCAACTGTTGAGATAACAATCCTTCCCACCGATTCCGAACGGGAAGGGGATCGAGATTCCTCCACAGGTTCTGTTACAAGAAGTTGAAGAATTCTTACCGTTTGGAGGTGGAGGAGGTGTTGCTGCTGATGAGCCATTCATGAGCTGCAGAGTTAAGACAGACACTACAATACATAAAACCCGGTAATTTTTTGTCTTCATAATTCCTGTATTTTTATTTTGGTCCTTGATCTGATCAAATCTCAATCAGCTTTTCTATGAAAAAACAAGTTCAGGACCCGCCCGATCTGATGTTAAGGTAAAGGTCAATTGTCAATAGAGGTTTAGAAAGAAGCGTATAAAGCAAGTTACAAAGCACACAAAACTAATAAAACTATGGTCAATGTCAATGCCTGAGGGATTCTAGTTTAAGTTAATGATTGAACGTTGGATTATAAAAAATACAATCTTTTTTCTGATGACCATGTGAAAGTAGACCAATCACATTATACTCATTTGATCATCGTCAGCACTCACCATGTTGGCATACGAAATTATAAAACAAATTAAGTATGGTCAATGTCAATGCCTGAGGGATTCTAATTTACGTTTAATGAGTTCACGTTGGATTATAAAATTTTTAACTTTTATTCTGATGTCCATATTATTGGAGATGGTTTGATCCGGTTAACTCTGGTTAACTTGGTATTGGTTTAATGTCGATTATTAAGTTGTATATATAAGCTTAAGAGTACTGTTTCATTTACTCAATAAGTTTTGTAACAAACTCTGTTTGACTGTTGAATAAAGATTCTCTTTGACTCCGATTCTTCTCTTTGCTCGTGTTCATCTTCTCCGATTCAGGCTCTTGAACTTAATAAGACTTGGGTTGTGGAATCTTTACCTGAGGGTAAGAATGTTGTGGGTTGTAAATGGGTATTCACAATCAAATATAACCCAGATGGAAGTGTAGAAAGGTATAAAGCAAGGTTAGTTGCTCAGGGTTTTACCCAACAAGAAGGTATTGACTATATGGATACTTTTTCACCTGTTGCGAAGCTTGCTAGTGTGAAGTTATTACTTGGACTTGCAGCTGCAAAAGGGTGGAGTTTGACACAGATGGATGTATCTAATGCATTCTTGCATGGTGAACTTGATGAGGAAATTTATATGCGCTTGCCTCAAGGATACACACCACCAACAGATACTGTTTTGCCTTCTCAACCGGTATGTCGTCTCTTGAAATCTCTTTATGGCCTTAAACAGGCATCTAGACAATGGTATAAGAGGTTTTCTTCAGTTCTGTTGGGAGCAAACTATGTACAATCACCTGCGGATAATACTATGTTTGTGAGAATGACTTCAGATAGTTTTGTTGCTGTGCTAGTCTATGTTGATGACTTGATGATTGCCAGTAACAATGACAAAGCTGTTGAACAGTTAAAAGAGCTCTTGAGATCAGAGTTCAAAATTAAAGATTTAGGACCTGCTAGATTCTTTGTAGGATTGGAAATAGCTAGGTCTTCTGAAGGAATCTCACTGTGTCAAAGAAAGTATGCTCAGAATCTCTTGGAGGATTCAGGATTGCTTGATTGTAAACCAAGTTCAGTACCAATGGATCCAACTCTGCATCTAACTAAAGAGATGGGTACTTTGTTACCAAATCCTACTATATACAGAGGTATTATTGGACGTCTTCTGTACTTATGCATCACCAGACCAGATATTACATATGCAGTGAATTCTCTGAGTCAGTTTCTTTCAGCACCAACGGATATTCATCTTCAAGCTGCATATAAAGTGCTACGGTACATAAAGGCTAATCCTGGTCAAGGATTGATGTATCCTGCAGATAATGAATTGTGTTTGAATGGTTTTGCTGATGCTGACTGGGGAACGTGCAAAGATAGTAGAAACAGAATGTGGTCAGTAGAAGCAGTACTGAAGCTGAGTACAGGAGTCTTGCACAGGCTACTTGTGAGCTTATTTGGTTGCAGCAATTATTGAAGGACTTACATATCTCGGTTACTTGTCCTGCAAAGTTGTTCTGCGACAACAAATCGGCTCTTCATTTGGCAATGAATCCAGTGTTCCATGAACGTACCAAACACATAGAAATCGATTGTCATACAGTGAGGGATCAGATTAAAGCTGGAAAACTGAAGACATTACATGTTCCTACTGGCAATCAACTTGCAGATATTCTAACCAAGCCTCTTCATCCAGGACCATTCCATGGTTTGATCAAGAAAATGTCTCTGTCAAGTCTATATCTTCCAAACCAGACACTTAGAAGATAAAGACTTGAGGGGGGTGTATTGGAGATGGTTTGATCCGGTTAACTCTGGTTAACTTGGTATTGGTTTAATGTCGATTATTAAGTTGTATATATAAGCTTAAGAGTACTGTTTCATTTACTCAATAAGTTTTGTAACAAACTCTGTTTGACTGTTGAATAAAGATTCTCTTTGACTCCGATTCTTCTCTTTGCTCGTGTTCATCTTCTCCGATTCACCGGAGTTAATACATATGAAATTAATATACTCATTTGACCATGTTGGCATGTTCGTTCAGGACTCAGGATACAAAACAACGAATCTATGACCAGTCAAATAAAATGTAATCAAGGTAGTGGCTATTACGTGGATAACGGACGATGATGTGGACATTCTTGGTTTTGACTTTTTATTCTTTTAAAAGCCCACTGAAGTAGTAGCGTAAGAAAGAAGGTTTCAAGCCGAGGATAGCGGAAGTTGATGCCCTCCAAGTTTGCCGGAGTTGAATCGCACCGTGCTGTGGTTAGGCCGGGAAACAGAAAGGCTATGCGTCAATTAGAACATATCTGCTAAGGGAAACTGGAATCCTTCTATAGTGTTATCGGTGACAGCTTAAACTCGATACTAATCTTCATCTTTTTTTAACATCGAATAGTCATAAATGAATGTGGGTACAGACTTGAGAAACACATATACAGATTAAAACGTTACTTATTGATTGGTTCCATAATGTAAATTCTGTGTATTGTTACATGGTGAAAAACTAGAAATTCATAATCGAAACATAACATTTTTTTAATCAAATGAGGGTTCATCACCATGTTCGTAGAGGAACCAGAGGCTCAACATCAGTCGCAGGGGATCGGTTATTAAACATAGAGGCTGGAGCAGTCATACCAACATCCCAAGTCTCGTCAATGTTGATTTCCATGGCTTGATCTTCCTCATCATCATCATCATCATTATGAATCTCTGAATTATGAGGTGGTGAACGAATCCTCTCCAGCTCAATTGAAACTTCTCTCATGTTTGGCCTCTTCTTCCCTTTTCGGTTTAAACATCTTTTAGCGAGTTTTGCCATTGCCATCACTTGGTCCAGGTTGCATTCATCTTTGATCCGTTCATCAACTATGTCAAGAACTCTGTTCTCTTTCACGGCTGCAACAAAATGAGCTGCAAAACCCCTGTTTTCTTTAGACTGGACACGGGAGGATGGTTTGTCTCCGGTAATGAGCTCCACAAGGACAACTCCAAAACTGTATACATCACTTTTCTCCGTAAACTTGCTTGATTGAAAGTACTCTGGATCCACGTACCCGAAAGTACCTGCAACTTGAGTTGTCAAGTGAGTTTGATCTATGGTCACCGATCTTGAAGTTCCGAAATCAGACACCTTAGCCTGATATTTCTCATCCAGTAGTATGTTGGTAGTCTTGATATCTCTGTGATATATTGGAAAAGATGCAGCTGAGTGTAGGTACGAAAGTGCTCCTGCGATCTCTATTGCAATGTGAAGACGCACTTCCCATGTCATTGCGTAATCATCAGATTCATCTCGAAGACGCTTGCATAAGTCTCCGTTCGGGACAAACTCATAAACCAGGACTGGAACTTCCGTCTCAAGACAACATCCCAAGAGTTTAACAATGTTTCTGTGGTTGATCTGCGCGAGAACAACAACTTCATTGATAAACTCTTCTACCTTGTCTTCATCCATGGCTTTCGACCTTTTCACTGCGACGATTCTACCATCAACGAGCATACCTTTGTAAACAGTACCTTGACCTCCTTGCCCAAGAACCCTATTCTTGTTAAAGTTATCAGTAGCTTTCTCCAACTCATTTGAGCTAAATATCTTTGACATCTCTACATTACCTTCTTTTCTAGCTAACTGTTGTTTTAACAACATACCTCCATTACGCCTGAAAAACTTTCTCATTCGAGTGATCCTCCTCTGCTTCTTAACGAACCTGTACAACCCGAAAATTCCAAAGGCGAAAAGCAACAGTGCCGAACCTATAAGAACACCTGCACCAACAAAAGAACAACATGTACAGTACAGACCAAAACAATAATATCTTCAACACAACGCTCAGGATAAACTAAAATTGACATTTACCTTGAAACACTGGCTTGAGCTGCCCTGGTTTCTTTGGCTCACACGTAAACCAACCGGGTTTATTCACACAACTTTGGTCTTTACACCTTTTGCGTCCTTCTTCTAGTTTACATTCATCGATGTCTACAAATTTGATTCATCATTAATGATAGAAGACTTGATTAAAACAATGGATACAGAAAGAAAAACGCATCTCTTACCAACACATCCACCTGGAAGGAATGGATTCCCAGCATAACCCATGGAGTTACAATAGCAACTCCTATAGCTGAATCCAGAGAAGTAGCCGTACGAGCAAACGCACATTGTCTCGGAACCGTACCCGCCATCTTGTGATGCATCTGACACATTTTTACAACCTATGGGGCTTAAAACACGAGGATCCGAAGTATCAAAGTACCATCCAAGCTCTACCACCGCGTATCCATCACTATGAAACTCTTCTGGCTCTGTAACATTCAAACTCGAATACTTCTCGCTCGTCAAAAATGCAACTCTGCATCCTCCTTCTGTTGTGTTTTTGCCTTCAGGGGTCTCTATATTTACTCCAATTACTTGAGGCTGCCCTTCCGGTATCCTCGTCTGGCAACATTTACTACCACTGCAGATTTTGTTTCTTACTTGTTGGCTGCTACTGTTTCTCTCGTCACAACTTGACTCGCAACCGATGATCTGCGATTTGATATCTGTCATAACGGCCTTGACGTTGCAACCAACCGCCATGAGGAGGTTATTGTCCGTGAGGAAATAGGGGCTGCCTTGGCCGGCAACGTTTAAAGGCTGCGGTGTAAGCGGCTGAGATGTTCCGGTAGAACACCCTGAGGAAGTTACGGGACCTTTGATGTGAACAACTCCGTTAGAGTAGTACTCAGTATCATCTGGAAGATAGATGTTCACCAATTCTCTGTTGATCCTTGAGAGGAACGGAACAGAGGTTGTGCTGTTACATACAACCTCGTACCACGGGTTTAGATAGCATTCTTTTCCACCGATACCGAACGGGAAAGGAATAGATATTCCTCCGCAGACTCTGTTACACAGATCTGGTGGTTTTCTTGCTGATGATACACCATTGATGAACAGAGATAGGACAAAGATCACTAGTGGAATACATAGGAGGTTTTGAGTCTCTGTCTTCATACTTGTTCTCTCAACTGGCCAAGTCGGTCTTGTCTTTTTAGTCTTCTAATGTTGTCTATGAAGGAAGAAAACAAAAATCAAGACTTGCATTGTTGGACGAACATGTCAAAGATGAGATAAGATGGATCATGCGTGAAAAGGGATGCAAAACAATGTTGACCAAGATAGTCTTAGCTCAAAAGTCAACGGATTTCATAAATCATTAACGTAATGGAAATGGCCAATGAGGCAAGGACATTTGGCAGAAGACATTTACGAAATGTTTTGTAATATCAGCTTAAAAGTCAACAAATGAATACATTAATTACATGTGTCCAAAAACATATGACGTGGCTAGTTAATAGCTGACGTGGACACTTTGGGGTTCTTTTTGGAAGAAAAAGAGTAACCTGGCCTACAATCGTCGAATCTCGCCGTCGTCAGCTAAAGAGACCAACGAAGCTTCCGAAATCGGTACAAATCTGGATCCCGAATCTTTACTTTGTTCCTTCTGTTTGCTAATACTTTTTTAGCATTGTGACTAAACGAGTAATCTCCTCTGATGTGATCTTCTTCGTCGGAAGCCCTAGATTTTGAAGGAAAAATAGTGGTTTTACAGTTAATAACAGGCATTTAACTCCAATTAGCAACACTTTGAACACTTAGTTTTTATAGATATACAATTGTTCCAGCAAAGTCTAATTTACGCGGTTCAAGAATCATATTTTCTGTTGATTTCCATAAGTTGATCTTCTTCTTCTTCTTCTATTTCCGGATGGACATCTAAATCTTTGGGTGATGAACGGATCCTCTCTAGCTCCATTGAAACCTCCCTCATGTTTGGCCGCTTACTCCCTTTTCTATTAAGACATTTTCGGGCGAGTTTTGCTACGGCCATTACTTGCTTGCTTTCGTCTTTGATCCGAATATCAATTATCTCAACAGCTCTGTTATCTTTCATTGCTTCGAGGAAATAAGTTGCCAAACCTATGCCTTCTTCAGACCGGACACGGGACATTGGTTTTTCTCCTGTTATGAGCTCCACCAACACAACCCCGAAACTATATACATCGCTTTTGTGAGTGTACTGGCTCGACAGGAAGTACTCTGGATCCATGTACCCAAAAGTTCCTGCAACTAATGTTGTCAAGTGCGTTTGATCAATAGTTATGGATCTTGAAGTACCGAAATCAGACATCTTTGCTCGGTATTTCTCATCCAATAGTATATTGGCAGTCTTGATATCTCTGTGGAATATTGGAAAAGATACAGCTGAGTGCATGTATGTTAGAGCTCCTGCGATCTCTATGGCTATGCGAAGTCGCACTTCCCAAGTCATCTTGTAATCATCATATTCATCATGAAGCCGCTTGAACAGATCTCCATTGGGAATATATTCGTAGACCAAGATTGGAACTTCTGTCTCCAAGCAGCATCCCAAGAGTTTTACAATGTTGCGATGGTTTATCTGTGAGAGAAGGACGACCTCATTGATAAACTCTTCCATTTTGTCTTCATCCACAACTTTCGATCTTTTAACCGCAACAATACTCCCATCTACTAGCATTCCCTTGTACACTGTGCCTTGACCACCTTGCCCAAGCACTCTATCAATGCTGAAGTTATCAGTAGCTTTCTCCAATTCTCTCGAGCTGAATATTTTTGACATCTCGACACTTCCGTCTTTTGTTGTTAACTGTTGTTTCAACAACAAGCCTCCATTACGTTTGAAGAACTTCATGCTACGGATGATCCTCCGTCGCTTTCTAATAACTTTGAACAACCCGAAAATCCCAATTATAACTAGAAACGGAAGTCCCAACAAACCTATAAGGACCCCTGCAGCAATAAAGGAAACATAAGGCACACTAAATTCTCTGTTCTAGCTTGTTTTCTGGTAGACAAAGTGTTATTTTGACTAACCTCGAAGAACAGCGGGTTTGGCTAGCTTGGTTATCTTTGGCACACATTTGTACGCTCCAACAATGTTCTCACAAGTGTCTTCTCCGCAATTGTTGGGTACTTTGCATTCATCAATGTCTACAAATTTGAATCATAATTATTCAGTTTCTGATTGATGGTCACGATTACAGAAGAAAAACATGCACTTACCTATGCATCCGCCTCGTATGTATGGGTTTCCTGTGAAGCCATTGCCGCAATAGCAGTTCCTATAACTGATCCCGGAAAAGTATCCGTACTGGCAAAGGCAGTTGTCGCCGGAGAAGTAAGACCCATTAGAACGGGTCAGATTTATGCAACCCAAGGGGTTCCTAAAGCGAGATTCTGAAGTATCAAAGTACCATCCTAGCTCTACCACCGCGTAGCCATCCGCATGGAACTTTTCTGGCTCGGTCACATTTGATGGTAAATACCTCGTGTTCGTCAAAAAAGCAACTTTACACCCTCCTCCTCCTGTACCATTATTGCTCTCTATGTTGGCACCTATTGCTTGCGGACGCTCGGTCGGTATTCTTGCCTGGCAGCATTTGTAACCGTTACAAATCGAGTTTGTTACTTCTTTACTACTGGTGCTGTCTTCACAACTCGACTCACAACCCAAGATCTCTGATTCAATATCCGTCATCAAAGCCTTGGTACCACAGCCAACCGCCACAAGGCGGTTCTCGTCGGTGAGGAAATATGGGCTGCCCTTGCCTGTGACATTCAAACCCGAGAGCGACTTTTGGGGTCCTTGACTTGTATTACTAGAACAACCCAACGAAGTCACAGGACCTTTGATGTGAACCAATCCGTATGGTTCAGGATAACCATCTGGAAGAGAGATGTTCACCACTTCCTTATTGATTCTAGACAGGAGTGGAACAGTTGTGCTGGAAGACCCGGAAGTGGTGGTGTTACAAACAACCTCGTACCAGTTGTTGAGATAGCAATCCTTCTCACCGATTCCGAACGGGAAGGGGATCGAGATTCCTCCACAGGTTCTGTTACAAGAAGTTGAAGTATTACTAGGTGGAGGTGTTGCTGCTGATGAGCCATTCATGAGCAAATTTAGGACAGACACAAAAATACACAGGAAGCAGTAAAACTTTGTCTTCATAATTCTGTTTTTTTTTTTTTTTCTCTTGATCTGATCAATCTGCTCATTTAGGGAAAAAAGCTAAGTACATGCCTGATCTGATGAAAAGGTCAATAGAACTTAAGAAAGAAGCGTGAAGCATGTTACAAAGCATTAAACTACTATTAGTATTAATAATTAACTCTACGCCTAAGGACTTCTTGTATTTTATAATAATGAATGAACATTGGAGAAGCTAGACCTCTGGTGTTGTTTACGCTACTCCATCTAAGTAAAACTCCAGAATTTGGATTAAAAAAAAAACCAGAAGGGCAACCTCACCACTGAAAGGCTCTTTTGTGAGAAGTGAGAACAGAGTACTCTGCTTTTGTGAGAAGTGAGAACAGAGTGGGTCAGATCTAAATGATCTAGTTAGATTTCATAGATGCTCTTGTAACTCATCAATACTTACCAGCAGAACAGGTTGAGACACAAAAACTGAAGCCATGATGCGAGAAGCCAAGCATTTTGTGAAATATCGTTGACCACTTTGTTAATTGTACCTGAACAAGTAAGTTCACTTAACCAACACTGTTTTATTGGTTTCTTTTCACTCATCAATATACATGCAAATCAAGTCATACCACCACAAATCCTCACTCCATTTTAAAAGTGTATATAAACTTTGAAATTCAGATATAATTTGTGGCTATGATTGCTGTCGATGTGATCTTATTGATTTTCTTGTCACTATGTTCGTCTAGTTTTAGGGATATATTTAACATAATTCATGTACACACCCTTAAGATATCCATGGTTTGGTCCTCTCTAAAAGGTCAGGAGGTTGCGGACCAAGTGGGAGTGTTAGACCGTTGACCAAAGCTGTGGCTAGTTTCTTGAACTCTTGGATATAAGCAAGTCTCCATCATCATTTTTAACATGGACTTCTAAATTTTCAGGTGATGAAGAACGGATCCTCTCCAGCTCAAATGAAACCTCTCTTATGTTTGGCCGCTTTCTCCCTTTCCTGCTAAGACACTTTCGAGCGAGTTTCGCGACTGCCATCACTTGGTACAGCTTGCTTTCGTCTTTGATTCGATCATCAATGATGCCAAACACTCTGTTTTCTTTCATGGCCTCAAGGAAATCAGTTGCCAATCCTCTTCCTTCTTCACACCGGATTCTGGACAGCGGTTTTTCTCCGGTTATGAGCTCCACCAAGACAACCCCAAAACTGTAAACATCGCTCTTGTCAGTATATTGGCTTGATAAAAAGTATTCCGGATCCATGTACCCAAAAGTGCCTGCAACTAATGTTGTTAGATGGGTTTGATCAATGGTTATTGATCTTGAAGTACCGAAATCAGATACTTTGGCTCGATATTTTTCATCTAATAGTATATTGGTAGTCTTGATATCTCTATGGTATATTGGAAACGATGCAGCTGAGTGCATGTATGAAAGAGCTCCTGCGATCTCTGTGGCTATACGAAGACGCACTTCCCAAGTCATCGTGTAATCATTGGATTCAGATTTTTCATGAAGACGCTTGAACAGATCTCCATTGGGAATATATTCGTAAACCAAGATTGGAACTTCAGTCTCTAGACAACATCCCAAGAGTTTCACAATGTTCCTATGGTTAATCTGTGAGAGAAGTACGACTTCGTTGATGAACTCTTCCATCTTGTCTTCACCCACAACTTTCGATCTTTTAACCGCAACGATTCTCCCATCCACCAGCATTCCCTTGTACACAGTTCCTTGACCGCCTTGCCCAAGCACCCTGTCCATGCTGAAGTTATCAGTAGCTTTCTTCAACTCTTTTGAGCTAAATATCCTTGACATCTCAACATTTCCGTGCTTTGAAGTAGTTAGTTGTTGTTTCAACAGCAAGCCACCATTACCTTTGAAGAAGTTCTTGCTGCTGATGATCCTCCTGCGCTTCTTAATGAATTTGTACAACCCCAAGATTCCGAGAACGAAAAACAGAACTCCTAGACCTATAAGAACGCCTACACCAACGAAGAAAAAACCAGCAAGTAAACTAATTTTCTGTTCTCTGTCTTAGAGTCTCGTAAATGCAAGATACTACTTTAACTCACCTTGAAGCACAGAGGCTTTTTCCGGCTTCGTTATCTTGGGCTCGCAGCTATGTGATCCAGGCATGTTCACACAAGTCCCTTCTCCACAATTGTGGTGTCCTTCGCATTCGTCTATGTCTACACATTTTTGAATCATAGTTATTTATTGATGGCTTGATCGATGAAAAGCAGCAACAAAAGAAGAAGAAAACAATCACTTACCTATGCAGCCATGTCGAAGGTATGGGTTCCCTGTGTAGCCATAGTTGCAATAGCAAATCCTATAACTCATCCCAGAAAAGTAATCATACTCACAACTACAACTATCAAAGGAGCTGTAAGAACTGTACCGGGTCATGTTTCTACAACCTAAGGGGTTCCTAAAGCGAGAATCCGAAGTATCAAAGTACCAACCTAGCTCTACCACCGCGTAGCCACCAGCATGGAATTGTTCTGGCTCGGTAACATTCATCGGTGCATACCTCTTGTTAGTCAAGAACGCAACACTGCACCCTTTCCCTCTTGTGCCATTTGTGTTTTCTATACTGATACCAATAACCTGAGGACGCTCCAACGGTATCCTCGCCTGGCAGCATTTGTAACCGTCACAAATCGATTTTGTTACCTCTTCACTACTCTTGCTAGCTTCACAGCTCGATTCACAACCCAAGATCTCTGATTCAATATCCGTCATCAAAGCCTTTGTACCGCAACCAACCACCACGAGGCGGTTCTCATCAGTGAGGAAATATGGGCTTCCCCTGCCTGTGACGTTCAAATTCGGCAATGACATTTCGGATACTTGACTAGTACTACTAGTAGAGCAACCCAACGATGTCAGTGGACCTTTGATATGAACCACTCCGTATGGCTTATTACCATCTGGAAGAGAGATGTTCACCACTTCACTATTGATCCGTGAGAGGAACGGAACAGTTGTGCCAGACGACCCGGAAGTGGTAGTGTTGCAGACAACCTCGTACCAGCCATTGAGATAACAATCCTTGCCGATTCCGAACGGGAACGGAATTGAGACTCCTCCACAGGCTCTGTTACAAGAAGTTGAAGAATTACCATCTGGAGGTGGAGGTGTTGCTGCTGATGAGCCACTGATAAGCTGCAGAGTTAGGACAGAGAGTGCAATACAGAGGACGATGTAAGTCTTTGTCTTCTTCATACCTCTGCATTTTTTTAATCTGATCGATCTTCTCTTATCTTGTATGTGACAAAAGTCCACGTTCAAAGAAATTTGGATAGACGCGTGAAGCTTTTATCATCAAAAGTCAAATCCCTATGGATCCTTTCATATCAGTTATTTAGTTTCTGCAGAGTGCAGACCATTGACTTGAGATGTTTTAAAATTTGAATTGGTAGCTACTTTGTTAGCAGACTATTATTATAGATCAACTAATCATTAACAGTTACACTAAGCACAAAGCCCGTCTAGCTCAGTTGGTAGAGCGCAAGGCTCTTAACCTTGTGGTCGTGGGTTCGAGCCCCACGGTGGGCGATATTTTTTAAGTTACTTTTTAATTTTTAATCAAGATTCAAAAAATCACGTTTCCCTAAACTTCATGGTAATTGGGAAATATGATTGGCGGGTCCTAATGAATCTGAGCTGCTGCAACAACTAGTACTACAAATGCAATGAGACTAGTCATAGTCCAATCTCATAAACGTTTCTAGTCAAGAGCGATTACTTTCGTTTGTGGTTCTTGTTATTCAATATAACATTCTCCAAACCGGATAAAACAACATACATTGATACAACTAAACAAATCGAATAACACCAATATTTTAAATGATACGGTTCCAATAATAGTGGTCTCTGGTGGTGATGTTGGAGGAAGAATCAGTAAAAACGTTCCAAGGATCTTCTATGTTGCAATACTCTTGTTTTCTGTGGCTTTCTCCAATTCTTTCGAGCTGAATACTCTTGTATTCTCAATGTTGCCTTCATTCGAAACCAATTGTTGTTGCAGCAATAGTCCTCCATTACGCTTAAAGAACTTCTTCCGCTTTATCTCCCTTTGCTTTCTGATAAACTTATACAACAACCATGCTCCAATGCCAAAAACCAACAAGCCAAAGCCTAGACTAATACCTACACATGACAGAAGAAACACATTAAAAGCCAAATCCGTTTTATTGGGTTCTCTATACATGTTGACATATCGCATAGCCACGATGATCGGTAGCTTACCAAGAATGATGGCTAGTCTTTTGTTTTTGTTGGATTGACAACTAAAGTTTCCTGGTATATTCTCACAATCATACCCTTTCCCACAATGGTTGCGCCCTTCAGCTTTGGCTTCTTCACACTCATCAATATCTACATAGACGAATAATGCATCAATGATTCATGGAGCTTACAGAAACTAACGCAAAGCGGTACCAGAAAATGTTAATTTACCTGTACATCCACTCGGGAGATATGGATTGCCTCTGTAACCACTGTTACACCTGCAGCTTCTATAGCTTCGCTCTAAGTACTTACCATATCTACAAATGCAAGCTTCATAGTTACTGTAACTCCAACCGTTTGTACCCTCGGTAATTGAATAGCAAACCCCAGTATCAACGGACATATTATGTAACCTATCTATGAACCAACCTAACTCCACTGTTGCATATCCCTTATCGTAAAACAACTCTGGTTCGGTTATATTTAAAGGAGAATATGCCTCGTCTGTCAAAAAAGCAACTCTGCATCCAGCTGATTTCGTTGTGTTACCATCAAGGCTCTCTATCTTGATGCCAATCTGTTGCAGACGGTCAGAGGGTATCTTCGCTTGGCAACATCTGTAGCCGTTGCAGCTTGTGTTCTGCCCTCTCTGACCAAACCCCGCGTCGCAGGTAGACTCGCATCCTCCCATCTGCTGCTTAACATCCGTCATCGAGGCCTTGTTGTTACAACCAACTGCTACTAGAGTATTATGGCCGGTGAGGAAGAATGGGCTTCTGGTCACATTCAAAACCAAGCTGAGTTCTTCCATATTGGAACAGCCTGATGAAGTTACCGGATTCTTGATTCGGATTAGCCCAAAGGAATCGCTTGAGTCGTCCGGCAGAGAGATATTCACCAGTTCTCTGTTGATACTATTAAGAATTGGCACAGGGTTTCCTGAGGTTCGGTTACAAATAACTTCATACCACTCGTTGTTGTCGAGATAGCAATCTTTACCAATTCCAAAGGGATATGGAATCGCTATTCCCCCGCAATGGCTTTGACAAGAACTCAAGACCGTGAGATCTTGAGCAGTTGCTGCAATCGAACAATGGATCAGCAGAACCAGAAGAGAGAGCAGGGCACATATGGAAAAGCTCTCTCTGCTCATTATGCTTTCTTGGTAGAACACTGAGTTATGTTATGTGATGCTAAAGCTAATATAAAATCATGTGTTATATAGTAACTAACCGAAGAAACCACAGTTGCCTACTTGGACCTCATTGCCTGCAACGGCTGAAAATTCAAACAAGCGTGGACGATCCTGCCTCTTAATTTGTAAGTTATTGATAATTCCAAAGAGTCTACATAGGTCTCTGTCTTAATTTGTTTATTATTGAAGATTCCAGTCTTCCCTATTGATGGGAGTCTAGAAGCAGAAAAGTTTTGATTCTATAAAATGCACAAGTTAACACAGATAAAAGTCTGGACTTTTTACAAAACGTGAACTGATTATCTTTATTAGAAAAGTAAATCTTTTTTTTTTTCACTTCTCATGCGTGTACACAGTTCATACTAGTTTCAGATCATCTACTTAAAATGTGTAAGAATGCTACTTAATCCAGATACTCACAATACACACACTGGCTCTATATCACTTTAAGCTCTTTCAGCCATTCGGTATGGAGGGGACACGGATCCGGTTTCCCTTCTGCAATCGCCTTCTCTGAGAGTGAATAAAACCAACCATTCCTCCATTTAAACTGCAATAATCAGAAAACTGGATGTGAAACAGATACTGGTGCACATGCATTGAAAGTGAGAGGTCAAAGATGGTAAACTAATATACGTACTTCTTTAACAGCAGTCGGGAAATGAGAAACAGCTCGTGAATAAGCACATAGTCTCTCCACCATGTTCTCTTCAAAGGTTAGTCCTTTTTCCGCAGCAGCAGCTGCTGCGAGTTCTTGGATGAGTATCGACACCTGAATGTATAAGTAGTTAGAACTAAACAACGATTTTGTATGCTAAAACGAAACAAGGAATGAATGGAATTTCTGTACTTCATCTCTGTATTCTTTCTCCACCGTGCCAACACTTGCACCTGGATGACGAGCTCCAACAAGCATAAATGCACAAATCCAAATGAGTTTCTCCAACATTTGCTTCTGAAAAGCTTCTTTGTCAAGTACCTAACCACAGAAACACCCAAAAAAGGAATACATTTAGTTTATTCATGCAGTTTCTGCTTTATCAATATAGAGCCAAAGATTTGCTTCTTGTAACCTTGCAAGAGAGGCCACCAGATTGCAATCTTGCAGCTATCTCTGAAGCCCATTTTCCATAAGCAGCAGTTAGACCTTCTGGGTTAGTGTCAGTCTTTCCATCCACGGGAGGCTCGCCGAGCTTTGACACAGCAAAATAGGCCAAGACTTGGTCTGTATCACCCAAACCTTTGCTCTCAAACCACGGCTCCATCATTCCATTTTGAAAGAAGACCAAATCTGATTAAATTACACACAACTTTTTTAGTACACCAAGTCATAAAATGAAGAAACATTATCATGTTTTCTACACATCCAATCAAATTTGATAATCTGATCATTTGATCTTTCCAAATCCGGATGAAATGTGGAACTGGGCTCTGCCGTGATCAAACCCCCTAAAAGATCTAACAATTCGGTTCACTAATAATTCTTAGGGCCAATGAAAGTTTCTACCTTTCCATCTAGACTGAGGAGTAGCTTCAAGAACAGCATCGAGATCATCATTTCTTGTACAAACCAAAATGGGTCCTTCAAAATCAACCGGAACTGCTTCTCCTCTCTTCACCAACAAATCCTCGCCATTACCCATTTCCTGTAACGCCCTTCCGACTCTTCCGCCACCCACAATCACGGCAGGTGCTAGTTTTTTAGCGGTGGCAGCTGAGGCGGCGGCCATAGCCATTGGGACGGCGAATCTCGCTCTTGAAACTGAGCGTTTAAGAGATTCAGAGTGTCGGAGGAAAGAGAAACGAGCTGAAGCTGAGCAGGAGACAGCAAACAGAGTGCTGCTGGCTTTAGCCATTGGTGATGATAATGGGCTTCGACGATGTTGTTGTGGCCTCTCATGGTTTGGACTAATTTGAACAGTGATGGTTTAATAGCCACTCGATGGTTTGAGGCTCTGGCTTATCAATTTTGGATGAGTCACGAAGATAAAACGGCATGACGTTCAAAACAAAACGGCAGGTTGTTGATAATGTAAGTGTTTGAAACACAGTTCCCGCTAAGCCTCAATCCAATCATCAACCTTCAGTTTCCCGACAAAGGAAAACGACAAAAAAAATAATCAAAATCCCACTAGTAGTCTAGTACTAGTACTCCCTCCGTATTTTAATAATTGTCGTTTTAGAAATTTTATTTTTTTGAATTGGATGTCGTTTTCAAATTTCTATGCAAAATTTATTATTTTTTAATGTTTTATGACATCATAAAACATTAAAAAGTAAGAAATTTTGCATTGAAATTTGAAAACGACATCTAATTCAAAAAAATAAAAATTCTAAAACGACAATTATTAAAATACGGAGGGAGTATTATTTAGTGACCGTTGGGTCCGTAGGAAATAGAAAAAAGAGCAAAATCAACACAGACATCTAAAAACCTCTTTGTGTTGAGACAAGAAAAGAAAAGTCCACCTGTCTTTGGTTCTGTGCTCGCACAATCCCCAATGGCTATTTCAAATTCAAATGGAAACATTGTGGGACTTTATAAAAACGGTTCTTTCAACCCAGCACCATTGTCAAACACCTGTTTCTAGATTTATGTCTTCAAAATCTATAAAGATATAAACTTAGCTGCCAGAAAGTTCTAAATTTGAAAGCAACCCAGAAAGAGAAAAAAAACATGGCTGGTTACAGAAAAGAGAATGATTTGTTGGAGAAAAATAAGGAAAATGTGGACACTGTCTCAGGGTCTGTCTCCATTAATAAGAGAGAGGATAAGGAGAATGTGTCGCCGGAAAAAGTCTCTATCTCTGTGGAAACTCGGAAACAAGATCGAGCTTTGAAGTCTCAATCGATGAAGGGTAACTCTGGCTTTCCCACGGAAGTTACAAATTTCAAGTCTTTCTCAACGGGTGGTCGAACGGCTCTGAAGCAGACATCGCTGCAAGTGTGTATGCAGAAGAACAGTGAGGTTGATAAGGGTAGTTTCGGAATGAAAACTTGGACTAGTGTTGATTCTGAGCATTCGAGTTCGTTGAAAGTGTGGGAGTTTTCGGATTCTGAAGCTGCTCCTGCTTCCTCTTGGTCTACTTTGCCCAACAGGTAATAACACCGCAATTGCCAAGATTCTTGTGCTTTCATTGTCCTAAACATGTCTGAAACTATGTATACATTTATTAAACAGGGCTTTGTTGTGCAAGACACTACCTTTGGATGTGGGTAGATGCACTTGTCTGGTTGTGAAAGAACAATCACCTGAAGGCTTAAGAGGCGGATCTGTATATTCACTTTATACACATGTAAGTATACTGACATTTGATCTATAGTAATGTTGTTTGAGAATTGAGATGTAGTGATATCAATGTTTCTGATATCTCAGGAAGGTCGGGGGCGTAAAGACCGAAAGCTAGCTGTTGCTTTCCATAGGCGACGTAATGGAAAATCCATATTTAGGGTGGCACAGAATGTTAAGGGACTATTGTGCAGTTCGGATGAAAGTTATGTCGGTTCTATGACGGCTAATCTCTTGGGTTCCAAGTACTACATATGGGATAAGGTTGGAATTTCAACCTCAATGTATCCGCATTGGTTCTGCTTATAGGTGGGATATTCAGTCTGAATGTTTCTGGTCTTTTGATTCCATTGCAGGGAGTTCGAGTTGGTTCTGTAGGTAAAATGGTGAAGCCGCTTCTTTCGGTTGTAATGTAAGCTTTGAGGATTTTGGATGCTGTGTCTTTTGATGAATGTGACTCTCCCTTAGTTTTGGGTTTGCTTATGCCTGTGTTGGCTTCTGCAGATTCACACCCACCATAACAACCTGGACAGGGAGTTACAGAAGAATTAGAGCTTTGCTACCAAAGCAGCAGCCAATGCAGAAGAACAACAATAAGCAGGTAAATGCCTAATCTTAAACTTCTCTCCATCAATCTCGCATTCCAAAAACACAAAACCGTTGATACACGAATGCATGTATCGCTTTATAGGTTCAGCAAGCTAGTAAACTACCCCTTGATTGGCTTGAGAATAAGGATAAAGTTCAGAAGCTATGCTCAAGGATACCACATTACAACAAAGTAAGTCTCAGCGGGCATCATTAGTATCGAAGATTTTCTGGAGCATGAATTCATTCTGTCTTCCCCTTTCTTTAGATCTCCAAGCAGCATGAGTTAGACTTCAGAGACAGAGGAAGAACAGGACTGAGAATACAGAGCTCGGTGAAGAACTTTCAGCTAACACTCACGGTGCATTTCCACAACTCTTAAGCTTTAATAAAAAACCAATCTCAAGAATCCTAAACATTGTGTAATTTGGTATAAATAGGAGAATCCCAGGCAGACGATTCTTCAAATGGGAAGAGTGGACAAAGCAAGATATGTAATCGATTTCAGGTACTACTTGCTCAAACTAGAATGAGCAAACATAAACAAACTTATAAGCTTAGGATTAAAGGCTTAAGAGATTTGTATCATCAAAAAATCTTTTGCTTTATCTGTTTGCAGGTATCCATTCTCAGGCTACCAAGCGTTCTGCATTTGCTTGGCTTCCATTGATTCCAAGCTTTGTTGTACTATTTGATCATTATAAAATGGACGAGTTCAATCTCTGAACATCCCTCCAATGATCATCATCTGTATTCCTTACTTTTCTACATAATCAAATTTCTACCTGAGTTTCACAAACTACGCCTCTCAAATCAAAACTCACCCACAGAGGAAACTGAAACTGGACAACTGTTAAAAAGATTCAAACTTTATTATAATAAGATTGTCACAAGAAAGAATAACCGATGTGTCAATGCTGATTTTCACAACCGATATTCCAAACTAAAAACAAAACTTATAAAATCCCTTTTTTCTTACTTATCAGAAGAACACTTTAGCAATCATTTAACTCGCTGTAGAAATCAGGCGTAAGGAAAGAATCTAAATCACCGAAGATAACGTCATCTTCCTCCGTCGTTAGCTTGCCGGAGTTTTGACACCCGAAATACGTCTGGATGTCTTCCGGGAAGCTCCGGCGAGGCGGAGCAATCTCTGGTGGCGTCGATGGGCCGATTACGTCCTCCACATTTAAAGGTGACGACTTTAAGAGCTTTGTTTTCCGATCATCGTTGTCGTCTGACGAAGATTGACTCTGTGATAAATCAGACTCGTGAGTTGGGTTTATAAATGGGCTGGGATCAGAATGCGGACTCTCTAGGAGATTATTCGCGGCGTCGATAGGGTTCTCCGGCACCGGGAGTTTCATATAACGGCTGATGTCGAAGTTAGTAACGGCGTTAAGTCCACGGTACTCGATTGCTGCGATGTCATACGCTATAGCCGCTTCTTCTTGTGTAGCTACATAAAGATGGGGTGCAAAATGTCACAAACTAAACATTGAGAAGTTTAAGACAATTTATGAAAAGTACATTCCCTTTGGTTTATTAATTATTACTTTTTACCCCTAAAACTATTATGTATTTTCCTAATACGTAAGTAACATTACGATGCTAGAAGTGAATAATGACAACAACAAAAAATGCTACAAGTCAATAATCACGTTAGGATTTTTTTAAAAAAATGTACTTTGTCCCGTTGATATAGGACAATATGGAAAACATATAATAAATAGAATTAAATTGGCCAGTAAAATTGGATGAGCAACTTATAATTTAAACCATACAATAAAGAAATATGTATAAACATAAGGAAAAACAAACTATATAATAAATTAAAGGCTTGACTAAGTGGTTGGGTTTGGTGATCTATTTCCCAACCAACACAAGATCTGATTACGTGCATATATATATATGGATATATCAACCCCTTATTAAAGATTTCTAAGTAAAAAAGTTTTGTTATAATGAAGAGAGAATCCTACATATAGCATTTGTAGAATTTTTTTTGTTATCACAATTACCATTTACCACCATCAAATTTAGTAAAAGTTTATAATTTGTAATCAAAATATGTATCATACAATCTTTTCAGTTAGAAAACTAACCAATAATGTAGGGTAGTTTGATAAAATATTAGTGAAAACGTACAAGTCTGATCAAATGTATATGTTTTGCGTTCGGAGATATAGAAAATTGCATGCTTTTTTTCATTAACTTACTGTATAAAATATAAGAAAAGTTTACCGTAAGTTCCAAGGTACAAATATTTATTGCCAAACACTCTTCCAATTCGAGCTTCCCATCTCCCATTATGGTGATGCCTGCAAGTCCATAATAACTTATCAACATTTGAAATTAGTACTATATTGAAATGGTTAATTGTTCCTGCAGTTTTTTCATCATGGGGAATTTAGCTTTACTTTGCAACGCCTCTGTATTTTGATACACCACGGGAGAACCCACTACTTTTCCTGTAAAAATATAATCCAAAAGTATAATTAATCAATTCTTAGTTTGTTAACCAAACAAAAATGAAAAACAGAGAATTATTAGTTAATCACCACAATCATTCAAAAAACGTAACCGATTTAGTTATTACCTTCTCAAAGATCCAATATACTCTTCCTTTGACTGGCTTTCCATTTCCTTGATGTCTTCTTCATAATTACACAACTATAAATCACACACAAAATAAACAATAATTATTAAAACTAAAAAAAAAAAAAACAATAATTAGATATAAACACTTAAACAGACTCTTCTTCTTTCTTTGTGTTTCTTTCTATAAAACACGTAGATGCGAAAGATTGTGAAGCAAACAAAGATCATGTGAATAGTAACTACTTTCTGATTAATTTAATGGTTTTGTATTGATTTGGATTCCGAGAAAATTTACAGGGAAATTCAAGATGGTGTCTCGTCCCCAATATTTCAATGCTGCTAAGTCGTAGGCACGTGCTGCTGCATCTTCCTCGTCATATGCCCCTGTGCAAACCACATTAATATATTAATTCAACATTGATATATTAATAAAAAAATATTGGTATAAAATAAATCTCTATTTCTTTTCATTTACGTGTCAATGTACGCACATTTTAAAAAGACAAATCGAAATGTTCTTTTTAGAATTATCAGATCATTTGCTTGTTTTGTCACGCCATAGATGTTAACATGTACGCTTTTTTTAGAACCACCAAGTTGGCTTTATAAAGAACTGAGAAATAACATTTAAAAAAAAAAAATAGAGTGATAATTAGCATCACTCACTCTCTATAAAGTGTCTACCAATTTGAGAGTGCAAAAAGAAAACGCCATATGAAAAATGACCAAAACAAACTCACCTAAATATACTGCACGTGATGAGTCAGCCATTATTCCGGTCAGCATCGTCAGCAAAACCAAAAAAAAAAACATATTAACAACAAAAATATATATACAAAATTAAGTTCAAAAAGATATAATTAATTTCAAATCAAGAACAGTAACGACGAACTCATTCCCCGGAGATATCGGAGTAAGAAGATCAAAACGACAATATCTTTAATAACTCATAGATATATCATATATACGTGTATGTATAGACTGACCTTGTCTTCCTTTCTTGCTCTGAGTCTCGTTCCAACTATTCTTATCCCACAAATGTGCTTCGTACCTTCCAGTCCATCGATGCCTATAATCGGAAAAATCTTGTAATTAAGGAAAGACAAATTAAAAGGGTGTTGTTTTGAGTGTGTTTTGTTATAACGGAAACCTGGTGACGCCTCTATGGACGGAGCTGCGTTGTGGAGGAGCGTCTCGTGGTTGCGATCGGCGTTTACGTTTAGCTTTAACGACTACTGATGTGGCTGACTGATCACCGCCGGTTTCATTCTCAACGGAAGTTTTCTTGCTCTTCCGTGTGATCTCTTCCATTACCGGAGAAACTTCCACGGCGATGTACATAAAGAAGAGGAAAACAACAAAGATGAGAAATTGATGGAATGGTTTTTTTTTCTTTATAAGGAGACTGACTATAAAGACAAATGGTTGAGTATTTAAATTAAAATTTTCCGTTTATTTTTTTTAGCCTTTTTAATTGTTATTGCCTTAAAAGATTTCCTTAGCTACGGCCCTCTTTGTACTTCTGTAATTTGATTTCTCATTTATTAAAATTCCTAATCGTAATCAAACCATTTTTTGTACCTGATATTAAGCGATTAGCAATTTTATTTGTTTTAAATATGGCTTTTAATTCATGTTTTAATTCTGAACATATGAGGAATTGACATGTGGAAGTTTAGATCCGCTGAGCCAAAAATCTTGGAGAAAGTAGGCAAGCAAAATCGGAGCTCCATAATTTCTCCACTTCTTGGTTTATCTACTTTTTTGGTCGGGCCGTGAAAGATATATAATTCTAATGCTAAAGAACAATTTTATTATTACAAAGTTTAACAATTTTTGTTCCATAATATTTGATACGTCCTTCCAATAATTTTAGCAATCGATTTGATCTAAAAACACATTTCCAAGTAATATTATAATCACCATGCTAAACTGCTAGTTCTCTAAATTCAAATGTCTAATTAATTGAAAGAGATGGAACGGACTTACAACGAAATATATGAATAATTCTAAAATATGCGCACAAAAAATGTAAAATATTACATGTTATGCATATACATCTTTAACCCAAAAAAAAAAAAGTTGCATAGGCAAGGACTTGCGTTCCTTGCAAGAAATAAGGCAATAGCCTTTAAGCCTCCAAACATTTGAACTCCCATATTTAGAGTGTTTAGTTTCTTTTAGCATACTACATATTTTTTTTGCTTAACATAAAATATGGGGATAGCTAGTAGAAGAACATCATTACAAAACTATTAGAACTTACATGATAAAAGTCATATTTTTACAAGTGCATCCTATACTATTATTTGGGGAGTACACTTTATAAGAAACCCTTAACTAACCTTCTCTTTTGTAAAAAATTACATGAGAATGCCATTACAAATTTTTTCTTTTAGAACAAATTTATTCAATTTCTTAAGGATAAACAAGTAAAATACTAATTTATGTCATTTAATTAATTTAATTAAATTATAAAACGAAAATCTGTTATTAATTTTTTTTAAATGACCAATCAAAATGAATATATAAGATTTGATATCTAACTTACCATATTAATTTGTTATTAATCATTAAACTTCACCTCTCATCTTTATATGATTATATTTATATGAAACAAATAAATCATCATATCATCTATATAATAAAAAAAAGTAATTTTTTTCTGCATATGCCAAGATTTGAATTTTTAAAAACGCATATAAATTGCTCAATCTATAAAGAAAACAATTAAACGGGTCAAAAATTCAGACTTGAGTAATATATTTCTTTTACACAAATAAATACCTTATAAATACGTTGTAAAACCTTTTAAAATACATTGTAAAACCTTATAAATACCCTGTAAAAAACCTTTAAAATACCTTGTAAATTTTTCCCGCCAAAAATTTAACGCCAAAAAAATTGCGGAATCACTTTTCCCACAAAAAAATTTTTTGGCGGGAAAAAATTTTACGGGAAAATTTTACAAGGTATTTTAAAGGTTTTACAAGTTTTTACAAGTGTTTTGGCGGGAAAAATTGCGGGATCACTTTTCCCGCCAAAAAGTATTTTGTATTTTGTGGACCTAATTTTGTTATATTTCCTTATATATTTGTGATATCTTTTATTAAAAGAAGGGTAATTTAGTCATTTTGTACATAAAAAGGGGTATTTTTAAAAATGGACAGCCAAAGGGGGCATTTTTGAAAAGGGGTATTGAAAAAGGGGCATTTTTGTGAGTCTCCCCATTTAAAATAAGTTTTACTTGATATTTTTAGAGAATATCATCAATACTTAATAGTTCAAAAAGTTAAAAATTATAAATACTCTAATTTGATTAATTAAAAAAATATTTATAATAGGTAGCGGGTTAAATATAATATATTATATGTTGAAATGAGTTTTGATCCTTATAACTATTTGGATAGTTATATTTAATTTCACATAATTTGTTTTTTGAAATTCAAAATTTATAAACTACAAAAAAAATTTAAAGATTTTAATTAGGAATATTTAAAAATAGTGTAGAACATTTAAATATGGTTTGACACCTCTAAATATTTGAAAATTTGATTCCGCAAGCAATTTTAGAATTAACGAATAATAGATTGTGTACGGAATATTTTAAAATGAAATATTGAGATTCTAAAATAAAAATATAGACTTCACACACAGGTTGATTTTGGTATTATTATATACTAAATATATGTTTATAACATATTCGATTATGCAAATAATTGGTAAATTCCGTAATTATAAATCTCAAACAAATTCTGTAATTAGATTAGCTCAAACAAATCTCTATTTCAACAACCAAAGAATTATAAATTGAAAAAGAATTTTCTAAATTAGTTCAAAATAATAGCTAATTTCTTAATTAATTCAAAATAATCTATGTTTTATATGCGATTCATTTATGATATTTTAATTCTAACTAAAATATATGCAATCCTATTTTGTGGTTGTTAACATAAATTAACTCATTGTTCCAAAAATATTACTTTTTAAAAAATAAAATTATTTTCTATTTTCATATCTTAAAAAAATTATTATCCATAATTGAGTTTTATAGAAAAAAATCTATATTTATTCTAATATTGTATATAGGGACTGACAAAAAAATTAATATTTTTTGACTTTGTATTATAATATATTAAAACTTAGTTCTAATATATATATTATATAAATTTTGTAATAAATAAAATTTAACCCGTACTAAAGTACGGGTGATGATCTAGTTTCTTATAAAATTAAGACCGTGTTTTCTTAATTATACAGTTTTTATTGAATAACAAGTTGTAATTTAATGTGTATACCTGCCCCTAATTAGATGGGAGCAAATGTCAACAATTATGGTAAAAATTGTCTATAAGAATCCAATCTAAAACGGGCCATATTTTGCGTGTAAAGAAATGCAACTAATCAGCAGCAACTTAAGAGACACACTTGACAAATATCAAATATGAAATATCTGTTTAGAACTTGATGAGATTGTGAAGTATGAATACAAATTTTAAATAGATAAGACTAGTTTCGTTACTTTCGTTCAATTTTACGATCAAGTCATAAATAAATCCCTATTTCTTAAAATCAATAAAACCTACATATTTAGATGGTGTCTCCTACGTAGGCAACATAAAAAATTTTTTGAAAAACCTATTATACTTTCATAAGAATAATTATAATGACCCCAATGTTTTATAATTTTTGACCCCCATATAAAATTAATTTAACTACATGAGATAAAAATTGTCTACATACATGGCAGCAAAAATTATTATTCTTATATACTGTATAAAAATTAATTCATTTTTTCTTATGGGTAGATTATTTCTAAAAAAAATTAATAATATTAATTTTATATAATGTATAAATTTTATATTACAGAATTTTTTGACCCCTATAACAACAATTTCTAGCTCTGCCACTGTCTCTAACTATGATCAAATGATCTGAGATAATCAACCAATGAACTTCAAAAATATAACATTTTTATCATTTCGTTAATATCAAATCATCAAAGGTAATGAAACGATAATATCAAAGGTAGTCGAACATTTAGTGCTCTGAGTTTTTTTTTTAATCATGTTTTAAATTGTCTACAAACTTGAAACCAAATTGTTTTTTAATTGTCTATAGAGAAAAAGAAGAGAAAACGATGCATGAGATGTGAGATATAAATGAGAAATGCAAGCAATGCAATAGTCACCGCCTAGTTTCGGGTATGCCATCTTTTTACGGCGTTGGTCCATGTTTCAGAGCTCGCACTTGCCAGCATTTAACCATATACGTGAAACGGTGACCCAACTGAGACCCTGTCAGCCAATAACCACCCGCCACGTCATCCGACAGAGTCTGGCCATGGTAGATGTCGCGTACAGTCAACACTGTGCTTCGCATAGACTATACATATTTATTTTTTTCATTAACAAAAACACATATTTATTTTTGGGAAAATTGGATATAAAGGATAAATAATTAAATTATTGTCTATCTATGCATTATATATTCCTAATTGGTGATATATGCTTTAAAATTGGTCATATATGCTTTGATATAATTAAAATCCCATTTATATCCCCAGTTTTTTTTGTTAAATCTTGCTAAACTATAAAATTCTAAAATTAATTAGATTTCTTTCTAAAAATGATTTGGAAAAAATATATGACAAAAATAATATTTAATTACTTTCTATTTTTTTTTTTGCTGTAGATAATTTCATATATTCTTCCGCTTTAGTTCTTTTTTTTACGGCATCTTCTTCTTCTATTTTCTTTACGCCAACTTCTTCTTTGATTTTTTCTTTTGGGACTGCCCATCGATATGTTGGACGATGTCAACATATACATGCACGTCAAAGGCATGTAGTTGATCTATGGAAAGTAACATCTTCTCATGTATTCATGACCGAATGGCAAAGTATGAACCTCCACAAGCTGACAAGCTAGATTCTAATATAATAGAGATTGAGTGAAAAATAGACACACAATGATTTATGCAACTTTTTTACATGTCAATTCACTTTTACGTTAGTCATTTTCAAATATTACGCCTATAGTAAGCCACAATTTTCCACAAATGTGGTACTTTTGTTAGTTTATAATTGAGTTTGGTTATATTACGTATTTTGTATTTTGTATAAGTAGAGCAACACGTTTCACTCATGTTACGTATTTTCCACAAAAAAGTTGTGTAGTTTCGTAATCTAAACTTTTTATATTCGACTTCCATATTTTATAATTTATTTTCCTTTTTTAAAAAAAATTCTAAATTACATAGAATTTGATTTCTATTTTTTGTAGACTATATAGAAAAATATAAGAATGTGTTTTCTAACAATTTTAGAACAAGGGTAAATGTTAGAAAACATATTCTAATTTTTCTAGAAGAAAGAGCAAAGTATAGAATATGTATTCTAAATTTCGTAGAATTTAGCATTCTAAATACCGTAGAACAGAAATGCGTTCTAAATTTTCTAGAACATGTAAAGTGCATAGAATACATTATCTAAATTTTATAGAACATGTACAATGTATAGAATACACATTCTAAATTCAGAAGACGTAGTCTAAACTTCGTAGATCATATTTTATTCATTCAGAACGGTAACAAAACGATATATTTTCGATTTTATAAGTATCCCATGACTTCTTTATCATTTGCCTACAAACTATTCTGAATTTTATTTGAAAAATTATTACAAAGGGTAGATTAGGAATATGTGACATTTGAATATAGAATGCATAGACGGACAATAGTTTAATTATTTGTCCTTTATATCCAATTTTCCCTTTATTTTTTATAATTTGTAAATCATTTTTTCTTTTGGTTCAAAAGGAGAAAATTTTCTATTCTTTTATTTTTGTTAGTTTTCTAAATTCTAACGGTTGTCGGCAGTGTGTATAGAGAGGCTTATCATTTTGCATTTTCGCCAACTTTCTTTGGATTTTGTCTTTCAAGTATGTGATCGTCGGTTGACTTTAGAATTTGCAATTCTCGAACACTTGATTCTATGTGGAATTTAATAAATTCTGTTCAAGCTAACAAAAACCTTGCCCTATTGTTGTCTCTCCAATCTAGCAATCAGTTCAAAACAAAATGAAACTCATTATGCAGATCCAGAGACGATCAAACTATTCTAGGCTAGCTTCATATTCTTGTGTTTCCTGAGAAGAATCATCAAACTCAAGGAGGCAATTTGTCCAACAATGCAGCCTCCTATTGCTCCATAACACACACATATAGGCCACTCCTGTTTAGAAGAATTATACAAGGATTAGTTCACTCTTGTAAAAACAGCGAAAAAGAGAGTAATAAGTTCAGAACCACGACCAAGAACAAGAACCAAGCCCTTGATTGTATATTGGGATAAATAAACATTACCTGCCATGGCCTTTCCCAGTCAAGTGGCATAGGCCAAGCTCCAAACCAACCTCCAATAATTGCTCCATATGCTGGAATCAAGATCATATATTCTACATTTCCAGTTGGTCTAAAAGAAACAAAATGATGGATTAACAACAGCAATTGTGTGAATTATCATATAAGGTAACATAAATAACTTACTTTAGTGAAGCAAACACACGATGCCAATCTGTCCATGATGCACCAAAAACTGCACTCGCTGGTACAACCTATGAAAATCAAAATTATCAGAGACCATCAAAGGTTTGTTCCAAACTGCAGAAATACACATATGCATGGTATTAACATCGTTACATCTTTCAAGTCATGGACACTGCAGCTTACCGTGAAAACAGACATTAGAAAGGACCAGTGAATTGTTTTTGGTAGAGATCTGCATAAGATAAGAGGTAATACTCATGTCAGCTTTTGCTAATCACGTAATCTCCATGCAGAAGTGAGATCACAACCAGTATTAAGGAGCCTCGTTTGTAATCTGGACAACTGAAAAGTCCAGATTCACAATCAGCATATCCACAATTAGAAAGAAAAAAAAAGATTTAGAGAAACATACTGCATTCCAATAGGTGCACCCAAAGAAACAGCTCCAAAAGCATTTATAAGAGCCCCTATTAAACAAACCAAACCACAGGTATAGAGAAGTCAGAATCAAGGGATACTGAATCAGCAAGAGCACAAGATGAAAGCATAAGAAGCTAATACTCATTCACATCTTCAGGTTTAGCTTAACATCTAGAACTTCCAGGTGAACTCATTGAGGAATCAACTTCTTTGAAAAAGTAGTGAGCTATAATAAGCAAACAAAAATTACTAACCGGAAATTAGTCCTACTATGCTTCGCCCAACAGCTCTAAAGTACTGGAAATCAATGAGAAAATCATTACGACAGAGTCAAAATACAGAAGACCAAATCTTTACTATATGAAAGAAACGATTTTTACGAGCATTACGAGTGTCAAAGTGAATGATACTTGTCAATTTCATAAAAGGGAAATGAGCCAAGCACAAAGCAATCCAGTTAAAACGAGAAAGTCAGCTTATTGAATCCCAGAGATGAACTAAACTATACTCACCGAGCATTTCTCTGGGTTCCGTCGGAACAAGCTGTAGATGACTACCACGATCGGGAACTCAATAATCTGAAAATTAAATCAAAACAAGGCTAAATCAGCTGAAAATATACCCACTAAAAACGTTTAGCAACCAGGTTATGAAAGAAAGTTTTAGTACCCACAGGAGACGCAGAGTGAGAGATGGATCAGAAATGAGATCGACAAAGTAAATGTTACGAATCACCCAGAATCCGACGGCCAGAAATAACCCAGTAATCAAATAAACAGAGAAAGCTCCCAGAGCTGATATCGACACACCAATGGAGGTTTCTGGCTTCTTCTTCTTCTTCGCCTCTTTCATGGCTTTTCCTTTATCGTCTTCGGAACCGGAACAAGTGAAGAAGACGTCAAAAAAACAAAATAGGTACTGAAAATCTTCCATCATACTTACATTGGGCCTTTGATCCCATTACTGGACCCAAAATTTTAAACTTAATGGGCTTTAATAGGCCTACTAAACTATTAAGAGGTTGCCGGAGATAATTATATGTGCCGGTGAATCCAGAACTCTCTGGTACATTTGTGCGATTTCTCCATCTTTCCACAATCCCGTGGGTTGTTCCCCGAGCTTTTTCTCGAAATGTCTCGCTTCTCTCGTCGAATTCGTATATATATCTGCTTCCATCGATTCCGATTCTTCATCAAGCAGATAAGCAAACAACAGAAATCAAAGAAATCGAAAAATCACACTTTCCAATTTCATTCAATTACTGAAGCTTTTTTTAAGCAACAATGGCGACGAAATCAGAAAAGGCTATTGGAATCGATCTCGGCACTACATACAGTTGTGTCGGAGTTTGGATGAACGATCGCGTGGAGATTATCCCTAACGATCAGGGAAACCGTACGACACCGTCCTACGTCGCCTTCACTGACACTGAGCGGCTGATCGGAGACGCGGCGAAGAATCAAGTGGCTTTGAATCCTCAGAACACTGTATTCGATGCGAAGCGTCTCATCGGAAGGAAATTCTCTGATCCTTCTGTTCAGAGTGATTTGCTTCACTGGCCGTTCAAGGTTGTTTCTGGTCCCGGAGATAAACCGATGATAGTGGTGTCTTACAAGAACGAACAGAAGCAGTTCTCTCCTGAGGAGATATCTTCCATGGTGTTGGTGAAGATGAAGGAAGTAGCTGAGTCTTTCCTAGGTCACACTATTAAAAACGCCGTTGTAACGGTTCCGGCTTATTTCAACGATTCGCAGAGACAGGCCACGAAGGACGCCGGAGCTATTTCTGGGCTCAATGTTTTACGGATTATCAATGAGCCGACTGCTGCAGCTATAGCTTACGGTTTGGACAAGAAGGGTACTAAGGCCGGTGAGAAGAACGTTTTGATTTTCGATCTCGGTGGTGGAACTTTTGATGTTTCATTGTTGACGATTGAAGAAGGTGTCTTTGAAGTAAAAGCTACTGCCGGAGATACTCATCTTGGTGGTGAAGACTTTGACAACAGACTTGTGAACCATTTCGTTGCGGAGTTTAAGAGGAAACACAAGAAGGATATTTCTGGGAATGCGAGGGCTCTTAGGAGGTTGAGGACTGCTTGCGAGAGAGCAAAGAGAACTCTTTCGTCCACTGCTCAGACGACTATTGAGATTGATTCTTTGCACGAGGGTATTGACTTCTATGCGACAATCTCACGTGCGAGGTTTGAGGAGATGAACATGGATTTGTTCAGGAAATGTATGGATCCTGTGGAGAAAGTTCTTAAAGACGCCAAGATCGACAAGAGCAGTGTGCACGATGTGGTTCTGGTCGGAGGATCGACGAGGATTCCGAAAATTCAACAGCTTTTGCAAGATTTCTTTAACGGGAAGGAGCTATGCAAGAGTATAAACCCTGATGAAGCTGTTGCCTATGGAGCTGCGGTTCAGGCTGCGATACTGACTGGTGAAGGAAGCGACAAGGTCCAAGATCTTCTGCTTCTTGATGTGGCGCCGCTAAGCCTTGGAATTGAGACAGCCGGTGGGGTGATGAGTGTGTTAATCCCGAGGAATACGACGGTTCCTTGTAAGAAGGAGCAAGTGTTCTCTACGTATGCGGACAATCAGCCAGGCGTTCTGATCCAAGTCTATGAAGGAGAACGTGCAAGGACCAAAGATAACAACCTTCTCGGGACTTTCGAGCTCAAGGGCATTCCTCCTGCACCACGTGGAGTTCCTCAAATCAATGTCTGCTTTGACATGGATGCGAATGGGATCCTAAATGTGTCGGCGGAGGATAAAACTGCTGGTGTAAAGAACCAGATCACGATCACGAACGACAAAGGAAGGTTGAGTAAAGAGGAGATAGAGAAGATGGTGCAAGAGGCTGAGAAGTACAAGGCTGAGGATGAGCAAGTGAAGAAGAAGGTAGAGGCCAAGAACTCGTTGGAGAACTATGCTTACAACATGAGAAACACTTTCAAGGATGAGAAACTCGCGCAGAAGCTAGATCAAGAGGATAAGCAGAAGATTGAGAAGGCGATTGATGAGACAATCGAATGGATTGAAGGAAACCAGCTGGCGGAAGTTGATGAGTTTGAGTATAAGTTGAAAGAGCTGGAAGGTATTTGCAACCCAATCATCTCAAAGATGTATCAGGGTGGTGCCGGAGGTCCCACTGGAGGTATGCCGACAGATGGTGGTTTCAGTAGCTCAGGTGGTGCTGGAGGTCCCAAGATCGAAGAGGTGGATTAAACCGTGTGCAGAGTGTAAAGACAAAAGAGTGGCTTTGGACCATTTGCGAGTCTTTCTTTGTATTGTGTGAGGGTCAAAGAGTGTTGTTATTCATAGGTGTTGTTTTGCTAGTGAACAAATGGCAGTATTATAGTTGTATGCTTTACATATTTCAGTTATTTCGAGTAATAAAGAAAGTGATTTACTTTTCTCTCAAGAGTGTGTACCTAAGTGTTCATTAACAAATCTAGATCAAGTTTGTCTTGTCTTTGCTGCATAAACATAACTCTCTAAGAGTATGTTCGTTAGGCTCTTATCTCGCACATACGCTTTTTTATTTTTGTCATAATCTCGCACATATGTGATATGCCTCAGGAAGTGATTATATATATACATACATACATATTACCAAGTGTTATATATGTATGTATATGTGTGTACATATTGATGAATTTTCTTTGCTTGTTGGAGTTGTCTTTGTCCTGAGAAAGGAAGAGTCAGAACAGAGAATTTTGATCTTTGAAGTGTGATAAAGAAAAGTACATATTTGATGCCTAACTTGTCATTTCAGAACAAGTTCTGTCTTGGCCCCACCCACACATATATATACGCACTGTTAGCTTCATAACAGTCGCATCTCAAATCCACGAAGCTCAGACCAGCAATGGGGACAGTATCTGTTGCATTGGTCTTCCTCTTCTTTCTCTGCTTCCCCATCTCATTAGACTCCCAGAAACTCGATCCAGCGACGAGCTTGCTCAACCAAGAACAAGCCCATGGTGCTCTGTTTTAAGTATCTGTTGTTTCTCTTTTGTTTATATGACCAGAGATGTTAAACATCATTATCTCGTTTTTGTTCTTCTTATAGCAGAGTTTACAATCAAAGACATAGAAGGAGGAGAAGATGACAAGACCATCGACATCTTCCGGGCAGGGAAAGGAGGTCATGGAGTTACAGGTGGAAGAGGTGGAGGTCGGAAAGCATCTCCAAAAAAAAGTAATGCCGCCATGGACCACACGCCAACGTTCTTCTCCGCTGCCTCCATTCTCTTTACTGGTTGTATAATGTTTTCATTAACTTCTTTCAACATCTAACATATTGTACTGAATATTGTAAACTTTGAATTCTATTGAAAATTTGAAACGGATACGGAATAACACTTGTATAGTACTACTAGTAATCAGGAGTGAGTATATCTAACCAAACCAAGAATTAAGACCCAGGAGAAAGATGCTTTCCTCCGCACAAAAATAAAAGGATTTCGTTTGCTTGATAGAACGTGGAATCATTGTTACATATCTACACAGGCCAAATAAGAACACAATCGTTTTCCTCTCTGCAATTTCCCACAACAAAATTAATGGCTGATAGAGAAGTGCTCATTACTTCTTCTGAGCTTTTCACTTTGTACTTGAAACTAGAAGAAACTTCTTCCCAAAACCAGAAGAAAGAACACTAAAACTTAGTCCATCAAGAACGCTCCGCTGCAATACCTGATAAAATCCCAGCACATTTTTTTAAGAACAGTCATGAATTTGTTTCCAAAGCAGAGTATTTAGTTCGTAAGTAGCAATACCTGTTGCTGAATCGTCCAACAGCGTCTGTGGTATCAAGAAGAGTGTCGCTGCCTTTCTCCAAAGCCATGTAAAGCTCTTTGCCTCTGGTCACACGGGCGATCACCCACACATTGTTCTTAGCTCTGATGCATATTTCCATGTCTTTTTCCTGCCTTTTCGCACGACTTTTTTCTAAATCCACTTCTTCTCTAAGCTGGTTTAGTGCAAGTAAAGACTCCTGCGGTTTTCAAGTTCATACACTTTTGAGTCCAAAGGTGGTAATACTTTCAGCTAGTAAATCATATTGTGAAAGACGTTACCTTTGCAAGTGTTGTAACTTTTCCTGAAGGAGAAGCTCTGGATAGTTCCATGTCACTATCAACTACTAAGTAACGGTAACCCTTAATATGGTAAGTATTCTCACCGCCCCACCCTCTTGAAATCTTCTCTTCGATTTTCAAGATTCTCAGTGATGCCTGGAAAAGAGATATTGGGTATATATTAGAAGACACCAGAAAAGAGATTCACCAAAAAAGATCGATGGGCGATGTGCTAACATCTTCAATAACTTGCTGTTTCACGGCTGAGACGCTTAAATCTCCATTGACAATGGCATTTGTAGGCATGAGAAGAAGTAAGGTGAGACTGTTATGCTGATAAGCAAGGAGATACATTCTTTCTTGTGTCTGCTGAAGCCAGATTGTAGGGATGGCAGAATCAGGGGAACCGCCAGTCTCTAGACCCCAAATATCGGTTATTAGAAACCCATCTTTCCCTTTTGTCCACTTATCATTTTGTAGTGGCCTAATAACATGATGCATGTCATTTCCGTTTCTTGAGTGTAGGGAATCAATTGAGCCAATGGGTGCCAAAGTAGATCTAGAAGAGATTTCAGATGAACCAGGCCCTTTACGTAGATATGACCAAGAACTTGCGTCAGAGGATAAAGCTTTTGAGGTCAACCTCATTACAGCAAATGTAAATAAGTCGACGGTATCATCAGCTGAGAGGGTTGTTGAAACCAGCAGATCTTGAAATAAGATCATAGAGTGACATCGTAAGCTCCCAGCACATGAATCTAGTACTTGAACAAGTGACTGTACATCCAAAAACTGTTAGTCAAATACCAAATTATTATATGTGTAAATAATAGTCCAACAGATTTGGAGACACAAACCTGAACTTCAACTGCGATGTCCCTTGCTAAAGTAAGCATTTGAACAGTTCCACGCTCTCTCAAAGTTTCACGGAAAGTTGGTAGCTGAAGTTTCTTCCCCACAAAAAAATCTGCCCGAAAGAGAAAACCTTTGCATAAGCTATTACATACGAACCAACTTGAGCATTTTACCATGAAGGTAACAAAATATGCGGTTTTGCACAAATCCAAAGGAAGGCATTCGACACAGCAACTTCAGCATTTTACCCCAGCAGCAATCTTCCGAGAGAGACCATTTTTGAAATGCTGACAATTATTGACATAAAATGTATTGAAGCGGGAAACAGAATAAAAAGGGACAACAGTGGAAAATTATATGTGCTAGATTTTGTGATAGTGACTTACTGCTTAAATAATCAGTGATGAACGGGTACAACAGTGATCGTGTAAGCCCTCCTGTTGGTTCTTTTTCGATTAATGCCCTAATTGACCCGTGAAACATAACAAAGAGTGAGTGCACTTCTTTAAGCACCCTCCTTAATGCATCAATCCTCCATATTGCCCCTGTCTCCTTATTTTTCTCCACAACCTGCCAATGTCTAGGTCAGATCTTGTTCATTGACATTACCGAGACACCATAGGATGCATCATTCATAAAAAAAAATTGTGCTATAACAAGGAAAGAAAGAGAATGCTTTACCATAACCATCCAGATATCGGGTTCAGCCTCATAGAAAACATGGGAATGTCTTTCTGCTTCTATTACTTCACAAGCTGCCTCCGGAGAGAAAAGTCTGTATTAATAGTCACACCAATCCTCAGAATATGAACAAGATTCACACACAGCAATGATAAAAACACATCTCACAGGGTTAAAAAAAGAAGAAGAATATGTAGCAGCTGACCTAGTAAAAGTAATAAGCCCTTCACTGAGCCCGATCACTGATAACTGGGTGGATAAGTCTAATTCTGCAGGGTAAAAGAACAAAATCTTGTCTAACTCTTGTCCTTCAGTTTGGCCCCTCCTCAAATCAAATGCGCAAAGTCGAAGGCTTTCATCACCAGAGCTCATGGACGCCATTTCTGGAAGCTTCTACGAGCTCATTAAAACCCTAACATACAATGCAAGTACCGCGTCAGAAATCAGGGCATGTTACAATTGGTTGTTTCCATATACTCCACTTCAAAATCTAAAGTAATTTCATGGTTTCAAGGGCACATTGGTGACTCAACCACGGCACACAAATCCCAAGTAAGGTTCCTAATAAGAAGACCGAAGAACCCATAAATCGAGAAGACAAAATTTACTACCTTGAGAACGAATTGAAAGAGCAATGTCGAAGGAGTGATCAATCTCCTGGTACTGCGAGATAGTTCACCGATCGGAGACAGATTCACGAACAGATTAGTCAACTTTCGATTGGTGGAAAGCTCAAATTTCTAAACTCAAACTCGAATTTGACCGATTGAGCTGAAATCAGTAAAAGAAGAATGACGCGACATTTTGTAACAAGGATGAAGAAAGAAGAGCAGGTGGACAGTTAACCACCACGAAATAAACCGGATCGGGTTATCGAAGAGTCGGGTCAAGATCTGAAACGGGTAACCGAATATTTCTAGATTCTCCACGGCTTACGTCATCTGTGTCTCTTCTAATTAAATCATCCGTTGTGTTAATAATTATTTGAGATAGTGATAATGACAACATTAATGATCTAAAGTTGATTAGATTTGATACTAATATATTGGGAAGTTAGAGTTAACCGGTAAATTAGCTATAGTCGGTCGGTTATCATTCTGGTTAACCCCTCAAGTAGCACTACTTGGCTCGCATTCACTAGTCGCGCGACTAATAGAAAAAAGCTTTTGCGTGTTTGTTGTCTTCCATCGCTCGTTTGTTTCTTCTTCAGCCATATCGGAAAAAAAAAACCGATATACGACAAGCCATTCGGTGTTTGTTCCGACAAGCTTCGAATCGATCTGTGATAGGTTTTTTCTTTTTCCGCCTTATGAATCTCTTTTCATTGGATTCAGTTTAACTCGAGTGATGAAACCAATCTCCGTGCTAGAGGTAAATTCAGATACATCGGTTAGGTTTTCTCTTTGTTTTTCTTTTGCTTCGTACCGATCGATATGATTATGGGTTCGTTTTGTTTCCAATCTGCAGCTCTTTGATCCCGTGGCTGGTAGGATATTACGGCGTTTGTAGCTCTGGTATGGCTTTGTGGTTCGTTTGGTTCTGAATTTCGAAAATTTTCGATTTTTTTTTAATCGGAATCTGAGACTAGTTCATCGTTTTATGGTTACAGTTGGCTTGGATAGAGTTAGAACGACGAAATCAGCCTTGATTTATTAACTGGTATTTGTTCTTTAGCATATGTTTTCAATTTTTCTGTTCCGGTTTTTTGGTGGCCTGTGGTCTGTGTAGAATAGTATCAATATCATTCCTGTTATCATTTAAGAAAGATGTTGAACAAAGATACTACTTAATCTATTCATTGAGAGAATTCTTGTTCTTTGGATGCTTGCAGTGTTTCTGGTTATTCGGGATTTGTGTATCTGAGAATCTAATCATCATTGTTTACGTTATTTATTTTGATATTTGTAGTTATTTGGCATTTCAGTATCTGAATTTTTGCAACAATGTCTGAGCTAAAAGAGCGCCTGCTTCCTCCAAGACCTGCTTCAGCTATGAACCTCAGAGATTCTGCTGTGACTCGGCCTTCTGCTTCTGGAAGAGCACCCCTTCTTGGAGTTGATGTCTTGGGTCTGAAGAAGCGTGGACAAGGCCTACGGTCTTGGATTCGAGTTGATACTTCTGGCAATACTCAGGTCATGGAGGTCGATAAGTTCACTATGATGCGTAGATGTGACTTACCCGCCCGTGATTTAAGGCTGCTTGATCCCTTATTTGTGTATCCCTCTACTATCCTCGGCCGAGAAAAGGCTATTGTTGTGAACTTAGAGCAAATCCGTTGTATAATTACTGCAGATGAAGTTCTGCTCCTGAATTCCCTTGACAACTACGTGCTGCGGTATGTTGTTGAGTTGCAGCAGAGACTAAAGACTAGTAGTGTAGGTGAGATGTGGCAGCAGGAAAATGCCCAGTTGAGTAGGAGGAGGAGCAGGAGTTTTGACAATGCTTTTGAGAATTCATCCCCTGATTATTTACCTTTTGAGTTTAGAGCTCTTGAAATAGCCCTTGAAGCTGCTTGTACGTTTCTCGATTCCCAGGTTAGTAACAGTTTAGCTTCGATTTTGTTTCTCCCTCTGAAAAAAACAGACTAATGCAGGGCTTGGATTTGACTTCTACACACTAAGTTGATTGAATTCTATCCTTCTCTATAGGCTTCAGAGTTGGAGATTGAGGCATACCCGTTATTAGATGAGCTTACCTCAAAGATCAGTACACTAAACTTGGAGCGTGTGCGTAGACTAAAGAGCAGGCTTGTAGCACTGACAAGAAGAGTTCAGAAGGTTCGGGATGAGATTGAGCAGCTAATGGATGATGATGGAGATATGGCAGAAATGTATCTAACAGAGAAAAAGAGGAGAATGGAAGGATCTCTGTACGGTGACCAATCCTTGTTGGGTTACAGGTCAAATGATGGTCTATCTGTTTCTGCACCGGTCTCTCCTGTTTCTTCTCCTCCTGATTCCCGAAGACTTGATAAAAGCTTGAGCATTGCGAGGAGTCGGCATGACAGTGCAAGGAGTTCGGAAGGTGTAACAGAGAATATAGAAGAGCTAGAGATGTTGCTGGAAGCTTATTTTGTCGTCATTGATAGCACTCTAAACAAGTTGACATCGGTACTTTAATGCTTCCTCCCTTTTTCACTTTCTGTCTTTCTTCGTTAGGAAGCTTTAATCATATGTATCCCTCTCTTTACTTTACTTTACTTTACAGTTAAAGGAGTACATTGATGACACTGAAGATTTCATTAACATTCAACTGGTAATACCTCAAAAATTCTACCTTTTCCATCTTCCACAGCTGAATGTTAATCCAGTTTGAGAAACCATAAGAGTCTTGCTGAAACTGTCTTCTATATCTGCAGGATAATGTGCGGAATCAGCTAATCCAGTTCGAGTTGCTTCTCACGACTGCAACTTTCGTTGTAGCCATATTTGGGGTCGTTGCTGGGATCTTTGGGATGAACTTTGAGATAGACTTCTTCAACCAGCCAGGTGCATTCAGATGGGTACTTATAATTACTGGAGTATGTGGCTTTGTTATATTTTCGGCATTCGTCTGGTTTTTCAAGTACAGAAGACTCATGCCTCTATAAGAGGACATGACTGTGCCCCCCACCCCACAAAGTAGACATCAACTTCTATTGTTGTGTTGCTTACAGATTCATGATTTGTTTCCTTTTCACAATGGAATCTTCAGCAATTTTATCATAGGCATTGTCAATCCAAATGTGATAGAATCTTTTATCTTTTTATTAAAACACAGATAACCAAACATGGTGCATCAAAAAATTCATGAAAATGAGAACAACCTTGAATCTAAACCACAAAGCTTCAGACTCTTTTTACCAAGTTTTAACTCGTGTGGGTAAATGAGTATCAGTGTGCAGGTAACTCAATCCTTGAGACAGACTACTTGTTAGCTGATGAAGACGATGAGAGGCGGGCTTTTCGAGCTTTATCGGCCTTGTCCATGTAATCTTGGTGAGATTGATGCTTCGACCCTAAAAGAAACCAAAGAACTTCAACCAATTAGCCCAAACAGAGAGCAGATGTAACAGAACTACAGATTCATATCCTATCAGAATCTACCAGCAATCAAAATCCTATATTATCTTCTACCAATTACTCTTCCATGTTCCTATCAGAGTTTCCTTCAATTATCTTCTAAACCCAGAATCTACAAGAAAGGATTTGGTTAAAAAATTAATTATTAAACGACGAGAGAGATCGGACCTTGAGTCATCAAATACCAAGGAACCCCGAAGATGATGGTGACGATTCCGATCCCAACCAAGACGTGCTTCTTTTCACCACTGTAAACGTAATGCTCCATTTTAGCTCTGAATCCTCCACCTCCGGCCATACTAGCAGCACCACCGTTGTTGGTCTTCGTCTCATTTCCCATTCTCAGATCTCTCTATTTTTTAACTTACCTTTCCGATCAACAAACAAGGTTTATCGGTCCATCCATCAGAGACAAAGTATTAAGTACCTGTTGGGGGAGGTTTTAGAAACATGTATAAATGGGCCTTAATTTAGGCCCATCAACATTAAACTTTCTCTTTGTTTATATATATAACAGTTTGAACCCGATATTTTGTTACATATTAGTGTAAAAGCTTGATAACTTTCTTCGATTACAATTTTATCCAAACAGTACGCGGTAAATTCGCTCTTCATCAAAAGCCAATAAAGAGAGTGAATTAGATAGCAGAGAGCTATAATAACTCTTCGCGCCTCGTCAAAATACGCGGTAAATACGCTCCTTATTAAAAGTTAGTTAGTGTAAGATTATTAACCAACTTTCACAACGGTCCAATCTCTAGGAGTATTCAATCATTCATCCGCCATCTGTGGTACCAAGTAGCAACCCTCAATTTCTTCATTCCCAAGTTTCTTCAAGCTCTAGATTTTTCCAAATTCATTCATACACTTTTCCACATTTATTACAAATCACTGTAAGTATTTGTCGCCGATCCTTGATTAGCTCTTTATTCCCAGTTTTTATCTTACATAATCGAGATCTGTGGTGATGTCAGGTTAATTTTTGCATGAAGCCTATGATTGTTTCTCAGAAAAATGTACAAATCCCAATACATTAGCGGCCAGAGAGAAAAATTCGTTAGGTAAATAACCAAAACTCGTAATATTTTTCTTTGTAATTTTCTTCAGATCTATGAATGAGGTTTAACTTATAATTACAGGTTAGATGATATAGATTCAAGTTCTTCTCCTGCCACTGGAATGATGATGCAGAGAAATTGTTTCGGATTTAACCTAAAGAACCGGGGAGGTGAAAAGAAGAAAGCATCCAAATCTTTCAGGGAAGGAGTCAAAAAAATCAGATCAGAAGGTCTAATAACCATCGGTAAATCGGTAACAAGAGCGGTTTTTCCAGAAGATTTAAGAATTACTGAGAAGAAAATCTTTGATCCTCAAGACAAAACACTTCTCATATGGAACAGATTGTTCGTCATTTCGTGTATTTTAGCTGTCTCAGTGGATCCATTATTCTTCTATCTTCCCATTGTTGATAATTCCGGAAGCAGCTGTATAGGGATTGACACGAAACTAGCTGTTACAACGACGACCCTTAGAACCATCGTTGACGTTTTTTACTTAACTCGAATGGCTCTTCAGTTTCGTACAGCTTATATAGCTCCTTCCTCTCGTGTGTTTGGTCGTGGTGAACTTGTGATTGATCCTGCAAAGATTGCGGAACGGTATTTAACCCGTTATTTCATCGTTGATTTCCTTGCAGTGCTTCCTTTACCGCAGGTAAAGCAGAGTTAAAAAATCCTTTGATGGTTACTAAACATATTAGACTTTTGAGGATTGGTTATGATGTTTTGTGTGGATATTACAGATTGCGGTATGGAAGTTTCTTCACGGGTCTAAAGGATCAGATGTGCTACCGACGAAAACGGCATTGTTGAACATTGTAATCGTGCAGTATATTCCGAGATTCGTGAGGTTTATTCCGTTAACATCAGAACTGAAGAAAACTGCAGGAGCTTTTGCTGAAGGAGCTTGGGCTGGTGCTGCTTATTATCTCCTCTGGTATATGCTTGCAAGCCACGTAAGCGTCATTATGTATATGTAGAAGGTTTTGAGACATTTTAGTTATCATTGTGTCACTTTCTCACTGCAGAAACACATTTTCGCAGATAACTGGAGCGTTTTGGTACATGTTGTCAGTGGAACGTAACGATACTTGTTGGAGATTTGCTTGTAAGGTCCAGCCAGATCCGCGACTCTGTGTTCAGATTTTGTATTGTGGGAGTAAATTTGTGAGCAATCGAGAAACTGAATGGATCAAAACAGTCCCTGAGCTTCTCAAGAGCAATTGTTCTGCTAAAGCAGATGATTCAAAGTTTAACTATGGGATATACGGTCAGGCTATATCTTCAGGCATTGTATCATCAACAACATTTTTCTCCAAGTTCTGTTATTGTCTATGGTGGGGTCTTCAAAATCTCAGGTAAGGCACGGAAATCAATGGTTCAACCGATAGCTTGTGCAGTACTTTTGATATCTTTGGTGTTTTCTTGAACAGCACATTAGGTCAAGGACTGCAAACAAGTACATTTCCAGGAGAGGTTTTGTTTTCCATTGCGATTGCTATAGCTGGACTTCTTCTTTTCGCGCTTCTTATCGGGAATATGCAGACTTATCTTCAGTCACTTACTGTTCGTCTCGAGGAAATGAGGATCAAAAGACGCGACTCGGAACAGTGGATGCATCACAGGTCACTTCCACAAAATTTGAGGGAAAGAGTCAGACGCTATGATCAATACAAATGGTTAGAGACAAGAGGTGTAGACGAAGAAAACATAGTTCAGAGTTTACCTAAGGATCTCAGAAGAGACATCAAACGCCATCTCTGTCTAAATTTAGTTAGGAGGGTAAGATTTTATAATCAGAATGCTAAAATTGTTTCAGATACTAACTAACTAACCCAGTGTTCTGTTTCTGCAGGTTCCTCTGTTTGCTAATATGGATGAAAGATTACTTGACGCGATCTGTGAGAGATTGAAGCCGAGTCTTTACACGGAAAGCACTTACATTGTGCGTGAAGGAGACCCGGTTAACGAAATGATGTTCATAATCCGAGGCCGGTTAGAAAGTGTAACAACAGATGGAGGACGAAGCGGTTTCTTCAACAGAGGGCTATTGAAAGAAGGAGACTTTTGTGGTGAAGAACTTTTGACATGGGCACTTGACCCTAAAGCAGGCTCAAACTTACCTTCTTCCACGAGAACAGTGAAGGCTCTGACTGAAGTAGAGGCTTTCGCTCTTGAAGCTGAAGAGCTGAAGTTTGTAGCAAGTCAGTTTAGGAGACTTCATAGTCGACAGGTTCAACAAACATTTAGGTTTTACTCTCAGCAATGGAGAACTTGGGCTTCTTGCTTCATCCAAGCTGCTTGGCGTCGCTATTCAAGAAGGAAAAAACGCTGAACTGAGACGGATTGAAGAAGAAGAAGAAGAAATGGGTTATGAAGATGAGTATGATGAAGAAAGTGACAAGAGGCCTATGGTTATCACAAGAACTGAGTCTTCTTCTAGACTGCGTTCAACGATATTTGCATCAAGATTTGCTGCTAATGCATTGAAAGGGCACAGACTAAGGAGCTCAGAGAGTTCAAAGAGCTTGATGAATCTGCAAAAGCCTCCGGAACCTGATTTTGATGCTGAATAATCCAATTCTTGATCAGAGGCCAACATCAGAATAACAGAGACTATATAATTGATTTATACACATAAATGCTCTATATATAACTTGTTTCAGAAACTTCAGAAACTGTTAGGTTTATCTACACGAGAGCCAATGATCCTTCAAAGATCTGCATTGCATTTTTAACAGTTCCTATGTCGATATCTGCTAGTTTTCCAGTCTTCGAAGCAACAATTACACAGTTACTCTTCTCTGCTGCATACGGTACAAAGAGCTTCCCTTTCTCTTCTGAAGAGAACAAGCCAATACTGGAAGAAAAAGAATCACACACACATGTCAGTTCTTGAAAACATTTATCACTCTTTATCTTAATCAGATATCTTCACCTGGGTTTGTCTCGCGCATTAGCTAGTTGAATCGCAGCTGTATTTGTAGCGATAACTCCAGCAGAATCGTTTATCAGAGCAGCCAACTAAGTAATATCAAGAAAATGAATCAAAGTAAGATCAGTGAATTCAAATTTGTTCATAGTAAATACAGACAAATAAGCATGCATACTTGTCCTGGTGTAGTGATGAACACTATAGATGTATCATCACCCACAATTTCTTCTACGTTTTCTCTCTCTTTCTCATGTGGAATCACAAAGACCGGCTTGAACCCCCTGGCATTTTCAGAATCATATCTCAGAGAAAATTTGAATATGAGCAAAAATAAATTACATTTTGAGGGTGATTAATTAGGTACCTTATACCCTTTATAATCCTAGCCCATTTGAAAAGTGAAAGTAAACTATCACTATCTCCTTTTGATTGCATTGATGCCTTAGAATCTGATTCAATCCCATGAATCACTATAAACTTCCCTGTCGCTGCTCCAGCATTCCTATACTTCTCAGCCACAACCTCTTTCAATTTTCGGGAAATCGATACCCTAAGTGGCAGCACAGGAGTCCTTGGAACACTCCTAAATGGTCTTCCTAACCAATCTTCCATCTGATCATACCTGAAACCATCAACAGTCAATTTAGACTGGCGATTAAAAATCTGCAGTTTCTTCGGGTTCAAGGAACTCACATGCTATAGCCTAATTCTGAAAGGTTGGTATTTTCTGCGGTAAAGGTCTCAGACAGCATCAGACCAGCTCCTGCAGAGTTAACATTCGGGTAAATGTAACTAACCCTGTCTCGAGCCGTTGTCATGAACAAGAACGCAGCGTGGCCTAACCCTGCGAGCTTTGTGGACAGAATCATGTCATAGTACCTTCCCTGAAACATGACTTAAGAGTAAAGTTAACTAACCAGTCTGATTAAGGAAAGATATAAAAAAGGTTGAAATATTTAAAAGTTACAAACTTTGAGGATTCCGATCATGTCTGTGTATTCAGCAGGTTCAGGCCAATGATCATCTGGATCATACACATTTGCCCATCTCACGTTTTTGTTTAATTCGTATGTTTGTTTTCCTCTATCAGTCGTTAATATATCAACCTGAACACCAGGATACCTTAAAAAAACAACAAGAAACGTACGGACAATGTTCTGCATTACAAATTTAAGGTTTTAAAAAAAAATGTCAAATCGGAGACAGAGTTTTATACTTTTACCTGTCTTTGATTAGCTGAATTGTCGGGAAAAAGAGTAAATTCTCGTAAACGCCACCGGAGATAACGCAGCAACATCGTCTAACATCGCCCCTGATTTTCAACGGCAAAGAAGCGAGCTCGACGGTGTAACCCTTGGGAAACTTCAAAAACCCGTAAGGGTTATCAGGATTATCCGGTAGTCGTGGATCCTCTTCTTGTTTTCCGTCGACATACAAGGACCCGTATTCGTTTTCCGGGTCTTCACCGCTATCAAACGGGTCGAGCCACGGGTTATTCTTTTTCTTGAGATTGACCGACACATCGGAAGATCTCGAAGTAAGCCGAGTTTGAAAGTTGAGGAAGACGAGTGGTTTGGAGGTAGAAAACGGCGGCGTTTTGAACAATGGGGAAATGGGTTTGGGTAACAGAGGAAGTGAAGCCATTGGAAGGTTTTTTTGAGCCAAAGAAAGAAAAGTTTGGATTTTTAAATGTTGTGAAAGAAGAGGAACTTAGGATAAGTGGGTCCCTTTTATGGCTATTTTCCGACCATAGAAGAAACTTAGCATTTAATTTCTTTTTTTTTTGTTATGGCAATTTCAGAAATTATTCTCTGTTCGATTAATTAAAAGTTTTGTCTTGACATGGGTTGATACGCACAAGCAAACATTCCTAACCTCAGAACTCAGAAGCATTAATCAACTGATTAAACAAGTAAACTTTACAGTAAGTAATTAAACCATTTTGGTTGTCGGGTCGAGCAATAAGTACCCGTTTTAATTGTCGGGTCGAGGAACAAAAGATCAGAAAAAAGCAGAAGAACCAAACGCTGACGTGTTAAGCCGTGACTGGTGAACGACCTTTTCTTCTCGTTTTTTTCCTCTCTCTTTCGATTTGATTCTTTTCGTCCTCGATCAGAAAAAAACTTTTTTTTTTTTTTCTGGGTTTTTCTGAAGTCAAAAGGTTTCTTTTTTCTTCACTGTTCCAAGATTTTCTTTTGTGTTCTTTTTCCTTAGTTGCTCATTGTTTCTAACCTTGCTTTTCTCGTGAACACAACAAGCAACTTGGCTTGGTTTTGCTAGAAGATTCCTAAAAATGAGATATTTAGCGGTGACAAAAAGTTTCATTTGGGTGCTAATGTAGCTGTAAAGTCCAGGCCTTTCGATATATAATCTCTTGAATTTAGGTCTCGAAACTGTTAAAAAGAGCAATTTTGTTGTTGTTGTGTGATCCAGTGATAGATCTGTGAAATCAAAAAAGCATTTTTTGCGAGAATTGGGTCAATGTCGGTTCCGCCTCGATTCCGGTCCGTAAATTCCGATGAGCGAGAGTTCCGATCAGTTCTTGGTCCTACCGGGAACAAGCTGCAGAGGAAACCGCCGGGGATGAAACTGGAGAAGCCGATGATAGAGAAGAAGACCATCATCGAGTCAAAAGATGAAGAAAAGAAGAAACCAACTACTCCGGCTTCACCGAGAACGACTTTGAAGCAATGCTCGTCTCTTTGCTCTTCGATTTTGAGAAAGAATAGTGCCTCGATGACTGCTTCGTATTCCTCTGATGCTTCGTCTTCGTGTGAGTCATCGCCTTTGAGCGTGGCTTCTTCTTCGAGCTGTAAGAAGCTTATGAGGCGAAGCGGGTCTGTCTCTTCTACAAGGAAGCTGAGTATTGGGAAAGAAGAGGACAAGGTTGCTGGTGATTGCTTCGCTGATGGTCGTAGAAGGTGTGCTTGGATCACACCAAAAGCTGGTAAGATCAAAGTTCCACCTTTTCAATCTCACTTATTTCATAATGCGAGAGCTTTGACTTTAGATGTATTCAAGAAAACGATATGAGCAAGAATGTGAATGTGAGATTGAGTTTGACCTGATTTTCTGAATCAGTGAAGAGACGATGAACTTCTTCTTTAGTTGAATCAAATGGGACTGATTTGAGACAAGGAGCTAGTGTTTTTTGTTTGATCTAATTATGTTCTTCTGTATGTGGATACTGAAGTAATTCAATGGTCAACAAAATGCTTCAATTGCTCTGTACTTTGTTCTGTGAGCATTGTGTAGATTATTTGCTATGTTGCATAACTTATGTAGTAGCTTGTCCTGAAATTCTCTATAGATATTTAACTTCTCAGTGTCCATGAAATCTAGCTGAGAGATTTTTTGATTTAGCTGATAGATCCACTTCGTTTATGATGTTAGTGTAAACCAAGCAGCGTTTTCAGGATTCTCTATACTAATGAGCATAAATGTTTCCATTCCAAGAGACACTTTCCACTATTATTTATTGCTCTCTTATGTTTCATATCTTTCTCTGCTATAAATTGACTAATAATGTTGTGTTTTTCTTCGTTGTAAAGACCCGTGCTATGTTGCTTTCCATGACGAAGAATGGGGAGTTCCTGTACATGACGACAAGTATGTGGCATCCTCAACTTTTTTCCTTTTATCAGAGATGCTCTCTGTAGTTATAAGAGTCTCTTACCACTTGGTTAAATTTGTGTAGGAAGCTTTTCGAGTTATTATGCCTCTCTGGTGCTCTAGCCGAACTCTCCTGGACCGACATTCTCTCCAGAAGACAGTTACTCAGGTATCAAACCAAGTTCTTAAGTAATCCGAATCTTGAAATCGCAATATAAACTTCTGATGCCTAGCCAGTAGCTCTGATCTCAGATTTGCTCAATTTGCTTCTTATTTGAAACAGGGAAGTTTTTATGGACTTCGATCCAGTTGCTGTATCTGAATTGAATGACAAAAAGTTAACAGCGCCAGGCACTGCTGCCATTTCTTTACTATCAGAGGTCAAGATACGATCAATCCTCGATAACTCACGCCATGTGCGCAAGGTATAGCATAACATAAACTCACACTTACTGATCTAAATTACTCAAAACTTGTGACATTTCTAGATATAATAATCTTTCTGGCTGTTAAATGTTAATTTCATTCAGATTGTAGCTGAATGCGGATCATTTAAGAAGTACATGTGGAACTTTGTGAACAACAAGCCTACACAGAGCCAATTCAGGTATCAGCGCCAAGTCCCCGTGAAGACATCGAAAGCAGAGTTTATCAGCAAAGATCTTGTACGCAGAGGCTTTCGCAGCGTTAGTCCAACGGTTATTTACTCCTTCATGCAAGCAGCTGGACTCACGAATGATCATCTCATAGGGTGCTTCAGATACCAAGACTGTTGCGTTGATGCAGAGACAACAACAACAACAACGAAGGCGAAGAAGAAGAACGAGAGAGAGGAGTGATAAATAAGAGCAATCCTGAAATAAGCTAATTAACGTATTTGAGTACCACCATGTTGTTTGCTTTGCTTTCAAAGATTAATTGACACAACGAGGTTTTGTTACCGTGAAGTGTTCTCTTTTCTTCTTTTTTGGCGTTGTATAGATGTTCTTGGTTATCGGCTTATGCATAGTAGAATGTTGCGATGAACTCTTAGACAGGACGTATTTGTGTGGATCGATTACATGCTACGTTTTAATTCAGCTTATTTGACCTACATAAGTAATGCTTATTCAAACTTGAAGAAAAAATACTTTGATTCAAGATTGATTTTAATACCCGAGTTGTAAAAAACTATTCCTGATAAATAAGGGCCGTGCATTGTGGACGTCGAATTCATCTTTGGCATATTCTTCAATTTTTTGTGGGCTTTTGGACATTGTATAATCGAAACCAATGGTTTGGTATGTTATATATAGCCTATGGTAGTAGGCATCTTAGTCAAATTACATGAGATGTTTTTTCTAATCCTTCCGTGGATGAACATGCAACAAATTTAAGTATTAGTAAATTATTAAGCTCTTTGCCCAAAAAAAAAAAAAAAAAAAAAAAAAGTAAATTATTAAGCTCTTTGGTCTTTTGTTTCCTCAACTATTATTTTTGTTATAAATTTGATAAATGGAAGGGCTATACTAATTAGGTGTCATTGAATCTTGATATGTCAAAAAAAAAAAAAAAAAAAATCTTGATATGTAAACAAGATTTACGTGTCGATTATAAAAAGAAACAGAGAAGTAGAGTGTCGTCGTCTTTTTTTTTTTCCGCGTATAGAGTGGTGTCTATTGACTATCGAATCCCACCAAAACAAAGGAGTCTATGGATCCCACTTGTTGTCGTAGATCATAACCACGCGCACTTCCTTGTGGGCGCCATCTTTTATCTTTACCGTTAAGTTGGCTACTTGGCCGTATTTCTAGATCTCTTCTTCTTTTGTCAATTTTTTTTGGATACTACTACTCCAAATATTATTTTGGTAGAGAACTTTTCTATTACGTATTGACTATTGCTATTACTAACTGTTAAGCTGAAGACAAGAAATTGAAAGTTTTTTACGTATCCTTTATTGTTAATTTTGGTAAATGATCTGATTTAGCTTTTCCTACGCATTTACTTCCCTAATTAACACATAGACGAAACAAAATAACTTGGAGTTTCTTAATAATTTTTTTTTATTTTTTGTAAACTAAAGTTAATTATGGAGAGAAAGAGGGAATTGTGGAAATTCTTTATAAAAAAGTGTTTATTTCTTTTATCATAAAGATGCATTTTCGAAAATCGACAAATGTAGATTGCCAAGGCATTAATTATCAAGTTCAAAAAAATACAGTACTACTTTCCACCTTCCATTATTCCCTAGAACAACCCTTCCCTTTTTCTTTAGTTATCATTTATTAAAATTTTCCCCAAAAAATTATAATTTTGGCATTTGCATTAATGAAAAAAGAACACATTTCAATGAGATTCGTAATATAATTTCTTTGACATTTGACCAAACACATGAATATATATATATATAATATATATATATGTATATATTGTATAGTTTTTGTACAGTAAAACCTCTATAAATTAAGACTCTATAAATTAATAATCTCTCTAAATTAATAAATTCTTTCCGGTCCCGAGTTGGGACCAGTGTAAAATATGACATAAATCGATAAAATTAATAAGATAATAATTTTTTTGAAAATCCTATGTAAACATATGGTCCCATCTATATCATAAATTAATAATTGTATAAAACTTATATATATATATATATGTGTATTTAATTTAATATATATATATATAATATAAATTTATATATGTCATATATGAATTACTATGATATATATTTAAAATGTTATATGTAAACCTTTTAATGAAATATGAATCTATTATTCGAAAAAAGTGTGTTATTTTTAAGAGAAATTGTTAAAAATGCCCCTTTTTCAATACCCCTTTTCAAAAATGCCCCCTTTGAGAGTCCATTTTTAAGTTTGCCCTCTTTTAATTTTTAATGACCATTTTACCCTTATTTGAAAACAAAATTACGGTCCACAAAATACCAAATATTTTTTGCGGGAAAAGTGATCCCGCAATTTTCCCGCCACAACACTTGTAAAAACCTTTAAAATACCTTGTAAAATTTTCCCGTAAAAAATTTTTCCGGCCAAAAAATTTTCCCGCCAAAAAATTTTTTTGCGGAAAAGTGATTCCGCAATTGTTTTTTTTGGCGGGAAAATTTTTGGCGGGAAAATTTACAAGGTATTTTAAAGGTTTTTACAGAGTATTTACAAGTGTTTTGTAAGGTTTTACAATGTATTTTAAACGGTTTTACAAGGTACTTATAAGGTTTATAAGGTATTTATAACTTGTAAAACCTTATAAAAAACTTGTAAAACCTTATAACTTGTAAAAACCTTATAAAATAGCTGTAAATCTTATATATCTTATAATACCCTTGTAAATACGTTGTAAAACCTTTTAAAATACATTGTAAAACCTTATAAATACCTTGTAAAAACCGTTAAAATAACCTTGTAAATTGTTGGCGGGAAAAATTTCCCGCCAAAATTAACGCCAAAAAAATTGCGGATCACTTTTCCCGCAAAAAAAATGAATTTTTGGCGGGAAAAAAGTTTACAAGGTATTTTAAAGGTTTTTTACAAGTTTTTACAAGTGTTTTGGCGGGAAAAATTGCGGGATCACTTTTCCCGCCAAAATATTTTGTATTTTGTGGACCTAATTTTGTTATATTTCCTTATATATTTGTGATATCTTTTATTAAAAGAGGGTAATTTAGTCATTTTGTACATAAAAAGGGGTATTTTTAAAAATGGACAGCCAAAGGGGGTATTTTTGAAAAGGGTATTAAAAAAGGGGCATTTTGTGAGTCTCCCTATTTTTAAACTTAATAATTGATTCTCTACTTGTAATTAGTTTTTAAAAGATATTGTTTATAAAGAAATTTTTTAATTTTAGATAGAATTTTTTTTAAGAAATTATAAATTATAAAAATAATTATTAATTTATCGATAAATTAATAATCTCTAAATTAATAAAATTTCTTGGTCCCAACATTATTAATTTATAGAGGTTTTACTGTATGTTGGCATTATAGACAGAGAGCGAAGAGACGTAAAAAAGGCGATGGCGGGTGCAACAGCAAGTGGCGGCAACAGAACTTTCTCAAACTCTCCTCTCATAGAAAACTCTGATTCTAATCAGATTGTTGTCCCTGAGGTTTCGTTTTCTTCTTGTCTCTTTTCTTTTTTGGCCCCACACTGTGGTTATTTCTCAACTTTGAGTCTCTCCACATTTTATGCTTAATCAGTTGTTAGTCTCCATGAATTTGATTCGCAATCCCTTTTGTGTATCCTTATCCGCTGAAACTCCCATTAGTAAACACATATCTATTATAAAATTTGATAACTGCCCATAAGGTTTGATTGACTTCAAGTGGACAAGAGTATCCTTAATTAAAGATTTTCAATTATGACTTGTGGTTTTGATGTTTGTGGTCTATATAAATAAATGCAGAAGAAGCTGGAAAAACTTTTTCTCGTACTTAGGCCCTGGATTTCTTGTCTCAATTGCTTACATTGATCCTGGAAACTGTAAGATTCTCTTTATAGATATACAAAGTCATAAAAGTGTAACACTTTAAAATTATGCAGAAAGACACAAGCTATGCATTTTTGTTGTTGTTGTTACAGTTGAGACTGATCTGCAATCAGGAGCTCAATACAAGTATGAGGTGCGTTACACAATCTGTTTAATGAACCTTTACGTTTTTTTCTGTGACTCTGTCATTGTTGATTTTGATTAAATCGTTTCTTAGTTACTCTGGATCATATTGGTGGCATCATGTGCAGCTTTGGTGATTCAATCTCTCGCTGCAAATCTTGGTGTTGTCACTGGTTTGTTTAATCCTAAATACAAACAATCTCTTTATTCTACTATAGTCTTTGTATACATCAATCAATGGTGATCTTTCTCATAGTATCTTGAAATGTTGACTTTCTGATCGCAGGAAAGCACTTAGCAGAGCATTGCAGAACTGAATACTCCAAAGTTCCAAACTTTATGTTATGGGTAGTTGCAGAAATCGCTGTAGTAGCTTGTGACATTCCAGAAGGCATGAGGTTTTTTGCTGCAGTGATGATGTTGATGGGAGTCTTCTCATTCTGTTATAATTTATCAAGCAAATGCTAAATAATGAATCAATCATTGGTTTTCTTTGTATACAGTAATCGGAACGGCATTTGCTTTAAACATGCTTTTCAATATCCCGGTTTGGATTGGTGTTCTTCTCACAGGACTTAGTACATTGATTCTTCTAGCACTTCAACAATATGGGGTATCTACTACTCTTACATTTGTTAGGTTTTGATTCTTATATGTTTCCTGTGCCTTTAAAGTCTCTAAATTTTTATTTTGGTTACTTTTATATCTTTACAGATTAGAAAGCTCGAGTTCTTGATCGCGTTTCTTGTGTTCACCATTGCCCTATGCTTCTTTGTTGAGCTTCATTACTCAAAGCCAGACCCAAAAGAAGTCCTCTATGGTCTCTTTGTTCCTCAGTTAAAGGGTAATGGTGCAACTGGTTTAGCGATCTCTCTCCTTGGTGCCATGGTTATGCCGTAAGCAACTCTCTGTCTCTCTATATATCCCTCAACTCAATTACGAAAAATTCTCATCTGTTTTTTTTCTTCACAGGCACAATCTCTTTCTCCACTCAGCTTTAGTTCTCTCTAGGAAAATTCCTCGTTCAGTAACCGGCATCAAGGTAACTAATCATCTATCATACATACATTTTCATGGACGTTATGAGTCTTAAGTTCCTCGTTTACGTTTACAGGAAGCTTGTCGGTATTACTTGATAGAAAGCGGATTAGCACTTATGGTGGCATTTCTCATAAATGTCTCTGTGATATCAGTGAGTGGTGCAGTTTGTAATGCCTCAGATTTGAGTCCAGAAGATCGAGCAAGTTGCCAAGATTTGGACTTAAACAAAGCTTCATTTCTGCTACGGGTAAATCCATGATTCCTATATGTTTTGCTTCAATTTCTTGCACAACTTTTCACATCATAAGAGGATATATATACTTATTCTGGTTCTCACAGAACGTTGTGGGTAAATGGAGCTCAAAGCTATTTGCGATTGCGTTGCTTGCTTCCGGTCAGAGTTCAACAATAACAGGAACATATGCTGGACAATACGTTATGCAGGTGATCAAACCCCATACAAATACTCCTAAGTCCTAACTTGTGACTGAATCTTGTTCATGACCTTATTTTCCTCAGGGGTTTCTTGACTTAAGACTAGAACCATGGCTCAGAAACTTCCTAACAAGATGCTTGGCTATAATCCCAAGTTTGATCGTTTCTCTGATAGGTGGCTCAGCTGGAGCCGGAAAGTTAATCATCATTGCCTCGGTATAACCCCCAATAACTTACATCCAATCTCTGAATCATATATACATTACTAACATTAATCATCTTATCATTTTGCAGATGATCTTATCCTTTGAACTCCCATTTGCTTTAGTACCACTTCTCAAATTCACAAGCAGCAAAACCAAAATGGGCTCACACGCCAATTCACTTGTGGTAATAATATTCAACTTCCCTTCTGTTATATATTCATAACATCAATCGAAGGAAAGAAATCTAATTTATACCGCGGGTTTTGTGTAGATTTCATCTGTGACTTGGATCATTGGTGGACTTATTATGGGTATAAACATTTTCTATCTAGTAAGCAGCTTCATCAAGCTACTTCTCCATAGTCAAATGAACCGTGTAGCCATTGTCTTCTTAGGACTTCTTGGATTCTCAGGCATTGCCATTTACTTAGCCGCCATTGGTTACCTTGTTCTCCGTCAAAACAGAGAGTCCACACATTTTCTAGCCTTCGGTAACTCTCAGACCGAGGAAACACTTCCTAGAGAAGACATTGTGAACATGCAGCTACCTAATAGAGTAGCGGTTACAAGGGACTTAAATTGAAGAATTACAACATTTCAGATAGAAGAAACAATGTTTACTTATTGTAATCTATTACATAGAATAAACATGACGTTGCTTGCTTAATGTAATCTATTACATAGATCAAACATGAAGCCTTGTCTACAAAATCCATCAAACGGTTTGGCTAAAGAACTGATATAGAGATTCATAACCAGACAAGACAATTTGAAACAGGTTGCACATAACTTTTATTTTTCTAAAACAAAAGCAATTTCAATGGCTAAGGATACTTAAGGGGGATACTTGAGGGAATAAATAAGCTTTTCAAGACCCGATCTTAATGCCATTTTCGACGGATCCTTGTGATGTTGAAGGAGGAGGAGGAGCAAGATGGCCTTTCTCTTGTAAGCTCTTGACTGTGTCGTAGAGGCTTTGCTTGGTGGATGTGAACTCTAAGCCCAAGTCTTTAATCTTTTGGTTAGTGAATTTGTATGGCTTGGCTCTAGGGTTCTTCTCATCCTTGCACCTGAGAACATTATTACACAAACCAACATCGTTGTCACTTAACACAATCTTTTATATTGGTTAATTACTTAGCACAATCTGTCTTGAACATTATATACTCTAAAGCGATTGATTTGTCTAATTAAAGTTAGACAAAGAGCAATGACTAGCTCCATTACATCTACCGTTTTTTTCAATAAAACATATCCATCAACATTGTGAATATATATATATATATCTTATGGTTTCAAATATGTCCACGTGAGTGGTTGGTGACGAGATGACTTGGACTTATGGTGTGAGTTGTTGGGTATACCAACCATCATCACAAACGATCAAAAATCATGGGACCAATTCACACCATCATTGGTTTTATATCAAACTAAGAGATAAAATAATCTATTTGTCAAAAAGAAAGAGAGAGAAAAGAAAAAGAAAAAAAAAACATTCATTTGTAAGAACAAAAAAAGAATTTTATATATTGAATAAGCTATATATATGTGGAGATTAGCAAAGACACTATATAAGGGACGTCACATTATCGTCATAATTAGCCTCAAGTATTCATATGTTTACTGATTAGTGTTTGTGACGACTTATTGTTATTGATGTACACTAATGAGTGCATGTGTCACATGACACATGTGTGTATGTGATTGTATAAAAAAATTTCATAACCATATATAATAGAAATAATGTTAGTTACGAGACAGAGTCTTATAAGTTATAACCGGTCATTGTCTTTATTAAGCTACACAATAGCTAGCATCTTTGATTAAAAGACGTTATTTGCTGTGTTTTTTTACACATAGTATTGACTCAAGTAAATTCTATGAGGTGACGAGGCTTATAGGTGCATGGCTGCCAAGTGTATGAGTCGTCATCAAAACTGATACTGTACTTCATACTACTATAAGGTGTTTTCCTTTTTTTTTATATAGATTTTTTTCTGATACTAACAAGTATCACACAAACTAAATTAGATTTTCTCGTTTCAAATGAGAAGAAAATTAAATATATTGGACCACAATGCTGATATGAACCTTTACCTTCAAGTTGGTTTCCAAAGATACAAGCGGAAATACTTGTACCACAATGCTTGATATGACCATTCAATTATAACTATTTTTATAATATGGTTTTCGTTTCTAACTTTCTATATATAAAGCTAACCCCAAATTAGTAAATATTAAGCGACATTAATTAGTCAGAAAATATTAAAGTGCTAAAAGCAAAGTTCACTTACTTGGTCGGAAGTGGATACTCCGGGAATAACTTAGCCAGAATCTCAACAACTTCGCCGCGGTGAAGAGCGCTCTCGGCTAGGAGATAACGTCCGGAGGCCGACGGTGCCTCATAGACCAGAACATGAGCCAGCGCGACATCGCGAACATCCACATAAGCCTGAGTCAAATTAGCATAAGTCTTAGCCGAGCCGGTTAGATATTTGAGGACGTGGTAAAGACTGGCGTTGATAGTCGGCTGTAACGGCGGTCCAAGAACCAGCACCGGATTCAACACCACCAAGTCAACACCTTTCTCCTTTGCCGTCTCCCATGCCGCTTGTTCCGCCACCATCTTGCCGTAACAATACCAGTTCTACAAAACACTTACAAATATTCAATAGACCTAACATCAACAAATAAATATATTCTCACATTAAAACCAAAAAAATAAAATTATCTGATTGAACTAATGCGACTGTGTTTGTTTGCAAAGACAAAGATTCAAAAGATTAAGGTTTTTAAATATTTTCAAGTTTTACTAAAAACATGTTTGTAAAGTGAAAAACACAAGAAAAGAGTGTTAAAAGGCTTAATTAGCAATGCATAAAATAAAAAACCAAGCAAGACCTTGGTGTTTTTGCAGAAGTCAAGATCACTCCAACAACTTTCGTCAACGACAGCCTCAGGGTCACGGTTCGGGTCCATGTAAACGGCACCAATGGAGGAGGTGATGACCACGCGCTTGACCTTGGCTTCAGCCGCAGCATTGATTACAAACTTGGCTCCGTTCACGGCCGGCTCCACCATTTGTTCCTGAAATTTTTTTACACATTTAAAAATAATTAAATACCTCATTTCACACAATAATTTTCTTAGATTTATTTTTTATTTTGGTTTTAGTGTTAAATAAAATTTTCTTTGATTTGCCTTCCAACAATATAATTTCTAACTATCTTCGCTGATTTTTTTTCAACGTCCTAAAATTAAAAAAAAAAATACTTGACCAAACTAAAATTTCATTGAAGAATAAAGTATTGCTAGAGATTTCAAACTTTTTAATCAGGCGATATTTTGAAATAGATTAAAAAATAATGTTCATGATTAAAAGGAGGGATTCGATAACGACAGGGTCTAATAAAAAAACGACAAAAAATCTAAATGAAATCAGCTCCACTACTATTTTATTTCACGTAGGTCCTTAACTTTATTCGATTCTCTCTGTAAGCCACAGAAAGTGCGAGAAACACATAGAAAACCCCAGGAAAAAATACTCACCGGATCGTCGGTGACCGGAGAAGCCGTGTGAAAGACGCCGTCGCAACCATCAATCGCCGCCTTAAGAGCCTCGTAGTCCTGAAGATCTGCTTTGCACAGAATCAGTCTCTCCTTTGCTCCTTCTAGTTCTCTCAAATGGGTGTTCTTCGGATCATCTGCAAGAAAAAAATAATTAAAAAAAAGAGTCCAAATTGTCAATCAAATCAATAAAATAACCTCAAGAACTTAGATAATTATCGCAAGTACTGACCAAAACGTATATAAAAATGGACCTACCTGGATTCCGTACGGTTCCTTTGACTGTGTAACCTCTCTCGAGAAGTATCTTAACAATCCAAGAAGCGATGTATCCACCTGCTCCGGTGACGCAGATTGTTTTTTCCGGCCGGTGATGCTTCGTCGACTGGCATATTTCCCGGTAAGAGCTTCGTTTCTGACAAGAGGCTTTCGAGAGACTATGTAAATGCTTAGTTACAAATTGTGTTACGTTTCTCGTATTTAAAGACTGAAAAAGTATGTTATCCTTCAAAATTACACACTTGCCAAGTTCACCTAACAATGGTAAATGAGTTTGGTAAAATATTTTTATATTTAATTGTAATATTATTACCCATATCTAAAAGAGAACAAACAATTATTTCAGAAAAAAACATATAGAAAGAGGGGTTGGTGGTGGAATAAGAAACATGAGAGTCTTATCAAAATGGGCATTATTCGTTAAGAACTTCGTTTTTAGGCACTTTCTGAAATAGACGTTTATTGTTTGGTAAAAACATACTGTTCATGACCATATTACCCCCGGAGTGCAAAGAGCGGGAGAGTGAGATGACGTCAGTGGTGTTAATGATACGATTAGGTTAAGCTAAAGATATTTTGCATACTGTGTACATGAGCGGGAAAAACCAAACAGTGAGACACGGGAATTCATGGGAAATATGTGGACAAAAAGTAAGCCACGGGGAATGGTTTGGTTTTCCTAGGGTTTATGTTTTAAGTTAAATAAGAGAGAAAAGACGCAGAAGGAAGTGAAGAAGTGATCAGTAAGAGAAAGACACGAGGGTGGGGAAGATCTGAGTGATACGCGTGAAGGAAAGAGAAATCGATCATAGAAATAAAAAGGTAATCGGTGATCTTTGTACGAGAATGCATTTTATTTTATCTTCATGTCGTGTATAACTAATAAAGTAGATGTGGTTAGTAGTCATTTGGAGAGGTAATAGGGTTGCAGGCGTTGCGTTTTTTTAGTTCATCTTTGATCTAAAAGGTAACCTACATATCGAACTACTTCATGTCGGAAATATAAAACAGTAGGTAAACTATATATGGGATAGAACACAAAAAGTTAGGTGTAGTTGGTGTCTGTGCTGCTGTAGATCTGGTTATATCTGAACATGTTAAAGTTTGAAAAAGTGTTCTGTAATAAATTTTCGTTGTCAGACATGTACAGACCGTGGGAATGAGAAATAAATTGTTGCATTAAATTGTAGTGTCGAATACTTGGTACGGGGGTAACTCGTGGAGGACATGAATTTGAAATTTGGTCTACCAAATTTAATGTCTCACACTTAAACTTGGTTTCGTGCGTGCAGGTGATGGCGGACGTTGTTCTGGTTTTAGCAGGGGACTGGGAGTGTTCAGATGAGGGGAGTTGGGATTTCGTAATTGCCAAGAATTGTATGTGCAAGTGCATTCTGATTGGACAGGATATGACGTACAACAACTTGAAAGCTCAAATTGTGCAAGAATTTGAGGCAATGGGCAGAAGTGTTGTAGGCCGCATGTCATACTGGGTCCCTGGAGAGATGTCTATATTTACTTCTGCCAGAACTCCTCCCGTGTCCATTCATAACGACGCAGGACTGCAGACTTTCTTAATGGTGCGTGCAGCAAATCCAGGACTAAATTTGTTGGTGACACTTGAGCCGGTGTGGGAAACAGATACTGTGTCGGAGGGAGAGAGGGTGTCAAGGCCAGAGGAAGGAATGATTCGGCTTGCAGATGCTACACCTTCTCTCAACAGCGAGGCAAATGAGGAAGATGTAACTGAGGAAGCAGGAAATCATAAGGGCAAAGAAGGTGAAGAAGAAATGGGAAGAGGAAATGATGAAATGCAGATACTCTCAGAACCGCCAATGAGCTTTGTAGATATTGGTAGTGTTACTACAAAAGCTCCGTCAACTGCAATGGAGCCTGTTGTGTCTGAAAGAAGAACCGAGATTGACCTCAATGCGCTATACGATGCAGAGTTGATTGCACATATTGAAATGGTGGAAGAACAAGCTAGAGAGGTTCAGGCAAGGCGAATGAGCAAAGGCAAAGATAAAATTGTATATGCTCTAAATGAAGATGAGGATTCTATGGATACTGAAGAGTGTGAGGCATATGTTACCGATGAGGAAGAAGAGTATGACTACAATTTTTGGGATAATGTGATCCGTAAAGAGCAAGCAGCGGAGACAGGAGCAGAAGAGTTTGAGAGGGGGGAAACTTCAAATCCAGTAAGGTTATTCCCTGATCCATGCAGTGGTTATGATAGAGTTGCAGCTGCAGTCGTTGGTTTGGCAGGGTTAGCAACTGGAGGAGCGGAGGATGATACAGTTGCAGCTGCAGTAGTTGGTTTTGCAGGGTTAGCAACTGGTGGAGCACAGGATAATACAGTTGCAGCTGCAGTGGTTGGTATGGCTGGGTTAGCAACTGGTGGAGCGGAGGTGCATGATGTTGGAGACTCTGGTGAAAGGGGTACAGAAGAAATTGTTAAAGCAAGCGGTGGTGTTACTGAAGGGCCACACATAAGGACTGATGGGGTAGAGAACGGGATCGTCACTGGTGATCAGGGTGCCGCTAGAGGGCCAGAAGAGGAAGAAGCTTTACAAGCGACACTTGCAAATATGTATGCGGAAATTATTCAAGCAGAGATTGTCCCAACACATGATTGTGCACCGTGTTTTGGCGATGAGTTCCTACAGGCGCATGATGTCCCTGATGGAGTGTTTGACCCAGCTAATGATGCCATTTTCATTGGCAGGATATTCAGAAACAAGGCAGAGATGCAAACTGCCCTTGCAATCTATGCAATTAAGAGGTTCTTTAACTTCAAGCAAACAAGGTCTGATAAAGAACGCTTAATTGTTAGATGCGTGGATCCTGCATGTGCGTGGCGTGTCTACGGTCACACAGTTGGTGGGACATCAGAGACAATGCAAGTGAAGACAGCAAAATTGACGCACACTTGTGATGTGTCAACGAGGGCAGAGTATGGGAAAAAAGCTTCATGCAAGGTAATTGCTTCAGTTCTGCAATCAAAGTTTAGTAATGGGAAGCTCGGGCCAAGGGCTGTTGACATACCAGATATCGTGTTGGAGGACCTGCGTGTGTCTATAACATATATGAAAGCTTGGCATGCGAAGGAGAAGGCTGTTGCGGCAGCAAGAGGAAGCGCTGAAGGAAGCTACAAGCTGTTGATGGCATACATACAGAAGCTGAAGGAAACAAATGTGGGAACCGTCTGTAATGTTCTTACAACAAAAGCAGGGACAGAGAAATGTAAGTTCAAGTTCTTGTTTTTAGCACTTGGAGCTTGTATCCACGCAGTTCAGTTCATGCGCAAGGTTGTGGTGATTGACGCAACCGCGATTAAGGGCAAGTTCAGAGGAGCTATGTTGACTGCTAGCTGTCAAGATGGTAATTTCCAGATAATGCCTGTCGCGTTTGGCGTTGTCGATAGCGAGAACGATGTGGCATGGACATGGTTTTTCAACCAACTTGTCTCCATCCTTCCAGATTCTGCTGACTTGGTATTTGTTTCTGACAGACACAATTCCATCTACTCTGCATTGCGAACAGTCTACCCTCTTGCTAAACACGGTGCATGTGCAGTGCATCTCTACAGAAATGTTAAGAGCAGATTCAAGAGACAGAAAGGGCTCCCATATCTAGTGTCTAAGGCAGCCTATGCATACACTGTTGCGGAGTTCAGACACCGGTTTCAAGAAATCGAAAGGAGGAGTCCTTTGTGCGCAAACTATCTCAGAGGGATAGGAATATCACATTGGACTCGAGTTTATTTTCAAGGGAAGAGATACAATATCATGAGCAGCAATGTTGCTGAGTGTCTAAACGCTGCACTAGCAAAAGCTCTGGAGTTCCCAATTGTTTCGATGCTTGAGAGTATCCGCATGATGCTAATGAGATGGTTCTACTGTCGTCGCCAGAAGGCAAACAACAATGCCAGTCCTGTCACACCTGAGGTTGAGAAAAAGCTGATGGAACAACTCTCTGATTCTGCCGGGTTACGCGTCTCACCAGCAAGCACAACAATTTACCAAGTTAATAACAGCAATGGCTTGTCATTCACTGTTGATCTGGAAAGGAAGACTTGCAGCTGCAAAGTGTTTGACACACTTGGAATCCCCTGTTCCCACGCTTTAGCGGCTGCTAGAGTTGGAGGTGTACCAATTATACGGTTGGTAGAAGAGGAATACAAGAGTGGTGGTTGGATCAACGCTTACAGCTTAAATGTGATGCCAGTTCCTAATGTTACAGAAGTGGATAGCGGAGTAGCAAGTCTTAACATGGGAATGCTGCCACCGCAGTCCAACAATGGACCGGGACGACGCAGGAAGAGAAGGATTCCTTCTGCTGGAGAGAACCAGGTACAGAATCTGATAGTAACAAAATATAATGTCTAATAATTAAGATAATGACTTACAAATAAGCTGCATAATTTATGTGCAGGAACCAAAGAGGGGAAGATTTGCACCAAAAAGATGTTCAAGGTGCTTGGGAACAGGGCATAACAGGGTTACCTGCAAAAACCCATTGCCTTGAAGGTTAGTGGACTCTATATCGGAATTGTTTATGGTGGATATGAAGCAGAATGACTCCAACTAACGAGAGTGTTGTTTTTGCAGCGTTATGGAAGGAGGGTGATGTTAAATAAGAAGGTTTTTGGTGTATATATTAACTTAATGGATGAAATGTGCTGGAGCTGTGGGTTTTGGTGTACATAGGTAACAGCTACCAGTTAAGTAAGGAATCTGCAGGTGTCATGAAGTGACAGGTTTGATGTATATAGAACCTGCTAGATAGTAAGCGGTAAAGCAAGGTAGTAAGCGGTGAATGGTATCTGCAGGTGTCATGAAGTGACGGGTTTGATGTATATACAACCTGCTAGATAGTAAGCGGGTAAGCAAGACCGGTGCTTTTGAAGGTGAAACCGGGAATGACTGCTGTAATATAGTAACAATGAATCTGTGTCTATGAACCTGAAATGTAATGTTGCTAAATGGATATGTAACCTTGTTAAAATACCAGGAAACGTTTGTGTCTGATATGTTGCAATAGCAATGTACTTCATATGGAAATTAAGTAGGAAACCAAACAATAAGATACAACTGGGAGGGTGAGAGGAACAGACACACTTCTTAGGTAAGATTGACTAAGCCGGACTGTGCCAAAGTAGATGTAGGCAAACCTCATATAAGAAGACAAGTTCGCAGAAAGAGAGAAACTAGAATAACATAAAACAGCTTATATTACAGAGGCTACGTAGTTGTCATTTAGACGACGAAACCGAAACCATACAGATAGAGGGGCTTAATATACCACATAAAAGTGACCAACTTAGTGACAGAGCATACAAGACTTAACCACATAAGGGCTGCATATACCACATAACGGCGCCCACAGAAGCTTAATATTTTACACTGCATATTACGCTTATCCGCACTTCAACAGATAGAACGGACAATCAGTGAGTACCAGAAGGTAAAGCACTCCTCGCAGACAGAGTCTGCAGCACAAGTAATGTAAGTGCAGTGAGGAACGTCAAGAAGCGGATAGGAATGTGTGTTATTGTAAAGTCCACTCTCTGCAGTGCCCATTGTGGCGATTTGCATGATGACTAAGTCCGCCATTTGAACAGCTTCGTCTAAACTACCAACTAAATCCCAAAGCTTTAACATGGATGCCATACCTGTTTCAAAATCTCCAGAACAAATGCGGAATACGCCTATCACAAATGGTGCAAAGCGAGAAGCTGGACTGGCTAAGTTAAGCATAGAAAACGCAGCTTCGGATGGACCTTCTTGGCAAAGGATACGCAGGCCCTCAAGCTGGTTAGCATGACCGTTTCCGGCTTCCACACATCTCATAAAAAATGGCCTGTAGACAGAGTCTTTGTTGGCCAAGGAGGTATTCAAGAGAAACTCGGAGAGATCAACAGCAAGCAACACTTCCTTTGAAAAGGCAGCATTATTTGTTTGTTTAGAAGCGGCTATGAATGGCCCAAGGAAGCGGAATCCTTCAGCAGAAACACGGCGAATAATGTGAATAAGAAGATCTTCTGGTATAAAAACCATTGTTTTGTTTAGTTGAAGTTGTTTTTGTGGTACAAGTGTGAAGAGCTGCGATGAGTTTGGTATTTATAAATGGCGAAGTGAATTTATTATTGGTAGGTGAGACAGGGGTTTAAGTGGAATGGCTACAGGCGTCTAGGTTCAGCGAGAAATATCGAAAGAGAAGATAATGCCTATTGCTTCAGCTTAGTGAAAGGCCATTTGTGTTGGCATCCCATCCAAATTTACTCTGCATTTAATGGTTGGATGTGGAAAAGTTTATAGATGCCTCTTGGCAAAATAACGGGGTGACACATCAACAGAGAAGAGTACTTATTTATGGTTAGTAAATGCAAGTGTGATTAGATTGATATGGTTAGGGAGACGGTAAAGAGTTTAGCAATAAAATAGAGGGAGGAGGGTAACATAAAAATTTCTATATAAGAGAACGTTTTAGAGGAGGAGAGAGGAAGCCAAAAATTTCATAATGGCATATATACCTGCTGGGATACGGAGTGATATTGTGCGGAGGCTGGGGAGGCAAGGCTTTCGAGAGTTGGCATCATTCATTGCAGCTGGACCAGATGGGAGAGATGCAGTTTACGAGAGAGAGGTTTTGGAGGAAGTTGATCTAGATGAGTTCATATTTGTGAGTTCACTTGCTAACGAAGGTTCACTTTATAGGCCATTTTTAATTAGGTGTTTGGAAGCCGGGAACACTACAGCGCAGTACGTGGAGGGATTAAGACTGGCTGTGAAGCTTGGGCCTTCTAGACACAGTTTGGACCTAATGAAAGGTGCAGAGGAATACGTTGTCTATGCTATGTTTGCATATGGGGTCTTTTCTATCTGTGCAGGGAATTATGAAGAGGGAATGGAGTCAATGTATGTTTTGATTAACCGACTTGGATGGTTGGACTCCATTGTGCAAATAGGAGACACAGTGATGGCTCAAATTTCGGATATAGAACCACCTATGGCCGGAAACTACAACGCAACTTATAGGTTTCCTGACGGCGATGTGCCAAACTGTATCTACTTTGCATGCAACGCGCATGATGTTTGTTTTGATTGCATAAGCTATTGGTACTCCCGGAGGGTCCGTCATATGTGCTGAGAAAGCATAAGCAGTACTTCGACATGGCTATGGCAGACTGTTTGCAACATAAGTTTTTATGATATCTATGAGAATGTATTTTGCAATCGTAAGTATTTATTCGGTTATGTAACATTATGTAATGTGTATTCAACGAGAATGTATAATATTTTTATGAATGTGTACTTTGATGTGGACTATGTTGGGCAGTTTAGTTGGCAATAGAACAAGGCTTAAGAAAATAAATGTAGTACACAGAGTTTTAACATAGGAGCTGCGATACCCTAGGGTTGGGATTCATAAACCCAAACATTGACAATTAAAAACAGAGTTGTAAGTAGGATGAAAGAACAAAAACTATACCCTAGATTATGGATTCATAAACCCAAGCAGACAGAAAACAAACGAGGAGTAATGTGGGATAATATGTCAGGTTTAGCTTCCATGTGGATATTAATAATTGGACAATAAAATTGGGCATGTGTGTCGAAGATAAGCATAACAAAGTTGGTTTCACGATAAAACAGCCGGGCATTGTAAATATAAGCATAACACAGTTTCATTTAGGAGTACGTACTATAATACAAGGTAGAAGATGGGAAAGAACTTAATAGAAAGTTAAAACAGCAGGTCATAATAGAAGCTTCGGAATAGTAAACTAAATGCGATTGTTCAAGGCTATGATAAACCAATAAAGAAAACAATTGAGACAGCGGTATGGTAGGGCGCAAGGCTGGCCTATGCAGCCTGGTAACTGGTCAAGAAGCAGTAAGTTGGGAAACAGGCGCCTATTGAGAGGGCGGAAACTAAGGATCTGCCGGTAGACAACAGCTCCAATGGAATGCAAGCGGGCATTGGTTTCAACTCGGCTTAACAGAGTAGAGAGTTCGGCAAGACCTTCATTTGGAGAATTTGCAAATATTAAAAACAAACCCCTGGCGAACAAAGCACAATCAGAAAGTACAGCATGTGAGGAAAGCAAGGCAATAGCGTCAGTGAAGGCACCATCCTTTGCAGCTAGGCGGATGCTCTCCAAGTAGGTGGCTACAGGATTTTGTGCAGAGACGCACTTTTTAAAAAACACACGAAATGGAGACTCTTCGTTGACAAGATCTGGGGTATTGAAGAACTCATGAAGAGAGATGTCATGTAAAACGCCACTGGAAAATGCAAGACTGCTTTGTTTTTTGGACACAAGCAATAAGGGAGCAAGGTTTGAAAAACCAGACCGGGAGAGGTGGCGATATATTTCTACTGCAGCATCATCAAGAAGGCTGTCCATTGAAAGAGGAGTTGTTTAAGTAGGAAGGCTGAGGTGTTGAATATTGGGTAGATAAAGAAAGCATGTAAGGAGAGAGATATATATCTTGGAGTTTAAGGCTGTGAAGGTGTATTTTAGACAAAAGGGTGGTGTAAGCATTTAGTTACTGAACAAAGTAGGACAATAAATGTGACGTGATGGTTAACAAATACAGGTAGAGGGTGGGAAATTGAAGAATTAGCAGTTAAGTAACTTAGTGGAATAGAGAAAGTAAATTCAGTGTAGATACTCATAAGGGAAGTAGTTTAGGTTACAATAAGATGAGAGGCGTGGACTAAACGAATGGAAGGTGGACATAAAGGAAAACTATACAGAGAAAAATAGACTACAGACAAAGTAACAAGGTTAAGGAGGAAAGTGTAATGGGTACAACAACAATGTGGAGATGGATATAATACAGGGGTGGAATATTACAAGTGGGAATGAATATGGAAAAAACACAACAAACGTTGAAAGTGTGTAAGGAAAACACATAAAGGAGCAGTCACCGAGCGACGACCTTACCAATAAACTCCTCATACACATCAATAGCGTACTGCATACGAAACATGTCAACAAGCTCCTCTGAAATGGTGCCCATTTCCTGTAGAGAGTACAAGTGGGAGTGCAACTCAATTAACTTTATCGCGAAGGGACCACAGTCGCCGAGCCGAGTTGCCTGAGGGATTTCTTTACAACGAGAGTACGTAAATTCTTTTTGGGGAAGTAGATTTGTATATGAAGGATCGCAGGATGACTTAATAAAGAAAGGTAGCACCTTAACCAACGGATCCATGAAAGCTGATATCTTGTGACTCGGTGTACAACGGAGTAATGGATCTAAGATATCAATGTGACCTGCTGTTAGGGATATCACCAACGCAACCCAGTGAGTTTTTCCCCAGTTCATCGGTGCGTAAACTGTGTCAACATCTGCAAACCAAACCGTATCTTCTGTGCGATCTCCAACTGTACCCTCAACGTAGCTTTGTAAGAGAGGGTGCCAAACATAAGCGGAAGGCGTTGTTGATTTTGAAAAAGGAGAGTACGCAGAGGTGAGGAGTTGTGTAAGTAAGCTGTCCAAAACGACAATCTTGCGCGTAGAAAGGTACAAACCACGTTTCCGCCAAAACGGCCTAAGCATGACATCCATATGCTACAGACATAGCAAAATGTTAAACTATTAAGTTAACATGGGAAAAGAAAAATTGCAGAAATAAACTGCATGGATACATGGACAATATGGAGGTGAGGCGAAACGCAATTTTGCAAAAGCATGTACAGATTATAATGGACTTTGTCAGATAGAGATACGAGAAATAAAAGTCTACATGTTTACTAAACGATACTCACAGTTGTGCCCACAAAAGTGGAGGGCGTGTATATGTCCGAGAAAAAATGGTTGGGCACGGCAGAGCCATCAATGTCGTAACAACTATAAGAACAAAACATAGCTAAGTATCAATGAAAAACTCAAACCAGGAGATTTAAGGGCTGTGTATCGGACATACGCTTTACGGTAGTGTTGTAGAGTTTTGGTGAAAGCCTCAACAATGGTAGGAGGGAGAACAGGAAAAGGATTGTAGTTTCCATGTGCTGAAACATCTATTTTTAACTGGTCTACAACGTCAGCTATTCTGTTGCCATCGTTAGTAGACAAACTGTTCACCCACTTCGGTGTACGCGTTTCCACAACAGAAGATGGAACACCGCTATGAACCTGGTTGATAGGCAGAGCTAAAGGAAAAGTAGGGACTTCAGCCTACATGAGTTTAAATGGCATTAGTACTGTGAAGGTATGGACAATTATTATTAGAATGCAGAATGACATATATGATTCAGCATGTAAAGGAAGCACAGAATATGGTGCAGGAGGAGGGAATGAAAAACAGAGATAGGAGAAAATGGGTTATGGCAGATGGGTGAACAGGGGGGGGAAGTGCATAACTCGTGGAGTAAGTAAGTAACAAAGAGCAGGAGGCTTACAGGAGAAGCAGATTTGGGTAGACAGCATGCGTGTGTAAACGATGGTTGGATATCTGAGACAACTCCCCCCGTGCCAACCTACACAAACAGCTATATAAGAGGAGAGTGGGAGGAATGTTGAAACATGTGTAAGTGAATGGTAAGTTTTTAACGTGGCAAAAACATTTACATTCCCAGAAACAACAGCAACATTAGCATCGTCGTCTCTACAACCCCTTTTGCTTTTCCGCGAAGCTGATGCTAGTGTCAGTGGCCCGTGGACAGTTACGCCAGAGGGTGGGACAAGGGGAGATGGATGGTTATGCAAGGGAGGGATTAATGTATATCCTGCTTGGTAATAGGGAGGAGCAGGTGTGACAAGTGGTTGAGGGCGTGCTAAGGTACTAGTAGTATTGTTGGAATTGGATTCCTTCTTTTCCAAAAGAAGGAATCGGACCTGAGTAAGTTGACTCTGTAGAAGAGCAATGCTGGCAGCAGTAGCAAATTCTAGGTTGGCCACTTTGTTCTTTAATGCACCAACTTCATCATAAGACACCGATGAGTGGGCAGGCTTCTCAACGCCAGTTGGGCTTCTACAATTGGACAGCGATGGTCCACAAGTACAGGCATTTGTTTTCCTTTTCCCGCAAATACACAAAAGTGGCAACGATTCGTCACCACCTACCCAATCAGCCTTTGAAAACGCATAGCCCCTTTCAATTAAACTCTCTAAATTGGCGACCTTCCGGTCTCCTTGAAAGTCAGCAGGTAGTCGGGAAACAGATGGCATAGTTGACGGAGAAGAAATGCGGGTAACACGAAGCTGAAAACAAGTGAAAAACATATTTGAAAAAGTAACAGGAATGATATAAGTAAGTGGGCAGACATACTTACCGAAGCATCATTTTCAACTGCAAGGATGTTATCTGTATGAAATGTCTTCAGCTTCGGAAGCACGTCTATGCCCCTTACTAAAAAATCCTGCATATCTTCACCTCCAGGTACATACTGCAGCAGCTGTGGAATGGACTGGAAAAGGAACAACTGAATCGCTACTGGAAAACCGTGCATGACAAGAGACCGTTGTTTTAATTTCTTTGTAATGTCAGACTGGCGACGAACTTTTTTCCCAACTTTAATCATCCTTAAGGTCCTTTCAAATGAATGGCGGCCCCAGGGGTAGCTAAAGAAGAAGTCTAAATTCCTAACCATCTCCACAATGGGGACGGAGGGGCGAATAGGTTGCGTCCCACATATTAAAATACCTTCGACAATAACAATTAGAACAAGGCGCAGCTTCTGCCAGCCCAACATCTCCCTATCTGCTTTCAACAGTTTCACAATCTGCTTAATAGTGAAGTTCTTATGAGGGCCAAGCAAGGTTTCTAAATAAGAACAACAACCGCGGGGAGCACTTTGGTTTTTTTCTATGGTTTTCCTATCTGGAAAACGGCCACATCGGAGACCTGTTAGTTGTTCAAACTCGTGTAACGAAAATCGCAAAGGCTGCCCTCCTAATGTAAACCAAAGCTGATGGGAATTATCCGTGACGAGTTGCCGAGATAGGAAATTATGCAGGAGTTTACCAGATAACGAACATTGGCGCACTGGCAGGGAGAACAAGAAACTGAATTGGGACTGCATTAACGTCTCATACTCAGGAGTCCCATCCAAAATCTGTAAAATATCGACAAGGTACTGCAGTTTAGAGTAAGCATTAACCCTGCCATCACTTGGATACCTATCAGTAGCAAAGACACGAGTTGGCAGCACCGTTGCGGCAACATTGGTATCTGAGTGCAGGTTGAGGGAATAAGAATCAGCAAAAAGACAATTAATAAGTGATATAGCAAATGGAAATTCTGGACCTGCAGATGATGACTCTGACACAACTCTATCAACACTGGTTTCACCTTCACATGAATCTGAGACAACTCTATCAACACTCGTTGCACCTACACATGTGCCATCTCCACTCGTAGCTGCAGAATCATCATTATATGAGCTGACACTGCTGGTATGCAAAGTTGGACCTTCGCGCAGACACATTAAGAAGACAACATGAATAGTTAGTTGATGAAAAGTAGATACAGCACGAAAAAAAAAAAAAACACTTTCTAACCGTTTCCCGACGAAACATTTCCATCAGCACTTGTGTCAGCTTCAATCTGTTCATCTCCACTTCCTACAGAATCCCCTTCAGTTGATAAGGTAAGACTGATAGAATTGTTCATCGAAGCTGCGTGTAGCAAGGTATCAACAGAGGAGATGTAAATAAGGGAGATAAAGTGACCATCAAACAACATTAGCACCACATGGCTGACCTTCAGAAGAAGGAGATCCTTTTGCAGATATAGCCGCATCGGTAGATGCGGTAAGACTTCTACCACTAACAGAAGGAGCTGCGAGTAGAGATTTCATGAACACAACCGTGAACAGTGGACAGGAAAATACCCTGATTAGCTAATCGTGGACAGTGGAATATATAAAACCCGCTAACCTTCAGAGGAGGATACATAACTATCAACACTTGTTTCAAATTCGGCTGATACTGATCTACCTGTATATGGTGAACCTGCAGTACATGCGAGCAGACAATACCGTAAATGGTAGGGTAGAAGAAATCAAGACTAACAACCACAAAAGTGAAATAGATAACTCAAACCGTAACCGATACCGATGTGACGAAACTGATATATGAATTTCTGGCAACAGATGCGTTCTTCTTTCAATTAGTGTGATGGCCAAAATTGAAAATCAAATAGGCAGTGCAAAAAGCAATCAAAGAAATTTTGTGTCGGGAGATCGGGAAAATTGATTCTGGCATGAGATGAGCTCTTTTGAGCAGATTAGGGGGGTGGAGAAAAGCGAAAATCAAACAGGCGCTATAAACAGTAGCCAATCATAAAGAGGAAAACAATCTATTTGGGAGAAATACCTGCAACTGGGTGCATAGCCGTGGGCCTACGAAGCATAATTTGTGGAGTAGTTGCCGGCGGAGGCAATAAAGCTCGGGGTTGGGTTTCAAGTGAAGAGAGTGGTACCCGTTTACGAGGACTGCGTCGAGGTCGATTGCGAGAACATATTTCCGGAAGTGGCGGAGGGCGTTTTTTTTTCAAACGCACGGCGGCCGGTGGAACGGAACCCCAGCTACGATTTCGACGGGAAGAACTCCGGGTAGTGACCATCCGGCGTGAATTGTGGCAAACTGTGTTCGGTAACAGTGGGAGGGAATGGATAGAACTGGGCCGCAGACTGCGTTTCCAATTGAAAGAAGGAGGAAGAGTTATGTACTAATTGCGTTAGATGGCAATTAGAAAAGAGTGACGCTGGAAGTGGGAAGATTAGGTCAAAGAAGGAGCGGGAAGTACAGCGGGAAGAACAGTAGGGATGACGATAGATGGAGAGGGCGAAATAGTCTTTTTAGAAGAGAGAAGTACTGCATTTGGAAAGTCACAATATAGAGTGCCTATTTCGGAAGGGGACGACGGTTTTGATACTTTTTTTGTAATTAACTCAAGAAACATTTAGAACTACACACCTTGTTTTATATATTATCTTTAGAAAAACTCATAAAGATGGACAACTTTGAAAACTGAAATAATACCTACAATCATTTAACTCATGGTATTATATTATCTACAATTCTTGATCAAGCCATACATTTCTGGTCCTGGATGATGTATATATATTTTTTCTTTAGGTTCAGATTAGTGTTATTTAAAAACATTTCTATGCAAGACCAGAACTTTATGTCCAATACTGGAAATGCACAAGTGACAACACATACGATCATTGTTTGGGGAAAACGGCTATTTTCAACCTCAACTATTTGCTGGCGGAATTTTCTAACCCAAACTATGACCCTTAGTCGATTTCAACCCAAACCCAAAAATAATTCAAAATTGAAACCTGAACTAATGCAAATGAGCCGATTTCAACACGATGCGAAACAGTGTTAGTTCGGAAGTTAATGGTTTTCAAAGTTATTTGATTTTATTTTCAGAGTTTGTTGAATGCCGTAGAGAGAGAATTATTCAAAGTTGAGAAACCGTTAACTTCCGAACTAACACCGTTTTGCGTCGTGTTGAAATCGGCTCATTTGCATTAGTTCAGGTTTCGATTTTGAATTATTTTTGGGTTTAGGTTGAAATCGACTGGGGATCATAGTTTGGGTTGAAAAAACCCGCCAGCAAATAGTTGAGGTTGAAAATGACCATTTTCCCATCATTGTTTGTGTCATCTGATAGCGACTTTCCATACACTCGTTCTCAAAGGCGTCTCTCTAAATATATAAATATTAATATATGCTGCTAGCAAGGTGACATAAGATCAAACTAGTTCCATAACAAGACATAGGTCAGAAGAATCTACTCACAAAAAAACACCATTAGTCTCTAAACAAGCAGCTTCACTTAACACATAAGTTACCTAAACCACAAGAACCTATCTTTTTTCCTGGATTAACATTTTACCTAACAATCCTTGATTCATGGATCAACCTCAACCACTCTAGTACTGACTTCTGCCTTGTCAGACTCTTCTTTCAGTTCCTTAATCACTCTCTGGTCATCTTCTTCAGCTTCATTTTCCACTTTACCAGTCTCAGGGATGCTTGTCAATGTTTCTTTATCAATCGCTTCTCCTTTTTTCTTAGACATGCCCTCGTTCTCAATCAATTTTGTGTCTGCAGTTTGCTCTTTTGCTGACTCGTTCTCTTCTGCATTTGGCTCTTCCACTGACTTTTGCTCTTCTCCCTCAGTTTCCGATTCTACATTTGTCTCTTTCAGTGACTTTTGCTCTAGCTCATCAGCTACCTTGTGCTCTTCCTCATCAGTTTTGCGTTCTGCAGTTGGCTCTTTTGCCGCCTCCTGCTCTTCTCCATCAGTTTTGGGCTCAGCATTTGGCTCCTTTGCTGCCTCCTGCTCTTCTCCTTCAGCTTTGGGCTCTGCATTTGGCTCCTTCAATGAGTTACACTCTTTTCCATCAGCTTCGAGTTCTGCATTTGGCTCATTTCCATTAGTTTTAGGCTCTGCATTTGGCTCTTTCGCTGCCTCCTGCTCTTCTCCATCAGATTTGGGCTCCGCAATTGGCTCCTTCAATGAGTTATGCTCTTTTCCATCAGTTTCGGGTTCTGCATTTGGCTCAACTCCATCAGTTTTGGTTTCTGCAGTTTGATTTTCAGGCAATTCTTGGTGTTCTCCCGTACAATCAGGCTCAGCATCTGATTCTTTCCCCAATTTCAGACTATCTTCACCTTTGGTTTCGGGGTCTTCCTTCTCATCACAATCTGTTTCACTTTTCCGGTGCATAGCTCGAGTCACCTTCTGCTTTTTGCCAGTTCTGCCTTTTGTGTTATCAGGTTCACCATTCAGCTTTTTCAAGGATTTAAGATTTTTCCCTGCAGTGCTTTCTGGTTCATTGCTTACAGCCTTCAATGCACCTTTGGTTCTTTTTGCTTGCTTAATGGAGTCTGTTACAGAGTCTTTCTTCTTCATTGTTTGCACAGAGGATCTATATCCATAAATGTAAACTAATTCATTCAAGGATCAAACTTTCAAACAACAAAAACTAGAATTATTACATAATTTCATACCTGACTTCTGGAGAACTACTCGGTTGCACATTCTTAGACACAGTTTTCCTCTTCTTGGCTTTCTCCCTTTGTATACTACACATAACAGCAAAAACTCAAGACTAAAGCTAAATTCAAACTAAAATCTGTGGGTTCTCATAGAACTATGGAAGTTTCACTTACAAGGCAGATAAAGGAGTAGACTCAGGAAGATCAATTTCCTTATCCTGCTTAGATTTTTTCAAGGGAAATCAGATACATTTGTCGATTAGGTTTTTGGTAAAACATAAAGATTGGTGAATGAATAAAGAGAATGTAAGAAATTTTCACCTCACTGACTGAATTATCCTCGATTATCTCAAAACGTTCTTCTTTCAGATTAAGCTCTTCAACATCGCCATCAATATATGTTACCTGCAACGAGACCAGCAGTGGGAAAATTCTATATGAACCAGTTATGCAATAAAGAGAGAACTTTAAAATAGCAAATAGAGAAGCTAACTCACTTGATGCATCTTCTTAAGACTAGAATATGATTTTACAACACCTTTATAAAACCTGTGCAAAATATAAATCGTAAGATTGCTACCATTCATCATACAGTGTCAAAAAGGAATTTAGTGAGTATCACAATAAACTTACTTCTTGTCGAGTGGCCACCAGACATTAACTGTCTTACCAACCAGTTCCTCACCAAGCTCACTTTTATTGGACTCCTGAAAAGAAGAACCTATACCATATGAATACAGGTGACAAGTCAATGCCTCATAGAAAGGACAGAAAAAGCAACAAAATTATCACCACTTCCTCTCCTGCTGTCCGTTTCCTCTTGAGATGGCTTTTAGGAGCTTGATCAGATTTTTTGGTTGAAGGCGTCGTTGCACGAGGATCCTTCTTCTGCACAGTTACCCCATTATAAGTTTAAGGAAGTTCTAGTATATAATATACTGATAAGCGAAATTATGGTTCAAAAGACTTATTACCTTGGTCTTTGACGATCGGGGAATAGGCGTATCCATGCTTGCACCTTCTGAATTCTTTTTCTTAGCATCTGAGTGGGCTGACTTTTTTCCACTGGGCTTTACCATCTTAGTTTCTGCAAGTGGCTTCTTTGCAGATGTTTTTGCTAAACCATTATGTGCTTTCTCCTTTTTACTTGACTTGCCAGTCTTAATGCCATCTTCAGGTTTTTCAACATTAGACTTCGTCAAATCTTCTTCTGCAGGATTATTTTTCTTCACAATCTGTTTCTTTGATGGTTGTGTTGCAACAGAACCTACATCATGATCTGTCTCTTCCATCTTAGTTCGGCTTCGTTTACGTGCCCCTGTCCTAGCCCTACCAGAGGATGAGAGAGAAATAACAACAGACTGATTCGTTTGACCAACTTTAGTAGGCAAAGACACTTTCTTGGCAGCCAACTTTCCAAGTGATGAATCTCCAAGTTCTTTTTCCTGCACCTTCTTGCTTGAAGACGTCTTAAATGAATAGCCTTCCTCAGGATTCATCAAAGAATTTGGTTTCAATCCTCTCTTCCTTGTAGACACTGATGCAGTCTCTGCATCTGTACTTTCAGACAGCCCTTCATTTGCGGTTATTACTTTGTCATCTCCATTGGCTCGACGAGTTCCACCTCTAGCAGTTCTCTTGGATCTATTTCCTTTGCGAGAAAGCCCCAAATTCAATTTGTCCTAATTCAACAGATTTTGAAGATATTGGTTAAGCAACAATAATGTGAAAGAAGCTGAACACTAAAAAGCCTTTCAAATACAGTACCTCCAATGAATCATTTGGAACTACTTGCCCTTCTGATATCTTTTCATCTGCCTGAAAAAATGAAAAAAGATAGAAGAAGCTTAATATAAACTATTGGCAGTTGCAACTTCAAGATTCAACTACACAATTACTCTACTAGCAATCAAACCAAGAGCTCAGAGCATTGAGGATACCTCATTTTCTTTGGGCTTAACATCATTGTGTGCTTGAGTAGTGGCAAATTCACTTTGGCATATTGATGAAACTACAGGAGAATACATGTCCAAGCTGGTCCCAGAGGACGTCAAAGCTTCCATGATGCACGGCTGAAGCTTACAGGCGCAACTACTGAGAACCTTCTCCACAAGCGTCAAAGCCGCAGGTGAGACATCCTAAGGCATGTCAACCAGAAAATCAAACCTCAAGTCTATTGAAAAGCTGGGAGAATTTAACCTCAATTGGAAAAAACTTACCTGACTTTCCTTTTTGACAGTAGTCAAGAGGACCTCGAGCAAATCCATGGGTACTTCTTCACTTTCATCTATAACTGTGATCATAATCGTTTCCATTGAGAGAAGTACCAGTTGAGGATGATCCGGCCTAGATAGATGCCCAAAAGAAAAGCCATCATCAGTGTCACATAAAGTACCAAAGAGTTAACTGAGCATTCTTAAATCAGGTTCTGTATATACCTTATGATTTTCAAGAATCGTTGAAACATTTCTAGGACAAGATCGTCGCACTCCAAGTCCAACATAACCAAGGATGATCTAACCTTTGAAACAGTCTCAAGAACAACCTCGGCTTTCCTGTAACTGCGACTGGAAGCATCAGCTAGTTTTCCAAAGGCTTCTATTGTCACCTGGAAGATCTCCTGTAAGCCAAATAGCAAAGACAAACAATGCCTCATGAGAGAATATTTGCAGAAAGCATAGCAAAAAGAAGAGAACAGTTTGACTGGAATCCAAAGGTAAACAAAGTGTGGATTAATGGTATATCAACCTTCATTTGGTCATCGTTGTAAGGGGCCTCAGGAGCAGTAATCCTCATAATTTCAGTCAAGCACGAGACAACAGAAACCCTAACATCAGAATCAGGGTTTCTTAAAAGATCAGCGGATACCAAAGCCTTCATTGGTGGAAATAGGGCCCTTTTTACTGATGCAGTAGGATCTTGCTCGACAGTGGCGAGCAGAGACTCGATTTCCTACACATAGAAGCATCAAAAATCAGATGATTGAACATAAAGCGCATAGAGAGAGAGATATTTACCCCTAGGGATTTGAAAGCAACATAACCCTAAAAGCTTTCACCTTTACGAAATCCCATAAACGTCTCAGGAAACGCTACAAAATCACTAACGAACATTGAACAAAACAGCAAAAATCGGATTTTTCTTACTGTCAAGAAATGGAAAACCCTAATCGCTTCCTGCAATCTAACCCCCAACAGAGGAATTTCAACAAAACTCATGAACAAAAACCCATTTTCCGAGAAAACGTTACAAAACCAGAGAATATCGAGGATTCGTACCTCGAGAAGAGTGAGAGTCGCATCAGTAGAGGATTGAGGTTTAAGGAGATTATCTGCAGAGTCGATGAGTGCTTGTGCTTTCGAGAGCTCGTTCGCTCCGACAAGAGGACCCATTTTGTTTTGTTCTTCTGAAAATGTCTAAGAATTTCAAAACCCTAGAAAACAAAGAACATTCTCCGAATGAAGAAAAACTCTCCTCAAATCCAAATGAAAAAAAAATGCAACTTTGCGGCTTTTAAAGGCGGTGTAGAACATGCAAGAACTGCTCTATGTACCCGTACATGAGAAAATTAACTCATAAACAAACAAAAAAACGCTACTCTTTAAACTCGATTATGCAAGTCTTGACAAAACAAAATCAATTATGTGAGAGACAAATGAAACATGTGCTTTGTCATTCGATTATAAAGTAATCTCCTGTTTTTAAATCATAATTTAGTATCTCTACAAATTGTATAATCAAAATTGTTGCTGTAATACCAGAAGTATTATTCGGTGCCAATCTTGGATTTGCCTCTTCCCGCTCTTCTTCCGGGGCTTTTCACTTCAAAAGAATTGAAATTTCATTGTGTTTTTGTATATAGAATAGAACACAAAAGAATTGAAATTTCATTGTTTTTTTTTCATATGAAAATAATCCGAATAAGGTGAATAAAATGAAATAAATCATTTATTTATAAGTCTCTCTAGTAAAATATAAATTCTACAAAGATTGAAAACAAACAAATGTCAATTGTGCCATTCAACAACTATCAGTATTCTTCCAAAACACCATCAAGGTCAAATTATAATTATAGAAGAAGATTTTTTATTTTCTTTTATACTTTTCAGTACCATTTAGGTTAACTTTTTAGAATATGATTTTATGATGAAAAAGTGAGCCAAAAAAATCTCAAGCAAATTTGGCCATGTAAGAGTTGAGCCTAGATAACAACAAAACTTGACCATGTTCCAAACAAATCTCAAGAGCTGTCCGCTAAAATATTAAATATCAAAACCAAGAGAAAACAGCATTAGGGTGAAAAGCATCTGAAATCCGAGTTTAGAAATGCTTCATGAAATTTATTGGGATTCAATATGCTTCTTGACAATATTGAGGGCAGTTGTCTCCTCGCCGTAGTCCTAAGAAGAAATCACAGGAACGCATTAAGTAAAAGACTATGGCCAATAATCAATGAATCCTATAGATTAGATGATACATGAATTGACGTGTAAAGACTTTATATACCTTGACAACAAGACATGAGCATCCAACAACCTTCCTGGCATTGCCCTCAGAATCAATCTTGCAGAGCTGCAACAATATGAAAGATTCAATTTCTTGTTGATAACACTGATAAGTTATATATTTAGAGTCAGTATTCAAGCAAAAAACATAGACTTACACCAGCCCATTCGCCAAGGGTCTTGGCACTTGGAACTGTAAGCAAACTGATGCTGTGATCAGCACAGAGAGCTTTAACAAGCTTGACGTAATCAGGCTGGTTGCAGTCTTCAGCCAAGACACAGAGCTGAGCCACACGCTTCTCAATAAGCTTAGCACTCTCGTGAAGACCACGAACAACACCACCGTAAGCACGAGCTTTCCTAAGAGTCAACTCCAAAGCAGTCATTAAGTCCATGTCCTCTGGGATGGCCGCTGGCTCAGCAACGGGAGGAACAACAGGGGCAGCCTCATCACTGAAAAAACACCGAGCACACAACACACGTCATATATTACTGAGATAAACTTGAATTGTCAACAATAAACATTTAGACTTCTAAATTCTGATTTGTATCTTATCAAGTACCAAATAGAAAAGGTTTGAAGAATCAGACAAACTAAACAAACAAAATGATACTCGTACAGGAAGTTTCTGGTTAATCCAAAGAAAGTCTAAGTCCCACAAAACATTGATCCCCGCAAAGGAAGAAGCTTAAAAGTATCAGCAATTAACGAGCACAGAATCAACAATGTAACAACAGATACCATTCAATAGAAAAGGCCCCATAAAAAACAGAAGAGAGAATTATCCCTAGTAAGGGAAAAAATGGATGTATAATTAGAGCAATTAGCTAAATATCACTCTGATTAAGCAAGATTCACCAATGCAGGAAACAGCTTAGAATAACTACAAGGCAAGAGAAGCTTACCCTGACATGTTGTCGTCTCTTTGAAATGCCTTTTAACGACCGAAAAATACAGGAGTCCTTGTTATCTGCCAATATAGATCAAGTAAATGAGCTGCAGCAAACACCTAAACAATCAAAACTACTGGGGAAATTCTAACGAAACAAAATCGGCGGCGGGGGAACAAAGTTCGACAATCACATACATAGCCAAAGATAGAATAATGCGAAATCGTTTAAGGAGCTGAAACACTCACCTCAGAGGCGAAGACGGCAGCAGCGGAAAGTATGAGATAGAAATTTGGAACCATTTTATATGGAGAGTTAACTAAAAACCCTAATTTCAGCTCAATAAAAAATATTTGGATGGATCGTAGCGGACCCGAGCCACAATTTTGCATTTATTGGGCTTAAACGGGCCTATTAATTGGGCTGGGCGATAAATTATAGACATTATTATTCTATTAGAGATTGGCAGCAACGTAGATTAGTGGAAGTGTGGAACCATTGGAAAACAAGTGTTTTTTTTTTCCCTTTTTTTTGTTGAAAAACAAACTGTGTAACGACTATAATTTGTTTGTTATATTGTCAACAGCTTTGCGAAATCTAAAACGCAATTCCACAAAACGCAATATCATTGATAAGAAAACTGCAGAATCATTTCACCATAACAATCAAACTCACTGAACCAAATATTAAATACATAATTTTACTTCTACATTTCTTCGACTAATAAGATTATGGAATAACTTTTTAATGGCCAAATTCTTGTGCATCATATTCGCTCTAAGCACCTATTTTGTAATGCACATAGCCCAATCTAAAACGTAAACTAAACATCTCAGACAAAAAGACAACAAAACAGTTTTAATTTTATTTTTTTTATAATTTTAATTTTTGGTTCCAGTGAGCAACCGAGGATTATCTAATCCAAACAAAAAACCAGAGTATTTGTCCAGAGAACCAGTGAAGAAGATCTCTTTCATCTTGTTGAAGGCACGCAATGTTAACAAGCTATCTGACCCAGCCTGGTGACAAATCCCAACTCTTTTAACACCAAGTATCGCCGCTACTGTCGTCAGACTTCCATGGAGTGGGGCGCAGAATCCCATCAAGTATTTGATATCATACACTACCGGGAAAAAACGCTCCACCTGATCAAAGAACTTCGACGCCTCTGCCGGCAATTCTTTCCCGGTCAAGAGTTTCAGCAAGTATCCAAAATCATATCCGCAATGGAATGTCACCCACTGTATCTTGTCGTTAAGCACTACTCCTGAACTCATTAGAAGCTCAGCGAATCGCCTCGAATCTACACCGCATTCGGTGTTTTTCTCCAAATCGATGAATGACTTACGCAGGAGTTGGATGGAATCCATGGCAAACATGTCGGATTTGAAATTGAATTCTCTGAAATTGAATTGCCAGATGCATTGCTTGTTAGTTCCACAGGTTGGTAAGTTTCCTTTCTCATCTGATAACGTGAGACCTAGCTGAATCAACTTAAGCATATTCACATTCGTCTTCAAGGTCTCGTAGTTGAATTCGTAGTGTTTAGGGTTGGGGTTTGGATTCGCCGTTACTGTCTTGCAAACGACTCCTGGGAACTCTGTGTCCATGGCGACGTAAGGGAAATCGTCAATGGCTTGTTCAATCAGAGCCATCTCTTCTTCAAGATTATGGTTCCAGACCTCGCGGATTTCAATCGTATCGTCTTCTTCTTCTGGATTCGAAACCTGCGACATTTCTCTGTCGGTTTATGATGAATCCGCTTCCTCAAGAACTTGCAAAAAGCATCCGGATGCGAGAGAATCGATAAACCAAGAACGGATCTAGAGGAAGATCCGATCTGGTTTCATCAGTATCTGCAAAGCAATTTCAAAATGCCAAGAACAATCAAATGCCAAAAGACAAGGAATAAATATCTCGCAGAAAGATTCAAACGAAACCATAACATAAACACATAAATGGAGAGATATAGAAACGAGGAGGCGGTGATTCGAACCTGGAAAATCAAAAGAAAAAGGTGTAGAAATAGATATTTTCTGGAGAAGACGGCGATTCTCCAGATTAGGGTTTCAGAGAATGTGGTGGTTTAACGAAGAGAAACTGGGGAGAAGAAGAAGAGGAAGAGGCTGGCTATTAAGGAATTACGGATATTTAATAAATCAAAATTTTCTCGACTCTGGCGAAAAATTATAAATCGATTTTACCTTTTCTCTATTTTTTTTATTTTTTCTTTCCCTCGCTCGCTCTCTATTTCTCCTCTGAATCTATTAATTAGCTCATCGCCACAAATTTTCTTGTTTCTGCACCAAATAAATCCTAAATTGATCTTTCTTTCTTTTTTTTTCCCTTAGGGTTCTCATTTTTCTTTCCCAAGAAGAAACCTAAAAAAAACTCATTTACTGATATTGAATGTTTCATGCCAAAATAATCTGAACTTGCCATACCCACAAACTTATATGATCACCATTCTAATGATAAGCTCGGGTTTTCATGGTTATAAGATAAAATGATAAATCATTTTTTATATATATACGAAGAATAACAAAAAAAATTAATATATGCACGGGTGGCGGCTATTAAACAAGAACTTAAAACAAAAAGCATAAACCAAGAGAGAGAACTAATAAATGGTTAAGAAGATCCAACAATACAAGTGGAAGAAATTAGTCTCCATACAGAGAGCATAAGAGCATCCTAATTATTTTACATCAATTAACCTCAATTCTCAGTTATTTATTATTAGACATAAAGCTTAACCATTTATTCTTCTTCTTCCTCCTCCAATCCTGCAACCAAAAGTAGAAAACCATTGGATTCTTCAGTTCAAATCAAAATGACACAAGACCAAAGCCAGACCAGATCATTATCGAAATCAAATCAACATACGAGATCATGCCTCTGCAGTATTTGTTGACCAAATCAGTCTCATACAGATTATGGAGTGTATGTAATTTTAAACCAGCACATTACATATAATAAGGAGACCTGTGTCAACTAAAGAAGATTTACCATACCTTCAGGTTCTTTTGCGTTTCAGAGTTTTGATTTCGGTTGAAATGAACGTAATCACTTCCTTCAGTGTTGCTTTTCTTCCTTGTTTGAAGTTCCACAGTTCTGGAGTTGCGTACCGACCACTTGCATTATACTCATTCATCTCCTCAAGAGCTGTTTTTACTGCATTGTGCACCTCTTCTCCCCACTCTCCTTTAAGCTTCTTCAGCTGCTCATCATCCTCGTCTACCACTTCCTGTAACCATTACCATCTAACACCATCACTACTAACTCACAAAACAAGTTGTACCAACATATGGACAACATTCACAGAATCACAGGTTACCCCTACATATTTAACTAAAACAGTGGCCCAGAAAGGGTAAGATAGACCAAATACTTTTCAAAGTCATAATGGCCTCAGCCTAAATCAATGATTCAGTGAGTTAAAAACTCGTAAAATGAATGAACCTACCTTTGCTCTGTCCCCGGTTCCTTCACGCTTGAATGGTTGCCATGATGGATTCTTGAGCTTCTCCTGCCATGTCGAGCAAAGGGTGGCAGCTTCAACCGTAGCATCATTTGCAGAATATCTCAGCTTGCAAACATCCAGAAAAGGTTTCTCATTAAGTTCTCCCATCCTTTTTACTCCGATATCAGTCTCAGCACCCAACAATCCTGTCAAACCCTGGAACAAAGAGCTTTCCTTTGAGTATTCTAACCACACACAACATAGACATCAATTCACAAGATTATTCCAACTTTGATCGTTGTTACAGACAGTATGCATCTTCTAGACAAGATATAGTGGTAAAGATCTGTGATTTTTACCAGGGTCCTACAGCCGTCATAGAGCGTAATCTTAACAGATTAAAACTCATCTTCAATCCATCCCATCAAACAGGTTTATCAGTACATTTTAAACTTGCAAGTTCAATTGTCAACTGAAGATATCCAACAAACTAGAGTGTTTGACCATGTCTGAATTATTTTAGACGCGAAAAAATAAACAATTTTGTTATAAAATGCTAAATAATGGAAAAATGCAACTGCGTCTGTACCCAAAAACACTAAAGCATTAGAAATCTGTACCGCAATCAATTTTTTCCGCGCTGCTTGTATCTCATCATTGCTTTCACGTTCTTTTGTCATCAGGACTGAGTTCATCGTCTCTAGCTCTTCTAACTCAGATTTCTTTTCATTCAGCTCATTATTCATCTCTTGCATTTTATCCTTGACCGCCTCATCATCATCATTCCCCAAATGCTTCATCACTTGCAATTTGCCTTTTAGCTCTTGAATCTCCATTTCCAGTGTCTGTTTGGTGTCTAGCTGCTTCTCAAGCAGAAGGATCTTGTTCAAAGCATCTTCTTTTTGCCTCTGGCAAGAAGGAGAGAGTTTCAAACTCAGACAAAAATAAGGTAAGGGTTTTTTCCCTTAATTTTGGAATTAACTTGTCAGTCAGTTTAAGTAGTGTGCTATGAAGGAATATACCTTATGCTCTTCGACAAGTCTCAAGACGCTTTCGTCAGCCTTTTTCTGCTCACGAGAGGCTAACTGTAGGGACCTGTTCATAGCATCACTCTGCCAAAGCAAAAAAAAACATAAAATGATCATTGGTTCCTCAGAAAGAAAAATGCATACATATGCACAGACTTATTGTTTCCTATGTTTCATACTGACAATGATATTACCTTTCTCTTGTCTTCATCGAGCTTTTGTTTCTCCAGTTCAGTTAGTGCTTCCTGTTTGTCCAATTGTTTGGCCCGAGACTCCAAGTCCCGCATCTTACGATCCAGTTCATCGCTTAGCCTCTCTTTGTCATATAGGATCTTTTGGATATGGCGAAGTGACATCTGCTGCATCTTCTTTGTTTCTGAGGAGATAAAATATAAAAAAAAGTCAGATACCCTAACACATAATATATATGAGTCGGAAACATATCAGGGTGTCAGTAAATACCGTCAGCAAAAGCTTCGTGCAAGCTTTTTTTCTCGTCTAGGACCCTTTGCAGTGACATTGCCGTCTTGTTGTAACTGTATTGGACCTTGTTCAGATCTTCGTTTGTCATAGCAATCATCTTTGAAAGTTCGTCCAGAACAGTGTTTCTATCCTGCACTTTTTCTTGCAAAACATCTGAAACTGTTCTTAGCTGTCCCTCCTTGGAGAGGTACTCACCTATTGGATCTTGAGAGTTAAAGTCTTCAGCACGTGCACACCAACCATAGGCCTTTGACTCTGAATCTCCGCTCCTCTCAGTCCACTCCTTTTTGCTGGAGCCTTGGGTCTCAAATTCCTTTTCAAGCTCTGTGGCACTGGCAAACCCACTCCAGTCGCTGTGAAACTTAGCAATAACCCCAACAATAGAATCTTGTTCGACCCAAAAGGCATTCACCTCAATAGGCTTGAATTTGGAAAGGGTCTTCAACCAAAATGCTGAATCAAGTAGAAGTTCCTTGTCATCTGTTTCTTTCAAAGGGTTAAGAACAATCGCCATCCATGGCCAGACATAGACGTCATGAGGGTTTGGTTCAGTCTCGTCAAACTGAGGAGGAACAACTGGAGGGCGTGGAAGAGGTTCTGCATAACCAGCAAGCTCATTCTCTAAAAACTTAGCTAAAGCAAGATGATTAGCCTTCTGTTTAGCACTTCTGCTGGCAGATCCTTTGGAAACCCCAGTAGCATGTGCATATAACTCCTTGTACTTGTAGTCTTGCTTCTTCTTGCCTGAACAAAACGGGCATCTGAGCTGTCCATTAACCTTGACCTTGTAGCTCCCGTTGCGTAAAAGCAGGTAGGGTGTTTCGGAATAGTCATCAATCTCAGACTCGCTGATCTCAGACTCTTCATCAGATGAAATACCCATCCTATCCTACCTGCTTTACCTGGAACCACAATTGAAAATAGCAATTAAGAGAGGATGATCCATTCACCAAACAAAGTTAAAGAGAATCTCTAAGAAATTAAAATACTTTTAGACTTAAAATGAGCCAAGTCACATCAGAAAGCAAAACTCCACCGGATAGTTCATGCAGCAAAGTTTAAAGCCCAAAAGAGACTCAATTTCTAGCAAACTGAGTCGATAGTACATAAATCCCAACAGCAAGAGAAACCCTAGGCAAGAACTTAACCCAAAAAAAAAAAACCAAAAATTTAACACTGGATAAAGCAAAAGAGTCGAAATTGATACAGCATTTACAAAATTGTGCTATGAGATTGACGCATGCATGATAAGGAATCTAACGAAATCCAAAATGTTGTACGGAAGAAGTGAATAAAGCTTTAAAGCACGAGATTCCCAGAAAAAAAAACAAGATACGAACAACCATTTGGGAGATTTAACTGTGAAAACAGAGTATAGAAGAAATCTGGAGCTTACGTTAGAGAGGGTCAGGAAGGAAAGGGAACACGGCGATGACCCAAAAGCTTGATGAAGAGAGAGGAGTAGAGAGTGAGGGACTGATGAGGAATCCGATGAAATTTCAATGCAAATGCGCCAATAAAACAAGAGTTAGGGAAAAGCAGCAATAAAGATGAAAGACTATCTAATTTAAGAAAATGTAAAATTGGGAATTGAACCCGTGCCCTTTCGTATTGACTCATGTTTGACCAAAATTCTTTTTTTTTTTTGGTTTTCAAATTGTGATGATCTTTTACAAGCAGGCCAGTGTCTCTCGATGAGCAAATGGCGAAAACGAAAATTTGATATTGAGCCTAAACACTGAACTAAGTCCACTTTAGCAGCAAATGCATCAACAATCTGAGTACAGTTTTATTCAAGCCATTCACTTCGATGAACACTCTCACTGCAACTTGCATGTTTTCATTTCAACAATTCAAAATAAAGGAGACTGATTACCAAAATTGTGATGATCAAATCGATCAACCTTTTGATATATTCACTAGATTTTCGGAGGATACAACACTGACAAGCTTCAATGGATTATATATAAGCTAATCTGAATCGTATTTTCTCGAATCGACAGCAATTAGTAAGAAGATTCAAATCGGAAGGATGGGTCGGGTACGTGATCTGCGAGATTTCCAGAGGAAGAGAACCAAAGCAGCGATCACAACTCCAATGGCGTCCGCGACGGCGTCTCTAGCGGAAGCACCTGCGGAAGGGAATATACCAAATTGATCGGCAGCTTCTTTTGCCGCTCCAGCGGCAAGTGAGAACGCAGATCCGATCCAGATGGAGTGACGTCGTAGAAAGGAGTTGCCGGAGAGAGAGGCGAGAGTTGAGAAGAGAAGAGATATGGAGAAGCAGAATATTACATGGTATACTTTGTCTGGAGCCAGCCAAGGATCGTCTTCTTCGCGGCCATGAACTTGCGTCTCCATCTATGCTTACAAAATTGGAAAAAAAAAAGGGAAATTTTGAAACAAAAGAATTTAAAAATATTAGAGGAAAGAGGAGATATAACAGATGTACACAAACTTTGAGAAATGCTAGTTAGCGGTCATTTAAACAAAATCAGTAGTACATAAAACACACCAACGGAATAAAACAGTGAGAGGATGCAGTCACAACGATGAGAGAATTGAGCCAAACACTGAATGCACACTTGACAACAAAGGTCTTTGAAACAAAAGCACTACATATAAACAGAAACCAAATTAAGAAGAACTGAAAGTATGCAGCCAGTCACACAAAGAGAGCTCACACTAAGAGATAATGAAAAGGAACACATTTGTATTAACTTCATCCTCCAAACTTGAACATAATATTTGTAGCTGTGACAAACCATCCATTGGCTTACTATTTCATGATGTGCCGTCCCAGTTCCCACCCACTATTCGTTCGATTGTCTCACTGGCAGCTTCGGGCATTTTTGGAAAATGAATTGTGTCTGGTCCATTATCTTTAGTTCATCCATCTCAGTTACACCAAGGTATTCCAGCTTCTTAAATGTGGATGACCATTGCTAATACTGATTCCTTTCTATTTTATTATCTCTCTTGGTGACCTCATCACATACAAAATTAGCCGAGATTTTGGACCTTCCAAATCACTTATCAAAATGCCGGATAAGTGCTTGATGCTTCGAGAGACTATCCGCTGTTTTAGGAGCCTCCTTCTAAACCCCCTTCCACGCATGTCTCAAATACTTAGTGGCAGCTTCGGGCAGCTTTGGACAGCCTTCGAAGTAAAACTGTCTCAGGTTTGGAAGAGGTGGAGGATCCCAACAGATTGATTTCAGTTCATCCAAATTACATGCTTTAAGTAACTCCAGCTTTTCGAAAGGCACAACAATATCTGGATGCACAGTGCTAATACTCAATTCTTTCTCTCTATTTATTATTTCTTCTATACTTGATGGACCCGACACAGATAGAATCCTGAGACTTTGAGCATACAATAGCCATGTCAAATCGGTTGGACCTTCCAAACGAACTATATGTACAGCGGAGAGTTGCTTGAAGCCTGGAGAACTTGTACATATTAGATCCCCTCTTTCTTTGCTTTCCCAATCTATCTTTATCTCAGAGATTTTGGAGTTCCAAATAGTAAGGCGTTGAAGACCTCCCAGAACTACCGTGTTTAATATTACAACTGGTGCTGACATATTGCTGAGACATAAACCTCGAATACTACTTGCTAATCGGTCCACTCCTTGAATATTTTTCAAAATTACGGCATCCTCTATGGTTGCTGTCAAAATCTCCACGTGCTCCAAGAGTTGTAGCTCTTTCATTAATATGTCATCAACACAAACTCTGGAACAAAATAATCTCAACACTTGAAGATTTGGTAGACTTGTTGCAATCCCAACAATACTTTCAAGCTCACGAGTAAACTCCAAATTTAAGTCGATTAGTCGTTTCATCTCCTTCAAACCATCTGGTAACGATTTCATTCCGGTGTATGATAAGTTGAGATATTGCAAGGAACCCAAGTTAGAAATTTCTTCCGGCAACCTAGAAAGAATTGAGTTCCTCGAAAGATCCAAGACCACAAGTGCTGGCATAAACCGAAAGAATTCACCTGAAATATCCACCAACTTATTATTCTGGAGTAATAGGGTCGAAAGGTTAGAGCAGTTGCAACTGCAAGATATCTCCGAAATCTGATTGCTCATTAGTGATATCCTTCTCACAAGTTCCCAATTGATGTCTTTTGGTATCTGAGGTAACTGCGCACCAGACCTAACACAAAATGTTTCTTTCTGTTCCCCAAATTTAGATGCTATCCAAAGAGCCATCTCGCGTATCACATCATGCATTTTCACGGTGACTGTGAGTACACCATCCATCAATAGATGCGCATGAACTAATAAACCGATTATATCATAACCTTGGTTGTCAGCTCCATCGTCATTTCTGCTTCCATCAATAAATCCTTCGTATATCCAATATTTTATCAACTTCTCCTTCCCTATTTCATAATCTTCCGGAAACAATGAACAATATAGGAAGCACAATTTGACTTTTTCATCCTTTAAACTATCATAACTGAACTTCAAAATGGAAAGAATCTTTTCTTCCATACCTGGAAACTCATGGCTAGACGAGTTAAGAACATGAATCGCATGACGCCATTCTTGTACAGTCTCTTTACATGCCATGGCTTTTCCAATGACACATAGCGCAAGTGGCAAGCCACAGCATTTTGCAGCAATTTTTCTTGCAACTGGGAGAAAATCATGATGGCTCTTTATAGGGTTTTCTCCAACTTTTTGCTGAAATAACTCCCAGGCTTCATCCGGTGACAAACAAGCAACTTCCATCATATCATCAACCTCTATGTCTTTGCAAACTTCCTTAGAACGAGTCGTAAAAACTAATTTGGATCCATTTTCTTGGGTTGGAGGTGGAACTCCTATCTTGTTCAAATCTACTTCGCTCCACAAATCATCCAATAAAATTACAAATTTCTTTCTGTTTAGGATATTCTTTATGCGAGAGGCTCTCTCAATTTCCGTTTCTTGTTTCCATTCCTTGTCAAGACTTAGTCTTCCTAAAATCTGATCCTGGATGCTCTCAATTTGCAAATCTTTAGAGACCACAACCCATATCACAACATCAAATTCATTCACCACTTCAAGGAATCTGTTGTTGATACAAGCTAAGAGGGTAGTTTTTCCGACTCCCCCCATACCATAAAGACCCAGCGTTCTTCGTTCACCGGTCATGAGGCTGTTCCATGCCTTCTCAACCATTGAATCCAAACCAACTGTGGTTTGAAAATGCTTCTTGTCCACCTTTGGTACAGGGATTTTCTCAGCCACCACTTGGAAAACTCCTTTAGCTAGAAGCCCTTCAACTTCTTTCAACTTTTTCAGTACTTTTTTACCATAATCGCAGCTTGTTATGCACTTCTTAGAGCAATATCCAAGCAGACACAATCTTTTAGTTTGAGTAGATCTAGCCTCGAGCAAATCCTTGACTTGAGACTCAACATCTTGTACCCTTGAAAACCATCCTTGGACTTGGGCAAGCCGTTGCAAACCTTTATCTTCGTCTATGACAACTCTTCTTAACAGATCATCTCGTCTCTCTTCAAGTTCTTGCATAGTTTTCTCCAGAGCCTCAAGATTTGCCTCCATCATGTGAATGTAATTCCCATCACCAAATAAGCAGCCACAAGCGTGATGCAACGTTTGATCACAAGATATGTCTAGTGATACACAGTTTCCCATCTTTCTCCAACTTCCAAAAAGGGAAAAAGAAGAAAGAAATATAATCCGTACCTAACAAGACTGCAATTCAAGGATACTGCAATCTACACCAATAATGGAGAAACTGGTGAAGATGTTTTTATATCCACAAAAGGATATGAAACATCAAATATGAAGACACACTTCACTACCCACTTGGTCTCTAACCCGGTTAAATCAATCCATATTGAACCGAAACAGACTCAAAACAAAAAAAAAAAAAACTTGTAAAATAAACGGAGAACAACCAGAATTGAATCGAACTGCACATGAATCGATTATACTTACTTCAGTCGTTCTTTATTTATTCCTTGAAGCTGAAAATAAATACTGCTAAAAAGCTGAAACCAAACCAGAAATCTAAAATCAAAATCAAACCCAAAATTGAAGTGTTAGTTTACATACGGAAAAGTCTTCATTGAATATCAGAGTTACCGACACAATGATGGTCCGTAACCACCAACCAAAGCAGTGAGCAGCAACGTCGGTAGAAATGTCCAAAACGCGATTCTGAAAGCGACCTGCGATATTTCTTCATTTTTATCAAAGCGAAAGTATCAAGTATCAACCAATGGCTGTCTCAAAACCTTTTTTTACGAAAGCCCAATTCGGTAATAGAAAACCACGGCTGAACCAAGAATCTAATTTATTGATCCATCTACCCAATATAAACTGACTGGTATGAATTATGATTTCCATTAATGTGATTATGTGAATGTGTACACTCTTCTTTAGCGTGTAATTGAAACAAACACGAATTTAACACAAGGACAGGGAAAAACCAACATGACTGCTATATTACATCCACAACAAATTCACACACATGCGCAAAAAGGGCAAATCTTTTAGAGTTCAAAGAAAACAAAACCAAACCAGTAAGCATAAGACAAACTCATCATACGTTCACAAAAACAAATTGGCACACAAAAGCCAACAAAAGTCTTTGAAATGAAAGTTTCCAACTTTGAGAAATGCTAGTTAGTGCCTAGTGGTCATTCAAACAAAATCAGTAGTACATAAAACACACCAATGGAATAAAACAGTGAGGGGTAGCAGTCTCACAATGAGAGAATTGAGACAAACAAGTGTTTGGAATCATCTACAGTGTCTAAAAATGCACAATTGACAACAACAAAAGCACTCACTAGATATATACACCAACCAAATTATGAACTGAGAGTATGCAGTCACACAAAGAGAGAGATCAAAGAGGTAATGAAAAGTAACACATCTGTAGCAGTAACTTCATCCTCCAAACTTGAAGACAGTAGTTGTAGGTGTTGACAAACCATCCACAAGCTTACTTCTCTCATTCTGTGCCGATCCACCAACTATACTCTCCGTTGTCTCTCAAACTCAGTGGCAGCTTCGGGCAATTTCGGACTATGAATTCTGTCAGCTTTCGAAGAGTCCGAGGATCCCGCAGATTATCTTTAGTTCATGTTCATCCATCTCAGTTACTGTAAGGTATTCCAGTTTCCTAAACGGTGCAACGAAATGTGGATGTTTATTGCTAATACTGATTCCGTTCTCTTTGTTTATGATCTCTTCTATGCTTGATGACCTCATCACATGTAGATACACAAGATTTTGAGCAAATGCCAGCCATGTCAAATCCCTTGGACCTTCCAAATCAGTTATCAGTATACTGGATAGGTTCTTGAAGCTTGGAGAACTTGTACTTGGTAAAACTTCCCTCCTTTCTTTGCTTTCCCAATTTATCTTTATCTCAGATAATTTGCAATTCCGAATTACAAGTCTTTGAAGACCACGCAAAGCTGCCGTGTTTAATATCACAGTTGGTGCTGACATCTTTCTCAGAGATAAACTTTGGATCCTACTCACCAGTCGGTCGCCTACTAGTATCCTTTCCAAAATCACAGCATCCTTAACCGTTGTTAAGGAAGCTGTAAGTGCTCCAAGAGTTGTAACTCTTCCATTAATCTGGAATCAACACAAACACCGGAATTATAGATCTTTAGCACTTCGAGATTTCGTAAACTGATCAGTATCCCAACAATGCTCCGAAGTTTATAAGTATAATCGAGATTCAAGTAGATTAATTTCCTCAACTTCTTCAGACCAACTGGTAATGATTTTATCCCTGTGTGTGACAAGTTGAGGTATTTCAAGGACCCTAAGTTTGAAATTTCTTCCGGCAACCCAATGAGCCTCTTGTTCTCCGAAATATCCAAGACAACTGATGGCATAAACCTAAAGAATTTACCTGAGATATCCACCAACTTGTTATTCTGGAGTAATAAAGTCGAAAGGTCGGGGCACTTGGGACTGCAAGATATCTCCGCAATCTGATTTTTCATGAAAGACATCTTTCTTACAACCTTCGAACTGATGTCCTCCGGTATCTGGTGTAACCACACACCGGATTTAATGCAAAGTATTTCTTTCTGTTTTCCAAAGTTAGTCGCTATCCAAAGAGCCACCTCATGTACCATTCATGACTCCACCATTTATCAATAGATGTGCAGAAACTAGCAAATTAATTATATCAAAACCTTCCTTGTTAACTCCATCTTCATCTCTGTTTCCATCAATAAATCCTTCGCATAACCAATATTCTATCAATTCATTCTTCTCAATTTCATAATCTTCCGGAAACAAAGAACAATATAGGAAGCAGAATTTCACTTTTGCATCTTCTAAACTATCATAACTGACCTTCAAAAGAGGAAGTGCTTCGTTACTTAGAAGAAACTCCTCGCTAGGCAAATTCAGAGCAGTAATCGCATGACTCCATTCTTGTATAGCCTTTTTGTGTGCCATGGTTTTGCCAATGGCATTGAGTGCAAGTGGCAAACCGTTACATTTACCAGCAACTACTCTTGCGAGTGCGGGTATATCCGGATGGCTACTTAATGTGAATTCTCCAAGTTGTTTTTGAAACAATTCCCAAGATTCATCTATTGACAAACGTTTAACTTCAATACCAACAGCCTTCATGTCTTCGCAAACTTCCATAGAACTAGTGGTAAACAATATTGTTGATTCGTTTTGAAAAGTTATAGGCGGAACTCCTACCTTGTTCAGATCTAATTTGCTCCCTAGACTTGGAACTCAACATCTTGTACCCTTGAAAACCATCCTTGGACTAGGGCAAGCCGTTGCAAACCTTTATCTTCTTCAATGGAAACTCTTCTCAGCAAGTCATCTCGTCTCTCCTTGAGTTCCTGCATAGCCTTCTGTAGAGCCTCGAGCTTTGCCTCATCTATGTGCATGCCATTCTCATCGCGGGATATCTCTAGTGATACACAGTTACCCATTGTGCTCAAAAATATTTCAGAAAGCAGCTGAAACTCCTGCCAGGAAACAAAGCAAGAGAAAGGACTATATGGGAGGAGAGAAATAGGGATACATGTTTACCAAATTACCTTCCTGACTTGATCAAAGTCAAACTGCAATTTTCTTTTAGTTTATTGAAAGTGACAGCTTCCAAGGAACGTCAGGTCTGATGTCACTGCATCCGACACCAATAATTGATAAAATGTTATAAAAAGTGGCAGCTTCCAGGGAAGTCATCAGAAGTTTCCATATCCACAAAAATGATATTAAACTCAACAACAAATATGAAAAGCACAATTATCTATCTGACTAATGTAATATTCTGCTACACTGAAGTTCCTTCCTTCTTGTAGTCTCTCCCATAAACATTTGGCAGGTATAAAAAGCAACAGAGCTAAAGAAAAAAAGATGCTTGTACCTATAAGTGACGTAAGGCTGCGACTTCAGTAGCTTTTGGAGCAAAATCATCGCTTGATCTGGCCAATACACCAGTGAAGACGCGGCCTAAACTGCAAATCTTCTTCGTCAATTGATTCGCCGTTTAGGAGAGAACCCAATAAACCCGGTAAGCTTCTGCGACTCGTAACCAGGCCTATTTATTTGTTTATTGTAGAACGATGTCGTTTACTTTAAGATGTTATCCACGTGTCACTTGCAAATTTGACCAATACGTGTGGTCAACTAATATGTAAGCTTATTGTAGAGTGGTAAACACTGGATTATACCCGTCGAATCTCAGGTCATCGAATTAATTAATTAGTGATTACGCAAAACCGAAGCAATTTTGCCGTTGAAGGGGTACGCAGAAATTCTGTCTGCGTCTCCGAACCAACTCTCTTCATCTCTTGATCCGATCCGTTTTCTACTTCTCTCGATTACGATCCAATTGGATCGCTTCTCTCGGGGGCTCGAACCTTTGGTGACGAGGACGAGGAGGAAGAATTTTTGCTCAGGGATAATTGTCGCATCGGATTTATATCGGAAAAAGGTCTCTTGCCGGAAAAGACACGATCCGCTTTCTTAAAGGAGAGATTTTTACAGATTCAGTGGACGCCATGGATGTTCCTAGCTCTTGGGATGCTTTACGGAAACAGGTATTTTTTCTTTGATTAAAATTCTTAAATCCTTGTGTGGTTTGATTCGAAGCTACTAGATACTTGTGTATAACAAATTTCGGAAGTTGATAGTGTCTGAAATCTGTCTTGTAATGCCATTTTGGAGGTCTGAATTGATATCATTCATCTGGGTTCGATTCGAATTTTGGGGAATGTATTGGTCTTGTTAGCTGATTCTTAATGATTTATCTTTTTACTGGATCCAATTGATACTTAAAAGGAATATGCTTTGTGTTGTTCTCTCTCATTTTTGAATCCCACAGGCTAGAAAGATTGAAGCTCAGCTTGACGAGCAGATGCATTCATATCGTAGACTTGTTTCAACTAAGGCTTTATCAAAGTCAGATGGTTCAGAGACTGATCTTGAAGCTGGGATTGACTTACTTCTTAGGCAACTCCAACAAGTTAATGCCCAGATGCAAGCATGGGTTTCTTCAGGTGGATCAGAAATGGTCTCCCATACTTTAACTCGACATCAAGAGATCCTTCAAGATCTGACACAGGTACCAGCCCTTTCCTGACCCCTAACATTTGATAATTGCCTATAGTGATTAGCTTGGTTTGAGATTATATAGTGATTAGTAATGGGATGAATGTTATCTTCTTAACCATCTTTTCACACTTGGACTAGTTTATGACTCAATTTTTAGTTGTAAATCAGTCATGTTCCTGTATTTATGACTCGTTAAAAATGCAGGAGTTTTATCGACACCGGTCCAGTCTTAGAGCAAAACAAGAGCATGCTTCACTTCTTGAGGACTTTAGAGAATTTGATCGGACTAGATTAGATTTAGAAGATGGATATGGGTCTGAACAATCCCTGATCAAGGAACATATGGGAATCAACCGCAATACGGCACAGGTAAATAAACTCCTTTGCCACTAATCTTTGTTAGACTCTACAGCTGTAGCATACATTAAGCCGGGCTTTAACAAGTTAATCGAACCCCTCATGAGTTATGTTAGCTGACTATTGTATAAACGGTGCAGATGGATGGTGTCATTTCACAAGCTCAGGCAACACTCGGTACTCTTGTGTTTCAACGTTCAACTTTTGGAGGCATCAACTCAAAGCTTAGCAATGTCGCCAGCCGTCTACCTACGGTACAGAGAGCTTTCCTTATCTTATTTACACACTTTTTTGCTCTTTGCGTTCTTTATGCTCGGTTATGGCCTGTGTTATCGTATATCTCACCCTGCAATTCGATGGTTAAAACCACTGCAGGTGAACACTATTCTGGCAGCGATAAAGAGGAAAAAGTCGATGGATACAATCATTCTTTCACTCGTTGCGGCTGTATGCACATTTCTCATATTCATTTACTGGATAACCAAGTAGAATTTGCCCATTCTTTTGTTTCATCTCTATGTTGGGCCACGTCTGGTTTTCCCATGATGTTAATTTGTTCTGCAATTATCAGTGTTCCAGTAAAGAATCTAAAGATCAAAAAACATAAATATTGTGTACAGCAAATTGCATCCCTGTCTTTGCAGTCTAGACGAACTTGTTAAAATGTTCAGTTATTTTTGAGATGCCCCACATACAACATCTGTTTCTCTATCTTGTAACTTTTTAGCTATGGTAGTATGTTGCTCCATTGAGAAGGGTACATGGCTACATGCAATACGGCTTTAATATATTCCTTATCATAACTATGTACGCAACTAATCCATATTTTGATCCATAAATGTCACATACCTCTGGAAACTAAGAACCATGCCAATAAAATTCTATCTAAGCCATATATCCAAGGGAACATACATTGGATGAATAAGAATGTGGTAAGCAGAAAATTTTATTTTTGCTCAACATAAGATTTAACAGTCTCCATCCATCTAATGTACTCAGCTTTATCTTTGTTCTTCATGTACTGATGCAAGAACTCAGCAAGATCATCACTTATACCTCTTTCCTCCAAAAATCGATAAACCGAGTCTTGAAGCTCATCTTCCATTTCCCTGTAAAATAATCAAAGACAGTTTATTTCCATCATATCAGAAACGAAAAGAATGAATGTTATGTTTAAAAAAGAGGGGTTCAAATCACAGTACTGGAATTCTGGTCCAATATAGGCATTAGGTGAGTTCTTGCTGCTTTTACGAACAAAGAACTTGGAGATCTGTATAGTATCAGGCCAAGCAGAACACATGATCTCTAAGGTCTCACCATCATCCTTAGAGATGTTGACAATGAAAGTAATATGAAGCTGAACATCTTGAGGGTCGCTGCTAGTAGATTTTGATGATGGAACTGATCCATCAAACATGGTTGCTTCAATCTTAATATCTTCCTTGTCCCCAAATTTTCTTCTCAAGCTAATCCACTGCTCTCCTGGCCGCTCATCCACCGTGAATGGACCAAACCTGTCCTCAAGCTGAAATTTTGTGTACAAACAATTGCTCAGCTCAGGCAGTGTAGTAGACAAATTTCTCATGCAAGAATTGTGATTCGATTTCGATCAGACAAACCAGAGTTTCTTTCTTACTTGAATTGGGCTCATAAAGGGCAATAAACATTTATGATTCTCACAACAAGAAGTCAATTTCACGGTGAACAAACATAATTCGAACTCCAGCATCATCATTTTGCGTTTGAGATGATTCAAATTCTAAATTTCAGCGTCAAAAGGTATCAGATTACCAAATGACAAACAATTACAAACTGAAACTTTGAGAATACCTGAAGAATAGGCGAGTGATCGAGCTCGGACTGAATCTCAGAACGAATTAATCGGAGAATATTACCCTCGAAAGCTGATTTCCTCATTTCTGATACGTAACTCCCCGAACTGAGAAACTTACGGCTAATTAAGAAACTAGGGTTTTGATTTGACTGAACAACACATATTCTAGGGTTTAGGTACGAAATCGAAGGCGATGAACTAAATATTACAGTTCTTCTCAGACATCTGAGGAGGCGAGCCATTGACACAGAGAAACGAAGAACACGGGAGCAGAGTAGCAAAGATGAGGCTTTTCTTAGGGTTTAAGAGAGCATCTGAAATTCACGGAGGATTCTCTTTGCGAGGTTTTAGGATTTTGTTTAGTAATGGTGTAAGCTAATCTACACCGTCCATTTCACCTATGAATCTGATGGTTATAAAATGGTAACAACGTGTGTAGCCAGAGATACGGCACTTTATGACTTGATCACCAACTATATACAGTACAGTGTTCAAGCAAAATCGAAATGGTTTCTAATAGAACTTGATGTAATAAATCAAACATTATATGTGTTCCCTCTATTGAAGTTAATCACATGTAACAAGAATCATATAATGTGTCTTTTTAATGTTTGAAAGATGAAAAACTGAAGTAAAAATGTGCTGAATCTGTTTGATGAGCCCCCACTGCACTGATCCTGCAAACCATACCGAAACAGAGAGAATCAATACCGGAGGAAACAAAAGGCCTAAAGAGGATTCGACTCTAAATTGGTTTCTGAAAAGATTACCTACTCAAGTAAAAGATTTGACGCTGAGACTTGAGGGGACTCATATAGATTTCAGGCTTGTTTTTCGAGAATCCACTCAACAAAATTGTCAAGAATCAATGGCCATGCAAGCTCTGGATTGTAGTTCCCCATGTCCGGGAAACTTATCTGTAAATGTTACAAAACAATCCCCAATTAGTTGATGAAGCTGCCAAGCTGGGAACTAGAAGAATTAGGAACATACCTCATTACAGAACCGGTAAAGTCCCATCCATTGGTCCATGTTTATGACTTTGTAGTCGTTTTGGATCTGTGTCAATCAAAAATATAACCAATCATGAGATGACAACATTGCGAGAAAACATTCTGGAAATTACACAACGTGAGACTTTTGAGTGATCCAAACCTTTAAATACTCGACAAAGTAGTCAACTTGAGCTCGGAATGTAGATCCCATGACGATTTCTAGGAGTTGACATATAGTCTCTATGTCTATGCTCTTCTGTTTTTCCTCTGCATTAAACAGTAAAACAAAGGTCAAACAAACATGAAAGGTAAAAGAGTAACAGCAAAATACATATCTCATGCAGAAGCAGAATTTAATATTACCTGTTAAACAATAGCGGAAGGCATAAGCATAGAAATCTGCAAAATTTGATGGCCTCCTGACCTTAAAGAGACAAAGATAAGGAAAAAAAGCTTAGCATGATTTCAGTCTAAACGGATACTCAGAATGAAAATATAAAGGATAAAAGTTTAAACCTCTTTCTCAAGCTCCGGAAGGGCTTTCTTCAACTTACTGATCGTATCAGCTCTTAAAGCCTTGAGGCCTCTTCTCCACTCCTCCTACAGATGCACAGTGAGTTAAGATCAAAAAACAAATCACAAACTTAATTGAATTATCAAAGAAAAAAGTATCTCTAGCTCTTATGTATTCTGCAAAAAAAAATTTGGGCATTCCTTACATGTGTAAAGTAACCTTGTTTCTCAGCTTTCATTTTCCTGCGATTGCGACAGTTTAAAAGTTTTTAAGATATGTAACTCTGGTAAAGAACAAAGAGAAACATTAATAAAAAGTTTTGATGGATAATTACCAAGCAAGCATCAAGATTCTGATATCAGTATGTGAGACTTCCAAATTGGAGCATAGTTCCTCTATTCCTTCAGGACTGTTCAAGTAGTAAATCCCAAAAGTATTAGTACCAGAAGTATCTCACAGAATCATAACTTATGGCAGGAACTGATATAACAGATAACAATGATCCAGGTTCTTCAATTTTGCATGAAAAGAAATATTGATTCGTGGTGCATCAACGGATACTTACTCAATCAGACTGGAAGATCTATTTGCATACTGATTAAATAAGTGATCTATTCGATCCATCTCTTTAGTCGAGGCCTTGCTCGAAGCTGAACCAAAAATTACACAAAAGTCAAAACATAGTAGAAACGTTCATACAAAGCTACAGCGATAGTGATCACAAAAAAAATATGCAGAAGAAGTTAAATTCTTGAATAAGTACTGATATTGAAAGCTTTCTCATCAAAATCGACGATTATCCAATTATTCGTTCATCAACCACAAAACCCATCAAAGGGTACTGAGATTTCAATCCAATTCCGAATTAAAAGATGAGAATCACAGGAAATTTACAAAATCCGAAGCAAGAACAGAGAGTTAAACTATTGAGCATGATAATAACATAAACCCTAGACGGAATTGGTTAAAGAATCGGGAAAGAAAAAAGAAAAACCTGAGCGAAAGAGATCCGTGGTGACTGATTCAGCTGATTGACCTGATTTCTTCTTTGATGCAGAGCGACGCATCTGTACGGAATTTGATTAGAATCGCAGAGAATTAGAGAAAACGAGTTTTTGGAAAAGAAACAAGTTCTATATATATATAAGCAACAGAGAAAAGAAAAGAGTAAATTAACAAAAACCCAGAAAAGGAAAGAGAAGAGAAGAGGCACCACGAAAGAGAGAAACACACGAGAGTCGAGAGAGAGCTTCTAGATGGGGAAAAAAATCAGAGAGACGAAGCCACCTGATTGGAAGATATACGATTTCTCTCTTATATGATTCTCCCGATAACTACCCTTTTATATGTATGTATTTTTATCTCATCTCTATACATACACATGTAAGTATTTACACAATTTCCTTTTTTCTTTTTTTACAGCTTCTGTTTTTACTTTGTTTTTTTTAGTTTCCCACTTTGTTCATTTACTTTGTAAAAAAAAATCTAATAATTTCCATTAGTCCCTTATAAATACTATTAAGTTGTTAAATAATCAAGTTGTATAAATTTCATTTTTATCTCTTTATATATTTGTATCTTCTTATATTTATGATATGTTTAATTTTTGTATATTGCATTTATGTATTTATATAGTTAAATTTACAGTTTTGGTGAGTGTAAATTCAAAATGTTTTGTTTTTCTTCTGAATTTTAAACCTCTAGCTGACATACATTATTTTATCACCTACTATTTCACTAGATAATTTTCTTTTTAAACAACATTATGATATTTTATGTGTTTTTTTTTTGTTGACATCATTATGATATTTTATGTGTTTTCTATTATCTTCGCATTTTAAGAACTTTTGTGGGGTTAATTAATGATATGTTTATTACATTTTCTAGTTTCTTTTATAGTTAAAATATAAAATTTATATACTGTACCTCCTAAATCCATGATGTTTAAAGGAGTTAATGTAATGACAACAGGAATCTTGGGTCTAGTAAGGTATATTGGGCCTTAGCTTATTGGCCTCAATAAGCAAAGGCCTGACTAAAAATTATACCTCTATTACATTTTTTAGTTTTTCTATAGTTAAAACTTAAATGCATACATCCTAAATCCATGATTGCCGATATTTATAAAGCTAATTTTGGGTTTAGTAAGGTATTTTGGGCCTCAATAAGCAAAAAGGCCTGACGAAAACAAAACAAAAAACAAAAATTAAACGTTTTCGTCGTCGTCCTATATATAAAGCATTCTTCACTCTCTCTCAACTTCTCTCGCGAACTTCTTCTAATTCCCTCCTTTTTCTGTCACCGGAAAGAGAACTAACTGTTGAAGCATCCCGGATTCAATAATCACCGACGTCTCTCTTCTAGGGTTTCTCACTCTTCACCCATTGATAAACTTTCTTTCTTTCTCTGCCTTCTTCGATCATTATTGATTCTTGTGTTCTTGATTTGAACTTTATCACCAGAATTTACTCCAGTTTTTACAATGTCTACTTCCGGTGATCAAGCCACCGCCAAAAATACTAACCCTAACAACTCATACGAGGTACGTAACCTTTCTTTTATCTGTTATCTCTCAAGTTTTTTGTTGGAATCTTTACCGATTTATTTGAGATCATTACCGATTGAGAATCTTTTTATCTCGTTGGAGTTGGGGATGTTCATGCTAGACTTAAATCTTGATTGAATCTTTTCGTTAGTTAAAGGGATTGCCATTTTTAGGGGTTAGGTTTGAGTGATTCCGATGATTGATCCGGGAAACCTCTAAGGAGAATTTCACTATGAATTTCATATACTTGCAGATTACTCCACCAGCCACCGACTCTATCTCAAGCTTAAGTTTTAGTCCAAGAGCCGATATACTTGTGGCAACTTCATGGGATTGTCAGGTTTTCTCTTCATTCTTCTTTTCCTCTGCTTCAAGAATCTAACTTGTTCGGTGTAATACACCAATTCATTAAGCACTCAAATCTTGGCTCTGTTGTGACACTCTGATTGCAGGTGAGATGTTGGGAAATAACCCGTAGTGACGGCTCTATATCCAGTGAACCAAAAGTATCAATGTCGCATGATAATCCGGTAATATGCAACTGGTCTCTGAGTTTATATGTCCTCCTGCTTTCTTTTTGCCCAAATGCTAATGAAATCTTTTTCTTGTGGTTCAGGTTTTGTGTTCTGCTTGGAAAGATGATGGAACCACAGTCTTTACAGGAGGATGTGATAAGCAAGCAAAGATGTGGCCATTATTGTCTGGTGCTCAACCATTCACTGTTGCTATGCACGATGCACCTATTTGCGAGATAGCTTGGATCCCTGGAATGAATCTCCTTGTCACTGGAAGCTGGGATAAAACTTTGAAGTAAGAATGATTTCTAGATATTGGAGCATATTAGGAAATATCTCAAATAATAGCATGTTATGAAGCATATTGGTTACAATGTTGTAGATATTGGGACACAAGACAGCCAACTCCAGCGCATACCCAACAGCTTCCAGACAAATGTTATGCTTTGACAGTGAAAGAATCTCTGATGGTCGTTGGGACTGGGGATAGAAATTTGCTAGTTTTCGACTTGAAAAAACCTCAGGTGTGATTTTCTTTCCATTACAAGCCTGTATACAAACTTAACATTTGACCTGATATCATAGTTAAATGTCTCTTCTTATACTGTAGATGGAGTTCAAGAGAATTGAATCGTCACTGAAGCACCAGACAAGATGTCTTGCTGCATTTCCTGATCAGAAAGGGTTTCTGGTAATGTACTCTTGTCATTTTGCTCGATCTCTGATGCTTAAACATTTCAATTCTTCCTATTCAATCAGAGCAAGTGAATTATGTAGTTAAGATAACATTGTTTGGTATAGGTTGGTTCAATTGGGGGAAGTGTTGGTGTCCATCACATTGATGATGCACAAGTGAGCAAAAACTACACTTTCAAATGCCACAGAGTAGGCAATACTATTTGCTCTGTAAATTCTCTGAATTTTCACCCGGTAAGCTTAATGATTCAACAATCACAAGTTTTAGATTGATGTGCAACGACCTTAATAATCCTTGTTGTGCATTTCAGATACATGGCACGTTTATCAGCACTGGCTCTGATGGTACATTCAGTTTCTGGGACAAAGATAGTAAAACAAGACTCAAGGTGTTTTCAGAAGCATCTTTGTTGCATAATGTGCTTTTCTTCAGTTTGTTCTATATAATTTATATCTAACAGACGAATGTTTTACTCCCCTGGGAATATCTTAGGCCATGTCAAGGTGCGATCAGCCGATTACTTGCAGTACGTTCAATCACGACGGGGCATTATTTGCGTATGCGGTAATGCATCTCTTCCTTAGCTTTGTGAGAATGCAAACACCAGAGAAGCACTACAATTATGCTACATAAACCCCTTTTGAGTTTGTAGATTATGTGAGTCACGCTTGCTTTAATAATAATAGGTTGGTTATGATTGGAGCAAAGGTGCAGAAAATCACAAGCCAGATACTGCCAAGACCAGTATATACTTGCACCTGCCAGAGGTACGTCTCTCACTGCCACACATTGAACTGTATTAGAAGATTGGCGCAATTTCGCAACTTAACAGGTCAAAGTTTTGTTGGTGCCAGGAAGCCGATGTGAAGCCCAGGTCAACATACAAAGTCGGCAGATTTACTGTGAAAAAGGAGCAGATTTGAAACATTTTGAGTAAATATTGGGCATATTTTGCCAATATCATGTATTTTGGATCCACTCATTGAGTGACTGTTACAGTGAGAAACCAAAGAGAGTAATGATAACCATACTTTACTTACAACTAACAACTGATGTTTAAAGATACACATCAACATAGTCTCATCTGTTACACGAGAGAGTTTATGCTAATTCGGGTTCATTAACAGATTCTAACTGGCAAAGACCATTACACGGGTTCACCTGTTCCCATCACCTTCGATATCGGTTTTATCTGCCCTTTATGACCAGAAGCTTTCTCTGTTTGAAGGGTATGACCCACATTCTTAAGATACCAAAGCGCTGCTTCTGCTGCTTGCTCAGCTGCGATCTTCTTCTTGTGCTGCGGATCCCCAAAACACTCCAAAACCGTTATCCGAGAATCCTCCTTCATTTCAACCGTAGCTTTGACTGTAAATCTGAACAAAACAAAAGAACAACATGATGCTGACACAAAAAGATTTGTAACCTGAAAAAATGTAAAAAAAGAGTGCAGAAATTATATGCTCTTACAAAATCATATGGCAAGGACCCTCAGCGATACATTCATACACTGGTGCTTTCCAATGCCTCACACTACAGAACTTATACAACTGTGATTTGGCTGACGATCTTTGAGTCTCTTCTAAACAAAATGCATGTGAACAACACAACAAAATGTCAATAAATGAAAACTAAACCCAAAAACCTGACTGTGAGAATTGACAAGGTTTAAGGTTTTGGTTTGTTTAGGAACGCAACAGCTCTTTCAAGGAAGCAAACACAACACTCACATTCATATTCCATAACCATAGTTTTCATCTTTAGAACCCTAAAACCCAATAACATTAACAAATCCTTAGCTAATTACAAACTGAGAACACCAAAATTAAGTAGAGAGTGTGAAGAAAAACAGTACCTTCAGTTGTGGGCTCAGTTGTTTGAGGCCCCAAACCTGCTTCTGGTTCGGAAACAAGAGTGTTCTCATGTGTGATGTTTGACTCCATCTGCGTGACATTGTCTTCTTCAACAGCATCATTCAGCTTCCTAAGCTTAAACCCACTTTCGCATCTCTGTAGCATCATCCTCTTTTGTGTCTGAACACGAACAAAAAAATTAGAATTAAATAACTCATCCAAAACAATATTAAGTAACTAAAGTTATTCAAATTTCCCACACTGGGTTTATGCTAATTTCGAACAAAAAAAACATGAGAAAATGATTATTTTCTTCTCAATTTAGAAGATTTAAGCGCTAAAGGAAAGGCGAATATTTCTATATATTTTCCGCATTTCTTACCACAGAAGAGGAAGAGGTGGGATTTGGTGAAGACTCTAGAGGAGGAAGATACATCGTTGAATTGAGATTTCAAGTATCAAATCTTCTTCTTCTTTTTTTTGCTTTATTGGATCGTTTAGCTTCAGCTACCCTCTTCCGATTCCTTTACGCTTCCAGAGGAGAGTAGTTCCTCTTTTCTATTTCGTGTGTTGTTGGTCTAAAATGGGCCTTTGTTTCATTTTGTACATATAAGGCCCACATTTTCGGCCTGTTTCCTTCCACGTCGATTACATGTTTTTTCTTTTTTTTCCGATTCAGACGTGGAAGTTGATTAGTAGTACATTCGTAACTAAAATTATGTTAGAAAATAGTTTCGACTATAGCATCTAAATTGAAGTCAACGTCTCGAAGGAAAATAGAGTTTTACAGAGAATGAAGATAAGCATGAAGTGAAGGCGCATTGCATTCAATTACAACGGTGGCACATCATTCTAAGCAACTAAGCTTTCAATGCACCTCCAAATTGTATCCTTAATACTACTCCCTCCGTATTTTAATAAGTGTCGTTTTAGAATTTTTACTTTTTTGAATTGGATGTCGTTTTCAAATTTCTATGCAAAATTTCTTACTTTTTAATGTTTTATGATGTCATAAAACATTAAAAAGTAAGAAATTTTGCATAGAAATTTGAAAACGACATCCAATTCAAAAAAGTAAAAATTCTAAAACGACACTTATTAAAATACTACTCCCTCCGTATTTTAATAAGTGTCGTTTTAGAATTTTTACTTTTTTGAATTGGATGTCGTTTTCAAATTTCTATGCAAAATTTCTTACTTTGTAATGTTTTATGATGTCATAAAACATTAAAAAGTAAGAAATTTTGCATATAAATTTGAAAACGACATCTAATTTTAAAAAAAGAAAATCCTAAAACGACAATTATTAAAATACGGAGGGAGTAATTTTTTTGAGAAAATGTACAAAATAAATCGCAAAATTTCTGTGATTTTGTAGGATTTACTTTGAAAACAAACATATTGATCTCTTTCAATTAGAAAGGCGATATTGATTCATTGGAAAAACTACAACATACTACTATCGAAATACAACAAATAAAGAAAGTATATGTATTTTAGACTATGCCGCAAACCTACTACAGTTTATGATTCAGATTCTACTTGTGTATATTTTTGGTGTGAACTGTAAAACAAAGGTCGTGTGACATAATTGAGGTCATTTTTAGACACCACTTTTTAACTTTTATGATCTGCCACTTTGCCAATAAATTGTGTACGTAATCAGGATAATCCTCATCCTTCTCTCGGCATTTATGATTCCTACATTTTCCAATAAGATGCTTTAGGAACCATACTTAGGTTTACCCCTGCGGTGAACCTTTAAATTCACCCAACAGATTATAGCCAATCGTTTTGCCATATCATTATTAATACTAGAGAATTAAAAAAAAAAAGAAACACAATTAAAAAAAAAAAGAAATCACAAAATAGATTTAGGGTTTAAGGTTTAGGGTTTAGGGTTTAGGGTTTAGGGTTTAGATTTTACAATTAAAACGAAATTAGATGTCGGTTTGGGTTGCCAAATGAGTGGTTAGGGTTTAGATTTTATAATTAAAACTAAATTAGATATCGGTTAGGGTTTAGGGTTTAGGGTTTAGATTTTACAATTAAAACGAAATTAGATGTCGGTTTGGGTTGCCAAATGAGTGGTTAGGGTTTAGATTTTATAATTAAAACGAAATTAGATATCGGTTTGGGTTGACAAATGAGTGGTTAGGGTTTAAATTTTACAATTAAAACGAAATTATATATCTGTTCACCGCTGGGTTTAGGGTTTATGGTTTAGGATTTGGGTTTAGGGTTTAGGGTTTATATAACAAATATTTCACAAACCTAAACAGATATATAATTTCGTTTTAATTGTAAAATTTAAACCCTAACCACTCATTTGTCAACCCAAACCGATATCTAATTTCGTTTTAATTATAAAATCTAAACCTTAACCACTCATTTGGCAACCCAAACCGACATCTAATTTCGTTTTAATTGTAAAATCTAAACCCTAAACCCTAAACCCTAAACCCTAAACCCTAAATCTATTTTCTGATTTCTTTTTTTTTTAATTGTGTTTTTTTTTTTAATTCTCTAGTATTAGTAATGACATGGCAAAACGATTGGCTATAATCTGTTGGGTGAATTTAAAGGTTCACCCCAGGGGTAAACCTAAGTATGGTTCATTCATGTACTATTATTTTATATGAAATGGGCAAAGAAAAAAACATTATTTTAAAATTGTCTTTAAACTATTGATCTTATATATGGAACTGTTTTGCAACGTATGAGTTTTCTATCAAAGAAGAAGACAACGTAACTAAAGCAAACACAAAGAAATGATGAAAGCAAAACGACTACTCGTGGTTGGATTTTTGTTGTCTCTACTCCTTTTAGTCATTCACACAACAGAGTCCATAACTGATAATGAAGAGAACGCAAACGTTAACGTAGAAGCTGTAACCGTAAGGGAGCAAAACCAATCAAACAGAGGGAGACGCAGTGGTAGCGGTCAGAATCGTGGACGGAGAAGCTGCGATCCTCTCTATCAATACTTATTCGGAACCTGTGGCCATTGGCCTTTTCCTACAACACCTTCACCCGAAAACCCTTTTCTCCCTTTCCAACCACCGCGTCCACCACCACGTCCGAGACCGCGTCCAAGGCCGTCCCCACGTGTACCACCACCTTTGGTTCCATCCCCACCACCACCACTGTGTCCGAGACCGTGTCCAAGGCCTTCCCCACCTCTACCGCCGCTTGTGCCGTCTCCACCACCTTTGGTTCCATCACCACCACCACCTCCGCCTGCACCGCTCGTTCCTTCACCTCCTCCTCCCTCTCCGCCACCATTTTTCTTCTTCCCTTCACCGCCACCGCCAGTGATAGTGTTTCCTCCCCCTTTGGTGCCGTCTCCTCCGCCGCCACTACCAGGTGGTGATCCGACATCACAACCTCCGCCGTTATGGCTACCACCACCACCATTTCAAGAAGAAACGCCGCCGATGTTCTCTCTTCCACCACCGGAGGATGAGTTTCCACCTATGCCACCAATAACTTGGCTGCCTCCTCCGGATGTTCCCGCCTCGTCGGTAGAGACCTTTGATCAGTTTCCTCCACTGTTAATTGAATCCCCTCCGCTCAAACACTAATCATTTTCTGATTCTCTTTTTTTCTTTTCTATCTAGCCGGTGTACGATTACTAAATTACGTAGACGTAACGTAACAATTTTGTTTGTTTGTTTGTAATCAACGTAGCAATTTTTTTTTTTCCTTAAATAAATTCGCATAGTTAAGTAAGGATCACGCATCTATACTACACTAATGAATACGTGTTTATTTGGTCTAGGGGAAAAAATGTAATTTAACCCTTGCAGGATGATATAGCGGGCCGAGCTAGTGACAGTTTAGAAGATTTGGGCCCAAAAACTATCGAGGACTATGAGTTTATAAGGGTAAAACGGTAATTCAGAGTGTGGGTCAGCTATGTTAAATGTGGTAACAACGAAGAGCAGCTGAAGCAACGGCGTGGAATAAGATAACAAGTCTCGAAGTGAAGACTCGATTTTAATTCAATGCGTCTTCTTCGAACAGATCATTACATAGAAGAATTGACACCACGTCACGCTTCTTCGCATTTATTTACTTATTCTACTCTCTTCTTTACCTTTTGTTTGTTCATCATATCCATACCATATTATAGTAACTCCTTAATATTTCATCTCCTCAGTCAATTCTTTTAGATGTTGTGACGTCTTGCACCAACTCGGTTATGATCAAACCGGGCCTATAGACCATGATTTATGTGATCAATCCAACCAACTAGAAAATCTAGAATGGCTATATATGTTTTCCACATCGACCCAACTTTTTATCTAAACCGGAATCATCTTTTAAGAGACATATATGGACTTATGCTGTTACATGTACTATGTTTTATTAGATTGTTACAACATAAACAAAATAGTTCTGTCTATATTCACTTCAAAACTTTGAGCAGAGAGGCTGTGTGCTGGCTAACACTTACCTCAGAGCTCTAAATTCCGAGTCAGTTTTAGTTATTGCCTCTTTACATTGGATTGTGTAACCAAATAAATATTCTCCTTTATTACTACAATATTATTCATTGAATCCTTACAAAACTAAGGTCTTTGGTAGAGACAAAACATAGGAATTGCCAAAAATCAAACATAAGTCGACCATCAATGATTCGACTATAAATATATACACTTGCGAAGTTTAGTTCTTGCATGCCTTACAAAAACAAGGATGAAGAAAATTGTACTAAGATGTGTAGTTACACTGCTTTTGATCAGTGTTTCAATAACAGAAGCAATAGAGAATCCACACAACAGTCACAGACACAGAGACGAAGACAAGAAAGGTTTAGATAGAAGAAACAGAAGAGTCAAAAGCAGAAGAAGAAGCCGAAGTAGAAACGGAGAAGCTTTCTCAACAAGATGTGACGTGTTTTTCAGGTGCATTTTCGGCACTTGCGGTCAATGGAATTTCCCGATTGTCCCTTGTCCTCAAAACCCTTTCTTGCCTCCTCCGGGGATCTTACCACAACCTCTTCCCCTTCCGCCGCCACCGTCACTCCCTGTTGTCACACCCTGCTCACCACCACCGCCTCCAATCGTAGTCAACGGTTCACCACCACCACCTTGTATTACTTGTGTAGAAGCATCACCGCCACCGCCAATTCCAGTTCCTTGCTCACCACCACCGCCTCCGCCAATTCCCGTTCCTTGCCCACCTCCACCATCGCCTCCGCAACCTTGCATTACTTGTGTCACAGCCCCGGCACCACCTCCTCCGCAGCCTTGCATTACTTGTGTCCCAGCTCCGGCCCCGCCTCCTCCGCAGCCTTGCATTACTTGTGTCACAGCCCCGGCACCACCTCCTCCGCAGCCTTGCATAACTTGCGTCCCAGCACCAGCTTCACCGCCTCCCGTTACGCCATTTGTCCCTACGCCGATTTTTATACTCCCTCCATGGCCACCTTTACTTCCCGTTCTACCACCACCATCACCATCCGTGACACCTTCTCCTGTTCCAGTCCTACCCCTTCCTCCCCCTTCTGCGCCGCTTCCGCCACCATTATCTTCCTCTCTTCCGTCACCACCTTTAGTTTTATCGCCACCACCGCCACTACCTGGTGGCTCGGTTTCACAGCCACCGTTTACAATGACACCGCCTCCTCTTTTAGGCGGTGGCGCGCCCGGAACCACCGATTCACCTCCTCCCCCTCTTTTAAGTGGCGGAGCTCCAGGACTAATCGATTCCCCTCCTCCTCCTCTTTTAGGCGGTGGCACTCCGGGAACCACCGGCTCACCTCCTCCTCCTCTTTTAGGTGGTGGCGCTCCGGGATTTACCGGTTCACCTCCTCCTCCTCTTTTAGGAGGCGGAGCTCCGGGAATCACAGGTTCACCTCCTCCTCCTCTTCTAGGCGGTGGCGCTCCGGGAATAACCGGTTCACCTCCTCCTCCTCTATTAGGTGGCGGAGCTCCGGGAATCACCGGTTCTCCTCCTCCTCTTTTAGTTGGCGGAGCCCCGGGAACTGCTGGCACATCTCCTCCGCCGCTAGTCGCAGACGTCCCGCCCATGGCACCAATAGCATGGTTTTCGCCGCCTGATATACCTACTGGATCACCACCGCCATCTCCAGTTTTCCTCCTTCCTCCGCCTTTAGACCGGTCTACTTTAACGCCGCCAGCTGCACAATTTCCAACGCCGGTTATAACCACCGGATCTCCTCCACCGGTAGACAATCTCCCACCCGATATAGGCAACGGACAACCGCTGAATCCAACGCCGCCTGACCAATCTACGCCGGAGCTTCCACCACCTGATGTAACCATCGAACCACCTATTGACCAGTCAACACCTTCGCCACCAGTCATTCCCGTGACTTTGCCTCCACCGGTTCAAGATTTCCCGCCAATTTTACCTCCACCGGCTGAAGAGTTCCCGCCGAATTTGCCTCCACCGGTTCAAGAATTCCCGCCAATTTTACCTCCACCGGCTGAAGAGTTCCCGCCGATTTTGCCTCCACCTGTTCAAGACCTTCCTTCGATTTTACCTCCACCGGTTCAAGAAGTCCCACCGATTTTTCCTCCACCGGTTCAATTATTCCCGCCAATTCTACCGTCACCGGTTGAAGAGATCCCGCCGGTTTTCACATTACCACCGACCGTACAAGATCCACCAACAGTTCCAGTATTCTCCACACCACCAGCCCTCGGAGATTTCCCACCCCAAACTCCCGTCTTTACCACGCCGCCAGAGGTCACGAATCCATGGCAACCGCCGGTGACGTCATTCGCACCACCAATCGAGTCCATTCCAACAATACCGGATAATCCATTTCCGGTTACACCAAACCCGGACATGGGTTCAAATCAACCGCTGGTTCAGCTTCCTCCGCCCACTTGGGATTCACCACCATTTAATCGTTAATTCTCTATATATTTTTAAAATTTCGTTTTTTTTTCTCAGTAAATCATGTACTAATGTGTAATCTAAACGTAATAAGCTCACAATGCAGCCGTTTTTTACAAATTCATTGCTGTCATTTGCATTTCAATTAAAGAAAAAATAATTAACTTTCCACGTGTCATTTTATTTTCCCTCATAAATTAGATTTAGATAAGAAAAATATTTAAAAATGTAAATACTGAGTTGGCAAGAAGAAGACAGTGCCACAGTGGTGAGTGTGGGTGATGTGGATATGGTGAAGTTGATTCTGAGTCCTAATTGGTCAGAAATCTATCCACGACAGCCTCTGAGATTTCGTCTATAGATTCTCATTATCTCACATTGTCCCTCTAAATCTCCTCCCTTTGATTCTTTCTGCTCCGAAAACAGAGAGAACAACCAAACACTCATTTCTCCACATCTTGAGAGAAAAAAAACAGAGGAGGTATATTAGAGATCTCATGGCGATGGCGGTCTCCGGAGCTGTCCTCAGTGGGCTTGGTTCTTCGTTCCTCACCGGAGGCAAGAGGAGTGCCACCGCATTGGGAAGCGGCGTTGGCACTGGAGATCAGAGAGTTGGCCGGAAAACTCTGATTGTCGTTGCTGCGGCTGCTCAGCCTAAGAAATCTTGGATCCCTGCCGTTAAAGGTGGTGGCAACTTCCTTGACCCTGAATGGCTCGATGGCTCGTAAGTCTATTCTCTTAAATCTCTCAGTTACTAGCATGAACAATGCTGAATTCTCATTCAAATCTCTTATATACTAGCACGAACAATAGATTTTGATAGTTCTGAAGGTCGTGAATACTCATTTGGTTCTGATTTGTGAGTTGAATTTCAAAAGAGTATGAAAAGCCCGAATTATTACCCAGTTATTGAGTCAAATGTGTGTGATATTCGCAGGCTACCGGGAGATTTCGGGTTCGACCCATTGGGTTTGGGAAAAGACCCGGCTTTTCTGAAATGGTACAGAGAGGCTGAGCTGATCCATGGCCGATGGGCGATGGCAGCGGTTCTTGGGATCTTTGTTGGCCAGGCCTGGAGCGGTGTGCCATGGTTCGAAGCTGGAGCCCAGCCAGACGCGATCGCTCCCTTCTCCTTTGGGTCACTTCTTGGAACCCAATTGCTTCTCATGGGTTGGGTGGAGAGCAAACGATGGGTCGATTTCTTCAACCCGGATTCTCAATCGGTTGAGTGGGCAACGCCGTGGTCGAGGACCGCCGAGAATTTCGCCAACTATACCGGCGATCAGGGATATCCCGGTGGGAGATTCTTTGATCCGTTGGGTCTCGCAGGCAAAAATCGCAACGGTGTTTATGAGCCGGACGTAGAGAAGCTGGAGAGGCTGAAATTGGCGGAGATTAAGCACTCGAGGCTCGCAATGCTTGCCATGTTGATCTTTTACTTTGAGGCCGGGCAGGGGAAAACGCCTCTCGGTGCTCTTGGTTTGTGAGAAAACGGCATGATGTTTTTGATTCTGTAGATACAATTTCTCTTTCAAAAGCCTAATGTTCCTCTTCTTCAATGTGACATTTGGGAAATGATCATCAAATCATTGCTTAAATTGGGACTAAGTGATGAGCTAAATTAGCTTGCGAAAAATGTAAAATGATTTCATATGAGGCTTGTTCGTAAATAACTTTATTATCGCAACTCAAACGTGAAAGGGGAATACTAAACATCAATGAAAGAGATCCACAACTTCATTTCTTTGCCACAAATGCATGATTGAAGAGCTCCAGGTGAAACATTGGAGTAAGAGGACAAAATGAAATAGAGTGACTTTCTTCCCTAGAGAGTAAAATGCCTAACAGGGTTTGAACAGCTAAGTCTCACAACAGTGCGTTGGTTGAACGAAAAGGGTGCAGAGATACCATCATCGGGTCTCTAGCGCATAAAGCTTAGAGCTTGTATTCCGGGTTGTCACGAAGGCTGAGTTTTGACAGGACAAGGCAGTAAGAATCCCAATCAGTTCGTCTTAGATATTTCAACAGTTTCTTCCGTTTCTGCACCATTCCTAAAAGTCCCTTCCGTGAATGCTTGTCCTACGGATATAAAGCCACAAACAGGTATGACATGAGATGTCCAAAAGAAACTGGGACGGATAGCTTCACAAAAATATCGAAAACAATTTGAATTTTTTACCTTTTTGTGTAAACTTGAGGATAAATGCTTGATCTTAGTAGTGAGTAGTGCCACTGCAAGGAGAGACCAGAGACATCAGAAGACAATCTGACTCAGAACGTGTAAGCCTTTTAATGGCTAAAGCCAACATTGATCAGACCACTGGCCTTATGTAGAATTTACCTTGCACACGTGCAGAACCACAATCTGATTCTGACATCTTGAACTCTTCCCTGACTTTCGTGAGCTCAATTTTCATCTTCTCCGCAGAGGACATGTTATCTGGGTGGAAATACTTTGTTGACGCAATCAAATAAAACAGATCAATACCCACAGTTTCTTTTCATTGTCACAACAGATAACACAGCATTGTAGAAACTATCACAAGCCTTTTTGGTTCCGACTAATAAGACTGACTAGCTTTAAGGTCTAAGAGCAAAAACTTACAGTGCCAACTAGATCCTCTTTGGGAGGAAGAAGCTTGTATTCAGGGATACCACCCAAATGGCCCATAATGGCGATATTCTGCTCTGTAAGCAAAGAAACCTCGTTATATGACATAAACATCATTTCGAAAGCAAAAATAACAACAAACAACAAAATAAAACCAAGATCTCAACACCTCTAGTCCTAAGCAAAAATAACCAATTAAGTATCGGATAGATTAGACACAGAGAGAGTCATGAGAGGCTCAGAACGTACGGGAAAAAACTTCATTTTTTTTGTCATTCTCATTCTTAATTGATGAAATAACATTCCTGAGTGTGGTAAAGTCCTTAGTCCGATATTGTGCCTCTTTCTCTTCCACTTGCCTTAGCTTAACCAACCTCTGATTCAACTCTTGCAATGAGAACCATCCTTCTTCTTTCTCTCCTTCTGGCCTAAGCATCCTTAGTTTGTCACCTAATTCTTCTTCGTTATAAAACGTTAAGAACTCCGTCATCATCTCCTCCGTTTCACCTTCCCTTCCCTCCCTCTCGTCCATTTTTGTTTCGAACAGGGATATGGGCAATGCTTCTCCTGCAGTGCTCTTGAAACTTCCTAAAAACCCTCCTTTCTTCCCAATGTTGTTTGAAGTGTTAGTCTGCGTCCTCAAATTCTTTAAAGTTTCACTTACGGTGCTCGAATTGAAACCCTGAGCTTTCCAATTTCTAGGATCCGATGAGTTTGTTGCAGTGCTCTGCTTATAGAGGCCCTCTAAGGAAATCTGCGGCGGAGACTGTACGCCACCTGAATACCTCGGAGGTGGAACGGTGGATCTCCGCTGAAACTTGGCGAGGTTCGTCCCCAAATCATGTAAAGACACGCGAGACTGGTTTTGGGAGAAACTAGTCGATCCACGATTCTGAGATTGGGCATCGGATCTGGTAAATGGTTTCCTTCCTTGCTCCTGCTGGTTCTGTAATTTCTGTTTCAGAGTGGTATTGATGTCGAATGACGGAGAAGAGTACGAGGAGTCTGACGGAGACGGAGAAGATGGTGACTGAGAGGAGTTTTCAACCGGTGTGTTCAAGACTTTGGGAGGTGAGTCCGATGAGGAATTGGAGAAAAATCGAATCAAAGATGGGTTTGATGGTAACCGTTGGTGGCGTCTGGCGAGATGAAGCGCCATGATTTTGGTTGCTCCGAAGGATTTTAGGGCTTCGGGTGTACGTGTTTGTGAGAGAGTGTAAGTGATGACGATAACAGATTACGGTAGAACCGGTTTAAGTGAATTGAAATGTTGACTTTTTCTGGTTCATTGTGGATCAGAATTGGTCAAGCAAAATCTGATTAATAACCGGATATAATTCTTCTTGCACGCATTTAACAGATCCAGGACGTGTCTACTTTGTAATGTGACATGTGAAAAGGCCCAATAGATCTTTCTATTTTTGACCCATGAAGCCACCAACAAAGCCCTTAAGTATTTCTAATTCAAAGTACGTAAATATGAATGGACATTCAATTATAATTTCAATCCTAACGAACAAAAAAAAAAACGAGTTCAATGCATACTTAACTAGATAAGGCCCGCCTAAATAGGCGGATATAATATATAAATATAAATTATTATCGATGATATTTGAATTTTGAATAATATAATAATCCATTTACTTTCCCTAATATTTAATAATTTAGTATTTTTTGTTTTAAACAAAAACTAAATCTTACACATTCCATTTTTCTATACATTTTAACTATTTATTTCATCATAATAAACTGAATTTTAATTCTACACACTCTTTCGTATTGATGATATTTAAATCTTAAATAGTATCCAACACACTTTTCATATAATTAATTTAGTATTTTTTTTTAAAACGAAATTTCAATCTTACACATTCCATTTTGCAATATAATTTAACTATTTATAACATCATAATAAACTTGATTTTAAGTCTTTATAGTTCATCTTAATGGATAAACTGCTAATAATAATTTTGTATCAAAATCATATATATATATATATATATATATATATATATCATATCAAATATATATCTTAGTTAATATTAAAAATTTAAATATAATTAACAAATAACAAAACATTTAATAAAGAAATAGAAATCCTTAAAAATTATGGAAAACAAACATTGTTTTAAATAGAGTTTTCTATAGGGAGACTCACAAAAATGCTCCTTTTTCAATACCCCTTTTCAAAAATGCCCCCTTTGGCTGTCCATTTTTAAAAATACCCCTTTTTATGTACAAAATGACTAAATTACCCTTCCTTTAATAAAATATATCACAAATATATAAGGAAATATAACAAAATTAGGTCTACAAAATACAAAATATTTTTTGGCGGGAAAATTGATCCCGCAATTTTTCCCGCCAAAACACTTGTAAAACCTTGTAAAAAACCTTTAAAATACCTTGTAAAATTTTCCCGTAAAATTTTTCCCGCCAAAAAATTTTCCCGCCAAAAAATTTTTTTTGCGGGAAAAGTGATTCCGCAATTTTTTTGGCGTTAAATTTTTGGCGGGAAAAATTTTCCCTCCAAAAATTTACAAGGTATTTTAAAGGTTTTTTACAAGGTATTTATAAGGTTTTACAATGTATTTTAAAAGGTTTTACAACGTATTTACAAGATATTATAAGATTTTACAAGCTATTTTATAAGGTTTTTACAAGTTATAAGGTTTTACAAGTTTTTTATAAGGTTTTACAAGTTATAAATACCTTATAAAACCTAATAAGTACCTTGTAAAACCTTTTAAAATACATTGTAAAACCTTACAAAACACTTGTAAAAAACCTTTAAAATACCTTGTAAATTTTTCCCGCCAAAAATTTTCCCGCCAAAAAAAAAAATTGCGGAATCACTTTTCCCGCAAAAAAATTTTTTTGGCGGGAAAATTTTTTGGCGGGAAAAATTTTACGGGAAAATTGCGGGATCACTTTTCCCGCCAAAAAATATTTTGTATTTTGTGGACCTAATTTTGTTTCAAATAAGGGTAAAATGGTCATTAAAAATTATAAGAGGGCAAACTTAAAAATGGACTCTCAAAGGGGGCATTTTTGAAAAGGGGTATTGAAAAAGTGGCATTTTTAACAATTTCTCTTTTCTATATAACGTAATCTCTTAAGTTAGTTTTACCTCATGGCAAACTAATTTTAAATGAGTTAAAATTAATAAATAAATCATTAAAAATATATGTATTAACATTCTCATTAAGTAATCAAAAATTCAATCATATAAGCCATTTTCCCAAATATTTTTAGTTTATAATTATGCTACATGCACTAAAATTCTTAAAATAAAATTAAGTATAACCACACTAATTTTCTTATCAAATACTCAAATATTCGTTCATTTTTATTAGCTCATTAGTTTTTGTAAAAATTTTGTGTTTTCATTTGACGAATAAAAACACTATATTACGATGATAAATACAATTTTATCCAATTAAATTAATGTTAAATAACTTATTTTGTTATTTAAAACTTCAACCGTTATTGTTTATTTGTTAATATCCATACTAAATGATTTTATAGAAAACAATTAACACATGCCAAATCTAATTGACCAATAACACATGTGAAGAGAAATTGTTAGTTTTCATTTTTGGCTAAGAAAAATAAAGTTAACAAATTTTAAAAATTAGATATATAAATGAGAAATTGTTAAAAATACCCCTTTTTCAATACCCCTTTTCAAAAATGCCCCCTTTGAGAGTCCATTTTTAAGTTTGCCCTCTTTTAATATTTAATGACCATTTTACCCTTATTTGAAACAAAATTAGGTCCACAAAATACAAAATATTTTTTGGCGGGAAAAGTGATCCCGCAATTTTCCCGCCAAAACACTTGTAAAAACCTTTAAAATACCTTGTAAAATTTTCCCGTAAAAATTTTTCCCGCCAAAAAATTTTTTTTTGCGGGATTTTTTTTTGGCGAAATTTTTTTGGCGGGAAAAATTTACAAGGTATTTTAAAGGTTTTACAGAGTATTTACAAGTGTTTTGTAAGGTTTTACAATGTATTTTAAAAGGTTTTACAAGGTATAGTACCTTGTAAAACCTTATAAAAAACTTGTAAAACCTTATAACTTGTAAAACCTTATAAAATAGCTTGTAAAATCTTATAATATCTTATAAATACCTTATAAATACGTTGTAAAACCTTTTAAAATACATTGTAAAACCTTATAAATACCCTGTAAAAAACCTTTAAAATACCTTGTAAATTTTTCCCGCCAAAAATTTAACGCCAAAAAAATTGTGGAATCACTTTTTTTTTGGCGGGAAAAAATTTTACGGGAAAATTTTACAACGTATTTTAAAGGTTTTACAAGTTTTTACAAGTGTTTTGGCGGGAAAAATTGCGGGATCACTTTTCCCTCCAAAAAATATTTTGTATTTTATGGACCTAATTTTGTTATATTTCCTTATATATTTGTGATATCTTTTATTAAAAGAAGGGTAATTTAGTCATTTTGTATATAAAAAGGGGTATTTTTAAAAATGGACAGTCAAATGGGGCATTTTTGAAAAGGGGTATTGAAAAAGGGGCATTTTTGTGAGTCTCCCTATATAAATTAGTATATGTAAATATTCTTTTTTTTAGTTTTCCTATTTCGTTAATGAAAAAGGTTAATTTTTTTTGACACATGTCAACATCTGATCGATAGACTTGACACGTGTCACGATCATGCGAGTTATTAACTTTGAAAACCATACTTTATATAATAAGATATAAATACTTAACTGAATTATCCTAAATTCGGTAAAATTTTATCATACCTAGGCAATATGGTACTCCCTCTGTTTCACAAAGAGTGTCATTCTACCATTTTTCACACAAATTAAGAAAAATAAACAAATTTTTTTTCTACCCCTTATTAATATACTAGATAATACCCTCTCTCTAATTAATAAACTGAAAAAATAGGGATAAAAAAGATAATTAGTCTTAAAAACTGCATAGAAAACATAAAACGACACTCTTCGTGAAATAAGATTAAAACCTTAAAACGACACTATTTGTGAAACGGAGGGAGTATCTATCTACAATCATGATTCATGAAGTATGAAAATGTGTTTCAAGTAAGAATGACCTCACACGTCCACAAAACTATCCCGAAACTGCATATAAATAGAGTAATGGATGTAACTGAAGCGGCACGCAAGCCATAAAGATCTCACTAACCGCGCGTGTATTCTAGTTGCCAACCCTAGTACCTTTGCATAAAGTACAAATACTATATGCCACGTATGTATTCTCATGGGTCCCACTCTCACCAAGAAAGAAAATTAAAGACAGATTTACAAATAATTTTTCAATCTAATAACTGTGTGTGTGAAAACGTTATATAAAAAAAAAAAATCCACCCATTAAGAGCATGATTAACAATGGTATCTTAAAAATAGTTCTTAGAAGTATTAAAGTTAAGAACTCTTAGTTTTGGATCTTAGCTAAGCCACTTTTCTTAGTTTTGGGTCTTAGTTAAGCCACATTTCTTACTTAAGAACTCTTTAAGAACCCATCGATAAAGATGGTCTAATGTGCCACGGGAGATTTTTTCTTCTTCTCCACTTTTCGCCACCATTTCTTCTCCTTCTCTCTCTCTATCTATCTAAATTCGGTGGAAGGCCCAACCTTAGACTATGACCGGCGGAGACTGGATTCACGAGGCTATGTGTGATGATTCATTGGTGGCGGAGGCTCTGATCTGTCTCCTCCATGCTGAACCGTCACCTCCTGAGAAAAATACCGGCGGCGCGTCGGATCTCAAGCTGAAGTGGAGCGTGCGTCAGCGGAGGACCAAGGCGGCACCGTTAAGGAAGAAGGGAGATCATGATACGCGTGCCAGTCCCACGACGCCTCTTTCTTGGAGCGGCGCAACCTCTTTTAGCGGCGGTGGAGGCGGAGGTAGCGGTGCTGCTGTTGCCGTTGATGGATTTGAGGAGTCAAGCGGCGCCGTGAAACTGTCTGAGGCCGTTAGATCTAAGGTTCGTTAGATCATTTCCCTTTGGTTTCTATGTTCAACAGTTTTTGAAAACTCTGCTTTACTCTGTTCTGTGTGTCTGGCAAATATACCCCTCGGGATGCGGCGTTTTGACGGCGACTAGCCACCGTGTTATAACGAAGCCTAGTCGTACTTTTTTCCTGATATCCACTTCACGTAATCTCTCAGTCTTCCTTGTTTTCCGCAACCACTTCCAATTTTGCCCCTCTATGCCTATTTGTTATTCTCAAGGCCACTTTCGTCATTTCAGTCCGGGATCGGCTTCTTCGCCGGTCACGCAATCTTGGCCTTTCTATCTATATTCCGACTTAGCGTTGACCGATATATCACTCTGTTACTCTGAACTTCACATGTCACGTTCTTTTTCTTCCTAGATAAAACTCAAAATGACAAAATCTATCCATCTTCTTTGCTTTTTCCGATTTCTGCAATCTAGTGCCCTCACATCGAGATGATAGTGATTGGTGTTGGTGACCTAGTTTCACGTCACGATGCTTGGTTCCTGAAACTGTTCGCTGAATTCAAGCAAGTAAAATTACCCCTGCGTCACAGAGTGTGTTAGGGGTAGTTGGGTCAATAAGAGAAGTTATGGCTGGCGTTTTTTATAATAGCTTATTAGGAGGGTTGCCTCTTTTATGGGTCGAGAGGCGTTTTCGTGGCGGATTAGGTTTGGGGGGTTTGGTGCGTCTGTGGTGTAATCAGATGCGGCGTGGTAATAATGGGCTGACGTGGAAATACAAAGTCAATAACTCTCCACGCGACAGTTTGACTGCAATCCAAAGCATCTCTTGGGTCAAAATCACTAACTCCTTTTTATATTGGTTTAGCTTTTTTTCCTCTATGCTTTGAGCTGAATTATCTTACCAAAGTAGAACCCACAAAGTCACCAGTTTTGGGTTTTGTGATTAAAAGAACGTGATAACTGATAAGGACAAGTGGTTATGTGGATAATTCGTGACAACAAAAGTGTGGGGTCGTGGCCATGGGGAGACACGCGTATAAGTCTTCCAAGTCACGCTCCATTCACGTGATTCTATTCTTTCGAATTTAGTATGTCTCGAGGTAGGGGAAAAAGATGCACTTCTTGTTCATATTACTTTTCTTGGGTCTAAGTAGTTGACCAAGAAAGAAGATTCTTTTTTAATGTTTTTTGGTGATTAACTTGACTATGATTTGGTGTTTTTATTTAGGTCTTTAAACATGTAGGGATGTCTTGTTATTGATCAATCATTTCATGCTTATGATCCCATTTTGTATCTATTGCCATTTGCCACTCACCCTCTAGTTGACAACTTAAAATTATGGAATCACATTCTAGGATTATGGTCTATACGTACGATATTACGTACATGTCTCGTTTGTTTGAGGTCGACTTGATCTGACCTTGTTATATCTGTTGTGAGAACCCACAATCTGAAATTTTTGGTGGGTTTGACGCAGATATCTCAAACAAGTGTAACAACAAGCCCTTTCAAGAGATCAAGAAAGAAAAAGGTAAACCAGATTCTGGTAGAATTACAGCTTTATATGATATTATATTATGTCTTAGTTTAATCACTGTATGTGGCTGTACACAGACACTTGCTCAACTTAAGGAGGAGGAGAGTTTGCTCTTAAAGGAAAGGAAAAGCTTGAAAAATGTAAAATCTCTTTCCCATCTTGTTCCAATATCAAGTCCCCCATAAAGTCAGTCCAAATCTTTAATACATTATCTGTTTGCGTCAATCAGGAACTCGCAACTATGCAGGATCTGCTCAAGCAACAAAGAGCAAGAAACGAGTCTTTAAAGAAAATCCAGGTTAAATTCATTTTTCGATTATAGTAAAAGATGCATGATCACTCTTTTGAGTATAAATATAAGATAAATCTTTAACATATCATATCGCTGTGCAGGCTGAACCACAAAAGAATGATGATTCCTCCTTCTTGCTCCCTGACCTTAACATACCTCTGGATAACAACCCGAGCCCTGAAAGTCTCTATGGAACCAGCTGATATATAACTACGACACAACCACCAAAACATCAATATTCTTTTGTCAGTGACACGTTCTATAGACTATGCGTAACTGTAACTATATGATATGGATAAGAATATATAGATAGATAATCGTCGTCTCCTTCCCTTGGCTTTGCAGAAGGATACAAAGATTCTAATGAAAGAGGAGACGAGTTAAATGTTTATTGAGTTTTTGGTTGTAGCAAGTTTTTTGCTCTTGCCTTCCTTTTGTTGCTTCTCTCTCGCTCTCGCTCTTCTTTCCACTCTTGTTATGTTTTTCATAAGATGAGATGTAATTAATTACTAAATATCTTCTTCTTTGATTTTTTTTTCTTAATCACATTGACTTTCCATATTTTGGTAATAATGTGTACTCATTTACACCATTAGTTATAGAAGCATGTTTATGTTGGGCCTCAGTGGGCCGTATAAGTTAACAAACCTCTATGGTTTACTCGGAGTCTCGGATATTAATTTTGATTATATAAAGTCAAGTTATGATTCAATTCCCCGATTGTCATATTTGTCACGCTCTTTGTCTCTCTCCGCCATTCCTGAAGGCCGAATCTCGCCGATAGCCTCTGCATTTGAGGTGCAAATTTTGAATTTCGTTTTTTTCTTATTTACGCTTTGAGTTTAGATGCAAAAGTAGCAATGTCACTCCAAAGAAATGGACGATTTTTTTTTTTTTTGATTAGGATTTAGGAGAATTAATGGATTAAGTGTTTTTGACCGATAAATGAAGGAAACTGGTACCTCATCGTTCTAATTTTCTAGGTCAATAGTTTTGTTTTCTTGTGCTTCCATTAATTTGATCGAGAGCTTTTCACGATGCATGGCCCTAGACATGTTATAGACATGTTATAGACATTTAGGGTATTCACATTGATCTGTTTAAATGAAGTTATATAGAAAGTCTACTATATACGTAATGAGGCCTCCTCTTCAAAGCGGAAAACCCACCATGGACATATGTGACTGGAGAACTCGATTGACACCTGATTCACGTCAGAAGGTCGTTAAGAAGATGTAAGTTTCTTTTGGACTCTGCAAAGTTACTATGCCATTTCCACACATTCTAGCTAGGTAGTCTAATGTTACATATTGGCCCCAGTCTAGAAAACAAACTTATTGATCACTGATCAGCAACAACAAAAACAAAAACTTGTTGTAATACATTATGTAGTTGCTGATCAATAAGTTTGTTTTCTTCTTTTTTTACTTAATTACTTGGTTTACTTGCCATTGGCGCAGAGTTGGAACATTGAAGAAGCACTTTCCATATTCTGGACCAGCTGATCAGCTCAACAAAATTGCTGCTAGATTCGAGGATAAAACTTTCAGTGGTGCTGTTAACCAGGTTATTAGATCGCAACATATATATTTTTGTTTCGTTACTAGCTAGAATGTGTGGTAAATTATAGAGATTCGTGAGGCAATTAATGGACTTTACAACAAGGAAAAGAACCATACTTTTGGTAACCCCAATACGAAATCCATATGTATACTCGTGACACTCTTTTATATCGACTTTCAGACTGATTACGTTAGGAAACTATCCATGAAGATGCTAACTCTGGAGACTAAATCGCAAAATGCAACTGGTTCTTCCTCATCTATCCCTGCCGTGGACACAGCTGCCTGGAGAACTCATATGCCTCCTGGTTCACGTAAGAAGATCGTTAACAAGATGTAAGTTTAATATACCACATAGAGTTACTTACACATCTCTCTGCAAAGTTTTTATCATTCCCACTCTAGCTTTCGTGTTTTTGTCTATGCCTTTTAAATCCTAGAGAAATATGTACAAGGTTATTGTGGTACTGTCATAGTTCCTTGACCAATACTAATGTTTTTACTTATGTACTTGCCACTTGAGCAGATTGGAAATACTAAAGAAGCAACCTCCATTTTCTGGATCAGATGAGGGAATTAACGAGCTCAGGAGGATTGCAGCCAGATTCGAGGACAATATTTTCAGAGGTGCTGTTAATCAGGTTATTAATTAAACGTCCTTTGAACATATATTAGTGTGCTAAATATAAAGATTTGTGCATGGACTCCCAATATATATATATATGGGCTTTGAAATCTATACTTTCTTGATACTCTTTTATCTAAACATTCAGACTGATTACCTTCGGAAAATATCCGCCAAGATTGTAACTATGAAGAATGATTCGAAAAATGCAGCTGTTTCTTCCTCATCTTTCCTTTACCCTAATTATGGCACATCCATGGATTCGGGTAAATAATTAACAACTTTCTTTTTCTCTGTCCTTAAAGTCTTGAATCTTGTTTTGGTGTGCTGAACTGAATGGTATCCTCTTCGTGTTAGCTGTGTAAGATGTTGAACGCTTGATCACATCATATGAAATTTTCGGGTGTCAACTCCATCACTTTATTTTTCATGTTTTTTTTCAGTTTTATATGGAATTAGATATTTATTCTTAGATGCTGAGGATATGGAGAATGGCAATTCAGAGCCTTGTCTTGTGAATGAAGAACTTGCCGTGAACACAAGTGACTGGAGAACTGAACTGCCACCGAATTCACGCCAAAGAAATGCCTACAAGATGTTGTAAGGAGATAGAGAGATTAAGGATCTCATTGTAATTATTTATAACTTAATACCTAGACTGCAGAGTATATATATGTTGTAATCCTCTCCTTAATGAATCAATTAAAGTCTTTGATTATATGGTATCAGAGCATAGGTCTTCTCCTTGGACAAGAGAGGCTGAACCGAGGGTGATATGGTCCAAGGGCGAACTAGAAATGAGCTATATGAGTGGCCGGTTGATCATCATTCCATAACCGGGTTTTCAGCTTCACCGACACCGAAAACCGACCTCTCTTCTTGGCATTTTCGACTTGGGCATCCATCTTTACCTATTCTAAAAGCTGTTGTTTCGCAATTCTCTTTACCTCTTTCACATTCTTTACAAAAACAGTTATCTTGTTCGGACTGTTTCATCAATAAAAGTCACAAATTACCATTTTACACAAACACCATTGTCTCTCACCAACCTCTTGAGTATCTTTATTCTGACGTTTGGACGTCTCCAATGGTTTCTGTTGACAATTTCAAATACTACCTTATTCTTGTTGACCACTTCACAAGATACACCTGGCTATACCCTCTAAAGCAAAAGTCCCAAGTCAAAGATGTTTTTGTGGCGTTCAAAGCGTTGGTGGAGAATCGATTTCAATGCCGTATTCGTACATTATACTCGGATAACGGTGGTGAATTCATTGGACTACGACCATTTCTAGTCGCTAATGGCATTAGTCACCTTACGTCTCCGCCACATACGCCGGAACACAACGGTATCTCCGAGAGGAAACACCGTCATGTTGTCGAAACAGGCCTCACCTTGCTTGGTCATGCTTCGGTTCCGAGATCATATTGGACATATGCATTTGCAACAGCAGTTTATTTGATCAATCGTATGCCCACGGATGTGTTACAAGGTGTGTCTCCTTATGCGAAGCTTTTTCAACAGCCTCCTAACTATTTGAAACTGCGGGTATTTGGTTGCTTATGCTTCCCGTGGATTCGCCCATACACGACGAACAAGCTTGAGAATCGTTCAACACCATGTGCGTTTCTAGGCTATTCACTTACGCAAAGTGCGTATCTCTGTCTTGACATAAAGACTGGCCGGATATACACTTCGCGACATGTCCAATTTGTGGAGACAAGCTTTCCGTTTGCACCATCTTCGGATCTTGCTGAATCTTCAACGGAACTCACGCCACATATAGCTCATTCAAGCCCCTCGTGCTCGGTCCTTCACCCGTCGCAGTCTCCACACCAATGTCTTCTTCTCCGAAGCTTACTCTCTGTTCGGGACAGATTCTCGATGATGCTAAAGAATACCGAGCAGTAATTGGAAGTCTTCAATACTTAGCATTCACGAGACCGGATATCGCATTCGCAGTGAACAAGTTATCACAGTTTATGCACAAACCGACGAATGAACATTGGCAAGCGGCTAAACGTATTCTCCGATATCTCGCAGGAACCAAGTCTCATGGTATTTTTCTGCGTTCCGAGACTCCTCTTACTCTCCATGCCTTTTCAGATGCAGATTGGGCTGGCGATCAGAATGACTACATCTCCACCAATGCATACATCATATATTTTGGTGGCAGCCCGGTTTCTTGGTCGTCTAAGAAACAGCGAAGTGTCTCACGCTCCTCGACGGAAGCTGAGTATCGTTCAGTAGCCAATACAGCGTCTGAACTCCGTTGGGTTTGCTCATTGCTCTCCGAGATGGGGATTCACTTACCGACGGCACCTGTCATTTACTGTGACAACATGGGCGCCACATACTTATGCGCTAATCCAGTTTTTCACTCGAGGATGAAACATGTGGCTCTTGACTATCACTTTGTTCGCGGCTATATTCAGTCCGGTGCACTTCGAGTGTCACATGTTTCCACAAAAGACCAGCTCGCTGACTCGCTTACCAAACCATTACCTCGACCACGGTTTCAGGAACTTAATCGCAAGATTGGAGTCATGGAACTGCCTCCATCTTGAGGGGGCGTGTAAGGAGATAGAGAGATTAAGGATCTCATTGTAATTATTTATAACTTAATACCTAGACTGCAGAGTATATATATGTTGTAATCCTCTCCTTAATGAATCAATTAAAGTCTTTGATTATAGATGTAAGTTCATTGTACAAATTGTGTGTTAATTGTCATTTTTTTTCTCACTTGAGAGCCAGTTTTAGTGAGAAACTTGTGTAGATATACAAGGATCTGACCCATAAACATAGATGTTTATGTACAACCAAATCACTTTTGAGCAGAATGGAAACACTAGAGATGCATGTTCCAAATCTTGGGCTACAAGGAATTAACGAGCTCATGAGAATTGCTGTCAGCTTCGAGGATTTAATTTTCCAAACTGCTATAAATCAGGTTCCATCATTTCCTTTTTGCTTCTAATTAGTTGTTAACAAAGTACGAAAATTCATGCAGCAAAATTAAACTCTTCTTTATAGTAGTGGTTGAAGTCAAAAACTTTCTCTTTTTTTTTTTTTTTTTTTTTTTGCGTTTTTAGGTTATTTTGTACCTTCTTCTGATATCATCCCATTCTTTTATTATATACCTGTTTATTTTTCAGGTGGATTACTTCCGAAAAATATCTTTCAAGATCAAGATGTTGAGTTGTTGACTGTGGAAGAGGGCGACTAAAATTCAGCGTTCAAAGCACTATAACGCGTTTGGAGCTTTTAGAGCAATTTCCATATGTAAAACAAAATTCTTTTACGGTGAATAAAATATTTAGTTTCCTTATGATAAGAAGAAAATTCAAATGCATTTGTTTTTCATTTTTTTGGTAATGTAAACTCAGTTTGATTATAAAAAAAAAAAAAACAGTAAATAGAGAGGAGACTCTTTTGTTGGGTTAATTATATGGGCCTAATGGGCCAAGCCACCTTTTTATTGATAACCATTTTAATTCACCTCTGCGACTCCGATCGTCGCCACCTTGACCCCTGAAACCCAAAGTCTTGTCGATAGTCTCTGTTTCGCCGATCACTGTACGAAACTTTTTTTGGTCGGTATAATTTTCCAACTCAATAGTTTTGTTGTTTTGTGTCCTACAATTTTTTACTCGGATCAAAACCTTCTGCTTTCAATAATCGTTGTGTTATAAGATAATTAAGTCTGTGTTTCTCATATTTGATCTGTTTTAAATTGAGTTATATACAGAACAGAGAACCCATCATGGACACAGGTGACTGGAGAACTCAATTTCCATCTGATTCACGCTCGAGAGTTGTCAATAAAATGTGAGTTTATTAAAAAGTTAATCAGATTTTCTCGCAATCGCAAGTGTTTAATGTTACATTAAATTCGCCTTTGATCAATAAGGTTTTTACTTTTACTTTGTTGATTTGACTTGACCGCTTGTGTAGAATGGAAACTCTGATAAAGCAACTTCCATTTATTGGACCAGAGGGAATTAACGAGCTCAGGAAAATTGCTGTCAGATTTGAGGACAAAATTTTTAGCAATGCTATCAATCAGGTGATTCAGTGACTCCACAATTTGGAAATGAACTGAGTTTTGGTTCCATAACTCTCGTTTTTTCGACATCCATGTCCTGATTCCCCTTTTGTTTCGATGTTTAGACTGAGTACCTTCGTCAAATATCCTTCAAGATGCTGAGTATGGAGACTAAATCACAAAATGCAGCTAGTTCTTCCTCATCTGTCTTTGCCGCTGATGACAACAGCCCACCGTTGGTTCCAGGTAAATAAAAGGCTTTTTCTTTCTCCGACATTGAAGTCCTTCATGTACTGTAGCAGATGCTTGTTGTTTTGGTGTCCTTAATTTTAATGTTTTCTTTTGATGTGCTTTAGTAGACTTGACACATAAGATGATTTTTTTGGGTGTGTTCTTATGAAGTCTATTCTTATGGACATTGACCATTCAGAGCCTTCTCTTCCGAACAATGAACCTGATGTGAACTCAAGTGACTGGAGAACTCAACAGCCACCGGATTCACGCCAGAAGAATATCTACGCGTTGTAAGTTCATTACACACTCGCTAGTCATTTCTGTTGGAATAGAGGGTTATAACGTTTTGTCACATTGCCTTGACCTATAAATATGTTAATGTATCACTAAATTACTTGTCATTTGTGCAGATTGGAAACACTAAAGAAAAATGTTCCATACTCTGGGAAAGAAGGAATTGACGAGCTCATGAGAATTGCTGTCAGCTTTGAGGAGTTGATTTTCAACACTGCTATAAGCCAGGTTTCAGTTTCATCTTTATTTTGGTTCTTTAGTGTGATCAAGTAGATAGATTTCAAAGGTTTGGTGCCTATGAACCTTCTTATTGTATGAACCTCATTACATTTTGACTGAATTCCATGTGAACTCTTTCTTGATATCATTCCTTTTATATGTATATTCTGTTTTATTTGGAGTTTCAGGAGGATTACCTTGGCAAAATATCCTTAAAGATGCGGACTATGTAAGAGGGCAACTAAGTCATTAAGTGGCGTTCTAAGCGATCAATTGCGTTTGAAACTTTCAGGGCAATTCCATATTTGTATAAAGAACTCACCTTGAAAATCTTTAAACCTGCAAAGTTTAATGTATAATTAATCATGTCCAAGGTATCCATTGATTTGATTTATGAAACACCATTTCTCGTTTCTCCAGAATCATCAAGGAAAAAAAAGACATTTAAAAAATTAGTTAACTACTTAACTACATTTTACTCTACTAAAGACTCCTCTTTGAGTTTAGTTGTCTTTTTAGTTAGTGATACTGAAATTTACATATGTTTAGATTGAAATTTGTAAAAAAACTACCGTTGTTTATTGATGATTATGTGATGATTATTCTAAAATCCCCTATATAATGTGACATCATATACATATTACATTAGCAAATAGTTAGAATATTTAATATTGAATTAGGGAAGGACACAATTGTTTGTCAAATTAATTGAAAATCTTCTTTATTTGCTTTCTTCTTAAAATTAGATTATTAAAGATTTTATTCCTTAAACTATAACATTTATTTTTCTAACCTATTAAATTATTAATAAAATAAAACAAAATTAGTTTTTTTTTGTTAAAAAAACGAAAATGCTGTTATCATTTAATCTTACTAATAAAAGATATTTTGAAGAAAAACTATCATTTGAAAATTTATAGCAAAATGTGACAATGTGTATGTAATTTAAACTCTGAAATATCTATTGTATACCTTATGTATATCATTTAGTTTAAATTTGTTTAATATCACTTAAAAATTTATTTATAAAATGTCTTATACAATGAAACAAAAAAAGTAAAATTTTAAAATAGTTCTAATACCGTATACAACATCATTTAGTTAACAAATTTCTAATACAATTTGCACTAATGCTACCAGATTTGAACTGGGAGAACTATACAATTATACATGTGGTAAGACTAGATTTTTTTTAAAAAAAACAACACACATTTATTGTAAAAGCAACAAAAAAAAAAAAAAAAAAAAAAACTTGTTATAAGAGAACTGGTAGGCTCGATTATGATTTATGATGCAAACAAGTTTCCTCTGTCTTTACCCAGAAGATCCTATATTCGTTTCTCGATCAAGCTAAACCCTAATCTAGCTCCAATTTTCCCCTTTTCTCCGTTGTTTTCCTATTATCAAGCCCTAATCGTTGTAGCAACCTTGACTCCGTCAAACGCGAAATCTCCTTGATTGGCTCTGAATTTGAGGTGAAATGTTCGAATCTCGTTTTTATTTAGTTTTGCTCTGTTGTTCTTAAGCCTTGCTTTTTGATCGGGATTCCAAAGTAAGATAAAGTATCGCCCTTTGTACGAGAATAGATGAACTTTGTTGATGTTATAAAGTTTGCTTATTTGTTTTCCTTGATTCTCGTTTCGGTTGAGTTTATGGCTTTGTGCTACCAATATTAAAAAGAATGAAATTTTGGCTGATCAATAAGAAATTCTCAGTGTTAATCTCATCCATGTTGTGTGGTCATTTGTTTCCTGTTGATTTGGGTTTCTATGTCTACTTACTATTGATACTTTGCTCTTCATGGCTTGTAAACACAGGACACTTGATGGATAATAACAATTGGAGGCCTTCTCTTCCAAACGGAGAACCTGCCATGGACTCAGGTGACTGGAGAACTCAATTGCCTCCTGATTCACGTCAGAAGATCGTCAACAAGATGTAAGTTTAATATACCTAGTGTTACAACTCTCCAAAGTTTTCATCCCTCCCACTTTAGCGGCTTTTTTCCGTCTATGCCAGTCAAATCCTACAGAAATAGAAGGTTATTGTGGTTTCATAGTTCCTTGAACAATAGTTTGTTTTTACTTATTTACTTGCCGCTTGCGCAGAATGGAAACACTGAAGAAGCACCTTCCATTTTCTGGACCTGAGGGAATTAACGAGCTCAGGAGAATTGCAGCCAGATTCGAGGAGAAAATTTTCAGCGGTGCTGTTAACCAGGTTATTAACAGTCCTCTGAACATAGATTTTTGTTTCGTTAGTGGGTTGAATATAAAGATTTGTGAGGCAATGGATTCCACAACATGGAAAGAACTGACTTTTGGTATCTGTAAAGCTTAGCCCTTTATATGGGGTGTGAAATCCATGTATACCTTCCTGATATTCTTTTATATCGCCTTTCAGACTGATTACCTTCGGAAAATATCAATGAAGATGCTGACAATGGAGACTAAATCACAAAATGCAGCTGGTTCTTCCGCATCTATCCCTGCTGCTAATAATGGCACATCCATAGATTCGAGTAATCACGATTCTCAAGCATGAATTGCTTAAGTCTGTTTATCTGGTTTTATGGATAATTGTTCCTCTATTTGATGCATTTTAACCTTTCCTTGAATAGTACCCACCAATCAAGGTCATCTTCTTCCAGGATCGTTACCAACCAATCAATCTCAAGCACCTCAGCCGTTACTGTCCCAAACCATGCAGAATAATAGTGCCTCTGGAATGACGGGTTCTACTGCTTTACCATCTTCCATGCCGCCGGTTTCTTCCATAGCCAATAATAACGTCACAAGTGTTGTAAACCAGAATGCCAATATGCAAAATGTAGCTGGAATGTTGCAAGATTCATCTGGGCAGCATGGCCTTTCCTCGAATATGTTTTCTGGATCCCAAAGGCAGATGCTGGGCAGGCCACATGCTATGTCTTCACAGCAACAACAGCAGCCATATCTTTATCAGCAGCAGCTACATCAGCAACTTCTCAAGCAGAACTTCCAGTCAGGGAATGTTCCCAATCCCAATTCGCTTTTGCCATCACACATTCAACAACAGCAACAAAATGTGCTGCAGCCTAATCAACTGCATTCTTCTCAACAACCAGGTGTTCCAACATCTGCTACGCAGCCCTCCACTGTGAACTCAGCTCCTCTCCAGGGTCTCCACACAAATCAGCAATCAAGTCCGCAATTGTCTTCTCAGCAGACGACACAATCTATGCTTCGTCAGCATCAATCGTCGATGCTAAGGCAACATCCGCAATCACAACAAGCCTCTGGCATCCATCAGCAGCAAACTTCATTGCCGCAGCAATCAATTTCTCCTCTACAACAGCAGCAAACACAAATAATGCGGCAACAAGCTGCAAATAGCTCAGGCATCCAACAGAAGCAGATGATGGGGCAGCATGTTGTTGGGGATATGCAGCAGCAACATCAGCAAAGGTTACTGAACCAACAAAATAATATTATGAACATACAACAGCAGCAGTCGCAGCAGCAGCCACAACAACAGCAGAAACAGCAGCCACCGGCCCAGCAGCAGTTGATGTCTCAACAAAACAGCCTCCAGGCCACGCATCAGCAACCACTGGGCACTCAAAGCAATGTTGCAGGATTGCAGCAACCACAACAACAGATGCTCAATTCCCAGGTTGGCAATTCGAGTTTGCAGAATAACCAGCACTCGGTGCATATGTTATCACAGCCAACGGTTGGGCTGCAAAGAACACATCAGGCTGGCCATGGCTTGTTTTCTTCTCAGGGCCAACAGTCACAAAATCAGCCATCCCAACAGCAGATGATGCCACAGCTTCAATCGCATCATCAGCAGCTAGGTTTGCAACAACAACCTAATCTGCTACAACAGGATGTGCAACAAAGGCTACAAGCTTCAGGCCAAGTCACAGGTTCCCTGCTTCCACCTCAAAATGTTGTGGACCAACAGAGACAACTATATCAATCCCAAAGAACCCTTCCGGAGATGCCATCATGTATGCTTTTGCATTCTTTTAAATACTTTAGGTTCTGATATTTTACATAATCTCTCAGCAGGATGTGATGTTGAACAATTTCCGTTTTTATAATTCTTAGCATCGCTGGATTCGACGGCACAGACGGAAAGTGCAAATGGAGCTGATTGGCAAGAGGAGGTTTATCAAAAGGTAGTTCTCTCTTTTTAAGTTTGCTATATCTTTACCAATTCTGGCTACACTTATTAAATCTTCAAGAGATAGATATCATTGTAATGAGTAATCGAGTGACCATAGTGCTTGTCTTTGTAGATCAAATCTATGAAAGAGACGTATTTACCAGATCTGAATGAAATCTACCAGAGAGTTGCAGCTAAGTTGCAGCAAGTAAGTTACAATTTTTTTTTTTTTTACTAGGAGAATAGTTTGCACGTGTATGTCCTCTGGAACAGTAGTGAGTACCTTCTAAGGAGTTTTATGAATTCAATGCAAAAGTTCGGTTTGTTACTGCAGAAGAACACCATACAACTTTGGAGTCTTGTTACCCATTTAACCAAAAAAAAACGATCTTATGACTCGTACTCTTACAGACTGTCTACTAGAAAATCATCCTGTTGATATTTATGTTCCTTCCCAAACATACAGAAGTTGTAGCTTGCATCTATGTATCTGTTTTTTTTTTTTTTTAATAAGTTAATTTGTATTTGGAGCAGGATTCTGTTCCTCAGCAACAAAGATCAGATCAGTTTGAGAAATTGAAACAATTCAAAACAATGTTGGAGCGAATGATTCAATTTCTATCTGTTTCAAAGAGCAATATCATGCCCGCATTAAAGGATAAGGTGGCTTATTATGAGAAGCAGATTATAGGTTTCTTAAATATGCACAGGCCGAGGAAGCCAGTACAGCAAGGGCAGCTTCCGCAATCTCAGATGCAGCCTATGCAGCAACCGCAATCTCAGACAGTTCAAGATCAGTCTCATGATAACCAAACTAATCAGCAGATGCAATCAATGAGCATGCAGGGTGCTGGGCCAAGGGCACAACAGAGTAGTCTGCCAAATATGCAGAACAATGTTCTATCATCTCGTCCTGGAGTTTCAGCTCAGCAGAACATTCCCAGTTCCATACCGGCTTCTAGTTTAGAATCAGGCCAAGGAAATGCCTTGAATAATGGCCAGCAGGTTGCCATGGGATCCATGCAACAAAATACTTCTCAACAAGTTAATAACAGTTCTGCCTCTGCTCAAAGTGGGTTAAGCACACTGCAGTCTAATGTAAATCAACCCCAGTTGAATTCCAGTTTGCTTCAGCATCAGCACCTCAAGCAACAGCAAGATCAACAAATGACGCAGCAGCTCAAACAGCAATTTCAACAGCGCCAGATGCAACAGCAACAGTTGCAAGCAAGACATCAACAGCAACAGCAACAGTTGCAAGCAAGACAGCAAGTGGCACAATTACAGCAGATGAATGATATGAATGATTTAACATCAAGGCAGGGGATGAATGTCAGTCGTGGGATGTTCCAACAACATTCTCTGCAGGGCCAGCGTGCTACTTATCCTCTTCAACAGTTAAAACCAGGAGCTGTTTCGTCGCCTCAACTTCTGCAAGGTGCATCTCCTCAGATGTCACAACAACATTTGTCTCCTCAGGTTGACCAGAAAAATCTGTCAACTGTCAACAAGATGGGAACTCCATTGCAACCTGCAAATTCCCCTTTTGTTGTCCCATCTCCTTCAACCCCCTTGGCTCCATCCCCTATGCAAGTTGACTCTGAGAAACCTGGTGCTTCTTCGTTGTCAATGGGAAATATTGCACGCCAACAAGCAACTGGCATGCAAGGTGTAGTTCAGTCCCTAGCAATTGGCACTCCAGGGATCTCTGCCTCTCCTCTCCTTCAGGAGTTTACTAGTCCTGATGGAAATATTTTAAATCCTTTGGCAATTACATCTGGAAAACCGAGTGCTACTGAGCTGCCTATTGAACGCCTTATTAGAGCCGTAAGTAAAATTTCCAATTTTGAAGGGTACATTGGAACAGGATGGTGATATTGCTGTGATCCCTCTTTTGTATTATAATCATTGTTCTGGTTTGATGTATGCTTTGTTTCCAGGCGAAGTCCATCTCACCACAAGCGCTTTCTTCTGCAGTAAGTGACATCGGATCTGTTGTAAGCATGGTTGATAGGATAGCTGGTTCAGCACCAGGAAACGGTTCAAGAGCTTCAGTTGGTGAGGACTTGGTTGCAATGACTAAGTGTCGTCTCCAAGCAAGAAACTTCATGACGCAAGAGGGAATGATGGCGACCAAGAAAATGAAGCGTCACACAACCGCAATGCCACTAAGTGTTGCTTCGCTGGGAGGAAGCGTTGGTGATAACTACAAGCAGTTTGCTGGTTCAGAAACATCAGATCTAGAATCTACTGCGACTTCTGATGGCAAGAAGGCAAGAACTGAGGTATGATTTTCAGTTAGATTTCCCTTAGGTATATTTGAATATTGACACACTTACACGCAACAAAGAAATTGGAAGCACAAGGTTTCAAAATTCTTATTTTGAAGACTCAATCTTGGACTGCAGAGCGAGCATGCCCTTTTGGAGGAAATAAAGGAAATAAACCAGCGGCTGATAGATACAGTTGTTGAGATAAGTGATGATGAAGATGCTGCTGATCGTAGTGAGGGAGCAATATCAAGCATAGGGTGTGAAGGAACAACAGTTAGATTCTCGTTTATAGCTGTTTCTCTCAGCCCAGCCTTGAAGGCTCATCTTTCATCAACACAAATGGTAAGCATGGTCATTTTGTTAATTTTCTGTGAAAAAAATATTTCATTTATCCTTTTATAATATATGTTTTGTGCTTCTATAACAGTCTCCTATTCAACCATTGCGTCTGCTGGTTCCTTGTAACTACCCCAATGGCTCTCCTTCTCTTCTGGATAAACTCCCGGTCGAAACCAGGTACAAGCAAGATCCTTCAGTCTCAAGTAAATAGAAACATAGATTTTTCATACCGAGTCGAGCAAACTTCTACGATATAGTTAAAATCTTCACAAGAATCATCTGCTCATGTCTCTAGAAACCCTTCATTATAAACTGCGTTATCTTCTTACCTTAACACGGTCTGGTTTCTTGAACAGCAAAGAAAATGAGGACCTCTCGTCCAAAGCTATGGCAAGGTTCAACATATTGCTAAGAAGTTTGTCGCAGCCAATGTCGCTCAAAGACATAGCCAAGACATGGGACGCCTGTGCTCGGGCTGTGATCTGTGAGTACGCACAGCAATTTGGCGGTGGAACTTTCAGCTCAAAATACGGCACTTGGGAGAAATATGTAGCAGCTTCCTGAATCTGGCGGATCTCTCAAGTCCTCAACGGCAATTCTGTGATTCACTTGCACTTTCATGTCAAAACTATAGAAAAAAGAGAGCCAAAAAGGCTCCTACCTCCTTTTTTTTGTTGTTGTATAGTATAAGTTTTTTCTTACCCACGTGGTTGGGAGTTTTTATCTATTAGCAAAGCTTATGCTGTATTATTGAATATATTTCAGTTATATTATTAACAATTATATTATATAACTTTGTTGTATGTATTTTGTGAATCTTGTTAGTACAGGTCATTTTGAATGTAGTGCTTTACTGATATACAAGTCTCTTCTCCCTTGCGATGTGTTTTCTTAATTTGAACTCTCTCATCCTCAATGTTGTTGACTCTGGTGCTCTGTTTCTAGTCCTGTCAAGTTATGATCGAAAAATGAATAAAGACCCTCTTTTTTTCAATGTTTTGCTAAAAGGTTCAAGTCGATGCCTTTTCTCTCCTTCAAACTGTTTGGAGCTTCTCAAAATGCTCCACTATCCTCTTGCTTACTTAAATATGGCGCTTTCAATGTCCAAAAAAGATGAAGGTTAGTGGATGCACAACATATGTTTGATGAAATGCCTGAGAGAAACAGAGCCATTGATGAACACTTTACACCACAATCAACAAAAACGTAACAGGTAGCTCATCTTTGCTTTACTAGTGTATAACTCTCTGGATTATTCATCCACAACATGATCCGATGCTGAACCATACTAGTCTTGCTTTTTGATATAGCTTAGCATCGCTGGATTCAAGTGGAAATGTGAATGGAGGTTAGCAAGAGGAGCTTTTTTCAAAAGGTACAAATCAAAATGATATTTACCAGTGAGTTACTTTCCACTAAAAACTTAACTCATATATAATATAATCCTACAAAACTAAATCCAAGAAACTCACCTTTTGATATAATAGTGGAAGTTTTTTAGGAAATAATTGGCTATTAGCAGACTTTTATGAATAACTCGTTAATATATTCATCACTGGACGACTTGAGAGTCAACGAAGATAATAGCAAGATCTGAAAGCAAGAACCTTCTATGTTTAACCATTTGAGCGAAAAGATCCAATCTTTAACAGCTTCCCTTCACTCTCAATCATTTTCCTACTGTTGAGATGGAAGTAAGATCTTTGGGAGCAGATGAAGCATGGGATTTGTTCTGCGAGAGAATTGGAGACACCTTGGAGAGTCACCCGGACATCCGTGAGCTCGCAAGGATAGTTGTTGAAAGATGCAGAGGCTCAACGCTCGCACTTAGTGTCATTGGCGTGACTATGACAGGCAAGACTTTGGTGCAAGAATGGCGGTATGCAATCGACACTTTGACTTTATCTACAGCCAACTTTTCAGGTATGGAAGATGAGATCCTTCCTGTTTTGAAGTTTAGCTACGATAATTTGAAGGATGAGAGAGTGAAACAGTGTTTTCAATACTGTGCTTTATTCCCAAAAGATGGCATAATATCAAAAGAAGATTTGGTAGACTATTGGATAGATGAAGGAATCATTGATGGAAAAGAAGATAGATATAGAGCAGAGGAGGAGAGTTACGAGATAATTAGTTACCTTGTTCATGCTTGTCTATTGATAGAAAATAAATTTGGGCATATAGTTACCATGCCTACCCTGGTTCGTGAAATGGCCTTGTGGGTAGCATCAAATCTTGGGGAGGAGAACGAAAACTTCATTGTGAAAGCCGAAGCAAAACTTAATGACATTCCAGATGTCAAGGATTGGAGAGGTGTGAGTAGGATCTCATTGTGGGGTAATCGGATCAAGCATATACGTTGCAGTCCAGATTGTCCCAAGCTTACAACCTTGTTCCTCCAGTTCAATGATCTGGAGAAGATCTCAAGTGGAGTCTTTATGTTTATGCCTAAGCTTGTGGTTTTGGATTTAACGGCAAACATTGGCCTCGAGTTGCCTGAAGAGATTTCGAGACTGGTCTCTTTGCAGTATCTCAACTTATCACATACAAAGATAAAGGAACTGCCTCGGGGATTAAAAGAGCTAAGGAAACTTATACACCTGAACCTGGAGTTTACTGGATGGCTTAAAGGAATTGCTGGGATTTCAAGTTTATCAAATCTGCAAGTTCTAAAACTGTATTGTTCCGTCGGATTAAATATGGACCTGGTGGAGGAGTTACAGCTCCTGAAACATTTAAAAGTTTTGACCGTCTCCGGGGGTGATGCCTATGTCTGGGAAAGATTTATGAGCATTCCCAGATTGGCAAGTTGCACTCGCAGTGCAACTCTTATGCACTGTGAAGCAGGAGCAGATGGAATATCGATTGCCGCGACCTCAAGTAGGCTTAGCGTCCTCCAGATATATGAGTCAAACATAAAGGAGATAAAGATTGATCAGAAAGTCGATAATGCAAGCAAGAATAGTCCAAAAAGTCTGAGTAATACCTGGAACTTCAGTTACCTCGTCAATGTGGAGATAAGCGAATGCCAGGGTCTGAGGGATTTGACGTGGTTGCTCTTTGCTCCGAATCTTGTTTGGCTGGATGTTAGAGAGTCACCGCAAATAAAAGAAATAATAAGCAAAGACAAAGCTGCCAGCTTTATGAATGGTGAAGCATATGACAAAACGCCCTTTCTGAAGTTGAGACACCTCGAGTTAGAAAACCTGGAAGAACTGGATAGCATCTACTGGAGTGCTTTGTCTTTTCCTTGTCTAATGAAAATCGATGTATTCGGCTGTCCGAATCTCTGGAAACTTCCTCTCAGTTCCTTCAGTGCAAGCGGCAGTAACCTTGTCATTTATGGAGAGGAAGAGTGGATCCAGAATCTTCAATGGGACGAGGAAGATACTAAGGAGCAGTTCACCCTGAAAATTATAAAGGTGAGATTTCTTGAATTTAGTTTTGTAGGTTTGAGTAATGTGATGATTGGACCATTTGGCAACCTTGCAGAGCGAGGTACCTATGGAGAATTCACAAAGCCAGTCAGAGTTAGAGTTGAGGAAGAGAGTAGCGGATCTTGAGGAAGAGAACCGATCAGTCAAACAACGTCTTGAGAGTATAGAGATGTTATTATGGCAGCAACGGCAAGAGCATCAGCTATTTATGCCTCCACAAAGCAGCATTCAGACAGTGGTGCATCAGCAACAGACGGGATCTCAAAGTAATGTTCCGGGAATACAGCTGTTACAACAGCAACCTAATCTGATACAAAAGGATGTGCAACATAGGCTTCAAGCTTCAGGCATGCTTCCACCTCAAAATGTAATTCACCAACAGAGGCAATCCAATCCAGAGATGCCATCAAGTATGTTTTTTTTTGTCAAAATTTAGGTACCAGTGTTTTACCTGATCTCTCTCTAACCTTGCTTTTACTACTCTTAGCATCATCACTGGGTTCATGGGGGAATGCGAATGGAGATGATTGGCAAGAGAAGGCTTTCCAAAAGGTAATTATCCTCCGTTTTGAAATTCGGTAACATATCGCTTTTGTTGACCCTTGTGCCTCTTGTCTCTGCAGATCACATCCATGAAAGAGATGTACTTACCAGATATGACTGAACTTCACCAGAAAGTTTCAGCCAAGTTGCAGAACGTAAGTTAACCTATCTTCTTCTTTTTCTGCTTACTACTTGGACAATAGTTTGCATCTATGTGATATTTTGTTTCTTATCTTATTGAACAAAATATTTTTGTCTGTGGAGCAGGAATTTATTCCACAGCAAGAAAGATCAGATAAGTTTGAGAAATTGGAAAAACTCAAGACAATGTCGGAGCGAATCATAAATTTCCTATCTGTTCCAAAGGGCGATATCACGCCTGCATTAAAGGATAAGGTGGGTTATTATGAGAAGAAGATTATAGTTTTCTTAAATTTGCACTGGCCAAGGGCTGCTCCAAGATCACTCTCATGAATAAATCAAACAAATCCTTTTGAATGTACAAATAAGAATTTGTTTGCATGTGAGTAGTGAGTAAATTTATAGACTCACTGCAAAAGTAACTTTTTAAGTCTTTGTTGTTACCCATTTAACAAAAAAAAACAAAAAAACTGTCCCTTGGAATCCCAATTATCTGTTTTGCGATGATGTACTTCATTAGACCATGTGCTCCTGCTTCTGGAGAGGATTCATCTGAGCATGTCCATTTCGTTTTCACTCAAGCCATGGCCTGTTTAGCTGCTGTCATTGTTTTAACCATCACCGTGGTTGGCAATTTGATCCCAGTAAGCAGTAGCATTACATATACACTGGTTGGTTTAGTGATTGTTCTTCTGGTGTTTCCTCTTGCAATTCCTGTCAAGATGACATTTTTCCGGAAAAAGTCCGTGAGGAAACCGAACCCTCTTCCCGAATCTGTGGAAGGTTTAGATCAGGAAGGAGGAGAGAGTAATCCAACCAACCCGTTGCTGAGACCCTCTTCATCTCTTGGAAGTTTCATTGAGATGGAGGATGATGATGCTTCAGATATACAGACCCTCTTAGCTGAGGGAGGAGGAGCAGTTGAGAAGAAGAGAGGACCGAGGAGAGGAGAGGATTTTAGAATGAGAGAAGCTTTGGTCAAGGCTGATTTCTGGCTTCTATGGTTTCTTTACTTCCTCGGTGTTGGCTCTGGTGTCACAGTTTTAAACAACTTGGCTCAGGTTGGGATTGCAGTTGGCATTGATAACACAACAGTCCTCTTATGCCTCTTTAGTTTCTTCAACTTTGTTGGCCGGCTTAGCTCAGGAGCTATCTCAGAGCACTTTGTCAAGTCAAGAGCAATGCCGAGAACCGTGTGGATGATATTAGCACAGTTTCTCATGGTACTTGCTTTCATTCTCTACGCTCTCTCTTCAACCGCCACTCTCTATCCGGCAACCGCGCTTCTAGGCACATGCTACGGGTTGCAGTACGCACTCATGGTTCCTACAGCATCTGAGCTCTTTGGACTCGAGCATTTTGGCATCATCTACAGTTTCATGATTCTAGGAAACCCAATTGGTGCAGTTCTCTTCTCCGGTTTACTAGCTGGTCGTTTGTATGATGCTGAGGCTATTAAACAAGGAAGCTCGACTTGTTACGGACCGGAGTGTTTCAAGCTGACTTTCGTGATCCTATCTTGCGTCTGTGGGGTTGCAGCGATTCTCGGTGTGATTCTAACTGTTAGGATATGACCGGTTTATCAATCTCTATACGGCTCAAGATTTTACCGGCTACCTCAAGAGTAAGTAAGATCACTGAGGCAGGCTTAATGTCATGGTTATGTGTGTAAACAGAGCTTTTTATTGAGAAAAGAGTAAAAGTGATAAACTTTTAATATGTAAAGCGGTAAGTAAAAGCTGTAAAGAAGTATTGACTGGAACAGAGACTTAGGCCAAAAGCAAAGACTGAAGAGACAGACTCATTACACAGACCCACACACTAACACACACACCTGACACCTCCACTCAAATTCTTTTTTCTAATTGTTAACTAACAAAAAATAATTAGCCTAATCACACACTCCAACACACAAAGACAAAAATATCAAGAAACCATGGTGGAAGAACCCTAAAACCTCATCTCTCACCATCAATCTGATATAAAGAAAGAAGAAGAACTTGAATCCAAAACAGAACAGAACTTGGGAGATTTTTCTCTAAGTAGGTTTGAGATTCTGAAACATTGAATCCCATTTGATGTCTTCAAAATAAGTATCTTGAGCAGAAAGTTTCTCATCCTTGAAACTGTAATCGAAAACCATGGGACTTGAGAAGCTATCGATTCTACAAGGAGTCCCATTGGTCAACAACAACCTCTCTTGCTTCTCGAATCCGCCATTTCCATTGCTCGGCATCACAGATCTCTTGTTCCTCTTCAGAAATCCACCTCTCCACTTCCCAATCCCGCTGCTGCTAGTCTTCTTCGGCACTAACACCAGAGCTCGAGACGACGACGACTCTTCTTCACGGCGGATCCAGGCGCGTACGTGATCGGAGAAACATTTCCTGGTTTTCTTAATCGCAGTCACGATTCTAGAGATGGATCGAGAGGTGAGAGGAGGAGTGTTCTTACGATCTCGACGAGCGAGTTTGAGAATCTCGAGACGGTGTTTGGCAATGGAGATTCCCATGCTCTGGAGAAACTCGTGGTTGAAGTAAGAGATGTCTTCGTGTTCGAGCTCGTTCTGAGAGAAGGAAAGACCGTATTCGTGGATGAGAGAAGGTTCAAGGTTTGTTCTCGAGAGCCATGAAAACCACCAATCTTCCATTGAAGAAGGTTTGTGTTTGTTTTTGTTTGTGTAGGAGATGATATATATATATATAGAGGGAAAGTAAGTGGGGGCTTTTTTGACTTTTGTGCAAGTAGCGGGCTTCGTCGTTAAGGTAGTTGAGGCGTAAAGAGTGACTATATAAAAATTAAAGTGAAAAATCAAAGGGTCAAAAGTGAAAACATGTACACACAAAACAAAATATTGATTTAGTATTGGGGATTACATATGTGTAATTTTACAGATAAAGTAAACCCATGCTTGTGTGAGTAATAAAAGAAAAGATGGGAGTGGTGGGTATGTAATGTAATGTAGAGAATATCGAGAAATTGTGTGAGTGTGGAGAATGGAGAGTGACCATCAATCACGGTGTGGGGAAAGGAGCAAACCCAGTGGGATCTTACTTTTTTGTTTATGGGTCACTCTTGTATTTTATAACTAAAAAGTTTACACGTAGTATTATGTATAATACCAGTGTTCTCACCAAAAAAAATGTATAATACCAGTGTTTTGAAATCTACTTTGCTTTGGTTATTTTACAAAATAAACTTAAAATAGCTTAAGAATTAAGACAATCAAGTGAGGGCGATATTAGAATACACTTTATTATAGAATAATATGCAAACTGCAAAGGAAAATTGCAGGCAGAAATCTAGAATTTTAGGGGATTCTTGATCATGTCATTTACGAAAGACTGATACAAAATATATCCTAATCAATAATAGGATATCTAGGCCAACTATGTCATCCCTTATCAGTTACTTATTAATAACAACACATTATGCACATTGGTCACAGATGAAAATGGATATAATCTTCCAATTTGTTTTCTTAGATTTATATTCCATAAAATTTTATTTGTTTCCCTAATTATGTCTAAATAATAAAAGCTATATAACACTATTGTTCAAGCCTAATTATAGGATCAAATCTAAATAAATTGGGAAATATATCATACTCAATAATAGGATCTAGTCCAACTTTTCCTCCCTTATTAGTAACAACAACACTATGCATATTGGTCAGAGATGAAAATGGAGAAAATCTTCCGATTTATTTTCTTAGATTTATAGTCAAGAAAAGTTTATTTGTTTCCCTAATTATGTGTAAAAGAATAAAAGCTACCTAATACTAATGTTCAAACCTAATTAAGTGAGAAAATACTCTACTTTCTTTTTCTTTTGACTTATGGAAATAAATTGAAAGATAATGTTCTTCTTCATCTTTGACCTCAAAAGATACATCTTTACATATGTTTGTTATAAATATAGATGTGTGATGAGCATGACTGCATGAGTATAGAGAAAATCGTAAACAGAAAATAATAATAAAGAGAATTTCATAAAATGGCTATCACCAAAAAGAATTTGATAGCATTTGTTTTCACCATTCTGCTTGTTATATCTTATGTTCATTGTCGTACATCTGATATTGTTTCTGGTACTGGCTGATTGTTATGCTCTTTTTACTATCAACATAATTTTATCATTTTTATGAATGAATATATATATATATATATATATATTGATCTTATATTAATTTAAATAGGTTTTGGAATAAAAGAGGATGATCATGTATGCTTCAATACAAGTCCGTGTTTGCCTGAACAAGGAGGGGAAAAAGGCTGCATTGCGTTTTGTACAAGACAGAAGTTTACAACAGGCCATTGTCTTGGTTCCGAATTATGTTGTTGTTACACTTAATAAATTAAATTTGCGTTTTATTTGAGTGAAATATATAATATATAAAAACTAATAAATATTAGTATATGTTTGAATAGTAATTAATTTATTTTATTTTCACGATATGTTTTTAACATCATTAGTTTTCACGCAGTTTTAGTTTTTCAATTCAAATATACTAGGCATTTCACAAATTTTTGTACAAAACGATTTGCAAGGTAAGAACTTCACCAAAAAGCGATTTTTTTCTTTTTGGTTTTTTTTGGTGAGTGTATGGCGTATGAGTTGCTGATCATTAGATAAAATTGTGAGAAACAATTATCTTTATTTATTTATTTTTTGACCAGAGCTTTAAGGAAATAAATTTGAAGATTCTATATACATATTTGACCATAAAATACGCCTTTTATAACGTGTGTTCGTGTTATATGTATATTTTCATCACCAATTCTCAAGATATGAGTCAAACACCTAATAACGAAATATTGGTAGTATAACAAAAGGTTGATGTCTCGCAATGCAATCGATATATTGCCATATAACCGGGATATGAGAAAACGAAGAATTTGAACCAAAAAGAAAGAAAAAGAAAGAAAAAGAAAAATACAAAGAAAACGAAGAATATGGAAAATGGCAAAGCAATTAAACCTTTATGTGAACGTGTAAGAGAAGGGGACACATACATTAATGGAAAGTGACCTATCCCTAAAACTAATAAATAATGCCTTAATAAAAGACCACTTTCTTGACGATTAAATAACAGTTTCTAATACTAGTAAAAACTATATGTTTGGTAATACTTGGAAATTTTTTGTTGCTAAATGAAAAATTTCAATAGTTGAGTTCAATATAAGAGAATCTAGACAAATGAAAAAAGATCTGAAGTTGGATTTATCATTCAACTGAGGGATTATCGCACAGTTACCGGTGTAGAGTAGAGGCAGATGTGTACTAGAACTACTACTTATTAAATCGTGAATGATTAATAAATAACGTTTCGTTTTCATTAAATGTGAAAATAATAATCAGAAAACAAAAATAAAAAGGAAGTTAGGGCTGAGGTTGATCAGAGCGTCACTGATCTCGTGATAGTGAGACTTTTGGACAGATACGCCGGATGGGACCCACGTGCTTTGCTTTTTGGCCGGATAGCTTTTTTCTATTAACAAAAAAAAAAGATGCAACCACCATCCCTTAATGCTCAATTCTCTTTTATTTTAGTTTTATTATGCTATAGTTTTGCACTAATAAGTCAGATTTTTTTTTTTCTTCTATCAATTACATTAATAATTTGTATCGAATTTTTTTAAATATATATAATATATTTTTAACACGTATCCGTTTTCTTAAAAAACAATAAAATATATTTTTAACATTTAAAAATATATAAAATATTTCTAACATTTAAATATAATACATATACCTTTAAAGATATATAATATATTTTAACACGTACCCAGTTTCTTAAAAACTTTTATTCGTTTTTATGGTTTCAACATTCGAACGCTTCCTTTCATTAGTTTATCCAACCTACCTAAGTTATGATATTACGCTTTAGCAAAAAAAAAAGGGGGTTATATATTATGCTTTGCTCGTTTTTAAGAAATTCATTACTTGTATATCGTTTTTTATTATGTTATGACCTCGCGATTCGTGATTGATAGTAGCAGTAGACTAGTCGTAGTGGAGTGGACACCTAAAATAAATAAAAAAAACTAAAAATAGATATACATACACGCTAAATTAAATAAATCGTAAATCACAATTACATATTTATGTTTGTACTTGAAAATGTTATCGCTTTAGAGCATGGGCAGTGGGGCAAGCAGGTAGGTGTAAGTCTTGGGGTGTAGGTATTAAAAAAACGAAAAAATTGTCTTTCTCTTCACACCCGGGTGTAAGTTTACACTCGGGTGTAACACCTTTTCTCTCTATCTCTCTCTTTCTTTCTCTTTCTCTTTTCTCTTTTGCTTTAAATTATAATACTAAAAAAATACTTACACTCACACAAACACATTTGCCACTACTGATGGTCTTACGTGTGGTGATGGTGAGACAACAGTGTTTGTGTTTGGACGGGATAGATGTCAAATTACTCTCAAACGTGCGACTCTAAATTACACAACTCTCATTTATTGCCCATCCTCCATCGATATCTTCCCCCCTAATATTTTAACAATTATATTTATAACTTCAACAATACACATTCGGTTTCTTTTAAAATTAATCCTTGTGTTATTATTACTTCCAAGCTAATCTAATCTTGTACTTCCTTCTTCTGCCATTATTTAAACAGAAAGAATCCAGCTAATTCCGATCTACCTGCTCCTAGTAGCAATCTATAAACAAACAAAACTGAAACTATGTGTAAATTTTAAAAATGTATGTAAATTTTCACGAACATCTTAACAATAATAGTCAATGCAAGTGGTTCTTGTGTATACAAAGAATTAATAGGAACTACTATCCACATCCTTACGTTTACATTTTTCACAAATGTGCACAACCAATCATGCACTAAATTAACCTGTATTGAAAAAGTTAAAAAGAATAATATTATCAAAAATAATGATAATGTTCAGCAACATGTTGGACCAAGAAATGTTCAAACAATACTATAATATTGGAATATTAGTATTAGTTTTATTCTTGTTTTTTTATACTATGAACCTAAGCCATATCGTCTCTCGCGTGTAAATTGCGATAAATAACCGAGTTATAAATCATATTTCGTATCTCGCCGAGAAGAAAGACGACGTAGCATCTTTACGAGTTGAACATTTCTCCATCACGTGATGTTCGATGCGTTAACTAACGCATTTCAAGAGCAATTGGCTCTCAATGTCATATCCGTAAATATTAGTCAAACTTGAGGGCAATGACTCAATATAAAAAGCTTTGTCGTGCCACGAGGGATCTGGAGACAAGTCTGACACATTGAATGAAACTCTAACCGTTAGATCTCCGTCCTCCGCGCCATCTTACAAAATCGACGGTTTTCCAGATAGGTGTAAAACCAATCGCGATGCAGAGGATCACCCCCCCGTGGATTACAGCTGGCAACTAATATTCCGAGCCGATAACGTCGAGAAATGTAGCCGATCAAGTCGTAGTGATAAGCTAGTCTACTTATCACTCCTGCTTATTGCAGTTAGCTTTTCTTAGAGTGATAGCTTACTCTACTTATGAGCATCCAATTATCTGTCACCTTCTCTTATTAAAATCTCCATTTCTGCAAGTTTTAATGTCCGTATATATATCTCGAAGAGAGAGAAAATCCCTTTCTCTAGATAGAGAGAGAGAAGAAGAAGCTTTTATATTTTCTCTCTTTCAAGTTTCCTTTTTTCGATAGAGAGAAAAAGAGTCCAAAAATCAATCCATCACCTCTTTCGTCTCTGTGGTCTTCTTCTTCTTCTTCATCGATCTCTCTTTCTT